CACGATGTTCGAGACCAAGTACCGTGCTCTCTGAGCGTAAGCATGGACATCATGCTTGCCCTGCTGCAGGCCGAGGAACTCCGCCCTCGACCGGAACTCGTTTTGTGGGGGCTCAAACGCTCGTCTGAGCTCCTCCTTGAAACCCTCGTACGTGCTAAAGCACGTAGGATCCGAGAGTCGGCGTCCATACGCCCAACTTCTTGCGCGTCCGCCAAGACATGACATGGCGAACGCAACCTTCGACAACGGGTCGACGATACGTCGAGCCGCAATGGCTGTGTCGCGTTCGACAAGCCAACGGAGGAGAGGTTCACCCTCTCTTCCGACATAGTTGCTCACATTGAGCTTCAGCGGTTGCGCGCGTGGTGTCGTCCCGGACGACACAGCGGTAGTAGCAGCAACATCGCGTTGCTCCTTCAGTATGAAACCCAGAGCAACACCGTGTTGCTCTGTCGACGTTAGCGTACGCAGCATCGTAACTACAGCCGCCTCACCAATGACTGTTGACAGTCGTTGGAGAGCTTCCCACTCTGGGTCCGACAGGTGGGGACAGTCAGCGCGTGCAACGTGAGTTGCAGGCGTAGTGGAGCTTTCCATGGGCACCTCTGTATCCACGGGAAGGTTCTCAGCTCCGCGTTCGTGCGGTGACGTACTAACTTGGGTAGTCAGTCGTTGGACGGACTACAAAGTGCTACCAGGTGTTATGGGCCTACTTTGGCTCACTACTTTAGCTTACACGTGTGCGCACGTGTACGAGGAAGCGTAGCTTGGTTTAAATTAGAGTTAATTATACTCGGGCCTCCGAGTATAGATTAATCTAAATAAACGATCCAAATAATGTTTTTTGGGTTAAAATGAGAACTGCTATTTTTGTTTTATGTTTCTGACTTCCTCTAAATGTAATATTCTAAACTGGGAAGCTGCCAACGGCTGGTTGGCAGAATTCCAGTGCTATGCATGTCGCTCATTGGCTAAAAGATGCTGCTTTCAGCCAATAGGAATCCTAAGTCTCTATGGACCACCCGTCGTGGTGATCGTAAATGTATGTAGCCTTTGGTGTGTCTACACCAAGATCGAGAAAGTCTTTCGAACCTCTAACAGACGTCGTGTCTGTTAGAGTTACAAGTGACTGTAGCCACTTGTGCGTGTAACCCTGTTACAGACACCTAATCCCACAAATAACGTTATATACCGAACGATACCGTTCCTGCCTCTCCGGCCGCGCCAATCCAAGAGAAAGTCTTTCGAACCTCTAACAGACGTCGTGTCTGTTAGAGTTACAAGTGACTGTAGCCACTTGTGCGTGTAACCCTGTTACAGACACCTAATCCCACAAATAACGTTATATACCGAACGATACCGTTCCTGCCTCTCCGGCCGCGCCAACTCTTGGCGCTGCCAAGGAAACTCTCGGTCAATGCACGATAAGCTCCCCGACAGACATCCACACGCACTACAATAAGCTAGCTACACTTACTGAAGTCGGACTTGACCCTTGTTGGCTTTGGGGGAAGACTGTCGTTTTATTACTGAGTTTTATGAGGCCCTGGGAGCCTCGTTCTGATCATCCTATGATGAGTCCTCTGTCCATATACAAATATCTAGTGTAAGCGATCGCGATAAGGCGATTCCGGACACATCAAATGACGACCGCGGCTACACTAATAAGTGCGGCCGAAGTACGTAACTAAATGCAACTGTACCTAAACGTGGGTACCGTGAAGCCTCGTTCGGGGTTGTATTAGGCCCAACGAGGCTTCGGCCACTGATTTTCACTCTAGCGAGGATAATGTCATCATGCAATCAGAAGCAGTCATCTCCGTCTCTCGCTTGACCTTGCCTTGATTGCCCCTTGATTGAGCTTGATTGTCGGGCTGGCGGGTCAACAGCGTTGGAAACTGCCACTTTCCAATACCTCAATTGTGGGCCTGATGATCAAGGATCCGAGGTTCGACTGAACGCTTGACGCTGAAAGCCACATTGTCTTGATCTTCGCCCGTGACTATGCATCTCTCTCGGACCTTGTTTAAGTACCGACGGCGATCACGCAGGAACCGAGCCAAGGCTGGTTGGCTCTACACGGTAAGCTTGGGCGCCTTGATGAACTCGAAGATTGGCTGCGGGACGCTCAAGCGCTTGAACGAATTTTGCGAATTGAGGTTGGAGTTAATGTTTCAAACCGACCTGTGATGTAGCGGATTCAGCAAAATCTGCGAGATCGCCCATCCAACTTGCCAACAGCGGCACCGACTAACGGAGGGTGGATCCCCAATGACGCCGGGGTGAGCCCATCTTGGATCTTGGGTCTCATGGGTTCAGATCAGATGAGTCTGGATCCAGATCTATCTGAGTCCAGATCCATCATTCACCCAATCACATGCCATCACTCATTTCTGAGAATTGCGCTTCTCCTCAAACCCGATTCCTTGGTCTGCGTGCAGCCAGAGGACAAGAAGGTAGTGATGCCTTTCATCGCCGCGTCGGCAACAACAAAGCCGTCGCTGCGATCTGCACGGTGGCAGTGCAGGATAAGGCTAAGCAACGTGGCCACTGCCTAGTGGAGACAGTGGTGGCGGCGATATGAACGTGAGACGACAAAAAGCACAAGATAGCGATAAGTACACCAAAATGGCGTATTGGAGTAGGACTTAAGAGGCTTTTGGTGGTTGGCCAGAGGAAGCTGCTCTACACCACCCCGCACCATCGACGCCCGCAGCGTATCGTCCCATGCGCTAGTGCTCTCCCAGCCACTAGAAGGCTATCACAGGCAGCGTCGTCTCATTCTGTATCTTCTCACTACACCTGAAGGCGATATATAAGCTGCGTTGGCATAAGTCATAGCATTTATCAACGGATACCCATTTTTTGATTATATTTTAATATATAAAAGGATTACATTAGAAATAAAACTGCGGTACCCACTTGGGTTACCGGTTTTGGAAAGTTACACGTTGTTTACCGGGGCCAAGCACCGGCGACCCCGAGCGCTCGCTTTGGGAGAATACACAGGTCGAATACTTATTAATAGTAAAGTCGAAAGTTGACGGATGGCCGTAACTGCAACAAATATCTTGAAACTGGTATTCAGTCAGCAATAGAGGCTCGATCTCAGCGAAGTAGTTTCAAGTTCGTAGGGACAAAAGCATACATACTCATCTGCTTGTCCTCGTAGTTTAATCTGTGTGGCCTGGGTTTTGGCTTCCTATCGCCGTGTGTCCTAAATTAGGGCCTAGCTGTATGACATATGGAAAATATGCATAACATGCGTCTTATACAATGTATTCGTAGTGGCATATCCATTTTTTTGCGCAGATTCCGACAAATATTTGTCGCAATGTGTCGGAACCGGAGACCTAACCCCAACAAATCCTATTCGCCAAAAGATATTTCTGCGGTACGATTGGATAATATTTCGTTTTTTGTGACTCGATAACAATCCTCAGGTTCTATCGGTCGTAAATTCATCCATACCATGACGGTGCCGACATCGGCCGACATAGTGTCTATAAGCTGGGATTGGCTAAAAAAAGCAGACACATCATGCACATCGGGCATGGTGCCCAGGTGGTTAGCAATCAAATGCGCCACTGCTCCAGCAGTGTCAGAGCAAATCCTGGATTGCAGGTGTCAGGCAGTAACAGCCTGACACCTGCAATTCTGCCGCTATTACCAACTTAAGCGTTTGCATGTTGGTTATTAAAACATCAGCATTAGCGCTGCGTAACATACAAAAACGCAATACATTTCTCATTTTTCGAGAGTTCATCTGGCTGTACTGTATTAAAAGCATTGAAATTTACACGGTTGGTTAGCGCTCGTCGCCTTCGTTGCAGCGATGCAGTCCTTCTCACTTTTGCTTTTGCGCTCACCCCGCCGGCGATTTGCTAGCGATTTCACGTCAGTGCTAAGTAAGAGTGGGGAGTTTTTTTTTGGTGCGCATCTCTCTTCACGTCCGGCGATTTGCTAGACCTTCCACGAACAGAGATGCAATCCATTGTGGGTAGACGGACTAGGGGCGGTCCAATGTGTGAGAATCAGAGCGGTACATCCGAGAGATATTCTCTCTGTGGATTGTACTCGATCAACAATGCGGTGCAAACCCGGTTTTTTTTAACCGTCGAGGATTTGGTGCCAATCGTGCGTCGTCTTAACGCGGCTGCACCCGAGGAAGAAGGGCCAACCCCCCATGGCGATGAGAAGTACGGGGCGTATTCTATGCAAGCACTGCATGAAGCGCTTCGCGCCAAGGGCTATCAGCTGCTATACCTGAACAGTACCAACACGTTCAACTGCAGTTCGCAAAGGTGGTTCAAGAAGATTCCTAGGTCTAGTTTTAGGCACCTTGTGATCATCGGTAGGCCCTTTGGCCAAGAAGAGGATACCTGGCACTGCATCGCTCGCGCGGCGGTGGGCAACAAGCACTACTTCATCGACTCGGACGAGCTCGTCTACAAGCCAAGTACCGAAGACGGGTTACGCCACTTCTTTGCTGATCTGGGCTGTGTTTACGCGGTCGAGCCGATTAACTACCAACAATAAAATCCTACTTTTACACAAAACCGTTGTTTAATCTGCAACCTCTGGGTAATCATAAAATATCCTTTAAGACAGGAACACTCTTATTTTTTACTAACAAAATGGCTACAGTAAAGATTCAGAGTGGTAGCACACCGCCTCGGCTGCAGTTGAAGATGTTGTCAAATGCATGAACAGATTAAGAGTAGATCGATATTATGAAGCTCTGTGGCGTTCCAGCAGTTGCGTACGAAAGTCAAACCCGCACTACATGCTGTACGCTATACATTTATCGAAGTGTAATGTGTAGCGGTGCAGAACATTTATTATAGCCCCACGTTAGAAACTAAAACTCAACTACTTCCGTTTAAACAGCTCTTGCGTTTCCTTGGGCGCTGGGTCCGTTACGCCAGCGACAGCAACGCGAGCACGGTACGCGTCTACTAGAGAATTGAGCTTGCTTTCCGGAAAAACTTGCGCAGTTGCTTCAGTACAGCTGATCCACGTTTGCTCTTGACTCCGTGCGCTTCGAAAAATCTGTACATCCCGGCTTCGGTCTCAATTCCGGTACGAACAACTTGGTCGGTGTAGTCAGAGGCCGACGGGTCCAGCGCGAAGCCGTTTGGTAAGAAGAGCTTCATGTAGTTCACGGTATGCTTGTACGCTGATTTTTTCTGCCGATCCGCACACACGTCCCACATACGTGGTGTTTTTGCGTACCACTCAAACCAAATAGCCGCTGGGCCTTTCGGGAGAGCCTTGCTTCCACGCGACTTCGATACAGTAGCGGAATCCTCGCAATGCGATTGTGGTGCCACCACCGGTGCCGGCAAACTTGTGGAGGAGTCACCCTGACCATCGTCGCGCTGACTCACCAGTTGGGTGACCCGCTCGGTCAAGGCTCGATTCATGGCTATCAGCTCGCCGATGATGCAGTTCTGGTGATTGATCAGCTTTTCTTCTCTTGTGAATGCCCCCGCGTCGTCTTGAGATTCCTCCAGATCCTTTTGTGCCACCTTCGCCTGTAGTTCAGAGCTCCACGCGAGAACTGGAGCTTTTGGTAAACCCAACGCCATCAGGCATTCGCGCATCCGAGTAGCGTACGGGCACATCGGGTAGCGCTCGAGTACCTCGGGAAAATGCTGGATCAGCGCGGCAGTTAGAACTTCAGCGACGCGGGCGTTGAGCTTCTTCTCGGGGTCTTGGGTGCACACGCTTGGCTGGAAAAGAAGATTTCCCAAGCTCAGTGCCTGCTGCCGGCTGGCGGAGTCGAACCAGGAGAGGGTTGGAACCGGTGGCTTCTTGCTCGAGTCCCAACCGCTGAGAACACGTGCTACTTTCTGGTCTTTGCTGGTTGTGTTGAACACGTAAGCGAAAGCCTTGTTGGTAGCCGTCATGTTCCACGAACCACGATCGAAAATCCACTGAGCACTGAGCAGTGGATCACCGTTTGCATGCTGAGCCCCACCACGTCGAAACGAGTGAGACGTCAAGTTTGCAGTTGGCACCGCTTTAGCTTGAGCGGCAGACGCTGTCTTGACAACGCGGTTCACGTAGGCGTGGATCTTCATGTTTTCTTCAGGCAGTTTACGCTTTTTCTGAGGCAGCTCACTTGGCGTGTCGTCGTTCTCACAGGCAACAAGAGCTTCAGCTAGTGGCACGTCAACAGGGGCTGTCATACTCTCGTCGCCGCTTGCGGCAAGGTGCGGGTGATCCAGCAGCTGTGCGCACGGAGCGTCCTGCATCACCAGGGCCATCGCAATCGCATGCAGGGGGCACGTGATGAAGCTGTTCTTGTCGGGAAAGAGAGAGATGCCCTGCTCGTCTGAAGTCTTCACGCGGATGAGCCGAACGAACACAACGCCATCCGCACTCACAGACAGGTTTCCCTTCGCCACGAACCCCAGGTCTGAGGCGTGGCCAAACGCGTACCACATCAGCGCCAGTAACGCGGCATCTTGGTAGTCCTTGGGGCTGGTGGCATCATAGTAGAGTCCGTCCATGAGAATTCGTAGGTCTTCCTTCGTGCAGCAGGCGCCTTCTTGACCATTCCACCTTCGATGCGCTTCAGACAATGGCGCTCGAGCGTCTGTCCCATCTTGAGTAGTTTCTTCTCGATGGTGGCTCGGTGGGTCGGGTAGGTGTCGAGCAGCCAGTTCTTTACATGGCGGTAGTAGCTCATGACCGAGTTCTTGACCAGCGGCTTCCCTCCTCGGCCTTCGACGAAGGCGAGGTGAACGCCAAAGCGGCCCATGAGCTTCACAAACACAGCCCCACTCTCATCATCTGCGAGAGAGGCAGCGATGAAGTCCATGGAGACGCCTTGGGCCGCGACGAAGCGTCCGAAGGCGTTGATTGCGGTTTGTAGAGCGCGCTGGGAGTTGACGGGGGCGAGGTCTTGGAGGCTCATACTGGTTCCGAGTGTTCTGTCGGCAAGAGGGCAGATATTCGAGTGATGAGCAGTAGACTGGTGGCTCGTATTGACGCCCTGCATATTTTCGCCCCCGTGCCTACATTATACGTCGGCACGGCGTCGGCATCGTTTTACCCTACACCTAATCAAGCTCATTGGTCGATATTGGATATATCTAGATGTCATTGGTCAATATACATGCATTGCGGTCAGTTTCCCTATACTTAAATCAAGTAAAACAATTGTGTCGGCACCGTCACGATATTTATCCGTATCCAGTATAGGAGGCGGGTGCGCTCTCTTCGGTAGGATTCAGTTCATAGTGTTTTCCGCACCGGACTCAATATGCAAATAGTACTGCTGGACACGGCGCCAGCACCGCCGCGCCACACCAATGCCCTCCGCGCCGGCTATGAGCCATTCGCTCTGGTCATAATTTTGAAAAATATATGCTAGTATTCTGATGTAATGACATGTATCTCTCACCATGCGAGTCGCATGCTTCAGCATTTTGATTACTGATTGGCTTAGAATGGGGTGTATTTCGCAAGCTCTACACGCGAAATACGGTATTTAAAAAAATGAATAGACAGACTCTCGGTTCAACTACGTGCTTACCAAGCAGAGCACCATTGACCTGCTCGGGTGCAGCCAGCACTAAAAGCGGTAGTGAGCGGTTGTGAGGAGCGTAGCCGCAGCAAACCCGCGCGGGCTGCCCGCGAAGCAGGGCCGCGCGGTATTTGCGGAGGCGGGCCCAGCGACGAGCATTCCAGCGAACGGACCCGTTGCCTCAACGCGAAGTTCGTTTTGTATTGCGGGGGTCTGGGGATTCAACCCCCAGTATGTGGAGCTCATGATGTAGTTTTTACTTACATCAGACGTCTTTATGCAGGCCTAACAGTGTTTCTAATTGTAAATTGATGTGGTCGTCTGAACTGGATATTTCTAGACGTGGTGCTTACTTAGTAGACCCCAATGGCCGACAGGTTCATTAGATTCATTTGGAGAGCGGGGACGTCGGCCTGCAGTGGAGATTCCACTGCAGGGTGTCGGCCCCCTAAGCAACTCAACGGACCAACGCGACTGAGATGCTCCACTACTAGTATTAAAATACCGGTTCTACGGTACTACGATTCTACCGCTGTTAATTAAGAAACTTGGGTCATTTCAGGATGCTAAAAATTACTTGCCGCGCTCTGCAGCTTCAACCCAAGGACAAAATTATGCCGTGCTATCCAACGACGCGCGTGGCATTGCGCCGGGCTGAACCGTCAGCGAGCCGTTTTGGTTCCCTCACGGAACCAATGTGCGAATCGGCGCTTATCGGGGCAACCTTCGCGGCGAGCCGCACAGACAAAATTCGAAGCGGTCAAGTCGACCATTACGAATCTTGTTGAAACGTGGTGGCAAATTTTACGGTAGGCTACTACTGCGGATGATGGCAGTAAACAGGGAGATTGGGTGTTCTGGCGCCAGATACAGTTGACCAAACGTTGTTGGTTTTGATTCGCTTTCCATTTCGGGTCTAAATGGAAAATAGAAACCCTATATTCCTCGAAAGGACGCGATCCAAAAGATACTTTGTTGTACCCATTTCCATTTAGCCTTCAAGAGTAGCAACCAGACATGCCTCGCATCACGGTGGAGCTGCTGCGCAAGCGGGCGGAGCACAATGAGGGAATCGTCTCGACGCTGGAGGAGATCTCGCTGCACCAGGAAGAGCTGGAGAAGATCGAGGTGATCGGCACGTTGTGCCGCAAGCTGCGGATCCTCTACCTGCAGAACAACATCATCGAGAAGATCGAGGACCTGACGCACATGAAGGAGCTGCGGTACCTCAACGTGGCGCTCAACAACATCAGCAAGATCGAGGGCCTGCAGAGCTGCGAGTTCCTCAACAAACTGGACCTGACCGTCAACTTCGTGGACTTCGACACTCTGGAGCAGAGCATCGGCCACCTGAAGCCGCTGCAGCATCTGCGAGAGCTCTACATGCTCGGCAACCCGTGTCAGTCCAACTGGGAGACGGGCTTCAGGGAGTACGTCATCGCGTCGCTGCCCCAACTGGAGATCCTGGACGGCAAAGAGATCCACCGCAGCGACCGGATCAAGGCGCTGCAGGTGTTTTCAGAGAGACAAAGGTACGTTCGGAGGGAGGCCGAGAAGGTGCGCACCAAGAAGGAGCTCGAGCGGAAGAAGGAGAGCCCAGAGGAGGAGGACGAGGTGATTGAGGTGGTGGGAGGAGAAGCCATCGACATCTCAGAAGAGCAAGTGGAAAAGGAGAAGAAGAATTCCGTGATGGCGTCGACTGAAAAAGTGCCGTACACGCCGCACACGCGGCGCGAGATGTATTTGGAGATGGCCGAGCAGAAGGAAGAGGAGGAGGCACGAAGACGTGAGAACCAGCCGAAGGAGCGGAACACTGAAGCGGAGCACGAGGAGGCGCTGCGGAAGGCTCGGCTGCTGGAGGAGCGAGGGGACGGATCCATTCGCCAATGCAACGAAGGCAAGTGGGAATTCCGGCTGACGGACGAGATCCTCGACATCATTCTAGAAGTGGATTTGCCTCGGTTCCTGGACACGTCTCTGGTGGATGTGGACGTTCACCCGTCCTACGTCTCCATCGTGGCCAAGAATAAGGTTCTGCGGCTCAAGTTCCCCGAACTCGTGCATTCCGACGCAGGAAAGGCTGAGCGATCTAAGATCACGGGCACGTTGCGTTTGACGCTCCCAAAGGCGCATGTCACTCCGACGCAACAGCTCCGCGCGCAGCTGTATCGCGACGAGCAAGAAAAGAAGCTGAAGAAGAAGAAAACCTCTAACCAAAAGCAGGCAAGCAAGACAACCAGGACCACCTCACGACAGTCCAAGATATCGGACGAGGTAAGAAAGCAGTGCATGTGGAATGTGTGTGGCTCGTACTTATTCACCCTCTCATTTGTTTAACGTGCTTGAGTAGCTGCTGGAGGCCGCCAACAAGGTTCCAACCGACAAACGCCGTGCAGTTAATATCCGCGGACTGGTCAAGAAGGAGAATGACGACGAAAACAATGCCCCAGGTGGAAGGCTGCAGATGACACCGCTTGTGACGAAAACGACTGCAAGTCACGCTGTCGGCCCTGAAGGCGAGCTCGAGGAAGAAGAAGAAGACGATGATGCTCCTCCCCTCATTTTCTGATAAAATACAAGCACATTTGATTGTCTTTACGAGAAAGCATGCACTGAATGAATGGTACGCCCTTCATCTCGTCCCCACACTTTTCGATCGGCCACGACGAAAGCTGTTAGAGCTCTGTACGCTGTCGCACAAGCGGGACGTAGGACACTCCCATCAGCTCACGTTTCGTGAAGGTCTCTTTGTCCGTCCTTTGGATCTCCAGCAGCACTTGACTCTCGCCTTGTTCGCCCACAGGCACCACCAGCCGCCCCCCTTCCGCGAGCTGCTCCATCAGCGCTCGCGGTGGCTCCACTGCAGCAGCCCCTACGTGGATGAAGTTGAACGGCGCTTGGTTCGGCAAACCCGTCCACCCATCGGCTCCTTCCACCAACACAACAACACAAAATTAAGTCACCAAAATCTCATCAAACGCCCAGACAACTCAACTCTTACGCTCGACCGAGACGACGCCCCTGCGCACCAGGTCTCCGTCCGCTCTTTCAATATTTTTCTGCGCCAACTGCGCGAGTTGCGGGATGCGTTCGATACCAAACACGCGGCCCCCGTCTTGGTCCACGAGGTGGCCTAGGCAGGCGGTCAGATATCCCGATCCAGCGCCCACGTCCAGCATTCGCGGGTGTTCAATGTCATGGATGGCTACATCGGCCAGTTCCAGGGCGTACGCGTGCATGTGAGGCGCTGAGATGGTCTGCTCGAAGCCGAGTCGCTGAGGCGCGTCCTGGTATGCCTGGGCGGGGGACACGGGGCGAGGGGCGTCCACGTCGCTCTCGGTCGCCGGCGCCACGTACTGCGCCCGGTCCGTGGCCTTCATGGCGCGAGCCACGCGCTGCGACTGCACGATCCCAGCGCGCGCCAAGTTGTCCACCAGTCCGTCGTTCGATAGAGCACTGCAGCGCCACGCCATGGCCAGCAGCAGCGTCGGACGCAGCAGGAACGGCTTGATCGATTGATACACCTCAAGGTCTCCGTTGAACTGGCAAGGGTTCTCCTCCGTTATCAGATTCCATGCTGTAGCTGATTGGACGAAAATATGCATTTCGGCGTTGTGATTGGTGACAATATCCCCGTGCGTGTCAACCATTGCACGACGCGAGGAGCTACAGAAGAGAGCTACGCGACCATGGGCAAGAACAAGCTCAAGCAGCAGCTCAAGCGCCAGCAGCGCGACGTGTTGGCCGCTGCATCTAATGGCACGCACAGTGCTGCAGCCGAAAGTTCGCGCTCGAAGAAGAAGCAGAAGACGGAGAAATCCACTGGGGAGAAGGAGACCGAGGTGGAGATTGACACACTGGGCTTCGACGACGCGTTCTCGGCCGGCCTGGCCTTCGAGCAGCTGGAGTCGTACGACGGAGCGCTCGCGGCGCTTCAGCAGGCGGCCAAGTGTAAGCCTGGCCACTTGGGGGCGCTCACGCACCTCGCAGATGTCCATTCGGCGGCTGGGCAGCCCGATGACGCGCTCAAGTGCTACAAGCAGGCGAGCGAGCTGGAGGACGGCAAGAAGGACGCGTCGGTCTGGTTCCGACTGGGACTGGCACACGCAGCGATGGAGCAGCAGCGGGAGGCCACGATGGCTTACAAGAGATCGATGAAGATCAACGCGGAGGCGCTGGAAGCAGCAGAGGAGGAGGAGGCTGTCGAGCTCAGGAAGGCGTACGGCGTGACGCTGGCGGCATTGGCGGAGGCCTATGGAGAAATGGGAGATCTGGACGCGGCTGTGAAGGTGTTCGAAGACGCCGCGAAAAAGTTCCCGGAGAATGCCAACCTGCACTACAACATGGCCAACATGCGTATGGCGAGGAGTGGAAGCGCCGGAGACGACGCCTTTGATGCGGAAGTGGTCAAGTGCTTGGAAAAGGCGATTCAGCTTAGCCCTGACACCTGCGACTTTGTTGAAGACCTGGCGGCGTACTTGGAGCAGCATGATCAGCAGCCGGATCGAGTGCGCGAGCTCAAGGCAAAGGCTGATGACCTGAAATCCGTAGAGACGACAGAGGAAAAGGAGGGAGCGAACGAAGAGGAGAAGGAAGGTGCCAGTGAGGACGTAGAACAGGAGGAAGAGGAAGATGAAGACGAGGAGGAGGAGGAAGATGAAGATGAAGAAGACTAGGTAGTCAGAGTGTGAACAAAATAGATTAGAAAACAATACGAAGCGACCCACACTGTTGTCGGGCTAGACCTCGGCGAGGTTTGTCTTGCTCTCGTCGTCCAAGACTTCGTACTTGAGGCGACGCAGTGTCCAACTGCGCTGGAGTGTGAGCACTTCCAGCACAGGTTTCTTTTGTTTGAACGCCCTCAGCCAGTCGGCCGCCAGTTCCCATATTGCGCTCGCGTCGTTGTCGTTTGCTGCTCGAGCTTTCGCCTCTCGCCGCAGCTCCTTAAAGCTCTTTGACTTATACAATTGCGTCCACCGGTTGGCTACGAGCTTGAGGTCCAGCTCTTGAGATAGCGCTGGTGCGAGCTTCGAGTCGATGCTGCTGCTTTCAACCTCCAACACCAACGTCAGGGCGTCTTTATAGTCTTCGTCAGCGCCGTCAAAACGCGAAAGTAAGCTGCGCAGGTCACCACGCAGCACATGCGCCTCGATGCCCTCTCGTGACTTGAGGGGCGCAAACTTCACCGCGATATCGCAGGCGCGCAGCGCGTGCTGTGTGGCTGTCACATCATGCTCAGACTTGATCACGCGTCGAGAGAGCGTCGCGCAGAGGTGAAGCCCAGTCCGCACATGCTCTGGCACCTGCTGCTCTGACGGTAGCGCTGCCGGAGGTGGCGTCTCCTCAATAACGTTTCCATCGTGCTTTGTGTCCATTTGAGCGTCGTCACTTTCCTCGGCGGCCGACGATCGCCACGCGACCATCGAAAACGCCCACGACGACGCCGAGTACACGACCGCGAGCTGCACCAAGTACGCAACCACCAAGCTAGCCAGCACGAACTTGTACGCTCGATGTCTGTTCTTCTCTCGTCGAAGCCTCCTCCTTGTCTCGGGCTGGGCGGGCGTGTCAATGGCACAGCCGAACCTCTTGCGGAAGGCGGAATCTGCCTGTCTGTACTTCTTCTCCCACCTGCGCTTGTCCTCGCTGCTCTTCCACCAGCGCAAGTCCTCGTCCAGGTCCACCTCCTCCTCCAGCTCCACTTCCTCGCTCTCGCTCGAGCCCTGGTAGCTCACGAACAGCTCCTCGGCACTGGCGTCGTCTGCCTCCTCCTCTTCCCCCTCACTCTCTCGTTCTTCTCCCTGCTCCTCCTCTGACGGCACGTAGTCGCTCTCCGAGTCTTCGTCCGAGTCTGGGAACTTCATGAGGCGGAATGCCGTGGAAACTCTCGTTCGCTTGCGCGGCGCCGGAGCTTCAGTTGACAACGTCGGGGCTTCTCCCGGCTGTGTGTCAATCGCGCTCGGGTCCGACGGGGCCTGCGCTGCAACCAGCTGCTGCTGGTGGTTGAGATCCAGCGACATTGGGGCGAAGGCGGACGGGATGCGGCGACGCCAGGCGTCTCCTCTGCTCGGTGGCGGGGCCCGACGCCGTCGCCTGCTGCCGCCCGAGGTCGCACTTGGGAAGCTCAGCATTGCTGATCGCTCGGCCGTTGCGAATGCGTTTTTCGAGACCGTGCGACATGAATAGGACCGACCTAATCTATAAAATCCATCCACTCCGGTGTGAGCTATAAAAAAGGTGCTTCGAGATTCGTCGAGAAAGCTTGTGCGTTATAAGGTCGATGTGAGTTACCGCCGCGACGGCGAGCCGTCGGTCGGTTCATTTCACAATTTCTTCGAGAAGCTTCAGACCCGAGGTGAAGACGCGATGACCCGTGGCAACCAGCGAGACGTGGACCGCGCGGTACGTACCCGACAGATAGAGGCTGCATTGCAGTGGCCTTTGCTTCCTTAATTCCTTAATAGCTCCTAGAAACTCACTGGTTGTGCGTGGTCTGTGCATTGATCGATCGATTGATACAGCGCGCGCAGGCGCGTCAGGCCAAGCACGCCAAGAACACCAGCCAGGGCAACCCGCTGGCCAAGCGCGAGGCCGACGCGAAGGCGCTGCAGGAGAAGATCGCGCGCAAGGCGGCCATGAAGGCGGAGGGCGGCGACGCCAACGCCAACGGCAAGAACAACAAGAACGGCAAGCAGCAGCAGAAGAAGAAATAGACACTCGCAGCGGCTGCAGAAGCCCCTATCTATTGGTCAGATTAAGGATCAAGGCAGGGGGACAACGATAGGGACGGCCAGGATTAGAGAGGATTTCTCTGCGGACGGACGCGTCGGCACTCTCGAAGGAGAGGAACTGACTGGTCGAGCGGACTTGTATATCTACCACGTCAAGTGTGGGTCTGTCTGGCAGTACAGAGCAGTTCACTCGTGTCGGAGAGTGACGGCAAAGCTGTTGTAGGAAGCAGAGAAGAAGAAGAGAGAGAGAGAGAGAATGAAGGAAGCGTATTTTTACTCAAGCATGGCTCGAAAGTCCGCCAGGTTGATGCGGCCGTCGCGGTCAGCGTCCGCGCACGAGATAAGCACGTCCAGGTCTTCCTCCGTCAGCGCGCCGTAGCCCAAACGCTCGAATACGTAGCGCAGCATCTCGCGCGAGATGAAGCCCGTCTCCTCCGGGTCGTAGGCCTTGAAGGCCTCCGCCACCGGGTCGAAGTTCTTGACCTCGTTCGGCAGCAGCAGAGCGTTCAGGTACTCCTCCGTGAGCTCCGCTTCCTCGCTCAGCAGCAGACGCACGTCCTTGAGACTCATGTTGTCGAAGAAGATGCCCAGTCGCGAGCGCAGGTTCTCGAGCGTCACGCGGCCCTTCTTCTCGACGTCCAGGAACTGGAACGCCATTCGGATCTGCTCGGGCGTCACCAGCACCCCGCCAAACTCCTAAGCGTAGCAATAGCAACACCAACCAATGTCAGCGAGCTGCAAGTACTAGTACACCAATAGTGATTGCAACCGATGGTAAGAGAGGTGCGTACGTTTTGGGGCACTTCCGAGGCGAAGTTGTCCATCTGCGAGCCGCGGCGTGACATGCTGCGGCTCATGCTCTTCCTGGCCGACGTCGGCGGGGACGACGCTCCCATTCCTGCGGCCTGCATGCTTTCTGGTCTTCTTCACTTAATTGTCGGGAGTTGAAAACTCACTGGAAAGCCACTATTTATACAGCACAGCTCAACCGCATCGCTTCCCCATGCGATGAGCTTGGTGACGCACGACACCAAATGGGTAAGCAGTATACCCAAACGACTTCATAGGGACCCAAATATTTACGATGGGATCTAAATACCAGACCCAAAATCGAATAGTTGTTGCGATGGACCCGGCGGCGTACGACGAGGGCGCGTACCGCGCCGAGCTGCTGCGCAAGACGCGCGCGAGCGAGACGATCGTGTACCAGGCGGTCTTCGCCCCGGAGAAGGTCTCGGGCGGCCAGAACGTTCTCGTGGCGGCGACGAGCTCGGGGCTGCTCCACGTCTACCAGCTCGGCCGAGTCATGACGCCCGCGCACTGGGACCAAGTGGGGCGCGGCGAGTAAGGCGCCTCGCTGGCCGTTTCATTCAAAGTTGAGTACTGTACTAAGACGTTGATGTATCCTTCTATTGCGCTGCAGGGCGACCGCTTTCCCGGGACCAACCCTCTCGTTCCAGGCGCATCCGACGCAGATTTACTCGCTCCGTTTTGCTGGAGATGACACGGACCCGTTGCTGATTAGGTACAGCAATTGTGGGCAGGTGGAGCCCATTGCGTCCTATACTGACAAGATACTTTTTACTTATCGCCAGTGGAGGAGACCAGGACTTTCGGGTGTGGAGGTGGAAGGACATCCTAGCGGCGGTGGAGCACCCGGCGAGCGCCAAGAAGCTGCAACCGGTGCATGTGGACCACTTGAAGCGGCGGACGCTGGGCTTCCGAGGAGCTCTGCTGCCGGCCTCCGAGGTGAACGATGTGGCTGTGAGCAAGACCTCGGGGCACCTGTTCTTGGCTGGAGGAGACAGCGTCGCGCACGAGTGGGACGTCGCGACGCAGCAGTTCACGCGCCGGTTTGAGGGACACGAAGACTACTTGCACGCTGTGCGCCACCTGCAGCATTCGCAGGAGCTGGTGACGGGGTCGGAGGACGGAACGCTCGGCATCTGGGATTTGCGCCAGGAGAAGAAAGTGGAGCTCCTTCGGCCTCAGCCGGCGACTCAGTCGTCCTCGACACCGTCGCTATGGGTTGGCGCAGTTGCGCACGATGAGTCCGAGATGTGGCTGGCATGTGGTGGTGGCAGTAAACGATCTCCTGGAGGCGGATCTCGTCCTGGAGGATTTCTTGGTATGTGGCATCTGCCCTCCCGTGTGCCTGTGCACTACACGCAGACGACGAGCGATGTTCACGACGTCGTCTTCCACCACATGGAGCTGCTGAGCGTCGGGAACGATGCTAGCTTGAAGAAGTGGAACCGCAGCTCGGGTCAACTCCTTGCGGCTGCTCGATCGACGCTGCCCTCCTGTCACTTTTGCGTCGTGGACCACGCTACGGACGTCATTGCGGTGGGCGGTGCTGCCCCCGCGATCGACATCTACACGATGCCTGGTGTCGTCAGCTTCTCGCTGGTTGTCGAGGACGAGGGGGTTGTCCACTAAGTTGACCACTTGGCTCTGTTAAACACTCATGTACGTATTTTAAAGCGCACGTTTGCTCTATTTCCACGAGACGTCCTTGGTCACAGCTCGTATTTCTTGATGACGCGCTTATTAAGCAGCTCATTCGTAGTGAACATGATGGCGATCGATGGCACCACCTTGATGAAATTCGGGGCGAGGCCCTTGTACAGCCCCCGGACGCCTTCCTCGCGGACAATCGTGCGCAGACCTCCCAGCGTACTCGTGTACTCGGTCGCGTCACCGCGCATGGCACTCAGCTGGAACCGACGGCGGAGGATGTCCATGGGGTACGCGGCGGTCTGGCCGCAAGCTCCAGCTAGAGCTCCGCATGCCAGCAGATACATGGCATCCGGCTCACCGTTCTCGTTGCGAGGCACCGTATTACGGAGCGTCTCGAACACGGTGAAGTTGAGTCCTACGTAGGGCGCGATGCCCCAAATAGTAGGCAGAACGCCGCGGTAGACACCGCGCAGTCCTTCGGTTCGCACGACAGTCGACAAGGTGTTGAGGATGCCGGTGTGCGCCGTGTTGGCCAGACCTCCCTGCACGGTCAGGCGGGCACGCGCAGCGTCCAACGGGTACGTGATGCAGACCGACACGACGCCAGCAACAGCGCCGCCGAAGAGCTTCTGCAACGGACTGAGCGTCTCAGCGCCGTCGGAGATCAGTAGCGGCTTGAGACGCTCGAAGGCGGCGAACTGGATGGCTACGTACGGGAACACACGCACGCAGTTGGCGCCGTTGCCCTTCAGGAAGCCACGCAGCCCTTCCTCCGCGTGGATCTGCCGCAGAGACTGCCCGATGGTGCGGTACTTGACTGGAGAGGAGCCGCCCGCTGCCGCGCCGTCCTTCTTGATGTAGTCCTGCACCTGCAGCAGGATCTTCAGCCGCTCCAGCGGAGCCACCGCCGTGCGGGACGCGCAGCCAGCGACTGCAGATTAATACATCAAACTCTAGATCAGAAACACGATGTCTATAAGAGCATGATAGAGACGCATTATTGCACTGCCACGTACTGCCGCCGCAGACGAGGTTCTGCAGATCCTTCTTGTCCATGGCCAGCGGCGGACACGAGTCGAGTTTGCGAGTGGTGACGCCGAAGACGACGTAGCGCTGAGTCCGTAACGGCTGAACGAGTTTGAGAGACATACGAATCGGAAGTGTTCACACGTCACGTGGCTTTGTCAATTGGTTTACACAGGTGATAAGCTCACATAGACGTGCGCACTTAAGCTTTGGTTTCGGCGGTATCTTGCCATCATCCATGCTTGAAGTGCTCCACGTGCACCGCCATTATCTCTCCAGTTCTGTAGTGGTTAAACAACGAAATCCATTCATCCATGCAACCTCGCTTCATAACTACCTTCAGTCAGTCAGTCAGTCAGTCAATCGGCTCTTGTCTGCCCAGTGTTCGTCTAGATCTTGCTCTTCAGCTGCGAGAGGAGAAGACCGGCAGCGAACGCGATGACCACCGTGCCGATCGAGTACACCTGGCACTTGGGCGGCACGGGGCAGCCGTGGTAGACCGAGGCGTAGCCGCACGCCGGACGCACAGGGATGATCGCCTGCAGCTTCTTCTTCAGGTCCTTGGCCGCCTTGCCGGGCTGCGCCACCTTGTGGCCGCACTCGATGAACGCGCACTCGATGGCCTCCACCGTCTTCAGGATGTGGTCCAGACGCCGCGTGCTCGGGCCCATGTGGCCGATGCGGAAGTACTCCGTCTTGATGGCCTTGTGCAGGCCGCCAGCAAGCGAGACGCCGCGCTTCACGACCTTCGGCAGGAAGTCGGCCGCGCCCACGCCGGCGGGGTAGCGCACGCAGGTCAGCGTGTTCGCGCCGCAGTCGTCCGCGGTCACCAGCGCGCAGCCCAGCGACTTCATGGCCTCCTTGACGGCGTCACCGATGAGCTTGTGCTCCTTGAAGCGCTGCTCCATGCCTCCGTTCTCGAGCAGGATGTCCAGGGCCGCGTTCAGGGCGAAGAGGTGGTTCACCGACGGCGTGGCGAAGTAGCTCGGCTGACGGGCCTCGTAGTTCTTCATGATCGGCAGCCAGTTGCGCCAGTCCACGTAGTACTTAACCGTGGACGTGTTCTTCTCGAAGAGCTGCAGCGCGCGCGGTCGGATGACCATCAGACTCAGTCCAGCGGGCACGCCGATGCACTTCTGCGAGCCCGTGAGCACCACATCGAGGTCCCACTGCTTCATGCGCGTCTCCTCGCCGCCAGTGGCGCACACACCGTCCACAACAATGACCGCGTCAGACTGGATGCGACGGATTGTAGCCGCAAACTCCTTCACGTGGGCACGCACGCCCGTGGACGTGTCCACGTGGGTGATCGTCACCAGCTTGAAGCTCACGCCGGCCTGCAGCGCCTTCTCCAGCTCCGCCACCGACGGCTGCGAGCCAATCTGCACTCAGTCACCACAGCAGTCACCAGTCAGAAGAACACTCTCCCTCTACATACAGCACCAGTAATATTGCGTCCGTCTCACCTTGCCGCGGACGTGGGTGGTCTTGGCGCCGTAGCGCTCCAGGCAGTCGGCCAGGTTGTCACCGAAGTAGCCTGCACACATAGTATCATAACCTCTATTGTCAGCATTTGCAATCTCCTCTGTATCTTTCTGCAGCTGTTGAGAGCTGAGCGCACCGTTGTTGACGATGAGCACGTCATCGCCCTTGTTGACGAGGTTGGCGCCCACCATGTCCCAGCCGAGCGTGCCCGAGCCGGCCACGACCAGCGGCTGGCCATCCGGGGCCAGGAAGACCTTGCGCATCTTCTCGAGGCACTGGCCGAACACGTCGATGACCGTCTTGTCCACGTGGGAGATGCCCTGCATGGCGAAAGGCTTGAGCACGCGCGGCTCGAACTCGATGGGGCCCGGGTTCATGCACAGCACCTTCTTGGTCATGCTACAGAGTAGGGGGGTTAGACGGATGGTAGAGCGGGGGTAGAGCGAGAGTAGAGCGGCACTCTACGTTGTTGCTGGAGGAGTCTGGAGTCTGCGTGCGTCGCTTGCGTCCTGCGCTGTCGATCTGCGAGTGACGGACCGAGCCGAACGTGCACTTTTGACGAGAGAGACCACGCGCAAACTTGGACGTTATGAACGGGCGTTTGTATGGTGGGAAATAGAAGAGTGGAATTTGCACATATCAAAATGCATGCCCAGCTTGAAGATGACTTAAACATGAGGATCACAAAGTAGCGTACTCGCCCGAATATAAGCCCCCTCCCGAATAGAAGCCCGCCACAAGAGATACCGGTACCTATCGGTTCGTCCATACAAAACTCCAAGATTAAAGTTTTAAATATTTGAGAATTTCAAGCTTCTGGGCCTGCACTATAAAAAAAAGTCCGGACTTTAAAAATTAATAGGGCGAGTACGTTAGGCGTGTCTTAGAATAAGTACAGTGTATTTGTGGGCTCTAAATAAAAGGGTGGCCTCTTTTAAACCAAGGATGACCTCTTTTAAACCAAGGATGACCGAGGATTTGAAAATAGATGAGTGAGATTCCAAGGATTTTAGTAGAAAGGGTGACCTAGAACTAAGAAAGAAGGATAACTCAGGATTTTCGAGGATTAAGGATGACTTGGAAATAAGGAGGATTAAGCGATAAGGCCCAGCTAATATGACGATAAAAAAGAAAGACAAGTATGACATGAAGGGAGGCTGACCGGTATCCCTGCGTCAGGGAAGGGGTGGCAGGAAGGTAGAGAAAGAGGATGTCGAAGGTCACAGCTGGCGCTAGATAAGAATGACGGAGGCGGGTGCCAGGGCGAAGAAGACAGAGAAGAAGGCAAGCGTGACCCAAACAGAGAAGAATGACGGTAATAACTCATTACTAATGAGTGACGGGAATGGAACAAGGGTGGCAAACACGACAGGCAAGAAGGATGATCACACGTACTGATGAATGCACAGCGTGACGATAGGCTTGAATGAGTAACGCTAGGCTAGGATATAGCAAAAGGATGACGGAAGGAACTGCAGGATGATAGAGGCCGCAATTTGAAACTGGAGGGACAGGAGGATGACAGCTAGACGGATGCCGAGGTTCGAGGGAGACGCATAGGCAGGAAGGATAACTGTTAGACGCAAAGGAATCCTATGGAAAAGAACCACAAGGATGACGCGAATGAAGGATGATCAGGATGACGCGAGGGAAGGATGACAGTTACTGAAAGACCGACTTTGAAGGCAGGGATGATAAGCCCGACAGGAAGCGACGGATGACCAATCCTGGGGATGACCTATCAGCGGGGGAGGATCCTCGTAATGGGTGGCGTTAGGCTGGGATAAAGAAAACAAGGATGACAAAAGGAGATGAAGGATTACAGAGGCGGTCATCTGAGACTGGCGGAGCAGGAGGATGACAGGAGGCGGACGCGAAGGAAAACTGTGGCAACGGACCACAACGATGACATGAGGGAAGGACCACAAGAATCGCGCAAGGAAAGGATGACGATTAAAGGGTGGGGTTAAGGCCAATGCTGGAGGTAAGGATGATAAACCTGGCAGGAAACAAAGGATGACCAAGCCCAAGAGCAGCACAGCCGATTACGTACACGCATGTCGTAGAAAGCGTGAGTGCTTGCAAAGAGGAAGAAAGCTGACAAAGTAAGGGCGCTCGACAGACGACCTGGTTGCGTCAGGGTACAAGAGCCGTTGCGTCCGGGTGCGAGAGCAGCACACCACGGATCCGGATGAATCTCTTGGGGGACGGGGCATCTCCTATCAGCTATGCGCTCTGCCGCGTCGGAACGAATCACGGGGATGGGCCCTTGCCGCAACTTATACTGGCGGTGGTGCCGAGCCTTCTAAAGGCTGCAGGGTCGGTCGTTCCGGGAAAGGCACCAAGAAATGACTTCGCACGCAAGCGGATACTCAACCCATTACCCTCTCTATACCAGCTGACAACCCGTAGATGATTGGAGGGGGATGAGAATGGTGAACAAGGATGACAAGGATGACGAACGCATAAGGATGGCAAGCAACTTATGAATACTATTGCAGCAGCGCAATAATTACGTGTACCTCTTTGTTGCTCCGCACGGGCTGGATATCAAGGGTGCGTAGCCCTCGATACTGTGAGTGCGATGCTTCTGCAAATACCGCTTCCGTCGTTCCCACTTCACATTTTGCGCCTCCGTGCCTACTCAAGATTCCATCGCCCCGCGTACGCCACAACTCCCCCCCATGACCCGTGCCCTGGGCAAGCGGCGAGCCCAGACCTTCGCCGTGGGCGAGTCCGGGCCTAGGCGGATGCCTACCAAGCGACAACGGACCAACATGACGGCCTACGAGGAAGTGTGCTTCCTGCTGAGCGAGACCCACCTGTCCGAAGACCCCGAAGTGACGACAGTCAAGTGCAAGCTGGTTTCCGTGCTCGTGAACCCTCCCGACGACGGCGAGAAAGCCGCCATCGCTGCATTCGTTGCCGAGATCGAGCGAAGCGTGCGTATGCTGCACCAGATCCGGATGGAGGGGTCCCGGCTAAGCAATCTACACTTTCTACGGTGTATCGAGGAGGATCTCCCTCTACCGGCATTCAAGCGGGAGTTCTTCGCTAGATGTCTAGCTGGAGCAGGCCTACACCGATTCAGCGCAACACACGAGCGCTGGGACCCGGAGCTATACCGTACCATCGTGCAGTACCGGAGTGCTCGTGCGGAGACGGCAGGCTACGAGCAACCCCGTATCGCTTACTGGAGCGCGTCAAAAAACGCCATGGCCGAGGATATGCTCACCAACGCCACGGTCATTATGAAGGAGCAGTACTACAAGCGCACGGTGTCATACTGCAAGCTTCGCTTCAACATTGCCTCGAACAGCGAGATGTACTGGCAATTTAAGGAGGCGTACGAGTTCGTCGGTGGGGTTTCCGGTCCGATTCGAGAGGTTGCCGCCCACCTCCGCGAATTTCTGAAAACCCAGCCAACTGCGAAAAACATCGAGGAGAAGAAAGCCTACTGAGCGTCAGTACGAGATGCTGAAGTATTCGCGGCCCACATTGACGATAAGGAGGAGCGACGGCGCAGCATCCGGCTGTTTTCCCTACTACGGAGTTCGTACCGGGTCACATGGCCATATCGACGACTGTGCTACTGGATACCTGGCATCGACTGCGCGAACACCTGGAAAGGCGAGGACACCCTGACCTGGACCCCCTCAAGGGCTTCATGCGCAGATCGGAGCGCGGCGGTCTACGCTACCCCAAGATGCCCGAGTTTTCCAGAGTCAAAGCCGAAGCCTGGAGGTGGGTGGTCAACGCTCGCAAGTTCGAAACAGGGCGATGGCGGTTTGCCCACCACATCTCGACGAACGGCTACGAGGCGTGCATCCACCTCACTCGCGAGTTCAACCCCAGACAAGGCCCCCCACTCTCAAGCTGCCTGGACTTTCAACCTCAGCTTCCCCGGGACTATCAGCCAACGCGTATCATCGGCGACGACCCTGGAATACGCAACATGTGTGCTGCGGCATCAAGGCGTACGGAGGCTGACGCGACGTTCCACCCCCACGTTTTTTACCGCTTCAGGAAGATCAAGCGGACCCGGAATACGGCGTCGTCCAAGTGGAGGCTCCGGATGCGGTGCCGTAGAAAGCGTCAGCGCCGTCTCAAGCTGAAGCAGCGGGCGTTGAACGGACCGGAAACCTGGCGAGAGTTCCGGCGCCACCAGCGACCCGAGCAGCCACACGGACGCGCACAACCGCATGACGTCACGTCGGTGTCATGATCGACGAAGGAGTACCGACATCTGGCCGGGTTTAACCAGCGCCAGTACTGGTTCGAGAACCTGAAGAAACGGGAGCCGGTGTACGCAGCACTACTCGCGAACATGCCCTCCTTCCGATGCGCCTCGACGCAAGACTACTGGGTGTGGATCTCCTACTTCTGGAAACACGTGAACTTCCTGATCGACTTCAGCTCCACTCACGCGTTTCGGCGGTGGCGATTCCGAAACTACGTGTACAAGTTCACGGCCCTCGGATACGTGGCAGCTCGCGTGGTTCCTGTTCCCGACGACTCTACGCTCGTCGGTGTCGGCGAGTTCAGCAACCCGAGAGGCCTCCGCAGCAATGCAGTGCCCCCGCTGAAGGGCATCGCGAAGGAGCTGTCCAGACGCGCTACCGTACGCCTGATCGACGAGTACTTCACGAGCAAGAAATGCATCGCGTGCCACAGCGATCTAGCGGAGACGGAGTTTGGGAGGCGACGACGAGCCGAGCCAGAAGAGGAGCCTCCAGCCCAAGCAGAGGAACCCCGCCCCCAGAGTCTGAAGCACGTAGCGGGCCAGCACATCCTCGCGCGACAAGGTCCCAGAACGTCCTGCACTATACCAACAGCACCTGCAGGATGTACTGGGACCGCGACGAGAATGCGGCCCGCAATCTGATGCTCGTCACGGAAGAGCTCGCACATGGGCGGTCAAGGCCCGACTATTTGCAGCGCCCCCGATGTAGAGATGAGTAGCTCGTTGAAAGCGTGAGTCCGGGGGCCCTCGAGGCCCAACCCTGCTCACACGGTTAAGCCCGTAGTCTAGATGTGGGTGGAAGTAATCTAGATTAAAGATACCGGTACGCAGCTTGAAGTAGTCCCTTTCCATTGCAGGAAGCTGGGGAGGATAAGGCATGGCAAGCGTCAGTTGGAGGCACCTTGGACCAAGCTATGCTACTGTAGCATAGCGGCAGTCGGCCAAACAACATTCTTTGAATTTGAAGTGGAGTGTCCTCTTGGTGCTGCTCACGCAGAGATGGAAGCAACGACAACACTCAGCTGGGCGGCAAAAGCCACCTTGTTGGTCGTGTGTATATTCTCAACTGAGGCCTAGATTCTTCTCTTTCACCTTTTGTCTTACTCCAACTGCAAGTGGTATAGTGGGGATCAGTATAATCCGCAACAGCCCCACCTACGGATTCCCATCAACTTGCATCTCCAAATCTTGCCCTTGGCAATAATCCCATTGCAGCTCTGTGCTTTTCAAATGCCGGACGTGCCAATGGCTTTGTAAAAGCATCGGCCACGTTATCAACTCCTGGCACCCGAAGCACGTCAATTTCCTTCAAATCGATGCGCTCACGCACGAAGTGGTGGCGCACATCGATGTGCTTGGTCCGGGAGTGAAATACAGGGTTGCTGGCAAGCTTCTTCGTACTTTCATTGTCCACAAAGACTTGGGATTGCTGAATTTGCTGCACCTGCAGCTCCTTCAGCATTTGGCGCAAGTGCACCACCTCCTGCATCAGTAGAATAAGAGCCTCGGTCGTGTGCAGCGCGACGGGCTTCTCCGTCTGGCTGCTCCACGAAATGATGCTCCCACAAAATTGAGTCACGTAGCCTGCAACAGACTTTCGATCATCCGTATGCTCTCAGATGACCATCCAGCTTTTGATCTGACCACGCTACGCCACCAAGCTGGATCCCCCAGTCCGCTGTGTCTTTCAGGTAGCGCAATCCACGTTTTGCAGCTCTCCAATGCAACAGACCTGGGTTTTCCAAGAACTGACTGCACTCTCTAACTAGGTAGGCCAGATCGGGCCGGGTACCGAGCATCAGGTACATCAGGCTGCCAACCAGAGCACGGTATGTCTTCGATCTCATCAGTTGCCTTTCATCGTTTTCGGTCGGACACATGGCCTTGCTCAGCTTCAGATCCGCCGTGCTCGGCGTCTTGCAGCCATTGCAGTCCTGCATGTTGAACCGCTTGAGCACGGTCTCGGCATACTTCTGCTGACCAATGAACATCGTTCTCTCGGCCCGGTTCTGCCTGATCTCCCAGCCTAGAATGTAGTGTAACTCCCCGAGATCCTTCATCGCAAACCGGTCCTCGAACATCTTCTTCATCTTGTTGATGAGCTCCATCGACGGAGCAAACAAAATCAGATCATCAACATAGAGAGGGATGAAGACCAACTGCCCATCAATTACTTTAACAGCCACGCAGGCCTCCGACTGCAGCATCGTGAAGCCCTGCTCCTCCAAGAACGACTTGAGCAGCTGAAACCACACTCTGGGCGCCTGCTTCAAGTCGTACAGGCTCTTCTTCAATCTGCACACCCAGTCCTCTTTGCCTTTCACTTTGTAGCCTTCAGGATGCTCCATATAGACCTCCACGTCAATCGCCCCATTCAAGAAAGCAGTAGTGGCTTCCATCTGATGTACTTCATAATCCCAGACAGCCGCCAGTGTCAAAAGAACACGCAGTGTCTCCAGCCTCACAACAGGCGAGTACATCTCTAGGTAGTCGATACCATAAATCTGCATGAAGTCCTTGATCACGAGCCTCGCTTTGAATCTTTCGATCTCTCCGTTCGCTAGGTACTTGACGCGAAAGACCAGCGATTCTGCAGCACTTTCACGTGCTTCTCACGCGGCACCAACTCCCAGGTATCGTTCTTCATCAACGAATCAAATTCATCATCAGCTGCATTTTTCCATTGCAATGAGTGCTCACTCTCCATAGCGTCACCGAAAGTATCTGGCTCTTCAAACTCGCCAGTACTCATGCAGCAATAGTCCTCCCACCATGCAAGGATCAACTCGTTCGCCACAGCACGTTGCAACTCAGCTCGTGCTTTCCTCCATCCAGCAGGCAACGAGTTCACATCATCATCTGGATTTGTATTTTCGTAGGCAATGTAGACGTAGTCACCGAACCACGTGGGCGGTTTACTTACCCGACCGCTCCGTGTCTTTATGGCGAGTGCCTCTCGGGCCTGTGTACTCACGAAGTGCTGTGCAAGGAGGCGTTGATAGACGCCCCATACTTGCAGCATCACTCGACACTTGGCTGTCCGAGTCGGCCCGCTCAGCAGCCGATGACCTGCTGTCCACCTCTTCCACCTCTTGACTCCCTGGTAGAGCCCTCGTCTCGTCAGCAGCCGGTCCCTTGTGCCGCCCACTGCTGCGTTTCCTCTTTCTCCTTCTTTTGGAATTGCCTGGCACGCACTCACCTCGCAGGTGGTCTGCCTCATGTCCATTGACACGTTCCTCATCACGTTCTGCCACCTTGCTAGAACGATCACATCGAGATGCTGTAGAGCTCACTAAACGTCCTTCATCTCGTTCTGCCACCTTGCTAGAACGTCCACTTTCAAACACCGCAAACCGCACTCTCTTTGGTCGAGGCGCTGCGGCATCACCACCGGGGCCTCTCTTCTTGGACCCACATGCCCCATCTGACCGGACATCTTGCTCAACTGCCCCACCTGGTCGGTCATCACATCGGGTGTCATCAGCCCCACCAGTCCGATAATCACCTCCGTCTCTGGAGTCGCTGGCCCCACCAGTCCAGCAATCTCCATCATCACGATAACTACCTCCATCATTTGAGTCATCACGCATTTCATCCAGCATTGGCTCAATGTCATCCTCTACTGATCGATCAACGCCTAAATATTCCTTACCGGAGGCTGGACTTGGCGTTGATGCCGAGTCCATGAGCAATCGACCAGCTTTATTCTCATAGAACACGACAGTATGGCTGTAGAAGGCCTTGTTGGTCTTGCTATCGAGCAAGCGATAGCCTCGCTTCTCTCGCGAATATCCAACGAACACCGCCTCCCGTGCTTTCGCCTGCATCTTCCGTCTCTCCACCTTGTCGATGTACGACAGGACGGCGCAGCCGAACGTCCGCAACTTCTCATAAGCAGGAGTCTGACGGTGCCATACTGCATACGGTACCTCCATGCCTCGAACCGAGCTTGGCATAATGTTCACGGAGTATGCAGCTGTCATCGCTACCTCACCCCACATCGCTTCAGGCAGGTCGAAGTGCACGAGCATGCATCGCATTCTCTCCGTAATGGTGCGGACCATTCTCTCCGCGACACCATTTTGCTCCGGAGTATGCTTGATGCTGCTGTCAAACTCCATACCATACTTCGTCTCACACGTACTTTGCAGCTTCTTGAACTCCTTTGCATTGTCTGACCTTAGCGCTTTCATTCTGACATGCTGCTGCGTCTTGACGCGTTGATAGTACTCCTCAAACTTCTGGTACACTTCCGAACGATGCTCCAGAAGATACACGGTGACAAACCGACTCGCATCATCAACGAACACGGCAAAGTACCGTTTACCACCGTAGGAGTGCTCTGCATACGGACCCCAAGCGTCCACATGGACCTTTTCGCCAACTAACCACTCGCGGGTCTGTGTCCGAGACTTCTTCATGCTCTTCCTCGTAAGTTTCCCCGTCACACAGGTCTCGCAATTGAAACCCACCGGGATACGCAAATTCACATGTGGCAACGGCCACTGATCATAGCTGAACAGCGCATTAAACGAGTATCTGCCAGGGTGCCCCAATCTCGAATGTCACAGCTCCAAACTACTCACTCGAGCTGGTGGCGCCATCATGGCTACCTCTTGGGGTCTCTCCAACTTCAAGCGATAGAGATTGGTATAATCAACTTGAGCGGTAGTCACACCAGCCTGTAAGATAACATCAGCGCGATCTGCCTCATCAAAGTGCACATTCACACGATCACGTTCAGGCAGATATTGGTTCAGTTGCCGTCGCACAGAATAGAGACTGCACTGCAGCTCTGAAGCATAACGAACTCCTCGCAGCGTCAGTAAGCACCTCCCACCAGTAGTCTCCAGCTCTTTAACCACAGTACCAATACCCTCAACACCCAGCGAGTTCTTTCCTCCAACTCGAATCCGGGCGCTAAGAGGCGTGAACTCCATGAAATCAGTGAGCTGGTTCGAAATATGACTCGATGCACCAGAGTCCAGGTACCGGTTATCATGGGCTTTGTCTGCGACCGGCTTTTTCATTTTCATCACTTGAAGAATAACATACGCGCTGTCATCACTTTCATTAGCGTAGCTACTCGTTTCAGCAGCCTTAGCACTCTTTCCTCCACTCATCTTCACGCGCTTCTGAGCTTGGGTGCTGCTGCGATCCTCGGCTGGAGGTCGCTTGCCAAGAAACGGGCAATCAAACACATGATGCCCTGCTTCATGGCAGTGATAACAAGCACCACCTGGCTTTTGTCCACTGCCGGCTTTGCCACGTCCAGTTCCACGTCCACCACCTTGGCTGCCGCTACCGCCAGAACCACGTCCACCACCGGAACCGCGCCCGTGTCCTCCAGATCGACCACCACGTCCACGGCCGCGACCACGTCCTCGACCGCTTCCTCCACCAGCAAAGAACGCCTTTTCTTCATCATCATTGTCCTTGGCGCCCTCTGCTTTCCGACCTTGGCGATGGTCGTAAGCCATAGTTCAAGTTGATCATAATTAGGAGGATCATCAGCATTTTGGGGCTTGTGACTGGCGAGAAACGTCTGTACAACATGATCATATTCGCGCGGCAGAGATCCAATCAATAGTGCTGGCTTTACATACTCGTCCACAGGACGCCCGACTCCAGCAATGGTTTCCATCAGCCGACGCATCTCGCTCAGGTGATCTGGCACATTGCCGTTGGGAGCGAGCCGTAGCTGACTGAGCTTGGCCCTCTCCTCAGCGTACTTCAGGTACGTCTTGCCCATAAATCTTTTTTTTTAAGCGCTCCATCACACGAAACGGGGTGGGTTCACACCTCACAGTCTTCATTATGTGATTCGTCATTGCGTCGTAGATGATCTCCTTGGCGTGGGCCATCTCGCTCGTCCACGTCGCGTGCGCCTCTGCCTCCTTGCTCTCGTCCGGCTCGAGCAAGTCCTCCATGCAGTACTTCCACAGCTTCTTCCTCTCCAGCTTGAGCTTGACTCGCTCGTGCCAGACCTCGTAGTCCTTGCCGTCAAACGGCGGGATCATCCTCTTCTGCTCGTGTGACTCCTTGGGCGTCTTCTTCTGATCCGCCATGACGTCCTAGTTGCTGTGCTCCCCACGCGTGAGCCTTGGGCTCATATCCTGAAGTGGAGTGTCCTCTTGGTGCTGCTCACGCAGAGATGGAAGCAACGACAACACTCAGCTGGGCGGCAAAAGCCACCTTGTTGGTCGTGTGTATATTCTCAACTGAGGCCTAGATTCTTCTCTTTCACCTTTTGTCTTACTCCAACTGCAAGTGGTATAGTGGGGATCAGTATAATCCGCAACAGAATTTAAAAGGACCTTGGATTTTGGAGGGATTTTGGAGCTGATGTTGCTGTACGGGACAGGGTTTGAAGAAAAAGAAGAAAAGAGAAGTGGGGTTCATTCTCGTTTTGGGCTGCAACAACTCCGGACGAGAAGAACTTGACGGTCTGAAGGCCATGCGGCAGGCGGCGATTGCGTCGGGCGCTGTGCCTCCAGCCAAGGCAGCCCAAACTCTGGCGGAAACAGCGAAAGCCCAAGCGGAGGCGCTTGAAGCGGAAGCGCTGGTTGTTCAAGCCCAGGCGAGGGCAGCGCGAGGTCTCATGGAGGCAGCTCAAGCCCAAGCGGAGGGAGCAAAAGCTCGAGCGGAAGCAGCGCAACGCCTTGCGCTGTGGGCGCGGAGCCAAGCGGAGACCGCGCAAGCTCTAGCGGACAAGATGGCCACTAGCTGAAAAGCTCTCAGACACGTACGGGTGTGCCACAGCGAATACCGTCAGAAGACAAAAACATTCCTAGTATTCTCAGGTAAGTTTTCGCACTGATCATTGTTGCTGTGCCAACGTGAGATTTTCTAAAGCGCGAGTTATGACTACAGCTTAATTAGTCTTCGCAATGAGATGCCGGATGAGGACTCCTCTTCGGCTTTCCCTATTCCTGGGTTCTCTACTTTTATCTCGTTGACGCCCAGGATATCCCAGACGTCACTTGATCAACTGCACCTCCAATGCCCAATCGATCACGAAAGGAATCCTCCCTACCTTCACAAGATGCGGCAGCAAGAAAGACGGTTGCAACCCCGTCCACCGCCCGTGTCGGCGGTGGTCCAAGACACTCCATCGTTGCGCCAAAGCTCAATGCAATGCAACTCGCGGAGTTGTTGAGGCCGTTCTGGGGGGATCTACTGCAGAACAACCTCAAGAGCGTCAAGAAGTTCCTTCGTGAAAATCGTTCAAAAGTTGACTTCAACGCTGCTCGATACACCCCGTGCGCCGATGGTACCGGGCTGCACCTTTGCTCGCAGCACGGGTTCATCTTCTGTGCGAAATTGCTGCTCGACATCGGCGTGAAAATCGATCTCCAGAACAAAGTTGGCTCTACTGCGCTGCACGTGGCGTGTAAGTTCAACCAGGAAGAAATGGTCACGTTCCTCCTGCAAACGGGTGCGCGAATGGACATCCCCGATATGGTTCGTTCTTACCAAAACTTTACACTGAATGAGGATCACGTTCTAACCTCGTTTGTCTGTGATGAGATTTTAGAGAAACAACGTGGCGTTTGATGTGGCTCCTTACATGCTCTTGGATAAGTGTCTGCTGTCCCCACAGCGGGAAAAATTCGCAGCGGAGCGCGAAGAAGAAGCTTGGCTGCTTGGCATTCATCGAGATGCTGTGAGTCGCTTCGAGGAAGTGACCCTAGCGAAAGCCCACGCGTCAATGCTTCACTCTGACTGGGAAAGTCGCGCGTGGGAGGCGTGGCTGGTGCTGCAAGCCACGAACAGAGTGGACCGCGAGTGGAGTGAGCAGGTGCAAAAGTCCAAAGACACACTGGAGATCAAGCGAGCGATGTACACGGACCAGCAGGTTCTGCTGCAGAAGGAGCAGAACCAAATCGCGCTCATGTGGAAAAATATCTTCCGTGACGCGCAGTATCGGCAGCAGTGTGCTCGAGAAGAGCTCGAACGAATGTTGATGCTGACGGAGGAGACGCACCAGCACTGGATGCAGGAGCAGCAGGAACTATGGGACCAATGCGGGCTGATCGAAGCAGCTCACGAGTTCCCCAATGACGAAGACGTACAGCAGTGGGTGTTGTGCACAATAATCGCCTTGATCGATGAAGCTGAGTCGGACCGTGCTCCTGTAAATCCTCACGGGGAGCTGGTGACGACAGACATCGACCAACTTTTAGTGCGTGCCGAGTTTATCACAGTAATTCGCAACGTCCTGTCGCGCTTTCCCGCGCTGCGAGACCTTCAGTTCAACGCTCTCCGATGTTTCGTGCGGCTTGTCCGTCACTGCATGGCAGCCCCTCGTGGCACACGCACTCGCAGATTCTTGACGGCTCTCATCAAGGCCAACGTTATGGCAACCAGCCGAGACGTTCTGTTCCGCTTCGACGAAGATGTGGAGATCGCCCACTTGGTGGTTGAGCTGCTTTATCATTTACTGCTGTTCCGAGGCGAGAACGGGGCGCATAGTCTGCAGTTTTGCCAGAATCACCTCAGCCATCGGCTGCCACTACAAGTTCTTCGCCTGCACGAAGCTGTTCTTCCGTCAAAAGATGCTCCGGAGTCTCCGCAGCATTTCACCACAGCAATTTCATCTGCACGTCACCACACCTCCTTTCTTCTGTTCACGCTGACTAAATACAATGTCAGGAAAGCGCTGGATGCGGACGGCGCTCTTCCAGTCGTTCGTCGCCTCATCTTTCAGCTAACCAATAGCCCACCCAGCACAGACGACATCTCCAATGAAACCAGGGTGTCGACGCTCAGGTACCTGCTGGGAGGCCTGGCGCTGATGCACAGCCCGTTGCCACCAAGTAGAAAGGCAAGTCCTCGGTCCGATCTCCCAGTCTCATGGGCTGTGGAGGATTTGAGTCAGCTTCTCGACGCAATTCGGCCGTGGCTAGCGGTGGTTTTGGACGGTAGCGCGTTGAGTTCAGCATACCGGAGCTTTGTCTTCTGGACGATGAAACTTCTTCGCAGCCTCACCCAACCAGTAGACAACGACGTTGTGCAGCTCCGAACGTGGCTTCGAACTCGCGAGAATTTTAACTTGTTGGCGATGGTGACACTCGCCGTTCGCAAGGCCAAACCGGAGGAAGACGACGACACTGCCGTCCTAAACATTGTCACTGTGTGGCTTGGGCTCGTGGAGGATATCTGGCTGTGTAGATATAACAGTGACGGCCAGCTAGCTGCCACCGCTGCCTTTATCTTGGACTTCCTCGTACAACTTCTCGAAATTGAGGCTGAGGCAGTAGTTGGGGTGAAGGGATCCGGAACAGAGGTACTCAACGTCGCGGCCGTGCTCAAGCTGATCGCGCTGGTGCTAGCGAATGGTAATGTGCTTTTCCTCGTTCCAGGATCAAGATCACGACCGGCTAACGTTATCTTCTGTATCACGTCAATTGTCCTGATGCAGGCAAGAACATGCGTTATCTCGTGGAACGCGAGTACAAGATCGACGTTGCAACGCACGCCGTCCTCACCAAGCTCCTGGTCAACAGGCAGGAATCAAGGGACAGAGGTGACTGCAACGACACGAGCTCACTTGAGCTGCTCGCGCATATTGTGCGAGTCTACCTGCGCTTTTTCGACTACGAGCACGACCACGCCCAGTCGAACGCCAATTTGCATGAGCGATGTCGAGCGGTAGGAATCTGCGCCGCCTTACACGCCTTGGATCTCCCGGACGACGAGCACCGATCACCCGCAGCTGTCGAATCTCCACCGCCATTCATGACTGCCAACCAGTACGACGAAAACGCATTCGAGACTCCCAAAGACTCGAAGCTGAAGATGAAAATGCAGCTCGCTCGTGCGTATTCTCGCACCAGCAGTGTAGAGTCAACTCCAACTCAACGCGAGACACTACGCAGCTTGGCTCGAGCACTGCTCCGTCATGCGCCTTGCCACTGCTACACGAGCTAATTCAGCTGTGCGCATGAAGAGTCACGCGTTGCAATAGTGCAGCCTGCGCCTCTCTAAGCAGTCACTCACTAATTCGATCGCGTCGAGATCCAAGCGACTGCCAGTTCATTCATGTCCGGACGTCCTGGAACGAGCTCTGGCCAACGCCCCGGCACCGGAGCCGGCGGTGGCCCCAATGGAGCTGCACCCGTGGGAGGTCTCCCATCGGGTCGACCTGGCACGGGGCAGAGTCTCAACCCGATCACGGGAGTTCGTCCTGGAACGGGCCAGCGTGGAATGCTTAGCTCTGCTTCGGGCGGGCGGCCGCTGACTGGGAGACTGGGAACGGGTCAACAAGCGCCCGCTACTCCAGGCCAGACGGCGGGCTTCGGCATTAGCCTCAACACGGAGGTGAACGTCTCCGATCGCCCCGTGACTCAGCAGGGCATGATGGGCATGCGCATTGGCACTGGAAGTGCCGGACCTGGGCGACAGGTGCAGGACGCGTCCTACTTCAAAGGCAAACTGCACAGCAAGACGGCGGAGATCACGAGCGAGATCGAGAAGCTGCAGCGCGAGATCGAGCAGGACGCCAAAGACAAGGCGCAGTGCGCGCAGCTCGAGCGCAAGTACGAGACCATGGCGCTCGAGGTGCGCGACCTGGAGGGCCAGCTCGCGGACTACAACCTGGCCATGGACAAGATGCGCAGCGCCACGGATCCCGCGGAGATCCGCCAGGTGCAGGAGCAACTGCACCAACGCAACGCCAAAGAGGCCGAAGACGTCGACCGCGTCTTCCTCATGAACAAGGAGCAGGAGAAGAGCGTGCGCAACATGGAGGCCGAGATGACGGAGATCCACGGCAAGCACCAGGACAAGATCAACCAGTTGGCGCCGCAAAAGCTGCAGCGCTACAAGGAGCTGCTGGAGGAGCACCATCAGACGGAGGTGGAGATCGAGGCGCGGTCCCAGGAGCTGGAGCTCGTCATGCACGCCATCCACCAGAAAGAAGCCGAGCTGAGCTCCGACCGCTATCGAGACGAGTACGAGGCGCTCGAGCGTCAGGTGCGTCGTCTTCAGAAGGAGCGCGACGCGGCCGAGGAGGACGCCAAGACGGCGCAGATGGACCCGAACGAGGCGCGCGCCGTGCTTTTGGCCAAAGTCAAAGAGGACAAGAGCAAGATGGAGGCGCTCGAAGGCGTGCTCCAGTCCACAGCGGCCGAGAAGGCGGAGCTCACCAAAGCTCTCGCTGACCTTCAGAGCGATCTGGACGAGCGCGCGAGCGGCAGTGACCCGGCGCACAAGTACGAGGCGCTCTTCGCCAAAGACAAGGAGATGACGGCCTTCCTCGAGCAGTTCCCGGCCAAGAAGGAGGCGGAGATGCAGGCCCAACGCACAGCCCAAGTGGTGATCGTTCAGCTACTGGAGCACATTTCAGCAGGCATGGCCAAGGAGGACAAACTGCCGGGCACCAACGCCGCCAATCTCGAGGAGATGCGACGCGACTTGAGCTTCAAGGAGCGACAGCTCGAGTCGTCCGTCACCACCAAGCAGCGGCTGACCATGGAACTGCAGAAGCGTCAGGCGGAGCTGGACAAGGTCAACACGCTGGACGCCAAGATCGCGCTGGAGCTCAGCAGTCTGCTGCAGAAGATGGACACCATGACGGCCGACATGGCCGAGTTCGATAAGCTGGACCAGCTGCAGGAGATCCACGCGCAGACCAAGCAGCACCTGCTCCGCCTCAAGAAGCAGTACATCGGCCGTCGCGACGCCATGCGTCAACAGGTCACAGCTCTCACCACGCAGCTCGAGAACTTGGTGCAGGAGACTGCCTCGCAGGAGACAGCCAAGAACTTGGACGCACTGGAGCAGAAGCTGCGGCACCACGAGCAGAACATCTTCCACTTGAAGGAGTACATCGACTCCAAGTCTCGGGAGGTCGACTACGAGCACCTCAAGCAGGACTGCTTCCGCACACTACAGGACCTCAACACGCTCCACGTCGCGCAGCAACAGCGTCAGCAGCAGCTCAACCTCGGCATTGCAGGTGGTCTGTAACCACGAAAACATTCCCAACCAACCCGTCTTCACATCGTCAGGAAGTGGGAGTATTTTAGCTTATACACTTGCTAGGCTCTTGGGCGCAGGTTCTGAGGCTTGAACATGAGTCACTTGTCTTACGCAGTATCTTGATATGTGCTGGTCTTGCCTTGTATTGCTTCATTCCTTCTAGTTCTGGGCGAGTTGCTGGTACTTTGTCTGCTGGAAAGCGAGACTGTGGTGGCGGCTGTAGCCGAAGTACACAACCACAGCGAGGAGCAGCCACAGCAGAATGAGCAGCACGCTCATTCCGTCCATTTGGGCGAACAAGAACCAGTTGAAGAAAATGGCCACACACGGGGCAAACGGCACGAATGGGGCTCGGAATGTAGACGTCTCGACGTCGGCATCGTCTTCGTCGAGGCTGGTACTGGAGGCTTCAGCCTTCTCCTCGTCGCTGTCACTGCTCACTACGGTTCCTCCATTCGACGACGGCCGCCCTTTCTCCAAAGAATTCGAGTCGGAGAGCTTCGCAGCCTCGTCGTCTTCACTCTCAAGGCCATTTTCATCGTCGTCCCGATCTAAAGAGCGGTTTCTGTGATGGCAGCTCCTTTGAGCCTCGTCAGACGATTTCTCTTGGTTCTTGGAAGACAGTACGATCTCTACGGGTCCTCCCTGCGCTTGGGCCTTCACCTTCGCCGCAGCAATAGCCGAGGCGATTGTCTGCTTCTTCTCAGCATCGCTCAGCGCGAACATCAGAGCGATCGCCACCACTGTGAAGAGCGCAGCGACGAAAGGCCCCACTGTCCGCATGTAGCTGTCGAAAAGCGAGATGTCTGTCGTCGCGGAGAGCGGGACGCTGGCGACTACCTCCTTTTGCCAGTGGAACGCTGCAAGAAAAGATGAAATCAAGTACCCAGCGATCATCGCACCCTGCGACCTCTTCACAGTGGCGTCTTCTGCTTCGCCTTCCTCCACGTTGGTACTATTCGAGGCACGAACAAAGAGCAGCGAGCTGTTGGTGAGGTTGAACGCCACTAGAATACCGAGCGAGATGAAGTTCCACAGCACGTGGAACGGCACAAACACTGCGAGTGCAGTGACCCCAATGCCACACAGCAGCGTGCCGCGGAACAGGTTGCCCTTGGCGTCCACCTCCGCGAACGTGGCCGGCAGCAACCCGTCCTTGGCCATCGCGTACTGCACGCGCGGCTGCGCCATAAAGCCAATGAACGACGTGATCGGCATGGTCAGCACCTCCCCGGACGCCACGAAGGACGCCGCCCAGTCCATCCCGATACTGGTGAAGGCGTTGCCGTAAGACTCCTCCGCGTCAATGTCCGTGTACTTCTGCATGCCCACGAGGGCGAACGTGGCCAAGATGCTCAACGTCGCGGCTCCGAGGATCGTCCCCACCACTGCACGGGGGATGTTTCTCGCCGGGTCCTTGGCCTCCCCAGCCAAGCAGCACACCTCGTCGTACCCAATGTACCCGTAGAAGCTGGCGCTGGCCCCCAGTAGCACGCCGGGCCAGCCGAAGGCCACCGTCTCCTTGCCGTTCACTTCCACGACGCTCTGGTCGGGCACGAAGGGGGAGATTCGACCGGCGTCGAAGTTGGCCAGCCCCACCACAATAATGAAGGCCACGACCGTGATCTTGGTCATGGTCACGACGTTCACCACGAGCTTGCCCGCCTGCATGCCGCAGAGCACGATGGCCGTGCTGCCGGCCATGAGCAGCCCCGCGTACAGGTCCACGACCGAGTCCTTGGGCTTCATCCACTCGGGGCCCTGCACGCCCAGCTGCGACTCCATCCACTGCGTGAGCTTGTCGCTCCAGCTGCGCGCGCCGCCCGCGCTGGACACGCCGTACTCGAGCGTGAGCAGGAAGCCCGCGACCAGCGCCGGCAGCTCGCCCAGCGCGTGGTACGCGTACGCGTACGTGCTGCCGGCGCTGGGGATGAGGCAGGCCAGCTCCATGAAGCTCAGGCCGCTCAGCAGGCAGCCGGCGCCCGCCAGCAGCCACGACAGCGTGGCCGCGGGCCCCGCGTAGCTGCTGGCGATGAGCCCCGCGGTGGCGAAGACGCCCGAGCCCACGGTGCCCCCGATGCCGATCATCACGAGGTCGAACAGCCCCAGCGTGCGCACCATCTCGGGCGCGTCGTCTCCTCCATGCTGCAGCGAGTGCGACGACGACGTCTCCAGGTGCAGCGGCTTCCGCCAGAAGGCCAGGCGCAGCGCCTGCATGGTGCTCCGCTGCGAAGTGACGTGTACAGGCGTTTTTGGGAGGTTGGACTGGTGAAAACTGGGCAATTTTAGCCTTTTTTAGGGCGCTTCGGACTCGTATGGGTAAGTTGGAGTGGTAGATGTCGATCCAAGCTGCTTCCTCCAAGCACCAACAGCAGATAATGACGGACGGGTTGCGCTCAAAGTTGCTGGTCCATAACCGTAAAGCAATCGAGCGGCTCGACTTCAGTCAGTCGAGTCGCGACTCGCGACTCGCGAAGGTGTTGGTGGGTGGAAACAATTCATAATTCCTGCTGGCAAGCATGCGGGAATCTCGAGTGCTGTCGAAGGCTGGCCCAGAGCAAGTCTTGAAGAAGAAGAATCTCCCCTTTGTAGTGTCTGCTTCAGCATCAGCGACAACTCCTGCGAAGACGACGACAACACAAGCACTAGCGGCCCGAAGTGCAGCACTGACGAAGGCAGGAAGGGGGTTGGCTGAAGTGGGAAAAGGCCTAGCTGAAACCGGGGAAGTGCTCGATAAAGCGGTGAGAGAGTTGACCAAAGTGGAGTTTGAGCTGGCTGGAGTCGATAGAGGGCTAGCTTTAGCGGATATACGATTGGCCGAGGTGGAAAGACGGATAGCCAGGTTGCAGAATATGGCGTGACGACCTCGACTACATGTGCGGATAAGCAAGGAACTACAATACTTGCTCGCAGTCGTAAGTGCATTAAGTTATAAATGAAAACCCTGCGGAAGATAAAACGTTACCAGCTTCTCCTTCCATGAAGGTTGCTCCGCTGGAGAGCAGTTAGTTACGCGGCGACCAGCTTGACAACCCAGCATATAGAGCAACCAGTCCACGAATCGCGCATGGCGCATCGATCAGTCGAACTTCTGCCTGCCCCACCGACATGATTTCTGCCGCCTTGGCCCTTCAGACCTTCACCAACTCCCTTGAGTTGTCGCCCGACCACAACACTGCGAGGCAACGTAGCGATTCCCGTCCATATATCCTGCATATTACTCCAGCGCCAACATAACTACGCTCAACAGCTGGATCTACAGGAAGCGTGCAAGCATACAAGGGCAGCTTGGCCCTGCGCCATTCGGTGGTAAGCGAAGCGAGCCAAAAGATCTAATGTACACTTGAAGTGTTCTATAGTGGAACGCCGTGTTCTCAGGCGCGCACGTTTCTGCGTCGTTGATTTTCCGCCAATAAGCACACTCAACCCAACGCACTTGGCTCCAGTATGCCTCGCGCTCTTCGCCTTCTTGTCAGGGTCCCATACAAAAACAAGAAGCCGGCGGAAGAGAAGCCCCGAGCTCCGCTCCAGTCGCCGCCAGCCGTCGCCGTCCGCCCCGCAGCGCCCAGAGCGCGATCCGCCCGCAGCAGCCCGCACGCCCATCGCATCCGCCGCCCCGAGCAGCGTCTGGCGCGCGATTCAACCAGCAGAAACGAGCGAAACCCCATCCACCACCAACATGGCCGCCCCGCCCCCAGCGTCGGACGTCGTCGCCGTGGCGCCCCCCGCGGACGCGCGCGACCTCCTGCGCAGCTACGAGCGCTCGCTCACCGAGTCGGCCCTTTCCCCGCGCTCAGCCGCCGCGCGCAGCCCGAGAGCCGTTGCGAGCGGCGTCGCCGCGTTGTCTGTCGGCACGTCGGGCGCCTCGAGCGTCGCCGCGAGGCACGCGTCGCCCCGCGCAGTCTACCACTCGCCACACGCATTCGCGGACGCCCCGCCCGTGGATCTTGCCATGTTCTCGCCGCGTCGGCGCGCCCAGAGGCAGTCGCAGAACGCGCTGGATGTCGCCAGTGTGCGCGTTCGTCTAGGCGACGAGGAAGAGGGAAAAGTAGAGGAGGAGGAAGGAGACGGAGAGGTGGACACACTGCGCCCCGACGACAGGAAACCGGACGCGCTGGACGAGGAGGGATTCGCCGCCTCGGGCCGTGGCCAGATCCAAGTGCACGCGGAGAAGATGCCGCCCTCCAAGGAACTGGAGGACAAGGGCGCCGACGTCCCGGACGACAGCGAAGGCTGCCTTATCTGCATGGACGAGTTCTCGGCAAGACGCAAAGCCTACCCGCTGCCTTGCACGGGCCAGTGCACGGGCGCATACGTGCACTACCGATGCATCATGGCCTGGCTGGGCCAGTCGGGGAGCTGCCCGTTGTGTCGCGGGGCCTGTGACCCGCTTGTGCTCCAACCCATGCAGAAGCTGGAGCTGCAGGATATGACCAAGATGGCTCTCCAGCCCGTGCCCCTGGACGCGGGCATCATTCGATGCTACGTCAAGCAGGTCTATCGCGGCATGTTCAAGCAGTACGGGTACGAGCTGTACCTGCAGGGTCAGATCGGCACGCAGGAGGAGGACAAGTTCCTCCTGGCCGCAAGACGCCAAGTGCGCTCGAACATGACGGCCAACTACACAATCTGTACAGACAAAGAGTGCACGGACGCAAAGCGCATCGGACGCATGGGCTCCAACTTCCTTGGCACGTGCTTTACGCTCTACGATAACGGCCGGGATCCGCAGAAGCTGGCCAAGATTCAGGACGCCGTGAGTTCCGACGACGTGGTGGTGCAGAACGTGCTTCAGATCCGAGAGGAGCTGGGCTGCGTAACGTATGAACCCAACCGCACGAGTGTGGGGCCGCGGAAGATGCGCGTGGTGATCCCCGATGTGGACGAAGAGGGCGGCTCCTCCAAGATCGTGCGGCCCATGAGCCGCCAAGACCGACTCGTCACGCGCCTGTCGACGGGCGACATGAAGGACTTGATGCGCTTCTCGAACCGCGAGCCCGTGTTCCGCGAGGACCTGGGCGCCTACTGCCTGGACTTCGGTGGTCGCGTGTCCATGGCGTCGGTGAAGAACTTCCAGTTGATCAGCAGCGAGGACCCGTCCATGGGCAACATCCTGCAGTTCGGGCGCGTAGCCGACGACATGTTCACGATGGACTTCCAGTGGCCGCTGTCTCCGTTCCAAGCGTTCGCCATTTGCCTCAGCAGCTGCGACACCAAGCTCGCATGCGTCTAACCCGTTTCGAAGCCTTCCCCTCTGTATGTAGTGCATGTGAGAGGGGGACGACGGACTCGTGCCAAGCCACGCCCCCTCGACAAGCAAGGACAGCACACAAGAAGCAAGGTGGACATCGGACGACAACGCGAGGTGGACGCCGCATTAACCGTTATATATAATAAAACTCGCCGTTAGAATTTACAATTAAAGAACATTTGTGGTCTTGCTCTTCAACTGTTACCCAAAAACTGGCATACATTTTTTAAGACACATTTCCACGGTGGTCAGGTGAACATGACGCTTGTGTTCCTCGGCAACTCCGGTACGTCGTCCCCAGCTTAGAAGCATCCGTTAGCGATGATATACACAGCCACGCATGCGTGGCTGTGTTCTCTTATTGCCTCAACAACTTTGGTCGTTTGACGATATCTGTGGGCTGAGAAATTGCGATTTTCGTGTTGGTGTTCCAGCTCTGCGGCGAGTGTCCAAGTCTGTGGCTGACGTGAAGGCTCCGGCCGTCCGTAGGCTGCTGGAGTCGATGGAGCAGGAAGTGGTAAGTATCGACACTATGCAAATACAATGATATAGGTTGTACAGTACACTGCCCAGATCTGGAGCTAACAAGTGAGAATTGTATTGAAATTGCAGCGCCTGGAGGCGGGCGTGGGCATCGCGGCGCCGCAGCTCGCCCACAACCTGCGCATGTTCCTGATGATCAAGAACATGCCGGAGAACGAGGACGACCTGGACAAACTGGACTACCAGGAGGTGCTGAATCCGGAGATCGTGGCCATGTCGGACTCGACCAAGCGCGACTTCGAAGGCTGCTTGAGCGTGCCCGGCTACCAGGGCATCGTCAAGCGCGCTCAGGAGATCCGAGTGCAGTACGAGGACGCTGAAGGCCGCAAGATCCAGGAGACGCTGGTGGACTTCCCCGCCCGTGTCTTCCAGCACGAGCTCGACCACCTCAACGGTGTCATGTACCTGGACCGCATGGACCCCGGCAGTCTCATTCACAACGAGGAGTTCGAGGCTATGGAGTGGGTGGACATCCAGAAGCTGCTGCTGCAGGGCCCGCCGAAGATCCCGCCGCTCATGGTCCCCATGTCCACACAGACCTCTAGCGGTCGCCAAGCCAAGGGCAAAGGCAAGCACAAGAACAAGTTCTAGAGAGCGGCGGTGTCTAGTGCATGTCCCGGATCAATTTGATAAAAAGGTGTTACACGAAGTACTTGTCCTGTGGCGCGCCCGAGCTCGGACTTCCTGACCTCGCTCCCGCTTTTCTCTTGTGGAGCTGCAACGCTCGACTAAGAGGCGAAATGAAGTTCGCTGGTAGTAATGTGAGCGCCGCCACAAACACCACGAACAAGGTCGCGTACCGCAGCTTCATTGTGAACGGCGTCTTGTAGAATGTGTAGCCGTTGATCATGTTCTCGATGCACTCCATCCTCATCGTAATGGGCGTCATGAAGTTGGCTCCGTACTCGGCTCTTGCCAAGTAACTCGCATTGCGTGGCACCGTCACTGGGACATTCAGGAAGAACGCCGGCTCCTCGTGCAGCGGCAGCACCTGGTCGTAGAGCAGCCACTTGCCTCGGATAGTGCGGTCGTCATTCACCAGCCACTTCACCCCAGTCTCTTTATCCACCTCCTCGCGGTAGAACCAAATGTCGGCGTGGGAGCCCTTGGTCTCCTCGTCCAGGTAGATCTGCACCAGCTCCCGCTCCGTGTGGTACACCACGTACACGGGTCTCTGCAGCTCCAGGTAGGCCTCTCGTCGCACGACTTCCGAGAAATTGCTGACGCTGCCAAACTGGCGCATGAAGTCCGTCTTGACCACGCCAATGTCCGAGTCCGTGTCGCCCGCGGGGATGCGGCGCTGGCCGCGCATGACGAACAGCAAGTTGCCGAACGCCGCCCAGTACGGCACGTGCTGCCGCGCACACAACTCGTACACGAACCGCGCCAGGTTCTCGATCTCGTAGCGGAACACGGAGCTGTTGGGGCAGCCGCGCGCGTGGTAGACCTCCAGCGACACGCCCAGCACGCCCAGCATCGCGCTCAGTACCAGCAGCGCCCACAGCAGGTACAGCCGCTTGGCGCTGCGCCGCGAGACGTCGCCGAAGCGCACGCGCCAGCGAGGGTGCACCAGCGCCCCAAGGGCCGCCACGGGCAGCGCCAGCGCCAGCAGGAACCAGTTGCCGTCGGCGATGAAGGAGGGCAGCAGCACCGTCATGACGTGGGAAGAGCTCAAAAGAGCAGGGCTCAATTTGAGCTCTTAGACGATATAACGCGTTATTTAACCTCAAATCTGTTGTGATGGTGCGTTTTAGCTTGGATTTTGTATGTTTACTGGTGCGGTCATTTCGTTACAGTTGGACGGGTTTAATAAGTTGGACAAGCATTAGGCAAAAATGAATGGGACGCAGGAGGCGCCGGCGGGAGCGCCGCTGGCCGCGCACTTCGAGGCCAAGCGGCGCATCATGGCCACGGTGAAGCAGATGGAGGAGCGCGGCGAGAAACTGGAGGAGGCCACGCCCGAGGAGATCCTGGAGGCGGCCAGCAAGGCGGCCGAGACCGTGTTCAAGTTCGACTTCAGCATCTCCGAGACCGCCGAGGCCGACGCTGAGGGCGAGGGCAGCGCCAAGAAGCGCAACCGCAACCGCAAGCGCCGCAAGAAGCGACGGGCCAAGAAGGCGGGCGAGCAGGCTGACGACGGCGAGGCAGCAGAGAAGAGCGAGGACGCCGCGAGCGGGCGACCAACCGACGCAGCGGCAAAGCCAGCGCAGGGCAAACAGCAGCAGCAGAAGCAGCAGAAGAAGCAGGAGGCGACGACGGCCTCCAAGGGTCCGGCCGCCAAGTCGGCGTCGTCGTTTCTGAAACTCCGCAAGGCCACGGGCACGGAGAGCGAGGTGGCCAAGATGCACCTGCGCTATGGTCAAGGCCGGCGGAACCTGGCGGCCACTCGGCAGCGCGAGCTGCGGAAGAAGACCGCGGACGACAGTGCTGCTGCTGCCAGTGGCGACTTCAAGTTTAACTTCTCATAGAGAGAATTTAGGGTAGAGACCTCGCTCGCTGCTTGCCAAGCAGTGGGCGGTGTTGCTTCAAGGAATAGACCACCAGAGTGCAAGATGTTCGTCTGCGCATCTGCTGCTTGGAGCCCATGGCGCGCGTCCGGCTCAAACGAGAGAAACCGCTGCCACAGTTGCTGCTGTTGCTACATGTAGCAGTGCGCAACCACAGAGAGCACAGCACATGTATGATGGCAACCATACGAGCAAACACAAACAAAGTCATCAGTGCAGCTGTAGGCGGAGACGAATCTGAGCTCGTCGAGCGCAGCAAGTGGTTGGTTGACCTGACGGCCGCTTCAACCAAGGGCCGCCGCCCGTCTCTGCGCGCATGCAAACGCCTAGTGCGCCCAACGTGTCGCTCGTTCTCGAGGGAAAGCCGCGCGCCACGCTAACGCTGCAGCGCAGTCTCGAATTCGCCGCCAAGTAGGCAGTGCAGACCCTGTGACCGAGCGAGCGAAACCTCCCAAACCCCCTCCACCGCTCACAGACGCCCCCCAGTGGCGTGACGCAGGCAGCAGGCGACAGGTGGTAAACCCCACCCCACCACACACTGAGCCGGGCTATTCTTAGCGTCCAGACGTAGGTCCGCCCTCCCACACATGTCACGCACAAACGCTGGCGGATATTCACGGCTCCTCCTCAAACCATTGACGTCTTATCGCTCTGCTCATTACTTCAGTCAGTGGCGTTCTCGATCCAGCAAGAGCAGCAGCAGAAGAAGAAGAACTGAAGCCATGGGGTGCCGCCAGTCCAAGGCCGACGCCGTCGTGGGCTCCACCGCCGCCGCCCCCACGGCGCGCGAGGCGCGCGGCAGCCTGCGCGACGACCTGACGTCCGACCTGATCCAGCACAAGTACGTGGACGACATCACCGAGTTCTTCGACTTCAGCGCCACCATCGGCACGGGCCACTTCGGCTGCGTCAAGCACGCCGTGAGCAAGAAGTCGGGCAAGGAGTGGGCCGTCAAGGTCGTGGCGCTCAGCAACGAGGTGGACCGCGACGCGCTGCGCAACGAGGTCAACATCCTCAAGCGGCTGCACCACCCGCAGATCGTGCGCGTCATCGGCTCGTACGAGGACAAGGAGCACATGTACATGATCATGCAGCTCTGCAAGGGCAAGGAGCTGTACGACCACCTGTACCAGGAGCACCGCAAGTTCTCCGAGAACGACGTGCGCCGCATCATCCGCGCGCTGCTACGCGCGGTGGCCTTCCTGCACTCCAACTTTATCACGCACCGAGACCTCAAGCTCGAGAACCTGCTGCTCGAGAACGCCGAAAAGCCCGGATCACTGCGTCTGTGCGACTTTGGGCTCAGCACGCGCTTCAAGCGCGGAGAGAAGCTGGTCAAGCCGCTGGGCACGATCGACTACGTGGCTCCTGAAGTGCTGGACGGGGACTACAATGAGAAGTGCGACCTCTGGAGCGTCGGCGTCATCTGCTTCGAGCTCCTCTCGGGGGTGTCGCCGTTCCATGGCGCGACGATGGACGAGACAATGGGCAACATCTACGACGGAGTGCTCCTCTTCGAGAACGACGTGTGGTCCAAGTTCTCCCCCAGCTCCATAAACTTCATCAAGTCGCTTGTGAAGGAAAACGTGGACCAGCGACTGTCGGCGGAGCAAGCGCTGGATCACAAGTGGCTCACTGAAGGTAATATGACCAGCGCGGATGGATCCAGCGCTGCGCGGCTTCAGACGGACAAGCGCATCCTGCTGACGAACATGTTGAGTTTCAGTCAGTGCCGTAAGATGAAGCAGACGGCGCTCCTGTCGGTGGCTCTCGGGATCTCAGAGGACCACATCCAGCAGGAGATGGCAGCTGAAGTCTTCCACTCGATGGACCGCACGAAGAAGGGCTCGCTGTCGCACGACGAGTTCTGCAGCGCTCTGGTGGAGTGCGGCGTCTCGAATGCGGACGCTGGCGAGCTCTTCAAGCGTATCAACCAGTCCAAAAGTGGCCACATTAACTTCTTGGAGTTCATGGCTGCCGTCATGGATCAGCGCGACATTGGCCAGAACACTATCAAGGAGGCGTTCGGCATCCTGGACGGCGAGAAGCAGGGCCGCCTATCGATTGTGGGGCTCCAAGATGTGTTCAAGCACTCGATGGTGGCCGAGGAGGTGAAGGAGATGATTGCGTCCGTCGACAGCAAGGGCGACGGGTTCGTGGACTTTGAGGCGTTCAAGGGCCTCTTTGCTGTGCCTGGGTCCCCACTGCCCCAAGTTATCGAGGAAGACACGTCGTCGGACAGTGCTGGCCAAGCTGACAGCCCGGAGAAACCCATTCCTACCTTTTGCAGAACGACCACCGAAAGCACAGTGGACAGCACGGCAGATCGATCGACTCCGGGTTCCACCCCAAGCTCGGCCAGTAACGGGAAATTAGAGGAGCCGGAAGCCATCAAGGCCAAACTCGTCAGCGAAAACGACGTCAGTGCAGACTTGAGCAGGTAGTAGGAAGCTGCAGTGTGAAAAATATTTTATTTGGGGGCTGAAACGTTTGTACATCCGAGTTGAATCGAGTTGAATCCGGTGTAAAAATGTTTTTTATGCTCACTATTGTCATTTTCATTCGCACAAATTCCATTTTGGCGGGTTCCTCTTCGACAATCATGAGCGACTTCGACGACGAAGACTTCTCTCTGGGCGAGGACGACTCGGAGGACGACTTCGCGCCGGAAGACGCCGAGGCTGAAGAAGAAGAAGAAGAAGAAGAGGGTGAAGAGGACGACTTTGCCGAGGAGTCCGACGCGTCGGACCTGGAGGAGCTGGCGCCCAAGCCCAAGAAGGCGCGCGTGTCGCCCAAGAAGCCTGCGCCCAAGCGCACGCCGTCTCCTGCCAAGAGCTCCAAGCCCAGCGCAGCCCCAGCCAAGAAGGCGGCAACGCCCAAGACTGCAGCTGCTATTAAATCCACTAAGGCCAAGGCCCCAGCTGCTGCCAATGCCTCGAAGAAGTCCCCGGCGGCTCCCAAGCCCAAGCCCATGAAGGCCGACGAGGCGGAGGCGGCCGTGCTCGACTATATGCGCAAGGTCGAATTGCAATTATTATTATTATTATGTAGTGGGGGCGCAGGTGCTGACGTGTTTATCGTTTATTGCAGACGAATCGGCCCTACAGTCTGCTCAATGTGTTCGAGAACATGCACCGAGTCATTGCCAAGCCGTCGCTGACCAAGTTGCTGGACAATCTCGTGGCCAAGTACGAAGCTGCGTTAGTGTTGTTTGTGTTGAGTTGAGTGAGTGAGTGAGACTGATTTTGGGATGTATTGCAGGGAGGAGCTGGTGGGCAAGACGTACGGCAAGGCCAAGATCTACTACATGAACCAGAACAACCTGCCGGTGCCGTCGGAAGAGGAGCGTCTCGCTCTGGAGGAGCAGATTAAGGCGGTGACTGCGGACTGCGCTGCCTCCGAGCAGGAGCTGAAGAGCGCCGAGGCAACACTTGCCGGTATCACGTCGCAGATTTCAGATGCGGACTTGGATGCGGCGTTGAAGCAGCTCGATGAGGAAGCAGGGGAGCTGGAGAAGAAAGTGGAGACGCTGGACCAGCCAGGCCGAGCACCTGTGTCGCCTGGTAGGAAGGACGCGTTGAAGCGCAAGTTCACCAAGTATCGGGTACGTGTTTGGCGACTCTTCTCTCTCTTTGGACAGCTCGAGGAACTTACGGCGTTCGTGTGTGTGTGTGTGTGCACGTGTGTTCTGGTAGACGGCATGGGTGGCACGCAAGCGCATTGCGATGGACGGAGTAAACCAAATCGCGGACGGAATGGAGAAGAAGCCCAAGGCCGTGATTGACCTGGTCGGCGTCGAGACGGACGAGGAGGCAGGGATTAAGCAGCTGCCGACTATATGACGCAGCTTGGGTTTTTGTTCGTGTTTCACTATACAGCGCTGCAGCACCACATATCAACGACGCTCGCACTGGTTGGGCGTTAACTCTCTTGAGCTGTCTGCTTATCCCCGGAGTCGCGCCCTGCGCTCAGCGATCTCGCGCTCGCGACGGTCCTTCAGGCACTGCTTGTAGCGGTCGAAGAAGGTCTGACACGCGTTCTTGTTGTCTTCGTTGTCTGGAGGGGGGGGGGAGTGAAATATCCGCAATGTGTTGCATTAGTGGCGACGTGGAGCGCAGCTTTTGGGACGAGGACACGGTCTCACTTACTGATGAGGCAGTTGAGCGACTCGCGCTGCAGCTTGGCGCACTCCTGCAGCAGCAGCAGCACAGTAACCCGTGTCAATACATTGGGGAAGTGATGCAGTTATGCGCGTGCACGAACAGCGTTGTCAAACTTGGTGGGAGGCATGTCGAAGTCGAGTGTTGATGGCCGCTGCTTTTACGTCTTTAGTGACAGGTCACAAATCTGCATTCCTGAAGTTGAAACTTCAGATTCAAGGGAATGTATCCCGTGATGGCAAGTTGCGATGAATGAGGTGAATGAGATGTTTCTCGTTGGGAAGTTTCAATGTGGATAATTGATGAAGGTTGTGGGTGAGGTGGTTGCGACCAGCGAATCAACGAATCCAGCTGAAGCCTCGCCGTTGGCATACCGGAATGTTGCTGGCTCCCGAGGGGTTTCGCTCACTTTCCATTCTCAATCTCGTGGAAAGTCTGATGCTGCTTCGTCTTGCAGACACGGACAGCATGACTCGCCATCAAAATTCCAATGAAACTTGCTGCTTGCCACCGGCTAATCTTGGGTCAGCAGTGTGATTGCTATGACATCGCAGGAAACGGCCAAATACTGAGACCGAGTTCCCAAAATCAAGTGTGAAGACGCCCACGGTGGTGGAAACTTCTCGTAGAACACCGAGAACTGCGAAGCAATACAACGGGATGCTGCGGAGGCTGTTGCACCCACGAGCTCTAGTGATCTCAACGGTCCTCGTCACCAAGTTCTCCTCCTTCCTCCTCAATCCTCATTCCTCAACTCGCGCTATCGACTACAAGTCTACAGCCCCCAGCTACCCCCAGCTACCCCCAGCTACCTAACGATGAAGTTCTCGTCCATCCTCGCTTTCGCTGCTGCCATCGACGCTGGCGTCCTCTTGTCAGCCGCGCAAACTCTTGTCATCACGACTGATGATGAGTGCGCCTTTTGTGCAGTGGGCACGTACTGCACCCCGTCAGAGCCCACTTGCCACGGCCCACCGTTCCAAGGCTGGTGCCTCAGCGAGATCACGAGCGAGTACGTGAGCAGTTGTGAAGAAGGATACGAATGCTTCGACAACAGGTGCGAGTGCGTCATCGACGACACGCCCACGGTCACCACCGCTCCAACCATGGCGCCCACCACCGCTCCAACCATGGCGCCCACCACCGCTCCAACTATGGCCCCCACCACCGCGCCAACTACTGCGCCAACTACTGCGCCAAGTACTCGACCCCCAACTGCAGTTGGCTCCACCTCCTATGGCATGTACACGGGATGCCCCAGCGGAACGTACTGGGAGATCGGCACTACCGCGTGCCGCGGCCCCAGCTACAATGGAGAATGCTACAACCCGGCCACTGCCAAGTACCAGAACGGCTGCGCTCCGGGCTTCTCGTGCATCAACAACAAGTGCTCGACGATCCCGCCGGCGACGTTCTCCCCCTCCGTGTGCTACTTGAAGTGCACCGAGTCGGACCAGTACTGCGAGAACGGAACCAACTTCTGCCGCGGCCCCATGTACGAGGGCGAGTGCTTCAACGTCGCCACCGGACGCTTCCAGAACGGCTGCGGCGCTGGATACGAGTGCGCTAACAACCTGTGCGTCAAGGCCTACTAAACATCGTAAAAGAAGTCGAGTCAGTACGAAAGCTGCGGCGTTGAAAGCGTTGATTCAACCCCGCACTTACCAAGTCAATCAATACACATTCTTCATCATTCTGCATTGTTTTCGTCGTTCAAAAGAATGATTTGGTTGGCCGGCCTTACCTTCCTTTCAAAACTCGCCAAAGCCTTGGCGAACTTTGACCATTATTCCATAGACGAAGCTGTATGTGGGATACTTGAAGCTTTCAAACCTGGAATTCATGAAGATCATCAAACCAATGCTGCATGCAGCTCGAGCTGAGTGTATTGAGTTGTCATCGCGATCAAGCCATGAAAAGCACCATGCCCTTTGAGAAGAGGCTACGTGTGACGGAGTGCCGCCGATCTTGGAATGTTTCTCATGCCTTCGTATGACTCGAAGTAGCTGGTGTTTGTCGTGATAGTCGTGGTGGCCACACCATGCAACGAAGCTCTATTCAATACCTAATTTATGCTCATACGGTAGGTTTTCAGTGGTCTGGTATTTGAGACGGCTAAGCAGAAGCAACCACGACAGCTCGAACGCGTTTGTCCGCCTTCGAATTTGATTGGGTTAAGCTCCACTCCACGCTTCAAGACACACGCATAGCTGGCGGGCACCAAAGCAAGCGCCAGCACGCCTAGTGTGTATCGAAGCGAGCGCTGCCATGTTGAATTGCTTCCAATGTTGCGTATGCGTGCGATGCCTGCCGATTTGTTGACGCATTGTGAGCAGCTTGAAGCACCGTGTCAACGCCGCCGGCTTCGGTGATTGCCTTGCGGTAAGCCAAGGAACTCACTGCCAGTATTCTCAACACCGTCAGCGCATTGGTTTCTCCTCCTCTACATCCACCCCTCAGCCCTTGGTGATACCCCCCCGTTCTCCACAACCAGTTCTCGGTTCACTGGGTTGTTTAGTACCAACGCCTCACCGCATTGTCTTGAAATCTGTCGATCAATTTGACGAGCAGTGGGATACATCCGTACTCCGAGATTGCCTTTTGGTTGGCCGCGTTGTTCATAGCAAGCGCTCGCAAGGTCTGCAGAGAATTTGGGTGATATTTATGAGCTGTTACTTTAGCTGCTAAAGTTTAGCACTATTCGGCTGTTGCCCACCTACAGCCCCTGTTCACCTGTCACGAGCCCTGTTCTGCTGTTGCTTTCTGTTTAACCTGCTACTTTCTCCATGGATTTCTCCTGAGATGTGTGGACTGTGGATTACACTCCCCAGACCCCAGCAATAAATCTTACTCCGAGTTGTGGGGGCAGGCCCATTCGCAGGAATGCTCGGCAATGGTTGGAAATTCCGGGCGGCCCTAATTTGCGCGTACAGTAGGGTTTTCTTCGGCTACGTGCCCTTGCAATCGCTCACTACCTTCTGCTGCATGAATTTACTTAAGTACAGCGCTATTGTTTTACTTCTGTATCCTACGGATCCTCAATAGCAAAGAGCAGTCCATTTGCAAGTTACTAGCTATGGGAGTAGCCGACGTACATTTGACTGAAGTGCTTTGGATGAAGTGGTTCTAAGAGCTGGCTGACGTCGTCTTCGCTAACGCTTGCGATCTTCCCTTTTTGGCCTTGCTCACGCAAATCCCACAAGCAGCTGAACTTTTGGGCGTCTGCCGCGAATCGAAGCTGGTCGATTAGAATCTTGAGGCCATCGTCGGCAGCCTACGCGTTCCAAGAGAAAACGACACGGAAGAATTCTTGTGTTTTTGTTGGGGCGCGGGGACGGTTGCAGTAGGGAGATTGGCTCTTTTGCCTTCCACTAGCACCGATCGAGCGTGGTCACTTGGTGGTTTGGCTTCATCCTTCGTCTTTTCACGTTGAAAGAAGGCCACGAGACCAGCCACACCTGAAGGTTTCTCCACACTTGGCTCCAAAGAAGTCTTCGGAATAGGAGGTAAATCCTTGGGTTGCCAATCCAAGTGTTTGCTGCTCGCTGATCTGCGTTTCGGGGATATCCGCTGGTTACGCCTGCCACCGTTCACTGTAGCGAGCTTCTCAGACGGAGTCGGGGGCTTGGCGGTAATGACAGCAGACGACGGGCGAACGACCGTACGCTTTGGGCCATCAACCGTGCGTATTGTTGGGGTTCTGACCGGAAGTATTGGACTAACAACCAGGGGTGGCGGAGAAATGGCCGAGGGCGACTTGAAGCCGATCGGCGTAGACTCCGAGCTAGCAAGTTTAGGTTTGGAGCTGTCACTACTTTCACCTTGAGTGCCTTCGCCACTGCAGCTTGGAGCAGCATCGACATTAATCTCACAAGGCGTAGTAGGGGCTTCGGCCTTCGAGTCGCAGCTACCAATGCCTCCAGCTTGGCTGTAGCTTGTTGTGTCCGTAGCAACCTCGCTACTGTCTTCGAAACGCAAGCTCTCCTCGACCTTTGGAATCGCGTCGAAATCCCCAAGGCCTTGAAGTCGCTCGATCACGCTGCCGAGTGTGAGGCGCTAGGCAGGATCACTGGTCGTCATCGCAACCACCAACCCCCACTCCCTGTCGTTCAGTTCTTTTGGCCGTGGGGGGATGACTCCTCCATTGAGCTTTTCACGAACCGAAAGGGGGCTCCTCCGTCGCGGCCTCAATCATGCACATGGTCAGCGAGTACACATTAGATGCAAACGTTGGTTGTTGTCCAAGCCGCTCAGGCGCGTGCTAGCGCACGGTGACCGAGACTGAACTGCATGTGCTCGAAGCTTTGGACAGCGTCGAGTACGTCCTCATGGAGCTGAGCCCAAAGTCCGCCAGCTTGGCCATCCGATCTGCCCCCACCAGGATGTTGTTGAGCTTCAAGTCGCCATGCACGACGCCGTTCTTGTGGATGTAGTCGAGGCCGAGCGCCGAAGTCGCCACGCCTCTCGCTTGTTGCCCGGACAAGCCAGAAACGACCCGAGATCCCCGTTGACGGCATCCTCACAAACGACAAACGGAGGTAAGCTGACATGAGAAGCCCCGAACATCTTGATCACGTTCGGGTGGTTCAGTTGGTGCCAAATGTTGATCTCCTTCTCGATCCTCGCTTGCTCCCGAACGCCCACCACTTTGCCATCGATGAGGAATCGTTTAACCACCACTTTCGTGCCGGGTCCCCAAATTTCGTGAAGAACCGTTCCAAAGGACCAACAGGCGAACGGGTTGGGCTCCACTTCGATCTCGCAGACCGAGAAAAACCACGGCGGCTCAATAATGTTCGCAGCAGGTTTTTGCTTCGTGGTCCCTGCGATAACTGTTGTCATCATGGACAGCATGACTCTTCGCAGTGTCTTCCTGGCCGCTGCTCGATCTCGAACCGCAGCGTTAGCAGGGCTTCTCGCTGCGCCCATGGGTCCTGCAGGTCTCGTAGAACCATCGCGTTGTCCCGAACCATGGCAACCATGATCATCTTCGCCACACTGAGATCATCGTCGAACTGCTCTCTCCAGTCCTGCATGTTGGTCACCTGAACCGCGTCGGACAGCGCGGTGACATCCTCGTAGAGGCTGAGGTAATAGCATCGTGCCCCACGACACGAAAGACGAGCCCCTTGTTCCGACAGCGCTCCAGGTAGCGCAAGAACTGTGCGACGATAGCCACGAACGTGTCGAGTACGTGAGTTGGCGGGCGTTCGGTTGGGCTCTTGCCCTCCAGCTTCTCTAGCTCGTGGGAGATCTCCACGAGTCGACTATGGAGGCACTTGCACGCACCTTTCGTCTCCTTCATTGCGTCGCAGAACGAATCGATCGTACGTAGCACATACCCGACTGGGCCGGCTCCTGAGATGATCAAGGAGGAGATGGAGGGCATCACTGGGGGCTGTTAACAGCTAGGATAGCAACGGTGGTGAACTTGCGGGATGACGAATTGAAGAATGCGAGCCACCGTGGTTATATTCATGGCCCAACCTTATACTACCTAAGCTCTTGCTTAAACTTCTTGGTCCTTTCACACCTCTTTCACGCTCGGCAGGTCCTTCTTGTCGACGATGCGCGCGAATGGGAAGGGCCCCACGAACTCGTACTGGTTCTGCTTGCGTGTCGACTTCTCCACGTCGCTGTAGTCCAGGCCGGGGAACTGCGCCTTGTTGGCCGCGAACGACTGCGCGTGCCACTCGATGTCGAAGTCGTTGACGTAGAAGTTGCCGAACTGCGTCTTGTAGCGCTGCTGCACCTCGTACGGGTAGAAGTAGAAGCCGCACACGTCCGGGTCGTTCTCGCGCACCTCCTCCGGCACGGGCGACAGCACGTACGCGATCTTCTGCGCCAGCATCGGCGGCAGACACAGCTCCGTCGAGTTGCGCGTCATGGCGTCGTACTCGAACAGACACATACGCAGCATGCGGTCCCCCCACTGCGTCGTGTTGCGCACGAAGTACGTGTAGTCGTCGCTCACGACGCAGAAGCTCGGGTCCGTGCAGCGCAAGTGCAGCGGCTGCAGGTTCACTCTCGCGTAGAGCTGCGTCTCCTCCGACAGACACGACTCCACGCCGCCTCCGATGGTGCTGGATCGCCGAATGGGCAACGGGATGTTCATGCCGGGGTCGCCATTGCCGTGGCGCCTCGCGTCGATCACCTCGGCCGTGTTGCCGCACTGGTACCAGTTCTCGGGGTCGTAGCTGTTGGGGCACATGCTGGCCTCCTCCCACTCGGTGATCTCCTGCAGCCAGTACTTGAGACTGTGGCTGCCTCGCGCGTGCGTGGGGCCGAGCGCGGGGTGGATGCCGTCGAACCACGAGTTCTTGAGGATGAAGCCGCCAGTGAAGCCCTGCTTGGTGCGGAACAGGTCGTTGTAGCCCACGAGCGTCATCACGTGCCCTCCTTCGACGTTCATCACGTGGCTGGTGATGAACTCGCCGTTCATGTTGTAATTCTCTCCTCCGTTGATGGGGACGCAGCACGTGGTCAACGCCAACTCCGGAGGGCACAACGTACACAACGTCGACGCTGGATCGCATCGCTCTTGGCCAGCAACTTCACCGATGCACGGGTAGTAGTGGGTAGTGTAGGGCGTCGCAGTCGTCAATGACATGGCTTGGCGGTGCTTCACCAGCGCGCGCTTGATCGACATCTCATCCATGAGTGTATCCATCCGCTTGAGCTTGAGACTCAGTGGGTTGGTCTTGCGCTTCTCGGGCGTCAGGCCGGCGCACACAGTGTCGTTGCCATCGTCAGGGTAGTACGGGCAGATCGAGTGCGGGTAGATGTTGTCCTTCAGGCCGTTCATGAGGTACATGAGCAGCGTCGAATCCCCTCCCTCCGTCGTGTTCTTCCAGATGCCGTTGTCCGGGATCAAGCACGCCACTTGCTGCGGGGAGCCCGGAGGCCCCGCGCACAGTCGCAGCACCTCCGCGCCGTACGCTTGCTCTGAGATGGCCATGTACTCGTCCTCCTTCAGCCACCCGTGGGCGATTCCCTGCTGGCGATAGCTGTTCTCCAGCACGCCGACAGTAGCGAAGTCCCAGCACGTGCCGCGCTCGTCCTGCGTCTTCAGTGGAGTGACAAAGTCGACCGCAAACTTGGTCGGGAACTTCTTGGCCTTCTTGAACTTCTTCTTCTTGCTGTCCCAGGTCATGTCGTCCACCACGACGGCCGAGTGCATGGAGTCCCTACGAACAATTAAAACATCATCAGCTTCATATCCACAAGAGATCCGCGCTTATGAAAACATCTAAGGGCCCTCACAGCATCCTCGCGATCATTTCTTGCTGGGCTGCCAACGACTTGTGCATCGTGACTGCGTAGCTCATACCAGCCAACCCCACAACTGCAGCGAGCGCTATCGCCCCCCACGAGCTGCGGGAGCGCGAGCGACTGCTACCGACCGGGTGGTCGATGAAGGCATCCTGCTCGCGCGCAAAGTCTGCAGTCACAGCATCAAAAGGCAGTGGTTAAATACCGCTCCGCTCCATGTCTAGCTAGCACCACACACACGCACGCACCCACGGTCTCCGTTCCGTAGCCTCTCACCATGTTCCGCCGTTGCGCTGGACTCGTTCGGATCTTTTCGTCTACGGGGAGGAGGAATCAGGAATGATCTGCGACCGGGCACGCGCAAACGGCACAGCATAGCTCTCCTCTGTAGTTGTATGTATGAGTGTACGCCAACTGAACGTGTGGTCTGTATTGTATCTTCTCTTCTCTTCAGGAGAGGTCGAAGCCTGCGTTGGATCTAATGGCGTAGAGCAGCTTCCTCCGCATGGCCTCCTTGTTCGAGTACGCCGGCAGCTTGAGCAGGTTCATGCACGTGGCGCTGGACGGCAGTCGCTCGTTGTCCTCCACTCGCACCTGGTGGATGCAGATCTGCGGGTACAACTGCGAGAAGCCCAGCAGCGGCTGGCGAGAGCAGCTCGTGATGAACTTGAGCAGCGCCGCGCGGTCTTCGGGCTTGAAGTCGTTCCTCACGATGTCCCAGAACCACTGGATGATCGGCTGTGACGGGTGGTAGCCGCCTCCGTACTGCGTGTGGCGCTCCCAGTCGTCGATGTCGATGTTGGTGGCTGTACCCCCGATGAGCATCTGCAGCTCGGCGGGCGCGAACATCTGAATCCAAGTGCCCGGGATCAAGTCACGGAAGCCCTTGAGGAACGCGGCGCTCTCCATGGACGAGAGCACGTTCAGCTTGTAGTTGGCCATCAAGTGGATGTACCGGATCCGGTTTTCGTTCGTGACGGGGACGTTGGCGCCATCGGGCACGAGGTTCCTTGTCACCACTTGGCCGAACTCCATCTCGCTCACGCTGAAGGTCAGCGCCAGGTCCTCCACGTTGCCGTCGTAGTGCTTGAGGCGCATGAGCGACTTGTACAGCTCCGGGTCCAGCGAGTGCAGGTCGTCGATGTAGTTGAACTTGCCCAGCAACTTGTTGAGGAAGAACGCCGCGAACTGCGGCTCCACCAAGATGTTCTCGTACACAGCCTTGGCCAGCACGCGCCCCAGGAAGCGGTAGCGGTCGAGCGCCTCCTTCCGCGTGTCCACGATGTATCGCGCGCCTGGATTCGGGTACAGAAGCTGCTCGTCCGTGGCCAGGAAGAAGCCGTACTCTGGCGAGAAGGCGTTCTTCGTCAGGTTGTCCATGTACTCCTTGAACACGCCTCCACCGTCGATGCCCGCCTCCTCTAGACCTTGCTCGTTAACGAACGTAACCTTGACGCGGGACTTGAGGGCCGCGGGGGACATGGTGTCGCACACTTTCTGGAAGAAATCAAAGCTGTCAACGACAATCTCGTCGCGCTTCACGCGCACCTGCAGAGCTCGCGAGAACTCGTCACGGATGTTTCCCAGCTGAGCCTTCCCGTCTTCGAGCAACTTCTGGAAGAGCTGGACGCGGTCGTTGAACGACAAAACTTGCGGGATCGTGACCAATATCAGCGCGGCGCGGGCGTACGGGGACGCCGCCTTCCCGTTCATCAGCATGTAGATCGCGTGCGCGTCGTGGTTGCCGCCCTCCTTCATCAGCTCAAGGTCCACGATCTCCTTGACGACAGGCATCGCAGGCCACAGCCACGCACCGCCAGGCATGAACTGACGTCGGCAATCCCGATCATAGAGCTGGTTGAACAACTTGACAGAGGAGACAACTGCCGAGAACAGCACCAGCTCGTTCTCGTCCATGTTGTCGACGGAGAGCGTATTGTTGCTGGTGATTGTCCAGCATAAATCGTAGATAAACTGCTTCAAAAACGTTACCAAAGCCTCCACTTCAGCCAAACTGAGCGGCCACTGGCCGTCGTAGAATGCCTCGTCGTCGAGACCCAGCAGCATGTGGCTGTACACGACGTTGAAGACCAGCAGCACTTGTAACTGCGACGTCGTGAATCTCAGAGGACCATTAGCGAGCGAGCCCGCAGAGTGTTCAGCAGCGATACTCTTGATCCTCGGCTTTATCCACTGCCACATGCTGTTGATCAAGCTTGAGCTGTTAGCAGAGACGGCAGTGCCGCCTGCGAACTGATCCACGGCCATTGCACTCAGGAGAGCAAAAAGAGTTGGAGGTGGATTCGCGAACTTTATAGCCAAGCTGAGCACGTAAGACCTGCCTGTCGATAGGAGTACAGTGGTTAGGACACGGCAGAATCGGGAGACTGTATTTCCACCGGGCGGGGTTGGTTCCACGGGTGCGTCACTCGTATGCAGCAGCACGTCAAGGCACCGAGCGCTGAAACTCGAGTGGCACAGGTTCTTCCACTGCGCGCGCACTTTAGTCTCGGCATCGCCCAGAGCCAGTGCACCGCGGCGAACTTCTTCGTCCGAAGCAGCGCTTCCTACGGACAGGTACGTAGGAGGCACGATGGGTACTTCAGCATCATCATCCATGTCGTAGTCTTCTTCTAGGGCCATGGGGTCTACCTGGGTGTGCTTCACATCGAACGCCCACTGCACCAACGACGACGTCACCATCTCTGAAAGAGCCGACGGGATGGCCCGTACGAGAGCTTCGTCAAACGAACACGAGGACGTTAAGTCCACAACGTTCCCCACGGCGACAGCTCCCTGCTGCCACGAAAGTTCTTGTCCACCTTCACTCTTTGTGGGCAGATGCTGTACCACCGACGCCCAAAAGCGTCCTAGTTTCCTGGTCTGTTCTGGAGTGGAGAGCCCATCAGTAGATAGCGCCGTACTCACAACATAACTCGTCAGTGACGAGCTTGCAGACAGCGGCGATAGCAAAATCTTGGAAGCAAAACGCTGCAAAACCTTATCAGCTCGCTCCTGCGGGCCTTGAACCACCAGCCGAAGCGCTTGAGCCGCCACGCCTGCAATCACGTCCACGAGTCGATCGTTCTCTCGCGATTTCCCCTCTTTAACCTGCAGCGCGATGCACGCGCTCAACGCGTCAAAGACGCCGTATTGCACCGTCACTCCAAGGTGATACAACACATTAGACAGCGCCGCCTGGCCCTCCGCAGTCTTGAACGAGTCTGCGTTCGTGAACGCGACCAGCAGCAGCAAGTACGGGTTCACGGCCACTGCGGCGTTCTGCGCCGACGTCTTCAGCTCTTCGTGCACGAGCGTGCGCAGCGCGATCTCGCTTATGCGCGTGACCTGGAACACCCAGGCGGCGTCCGGCCGGGCCTCCAACACATTGGTCCCGTCCTGCCCGCTGCCCTTCAGGCTGCTCACCAGCAGCATGAACACCAGGTAGTCCTGCACTTTGCGTATCCTGTCTGCGCCCACTGCGCTCGTCCTGGAGAAGAGGAACTCGCGCACGAAGAGCTGCAGCCGCGGCGTGGGCTGCGCGCGGCTCTGGAAGTCCCCCGTAAGAACGACCTGCGCGAGCTGCTGCTCCAGCGCGGAGAACACGGAAGCGCGCGCCTGCTCCGCGGCCCTCACGCGCCGGTACTGGGCCTGGATAGCGGTGCACGCGGCCGTTCGCCGCTTGAGCGCGTGGCGTTCTTCCCTGGCCAGGCGGTTCTGCAGCATCAGCTCCTGCTTGGAGCCGGGCGCAACGCCCGCGGATGGTGCCGCCACGTCCGCGCGGCTTCGGGGGCCTGAGAGCGACGCCAGGCGCGCGCTGTAGCCCGTCGTGGGCTTCTTGCGGCCGCTGAGGTTGACTTTGCGCGTCGACTTGAAGCTGCCGTCGAACATGGCTTTATGGAGCGGTTAGAGGGAGTTCTGGGGTGAAATTTACACGCGCGGAGAGAGGAAGCGATGGGGATTATGGCAATGCAAGTGTGGACGCAGGAGCAGGCCTGGAAGTGGCGCGCGGCGGCGGCGAAGAGCGCGGGTGGAGACGTCTTCTCGATCCTTCCGCTCTGCGAATGACGTTGGATACGTAATCGGACTTTGCACCAATGAGACGTCGCAACAGTTTCAACCAATGAAAGTAGTGAAAAAAGTTGATTGGATGAAAAGGATGATGGGGATGGGTCGCGTCCTTTGATGTGCAAGTCACATCCGAATCATCCAGCTCTGTAGCAGTCCGAGTCCTTCGTTGCAGTGCAATTGTCCAATTAATTCCATCATGGCTGGGGGCTACGGAGCGCTGCAAGTCGCGGAAGAATGCGAGGCGCTCGGCCCTCCTCGTTCCACTCAAGTGGCTGTTCGTAGCCGAAAATTGGGGTCGTGGGGGGCGCTGGCGCTTGGTGCCGCGCTGGGCGTCGCCGGACTGGGCTACGCTGCCACGATGCACAGCTCTCTAGCTGCCCAGCAAGAAATTATTACTCGGATGCAGCAGCAAATGTGAGAGAAGGAGTTGCATTGTTAGGGGGCATTCGTTGACCGGTTGGGTTCTGACCTTGGTGATCTGGTGAATGCAGGGAGGCGATGCACGCTGCGGTGATGGCGCAGAGCGCGAAGACGCCGCGCGGTGAGACGGAATTCCACAGGGACTGCAAGTTCCCGTCCAAGTTCGCGGTCGACTTTGTCACCCCGCTTAAGACGCAGGACGAACGCGGCACGTGCTGGGACTTCGCCACGGTCGCGGTGCTGGAGAACAGCTACCGCCAGCAAGGAATCGCGCGCGGGTGGCTGCAGCCAGACGAGTTCTTGGCGCTGTCGGAGCAAGCGTACGGCGCGGAGGTGATACGCCTGTGTGCGGGTCCGCCCGGATCGCCGCAGCAAGTGGCGTGCTTGATCCCGGGCAATGAGATCTGGAAGAACTCGACCGACGGTGGAGACGTCTCGGAGCTCATGTACCTTATGAATGGGCTCAAGGACAGCATCTTCCCGGACTCGATCTGTCCCTACATCCCAGACCCAGGCAACGACTCGGTGTGCCCTGGATTGACCATAGAGTCGAGGAAAACGAACCCGTTGAGCCTCACCATCAAGAAGATGGACACATACTACGACGCTGTCTCCGTCAAGCACGCGCTCGCCAAAGAGAAGCGAGCAATGGCAATCTCCACCGCCATGCCGTACATTACCCACTACTACCCCTGCATTGGCCAGCTTGCAGGCGAAGAGCGATGCAACCCGGCGTCAACGGAATGCACGCTTTGTCCTCCTGAGCTGGCCATGACCACGTGCTGCGTCCCCATCAACGGTGGGGAGAACTACAACATGAACAGCGAGTTCATCACTAGCCACGTGATGACGCCTGAAGGTGGCCACGCAATGACGCTCGTGGGCTACAACGACCTGTTCCGCACCAAGCAGGGCTTCACTGGCGGCTTCATCCTCAAGAACTCGTGGTTCGACGGCATTCACCCCGCGCTCGGCCCCACGCACGCGCGAGGCAGCCACAGTCTCAAGTACTGGCTGCAGGAGATCACCGAGTGGGAGGAGGCCAGCATGTGCCCCAACAGCTACGACCCCGAGAACTGGTACCAGTGCGGCAACACGGCCGAGGTGATCGACGCGAGGCGCCACGGCAATGGCGACCCCGGCATGAACATCCCGTTGCCCATTCGGCGATCCAGCACCATCGGAGGCGGCGTGGAGTCGTGTCTGTCGGAGGAGACGCAGCTCTACGCGAGAGTGAACCTGCAGCCGCTGCACTTGCGCTGCACGGACCCGAGCTTCTGCGTCGTGAGCGACGACTACACGTACTTCGTGCGCAACACGACGCAGTGGGGGGACCGCATGCTGCGTATGTGTCTGTTCGAGTACGACGCCATGACGCGCAACTCGACGGAGCTGTGTCTGCCGCCGATGCTGGCGCAGAAGATCGCGTACGTGCTGTCGCCCGTGCCGGAGGAGGTGCGCGAGAACGACCCGGACGTGTGCGGCTTCTACTTCTACCCGTACGAGGTGCAGCAGCGCTACAAGACGCAGTTCGGCAACTTCTACGTCAACGACTTCGACATCGAGTGGCACGCGCAGTCGTTCGCGGCCAACAAGGCGCAGTTCCCCGGCCTGGACTACAGCGACGTGGAGAAGTCGACACGCAAGCAGAACCAGTACGAGTTCGTGGGGCCCTTCCCGTTCGCGCGCATCGTCGACAAGAAGGACCTGCCGACCGTGAACGAGGTGTGAACTGACATCTACTACATGAGATGAAGGAGAAGTACTGAGGAAGACGCTATCACGAGTTTCCCGGTAGTTGTCATGTTTGAATTGGTTGGGATTAATGGCTCGGACTTTCGAGTGTGGGGTATCAAATGCAGATAATTTGTTGCTGGTCAAGCGTACGAGCACTGGTTGTTGGAGCACGTGAAGCCTGGGTCGCAGCCGTTTTGGTAGTGGCCTGTAGCAGGGTTGAAGCACTCGCCGTCGTACCCGGGGGATCTGCATTCATTGGCGCCGTTCTCGCAGTACTCTCCAGCGGAGCAGGTGAGGTAGCACACTGAATCGTCCGTAGTTGTGGTGTGCACCTGGCACAAACCGTCGAGACACTCGTAGCCCTCGGCACACCCGTCTGTAAACACACCGGAGGCGGCGTCGTAGCATTCGCCGTCGATAGGCGCGCGGCACTCGTTGAGGTCGCTGTCGCAGTACTCGCCGAAGACGCTGCACTGAGCGTCTTCACTGCATCCAGACGCCGAGCTGGAGTCCGCCTCCGTCGCCTCTGCTATCTCCTCCAGGAAGTCGCACTTGTTGTCGACGCACGCAAATCCTGGATCGCAGCCATCCTGGAACGCGCCTGTGGCTGGGTTAAAGCACTCGCCGTCGTAGCGGGGGCCGCGGCACACTCCGGTGCTGACCTCGCAGTACTGGTCGAAGTCTTCGCAGGTCTCGTAGCAGGAACTTGGCGTTGAAGTTGAGTTATTGACAGTTTGTGCCGCGACCAGATACAACTTCGTCACGAGAATGGCCGAAAGCAGGATGGAAACCTTCATGACACTTGTGGTTGGAACACTTGAGGCGGGGTCTTGATGAGGAAGTGAATTCGAAAGTGAGAGTTTGTCTGAAACTTTCAGACTGAAAGCCTCGATATCCCCGTGATGTTATGAATGGAGACGACAAGGACAAGCTTCTGCATCATCCCGGGCTTCAAAGAGCACACCACCGAGTATCCAAAAGCTCCACCAAGCTCTACAAATGGCCCTAGCTTCGTCCCATGGCCACCACTGCAGACGCAACACACCTTACCGCTATTTCGAGTTGATACGCACAAGGAAAATTCCGGTGCTGTAAACCTGCTCACATCGGTGCAAAAGTCTCTTCCAGGTCTAAGAGCATGATACCCTTAGTACAAACGAGGAAGCAGAGTCGGCATTCAAAATTATCATCGTGAAAAGTAGGACGATCAAGAGATGATCACGAATGGTCAAGTGATGGATGTATTAGTGAGCATGCTCATTGAGCACGGTTATATGTACAGAGTCGAAGTAGGGAGTGGGCCCCTTAGTCATCGAGGCTGACGTCGACGCACTTGTTGTACGAGCAGTAGAATCCCTCGTCACAGCCGTCCTGGAAGAGGCCGGTGGCCAGGTTGAAGCACTCGCCGTCGTAGGCCGGTTCGCGGCACTCGGTCGTGTCGTTCTCGCAGAATTTGCCAGCCGAGCAGATGATGTGGCACGTTCGGCCGTCGACGGGGTCCGCCGACACGCGGCACAGGTCGTCGATGCACTCGTAGCCCGCGTCGCACCCGTCTTGGAACAGCGCGATGGTGGCGTTGTAGCACTCGACGTCGTCGCTGGCAGCTCGGCACTCGCCGATGGAGCTGTCGCAGTACTCCCGGACGCCGTTGCACCCTTCCGTCAAGCAAACAGCCCCGGAGCCGGACTTGTCGTAGGAAGCAGAGGTCGAGTTGGCCTCTGATGCCACACACGACTTGGCAGCGACGGCGGCTAGCACCAGAGCGAAGATCTTCATCTTAATCAGCTTGGAAGGACTTGCGGAGGAGGACGCAGATTCACAAATGAGGGTAAGAAGGATCTCCTTTGGCTGGACACCCCCCCCCCGGCCACCGGGTCCTAGCGACTTCTCGGTGGGTCCGTTCATGATACGCACCTGCCAACAATGAGAAATGGCCATGAATCATGTGTACCTTCAGCTGAAATATCCCGCCGTTGAAGACTACACCGATGTGTTGGATGATGTTATCGATACTGCATTGATAAGCTTAGGTGTAGTGCTGCATTTGTGCAGCTACTGGTTGTCTCGGTCTTCGACTGGGATGTCTAACATTGCTACTCTGTCCTACACGCTCACGTCCACGCACTTGTTGAACGAGCAGTAGAACCCGTCGGCGCACCCGTCCTGGAAGAATCCCGTGGACATGTTGAAGCACTGGCTGTCGTCTGCGGGGCCGCGGCACTCCGTGGTGCCGTTCTCGCAGAACTTGCCGGCCGCGCAGATGATGGAGCAGGTCCGGCCATCCGCGGCCTCCGACTCGAAGGCAGACCGGCAGAGGCTGTTGAGGCACTTGAAGCCCGGGTCGCAGCCGTCCTGGAACAGCGACGTCGTGGCGTTATAGCACTCGGTGCTGTCGGCGGCAGCGGCTCGACACTCGCCGATGGAGCTGTCGCAGTACTCTCTAGGCTCGGAGCAGGGCAGACCGCAAGGAGGCGCGGATTTGGCAGCTACCGCGTGAAGAAAGCAGACGATGGAGAGAGCAGTGAGCTTCATCTTGGGCGGTTGAATGCAGGAGTGTGGACAAGAGGCCTTGGTGTTGCTCCTGAGCTCATAGCGACTTATTTCCGGACTGCAGTAAGATAGTGGTTGGTTGGCAACGAACATGGGACAGCAAGGATGAATCAAACCGATTCATCCAGTGAGTGGTTGTATGCCCCACATCTCATAGCTACGCTGTGAAATATTCGCTAGCTGTACGTACATGTACTGATAGATTGCGCTTCCCGGCGCTGGATCGCAGCGACGCGAGATCTTGCATATTCAAGCCTCCACATCGCATCAACCACTATCGCAGTCGTCGATGCGAGTTGTCACGATAACCACCGCAAAGGTGGAAGTGCAATTGAACCTTGATCCTATCTTGGTCGCCGTAATGCGGGCACTTTTGTTGAGTCTAAGATGCCTTGGTAACAAACGTTGACGTTTCCCCCATCAAAAGGCAAGTAGGTAGTTGACACGGTCGGCACGGTTGGCTGATGAACCGGTTGATGAAGTTGAAAGCTCAACACGGGGTTTCCTGTTGTCATTTACTCAGTCCGGGGCGCATACGGCTCGAAAAAACTCTGTCCGGCCCACTCAGCCGTCTTGTCCGTGAAAAGTGGAGCTCCCTCGACGAAGTTTGCGGCGTCGTTTGCGTCTCCCCGGCCTGTGTACTTGGCCAACGAAGGGTACGGAAATACGGGGCGACTGCGCGTAACCACCAATGCCGCTGGCATCCAAGGCGGCAGGTCTCGCTCCGTGCTCGTGAGAATGGCGTGGGGTGCACTTCCTCGCTCGACCCACTCCAGCAACGGGGTCACCAGATCGAACGCAGCCATGCCCTCGCCACGACCGCAATGCTGCACGCCCGGGAACAGATAGAGTCGCTCGAATTCTGCCACATTTTCTGCGCCGCCCATTTGCTTCTCGAGAGCTTCGTGGTATGCGATGGTAGTGCGGGGCGAAATGTGCTCGTCAGACCACCCATGCCACAGGATCAACTTGCCCCCTGCAGACTTAAATGCAGCCAAATCCGGGTTCGTAGCATCCAGCAGTGGGTGACGGGGGCGTAGTTTCTCCACAGTTGCTTCGGTGAATTGAAGGTCGTTGAGCGAGTATGTCTCCGGCGGATTGGGCTCAAAGATCAGATACCGCAGTGCAGCAAGGGCGATGTGGGCGCTCATGACCGGTTCATTCTGTCCTCGAGGCACGAACACGCCTGCCCACGCCAGCTCAGAGCCATACTGAGACTGTCCGACGGTCAGATGTCGTCCGGTAACTGGGTCGATCGGTCCATGGTAAAACTTGAGGATAGTGTTCACTTCTGCTTCTGTCAAGCACTGTCGATCTTCATCACTCGCAGCGATTTCTGCAGGACACAAAAGCTCATGGGGGTCGAAATGGCAGAGTCTAGGCTCCGAGAGCAGACCGTCGACAAGGCCGTCCTGCGCATCGCAGGCTCGAAGGACTGCAGCGTGCAGCAGCGGCAACTTGGAGGCTGTCACAATGGCTGTAGGACCGCCGCCAGTAGAACCATGTCCGGGAGGGCCTCGACCGGGAGGGCATGACCACGGCCGGGAGGGCCGCGGCCTTCAGGGCCTGGTGGCGGGCCCCGCATCATCGGCAGCAGCTCAGGCATCGGCCCGTCGATATTGCTCATAGCCAGCCAGCCGTGGTGGAGACTGTTCTGGAACTGGAACAGCATGGCAGGCGCTCCCGCCAGGATACCGTCAAAGTCATCCGGGTAGCGTATCGCCTCCATAACCCCCTCATGCCCGCCATCGGAGCATCCGTTGAAGTAGGAGTATCTCGCCTTCTGCGCGTAGTACGCTTGGATCAACGTCTTGCTCACTAGTGCCGTCAGATGCTGAGCACTGTGCGCGAACGATTTCCGGCGCCCCGGGTTGTTCGCGAACGCCTTGCCATCCATGGAGCCGCTCATGTCGGTCGCAGCCAGCACAAACTCGCCCCCTTTCACCTGCTGCGAACCAGAGGCCGCGTTCACTTGCATCCGGATCATCGCGCAGAGCCCTCCACACCCGATTTGCATGTAGCGTTGCGTCCACGTGCGAACGGGCAGCATGACCTGCCAGTTTGTCGACGACGGCAGCGCACCTTCCACTAAGCAGTACAAAATACCCTCGTGGGTCGTCTCAGCCGCGGATGTGATGGTGACGCTGCCATCCTCCGCGATGTGTGAGAGGTCGACACCGAGCAGTGACTCGCAGTTCACTGCTGGCTGAACAACACCCAAACCTCCGGCGGCTGCGTCTTGGAGCACGCGGGCGCCCCTCGAGCCGGATTAGTGGTTGAAGCACCACCTCCAATAATATTGGCAGCAGCTTCATGGCTGGTCTCCGAGTTGTGCGAGCCCAGAGAGGTGGCGTTGCCGCCAATCTTGTCAGTGCCCGTAGTCTACGGGCCGTAGATAGCTCGGACGAGAAGGCTGCGTCACACGTCGCCGCAGGCTTGGCCAAGGGCAGCGTCGACAGAACCAACCCGCCAGAAACAGTCGCGGTCGCTACCGCCGACAGCAACAGTAACAACGCGCGCGTTGGCGTTGAGAAGACCATGGTCACAGCTGCGCCGCAAGTCAAGTCTCGAACTGAGGAAATCTTGGTGGCTTGTCACAATTGTACCCATGTTCATCGATCACCGAAATTGCGATGAACACCAGTCACGCAATTTGATTGGTTGAAATGAAACTATTTTTCGCATTGGCTAAAATCCTCGCCCGATCTAAGTCAAAGTATCTGCGTGGGATCACTTCGCCCCACAACTTTACGTACCACCCCAATCGCCCCACTTTATCTGGACCTCGCCCCCTCCGCCGCCATGTACAGCGCCTCGCAGCTCCTGGCGCTGGGCGTGTCCCTGGCCGTCTGCGCGGCCGCCGTGCTGTACGGCGACCTGTTCGCCGAGCTCTTCCCCGCGCGCGAGGCCTCGCTGAGCGTGGCGGAGCAGCAGCAGATGCTGGCGTCGCTCGTCTTCCACGCGTCCAAGAACGGCGACGCCGCCGCCAACGGAGCCGACGCCAACGCCGCGGACGCGCGCGCGCCGCCGCGCCTCGCCTTCTGCTGCAGCGCCGACCTGGACGTGGCCGTTCCCGCCGTGGAGCTCATGGAGAGCGTGCGGGAGGTGGAGCGCCAGCACCACCAGAAGAAGAAGAAGAAGAGCAAGGCCGGCTTCAACAAGGCCGGCAAGTTCTCGGACAGCCTGGCTAAGCGCCACCACGAGCGCATCGGCTCGCTCAAGGAGCTGCAGGAGAGCTTTGCCTACTACTTCTCCTCGGGGGCTGCCGCGGAGCAGAGCATGCTGTCCCCCGAGCAGTTCCGAGAGGTGGTGGCTCTGGCTGACGCGCTGCCGGGCGTCAAGAGGAAGGTGGGCGGCAACGCCGCTACGATGGCCGAGCGCGCGTCGGCGGAGGGATGCGTTGTGCTGCTGGGAGCGGCTATGGGCAAGGAGATGAAGCCGTACTTCAGGGACCCGCGCATCCAACTGGTGGGCCACTTGGAGGAGCACCAGCACGAAGACGTGCACCTGGTGCTCGAGTACTCGAGCGGAGACGAGTTCAGGGGACACGTCTCGCCCCGCGCGAACAGATACTACCTGAACCACGACGTGCACAACGCGCGGCTGTCGGTGCTGGAGGAGTTCGAGCAGTCTCTCGACGCGTTCAAGCCCGACCTGGTCGTGTTCGGAGGACTGCAGCTGATGGAGGTGGAGACGGACGAGCGCGGACGCCTGATGCGTCTCAAGGCTCTCTCGGAGGTACTTCAGAACCTCTTCGTAGCCAAGACGCCCACCCACTATGAGTTTGCGGCTGTGTCGGACTTCAGTCTCTTCGATGACACGGTTCGACTCGTGCTGCCCTGGGTGGACTCCATCGGACTGAACGAGCAGGAGCTCTTTATCCTGCACCACTACCTCGTCACAGGTGAAGAGGGCACGGCTACGACGTCGCGTCCTACGGTGGCGGAGATTAGCGCTCAGCTGCACGACGTCATCCAGTTCGCGTCCAAAGCTAAGAAGAGCTTTCAGACTTCTGGCCAGGACAACAGCGAGGACAGTGACAACCAGGACAGCTACGCCCTTGCGCAGCTTTCCCGCATCCACTTCCACACGCTGCAGTTCCACATTGTGTGCCAGAGGGAAGGAAGCATGTGGGAGGATCCGACGACGGCGTTGGTGCAGAGCGCTCTCATGAGCTCCAAGGTTGCATGCGGCAAGAGGCCGGCCCCCGGCAGTGAGACTGCTGCTGACGACGATAAGCCTAAGCCCATGCGCACCAGCGCTGAAATGGAAGTGGACCCGGAGCGCATTGAAGTGCTGCTGGCTCGTCAGCAGCTTCTGAGCAAGAGTCAGGGCCTCAAGGTGGATCTGGATCCGTTCTCGCCCGTCGTCACGTGGCAGGAGGCCAACTTCCAGTGCCATCTCGTACCGATGATGGCCTGCAAGAAACCCGACCACACTGCTGGACTCGGAGACAACATTTCTGGCACGGGTGTGGCTTACCACCGCATTCAGAAGAAGGGCGATGCCACCAACTAGGCCACCAAGTGGCTTTTATATAGAAATGCGAGCGTACGATAATTGAACGTTTGTTTAGCTTGATGCTACCCGTCTTTTTGCTGCGCTGAAGCAGTATTGTCTAGTTGCTAGCCGTGCGCGAGCTGGGGCCGACCTTAGCAGTCATGCGCGTGAACCAAGGCTCGATGTTCGTTTCACGCATCATGTCGTTGTACGTGTCCAGTCCGTGCATGGCGCGGAGCACGCCGAAGACCGACAGGTCAGCCATGTTGGGCTCGTCACCTCCAAGGAACGCGCGCTTGTCGCCGATAGCGTCCACCCAGCTATCCAGCGCCGAGTACAGCGCTTGGCGCTCGTCGTCAATGCCGTATTTCTTCTTGGAGCGCTTGGCGATCAGGTACATGATCACAGCACCGGCGTACTTGGACATGCGGCGCTCCATGGGCGTGAACTTGCCCTCCGTCAGACAGTAGTCAAACGCCTGCAGCGCCTCCGGTACAGTGCGGTAAATGTTAGGCGGCGTCAGGAGGATGAGCTTCTTGTCGACCCATTGGCGCCACTTCTCCTCCTCCTCGAGGGCGTCCTCATCTTGCTGGTGCGAGCCCTCGGGGGTAGGGACAAGCTCACGCAGACGCGAGATGATAGCGGAGGAGTCCACCACAACCTCGTCGTCGATGCGGACCACCGGCACCTTGCGGTAGTCCGTGAAGGCCTTGGTCTCCTTCTTGGTGAGGGGGTTCACTTCCACCACCTCATACGGGATATTCAGGTAGTCCAGCACGGCCTTCACCTTGCAGCAGTACGGGCACGGCTCGTACTGGTAGAGAACGACGTTGGGCAGAGCATTGCCGCCCTCTTTCGCTACGGCCGCGGCATCCACGGCGGGCGCAGAGCAGAAGGCGCAGGCGGCGCTGGTGCTGGCGGCGGCCACGAGACCAGCGCGCTGCAGCAGCGGAGAGGAAGCAATGGGGGCCACCGACCGCAGGCGCGACGAGCTGAAGCGCGCGCTGGTAGATGCGAAGTTCTTGGACGCCGAAGGACGCGAGAGGGCCGCGGACGCGCGCACGCCGCGTCCGAGACGCACCACCCCACGTTGCAGCATCTTGGTGTTGCCTTTTGTGCGGCGGAGACCGTGCAGCGACAGGATTGGCTCGAACTTTTGATGGGTGCGATTGGATAGAAAAAGGTATATTTTGTGATTGGGTAGAATTACAGAGAATGGATTGGTAGAAATGACGAAGGTACACTGTACCATAGGTACGTCAGCAGCGACCTTGGGCTGGCCACTCGTTTTACCGTGTCGGAGTATGGGAAGGAGCTTGTCCGCCGATGCGGATGTGGCACACGCGGATGCGCAGGATGTCCGGGTCACCAGATCAATTAAACCTAGGAACTTGCAGCTCGATTCCTTCAATAATTTTTACTTCTAGACGACCGACGGTTGGCCGACCGCTGGTCGTCTTGGTCACAAATGCTGGGATGCTGGCCGCGGTAGCTTTCGCGCGCGCGCTTCCGGTGCAAATCGTTAATCCGCGCGATGGGAGGCTCTGCTGTCCAAGCATTGCTCCGCGGTGTCAGGGTCTATGTAGGGCTTCGGTCCTTAGTCGCGTGTGATTGGTCCAAAATCTCATTTCAGCCAATCAGAATGCGTTCTGCTTGTATCCATATCTAACCACTGGCCCCAGGGGCGAGGCAAGAGGCACGGCCCAACACGCAGACACAACCGCTTTTGCAGTGTCCGCCCCACCCTCCGCCAGCTCCTCCCCGAGCTTCAACCTCCTCCGACCATGGCCTCGTCGCCCGAGAAGAAGCAGAAGACGGCCGCCGCCAGCGCGCACGCCAGCGCGCTGCTGCGCTTCTACCGCACGCCGGCCTTCACGGCGCACGCCAACCGCACGCTGCTGGCCTACCTGCGCGCGCAGGTGGGCGCCGACGCCGGCCTGCAGGTGGACGAGCTCGTGACCGAGTACTGCTTCTACGTGGAGACCACGGCCGGGTCCGGCCCGCTGTCCACCGCCGACCAGGACACGCTCCACTGGCTGCTCAGCGAGACCTTCGAGCCGCAGCAGACGCGCGCGGACGAGCCGTTCCTGGCCGCCGCCGAGCAGAGCAAGGAGTGGCTCGTGGAGGTCGGCCCGCGCATGAACTTCTCCACGGCCTGGTCCAGCAACGCCGTGGCCATCTGCCAGGCCTGCGGCATCTCCGCCATCAAGCGCATTGAGCGCGCCACGCGCTACCTGGTGCGCTACACGGCCACCACGCCCGAGGCCCTGAACACGCTCAAGCAGGCGCTGCTCCGCCACGAGTGCGACCGCATGACGCAGCAGGTGTACGACAAGCCGCTGGCCAGCTTCTGGCACGGCAAGACGGTGCAGCTCGTGCGCAAGATCCCCATCATGGAGCGCGGCATCGACGCGCTCAAGGAGATCAACGAGGAGATCGGCCTCGGCTTCGACGACTGGGACCTGCAGTACTACCTGAACCTGTTCAAGGAGAAGCTGCGTCGCAACCCCACGGACGTCGAGTGCTTTGACATGGGTCAGAGTAACTCGGAGCACTCGCGCCACTGGTTCTTCGGCGGCAAGATCGTCATCGACGGCAAGGAGATGCCCACGACGCTCTTCAAGATGGTCAAGGACACGCTCACCGAGAACGCCAAGAAGAACAGTGTCATCGCCTTCCACGATAACTCGTCCGTCATCCAGGGCGCCAACATTGTCACGCTCGGCCCCGTGAACCCCGGTGAGCCCTCGGCCGTGCAGGAGCGCACCCTTGACAGCCACCTGCTGCTAACCGCTGAGACCCACAACTTCCCGTCGGGCGTGGCGCCGTTCCCTGGTGCTGAGACCGGCACGGGTGGCCGTATCCGTGATGTCCAGGCTACCGGTCGTGGTGCCAACGTCGTTGCTGGTGTCAGCGCCTACTCGGTGGGCAACCTGAACCTCGAGGGATACAAGCTTCCGTGGGAGGACGAGAAGCTCGAGTACCCTTCGAACCTTGCCCACCCCCGTGACATTCTGATCCAGGCCTCGAACGGCGCCTCGGACTATGGCAACAAGTTCGGTGAGCCCGTCGTTACGGGTTTCGCCCGTTCGTTCGGCATGGTGCTGCCCAACGGTGAGCGCCGTGAGTACATTAAGCCGATCATGTTCTCGGCTGGTCTCGGCCAGCTGGACGGCCGCCACTGCACCAAGGGCGAGCCCGAGATCTCGATGTGGGTCGTGAAGATCGGTGGCCCGTGCTACCGTATCGGTATGGGCGGTGGTGCCGCCTCTAGCCGTATCCAGGACACTAAGACTGCTGACCTGGACTTCAACGCCGTTCAGCGTGGTGATGCCGAGATGGAGTGCAAGCTGAACAAGGTCATCCGCGCTTGCTGCGACCTCGGCGAGAAGAACCCCATCGTCTCGATCCACGACCAAGGCGCTGGTGGCAACGGTAACGTGCTGAAGGAGATCGTTGAGGTGTCGAACTCCAAGCCGGGTGACGCTAACCGCGGTGGCGCTCGCTACGAGGTGCGCAACATTCTGGTTGGTGACGACACTCTGTCCGTGCTCGAGATCTGGGGCGCTGAGTACCAGGAAAACGACGCCCTTCTGCTTCGCCCTGAGCACGTCGAGCTGTTCGACAAGATCTGCAAGCGCGAGAACTGCCCGTACGCTCTTCTGGGCCAGGTCACCGGCGATGGCCATGTCGTGCTGCACGACTCGCAGGACGACTCGACGCCGTTCGACCTTGACCTTGACCTTGTTCTGGGCAAGATGCCGCAGAAGACCTTCACGGATGTGAAGGCCACGGAGACCGTCTCGGAGCTGTCGCTCCCTGCTGACATTACCCTGCGCGATGCGCTGGACCGTGTGCTTCGTCTTCTGTCGGTCGGCTCCAAGCGTTTCCTGACCAGCAAGGTTGACCGCTCGGTGAGCGGCCTGATTGCCCAGCAGCAGACTGTTGGCCCGCTGCAGCTGACGCTTGCTGACTGCGCCGTCGTGGCGCAGTCGAACATCCCCAACAAGGACGGCAAGTTCACGGGTGTGGTGAGCGCTTGTGGTGAGCAGCCCGTGAAGGGTCTGGTGAACCCGGGTGCCATGGCCCGCCTGAGCGTTGGTGAGTCGCTGACCAACATGGTGTGGGCGGCTCTCGGCGGCCGCGGTCTTGACGACTGCAAGTGCTCTGCCAACTGGATGTGGGCCGCTAAGCTGCCCAACGAGGCTGCGCGTATGTACGAGTGCTGCGAGGCGATGACCACTTTTATGAAGCAGGTGGGTGTGGCCGTTGACGGTGGCAAGGACTCGCTGTCCATGGCTGCCAAGGTCAACAAGAAGGACGTGAAGACCCCCGGCACGCTTGTGATCACCATGTACGCGCCTACGGAGGACGTCGAGCTGAAGGTGACGCCCGACCTCAAGACCCACGCTCGCGACAGCCTGCTGTACTACGTGGACGTGGGCAAGGGTGCGAACCGTCTTGGTGGTTCGGCTCTGGCTCAGGTGTACGGCCAGGTTGGCAACGTGTCCCCGGATGTGGAGGACGCGGAGCTGTTCAAGAACGCCTTCAACGCCATCCAGACTGGCATCAAGAACGGCCACCTGCTCGCTGGTCACGACCGTAGCGACGGTGGTCTTATTGTTACGCTGCTCGAGATGGCCTTCGCCGGCAACTGCGGCCTCGACGTGGACATTCCGTTCGCGGGCGGCAAGGCGACGACCAAGGACATTATCCAGGTGCTGTTCGCCGAGGAGCTAGGCTTCGTGTTCCAGGTGGCCGCTGGCCAGCATGCCACCGAGGTGGAGGCTATCTTCAGCAAGGCGAACGTGCCGCTTGTGAAGCTGGGTAAGGTGACGACCGACGGCGCCATCAAGGTGAGCGTCAACGGCGAGAGCGTCCTAGAGGACCAGATGGTCGACCTGCGTGACGTGTGGGAGGCTACGAGCTTCGAGCTTGAGAAGCGTCAGTGCAACCCCGAGTGCGTTGCCCAGGAGCAGCGCTCGCTGCGCACCCGCACGGCTCCTCAGTGGAAGGTTACGTACGAGCCCAAGCCTACGCCGGAGCGCCAGCTGAGCACTCGTGCTCAGCACCGTGTTGCGGTTTTGCGTGAGGAGGGCAGCAACGGCGAGCGCGAGATGCTTGCCGCTTTCCACCACGCCGGCTTCGAGGTGTGGGACATCACCATGTCGGACCTTGTCAACAAGCGCGTGGTCCTGGACGAGCGCTTCCGCGGTGTGGCTTTCGTCGGCGGCTTCACGTTCGCTGACGTGCTGGGCTCGGCCAAGGGCTGGTCGGGCGTGGTGAAGTTCCACGGCGACGTGCTCAAGCAGTTCGCGGCTTTCAAGGCCCGCGAGGACACGTTCAGTTTCGGCGCTTGCAACGGTTGCCAGTTCATGACGCTGCTCGGATGGCTAGACCACCCGGAGGCCAAGGCCATCGAGGAGGAGACCAAGACGTCGGCGCAGCCGCGTTTCGTGCACAACGAGTCGGGCCGCCACGAGTCCCGTTTCGTGTCGGTGCAGATCCAGGAGTCGAACTCGATCATGCTGCGCGGCATGGCCGGCTCGTCCCTGGGCGTGTGGGTCTCGCACGGTGAGGGCCGCGCGCACTTCACGCACCCCAAGATCCAGGAGAAGTACGTGTCGAGCGGCGCGGCGGCCATCCGCTACGTGGACGACTCGAACGTGCCGACGACGGAGTACCCATTCAACCCGAACGGCTCGCCCGAGGGTATCGCCGGCCTCGTGTCCAGCGACGGCCGCCACATGTGCCTCATGCCGCACCCGGAGCGCTGCTTCCTCAAGTACCAGTGGCCGTACATGCCCGCGGAGTTCGAGGCGCACCCCGTGAGCCCCTGGATGCAGATCTTCCAGAACGCCAAGACCTTCTGCGAGGGCCAGTAAGCGTCCTCCCAAGCTGCCGACAATCGCATCAGAGCAGCACCTCACTTGACAATGCACGAAGCATGGTATATTTGTACAAACCACACTCGTCTTGCCTTCGATGAAGACACACAAGTGCATTGCTACCAAGAAGCAGCAACGAGACCGCTTCAACATGTAAGATAAAACGATCCGATTGGTAGAAAAACCACGTGTGTAAATCGTCCAATTTGATAGGCTACTCTACCACTTTCTAATTGGCTCAAAATTCGACTCAACTCAGATCTGACAACTCTTCCTCAAACATGATAGGCCGAAATTGCCATCCTCTTCCATTTGTGCGCCCGACTCTGCCTTTCTTTCTCCAGTAGTCAAAGTGCGTCAATCGTGGCGCCATCAGCATGGAGGAGTTCTTCCAGTACATCGGCCGGGACGGCGGCGCGGCGTCCTCCTCGGCGCTGCTGACCCGCGAGCGCCTGTTCGTGTACTCGACGCCGCGCGAGCGCCTGCTGGACCGCTGCGGGGAGCTGCGCGTGGGCTCGTACTTCGCGTGCTCGGCCGTGCTGTACTACGAGGACCAGGTGTGGCTCAAGATCCGCCGCGGCTACTTCTCCAACGCCAAGAACAATGGCTACATCCGCGCGCAGCTCGAGTTCCCCACTGGATCCGCACCGGTGGACGGCAGCGACCTCCCGCCGCGTCAGCAGCCCTCGGCGGTCGCGGCGCACCCGGCGCAGTTCCGATACATGCGCAGACTGCCCGGTACGCGGTGATTCAGCGCGATAACTGGCTGTAGCAGAGAAAACTGATTTGATTTTACTATGCTGTGGTGGTGCTGAGCAGAGTTTCCGACGTACATGTGCGCGCGCGACCGGCTGGAGCTGTACCGCGAGCCCGTGTTCAATCTGCACTCGGCGTCGGTGTCGTCCTCGTCGTCCGCTGGCCCCGGGAAGTCGATGCCGCGCCACATGCAGCGCTTCCTGCCGCCTGTGAGCGTGTTCCAAGCCACTGAGTGCAGGTTCAACCAGGACTTCACGCAGTTGGCGGTGAAGGTGACGTCCGCGTTCGCGGGGCTCGGCGGATGGATCAATGCGTCGTTCCACAAGACGCTGATTGAGGTCGAGGACCCGAAAGAACTGGGGTATTTCAGGAATGGACCAGTGTATCTGCAAAACGTGGCGGGGCGAGGAGGCAAGTGGGCGGGCGAGCTGCCGGTTCGAGCGATCCCGAGTCTGCAGGCACCAAGGTTGTATAACGTGGAGAGCTATCGAGTGGTGCGCGCTATTGAGCGCAAGCTGCTGAAGGACCGCGTCTGGGTGCGCATCCAACCGCTGAAGTCGCAGCAGGAGCTGCAGCAAGCCGGTGAAAAGAAGACCGAAGAAGACCACCCCACGCTTGATGTGGTTGAGAATCAGGAAGAGGAAGGAGTGGTGGAGACGGCAGGACCAGATGCGTGGATCATTGAACGCAACGCAAACACAGCTCAGCGGGTAATGGTGCCCTGGGGCAGCAACCGCATTCAAGATGTGCCAGCTAACGACAACGCTGAGCGATTCTATCGCACAGTGTACAGTCGTCGACCACTTCCGTTGCGACGTACGGCTGACCTGCAGGCAGAGATTGTTGGTCACCTTGAGCCGGGATCTGTGTTCTCCTCTACTCAGCGCGTGCTCAACGACAGGGGGCACATGTGGATTCGGGTAGCATTGCCTTCGGAAAAACCGGCCAACATTAGCAAGGATGCGAAGGACGATGGCGGTGAAGACAACAATGCTGGCAATGGCAGCCCAGATAACAATGCAGACGAATCGAAGGAGGAGGAGGAGGACTTTGAGGACCTCGGTCAACCTGTCCGGTACGGCTACGCGATCCAATCGAATGCCAAGACCAACACATGCATGGTCCAGGAAATCCCGGCGCCTGGGAAAATGAACCCGAAGCAGTACTACCAGGTGTTCCTCTCGTCGGACGAGTCGCACACAAAAAGCAGCAACCAGGAGGAAGAAGCTGCAATGAGCATCGCGCCAGATAACTCGATAGCTGCCCGTGCTGAAGCATCCAACACAGCTAAAGAGCTGTTCTACGTCAAGAACGGTGCCATTTTGTCGGCCATCGGCACCGTGTACAATGCCAAGCAGGGACGCATGTGGTTGCAAGTTTTGGCGACCGAGTTGGATCCTGCAATGCGTATCAAGCACCAGTGGCCCCTCTCCGATGCGGAGCAGAATCTAAACGTGGTCTACCTACCGATGTGCGATCCGAAATCCAATTCAAACGAAACTGTTCTCAAGCCGGTCCACCGCGAGTTGACACGGATTGACAACCCTCTCAAGGCTGAAAAGGACGGCTCGCGGTCTCCGTCACGAGTGGTATTCAGTGGCCGCGCATCAAAGCTGTTCGGTTCGCACCTGTTGCGTCCGTCAACGATTGATCTGCCGTCTGCATTCCAGAAGGAGAAGAAGGGTCCGGAGTCGCTTAGCAGTGGAATTACGGTCGCTGATCCGGTCGCACGAGCAGCTGGCGAGAACGATCGTGCACAAAGTCTCAAAGACGAGATCACGGCATGGCAGTTGCAGACAGGCAATCGCGTGACCAAGCTGTACACGCAGATCGGCTCCTTGGCCGGCTACACCTTCAGCTGCGTGAGTCGGCCTTTCGCGTCGTGCTTGGCACACCAGGAGGCCAAACGGCGATACCGTCTGCTGGACCAGGAGGAAGAGGGCATGGAGGAGTACGCCCTCGAGGACGACGAAGTGCACGTGTAAGCTGCAGTGATCGATCATGACGTTCACTTCGTCTTGGTAGGAAAAATATTCAAACAAGTGACTGTTTCAGCCGTGTTAGCACTGGACTCTGGTCTTGTGGGCCAGCGCCACTGTTAACAAGAACAAGGTGAAAAATAAGTGAAGCCGTTTCGTGACAAGCTTAGTTACTAGTACTGTAATTCTCATGAAAAAAAAGTGCGCCACCAACGTGGTGCAGATTGATCGAGCGCTGCAACGTTACCTACGGAATCCCGATGATCGCTGTAGCCATCTCGTTCTCAGCCAATCAGAGCAGCTAAAACATAAATCAGAAGTTCAAAGCGTCCCCGGCAGATCGAAGATCGCCATCCATTCCTGAATCCGCGCGCTCCAGCTCAAGTCCCTCCTTCCTCGACGATGCAGCTCCTGCCCACCCTCGCCGTTGCCGCCGCCACCGCCGCCGCCGCGCTCGTACTCGCTGAGCAGGAGGTGCACCTCCGGATGCACCTGACCGAGCACAAGTTCTACGTGACGCCCATCGGCCAGCAGTGCGCCTTCAACAACTGCGTGGATCCGTCCGTGTACCCGTGCGCCAACGGCGTCTGCGTGCGCCTCAACTACACGTACGGCATCTGCAGCGACGACTCCAAGGACATGAGCGCCGACGTGGACTACGACGACCCGAAGCTGCTCTGCCCGTACCCGAACCCGTACAACAGCAAGCTCGGCTCGCTCGGCGACGAGGAGGACGACGACACCGATGACGCGTAAACCAACAGACGCGACTCGTCGGCCCCTCCCTAGTGTTAGGAGAGAGAGAGAACAACGTGTATATCCCGAACTTAAATGTAAACACGGTCTATAAGCAATCGACGTCTCTGTAGACGGCATTGAACCATGGATTCCCACTGGAAACCGAGCTGGAAATTCCAGCACTGTGCATCAATTGGCGACAGTGCATGGAATGTGGTCTCCGTGGCAAGTCGTGACATCGATAGCCCGCATTTACTCAACTCCTGAGTCAATTGAAGCTCGACTCGAGACAGGTCTGCTTCAATGGACATGTGAAGTCTCCTTCAGCTGTTGGAGCATTGATGAACTGCGTAGGGGTGCTCCTCCTATACAAAAACCAAGTGAGTTTTTTTCAGATGTGACATTCATTCCTGAACTGCGTCCTTCAAATGCTGCCAGCGCCGCCACCGGAGCCCGCCGTCGTCTTGCTGGAGCCGCCGCCCGCAGACGCCGCCGCCGATAGCAACGTAGACGCGCAGCTGGCGGCGCTCAAGACCCAGCGGTGGACGCAGGGCAAGGACCTGACGGCGCACATCAAGGACGTGGCTCTGCGCGCGGGCAAGCGCGCGGTCGTGCAGGTGAGCGGCGGCAGCTACAAGAAGTTCGTGTGCTCCAGCGAGGCGCCGTGTCCGTGGCTCGTCAACGCCGTGTGCTCGCGGCCCAAGAAGGCGGTGGCAGCGGCAGATAATGGCGGCGCCGAGCGCTTCTGGTACGTGACGTCGGGCTCGCTGGCGCACAGTCCGCAGTGCAACAGCGTGGCCAAGCCCACGACCCGGCAGCTCAAGGAGAGCGCGCTGCTGCGCGACGCCGTGTACGCGGACGCGCGCGTGTCGTCGGCCGAGCTGGTGGCGCAGCTGGCAGCGGCCGAGTCGTTCCAGTGCAGCAAGAGCATGGTGTACAAGGCCAAGAGCGACCTGCTGGAGGCCTTGGAGACCGCGCGGCGCAACGGAGACGCCGTTCCGGAGGTGGTCGAGTCCATGCAGAAGCTGCCTGGGTACTTGGAGCAACTGCAGGCGCTGAACGCTCACGTGGCGACTGTTATCGAGACGGAGGCTGGCCAGACTGGAGGAGGTCATTCTGGAGAGGGATCGGCCACGGGGTCGTGCTTCCTGAGAGCGTTGCTGGCGCTGGACCCGACCGGCGTGTGGAACGACCAGAGCGTGCTGGGCATTGATAGTGTGGAGATGCAGCACGCGAGCTACAACGGCACCATGTTGGTGCTGGTGGGTCGAGATGGAAACCTGCAGCCGATGATGCATGCAGTCGCGCTTGTGCCTGAGGAGTCTATGACGCACTGTACGTGGTTCTTGGAGAAATTGATCGCGCACGGGTTCCCGCTGCGGAGGTTCCCGGTGGTGGTTAACGGGCGCGGGGCCTTAGGAGCGGCATGCGCTGAATTGCTCGTTCCCCATGTAATGATGTGTACTCAGCACCTGCTGGACGACATGCGTGAAACACACTGCATCGAACTAGAGGAAGAGGACGAGGAACTTGTGTGGCAAGCTCAGCGCGCGGAAGCCGAGAGCGAGTATCTCGCGTCTGTGGCACAGCTTTCGCGCCAAAATGAAGCGGCGGCTCAGTACATTCGTGGAGTGGAGCCGTTGAAATGGTGCTTGTATCCGTACTTGGCCATTCGACAGATGTACGGGTGGCAGACTACGCGGTTTGAGGAGTTGGATCTCGGCACGGAGACACTGGGCCTTGCGCCGGTGAGGAAACAGCTCCCTTACGAATGCATCAAAGTGTTATCGCTTGTTGCGATGCACGCTGCCTTCCAAAGGCACGAGCGCGCGACACAATGGGAGTTGGAGCGCCGCGTGGTCACACCAGCGGCGGATCAACTGATGAAAGAGCAACTTGACCGTGTCCCGCTCTACTCGGTTTGCATGAGCACAGCCCAACTCGCCTTCGTTTGGAATTCGCACAACGCAAAGATCCGACAGAGGCGTGTGGATTTGGAGCACCGCACGTGCACATGTTCGAGACGATTACAGTGGGGAATCCCGTGTCGTCACGTGCTAGCTGCGCTACAGAAGCTGTGTGCAATGAACCAAGCCGTGAACTTCTTTGACGAGTGCTACCTGGTGCGCAACTACGTATCTTCATTTAAGAACCGAGCCCTGGAACTTCCCGTGGAGGAGAACATCCAGCATGACCCGACGATACGACCCCCGCGCTTTGTCAACAAACAAAGCGTGTCAAGTAGCGACGTGGACGCTGCCAGGAAGAGGAAGCGCCGCGTTCGGACTCGCCCCATGGAGCAACGCAAGCGGCCACTCTACAAATGCCACAAATGCCATCGTGCAGAAGGTCACAACAAAGGCACCTGTCCGTACTAGCTACAATTGACGACGACCAACGCTGTGGTGAGTATCGAACCATGGATGTTCTCGATTGGTATTTCGTTCTTAAATAACAGTTTTGGGTTCTCTACATGGGCGCTGCTGCTGAACTCAAGAACTTTGGTTCGTCTCCGTGCTTGCAACACTCGAGATTGGCGAGGCGTGGCGGGCGCAGTAGTAGTCGAACTTTTGATACGATCGACGGTTGCACCCCTCACGTTTGCAGCGATTGCCGCCGCCGTGAGCCCAACACAGTCCGCCCTGGGTGGAGACTTTCGTGCATTCCGGAATTTCGCAGATGTGACCACCGCCATGGGACCAGCAGTGGCCGTAGCGCTTGGCCTTCTTGGTGCAGCCGGGTTCCGAGCATGTCTTGAAACCTCCGTGTTGGAAGCACCGTTGGTACAACTTGGCGCGCTTAGTGCAACCCGGCTTCGTGCAACGTGATCCACCACCATGGCGCACACAGCAGCCACGTGATACGGCGAGGTTCTGACACCCTTCCACTTGGCATTGACGGGTATGGGTCTTTCGGGTACGAGTTTTACCGCCTTGGTTCGTGGTTGAGGAAGAAGCTTGCGTTGTCGAATGTGCTTCGATGCTATCGCCGGGACTTGAAACTACGCTTGGTGTCTTGCTGGAGCTTGAGGGGGAGCTAGCGACCGATGAAAGTGCAGCCAGAGTCATCAATGGCAGTCTCGCTCTCCTGCTGTCCAGGTACTGGAGGTGGTCGCGCTTTTTCTCGTGTGGAGAGATTTTCGCCAGGAGCTGCTGCCGGTACCGCAACGAAGAAGTGACAGTTTGGACTGGCGAGAGACTGCGAAAGAGGGCCAAGGTTGCGGTGTCGGCAGGGCTTTGTGCTGTTCGGTCCGGCGTCTGGCAGCTTTTCGTGGAGGTCTTGGCCTGGATGGCAGGATTGAGGAGATAAGTGATGTTCGACTTGCTGCGCATGTTGAGGCGGCAGATAGATTGGTGGTGGTGGGTGTCTACTGAGAGAGTGAGCAATTGATTTATGAATGCGAGGCGAAAGCTGCAAGCTCAGCCAAGTGTGGTGCTACCAGTTCGACCATGCACTGGCGGATGGCTGCAAAGGTGAGCGGTTTAGCAACGGCGGATGAGATACGTCAAACGCGGCGCTGTGGTCGATAGTGCTCCAAGGCGCTCGCACGTTCGAACACATAAGCCCGGGTCACCAGCGCAAGACAACAGTTTCTTGGCTACTAGACAAGCAGATTTGGGACCAGCAGAGAACAGACAGACCGATTGTTGCTGCAAAGGCAAGTGGGGAGTTGCGAATGGCGTAAAACAAATGGAGAAAACCGTGGATATCGGATATCGGCGCAAGACCGAACAATGGTGTGGTAGTTTGATCCAGAGCCATCGTTGGAAGCAGGAGGGCCTCGCATAGTTCGTGGGTTGTTCAGGGATGGCCACCCAATGGAGGTGACCAACGCGGTCATTTGTGCACGCCTTCGCGTGGTCAAGCCTCGACGGTATTAATAACACTTGCGCTGGCGAGCGGCGACTGGCGCAATGGGCCCATAAACACACAGGTTGCGCGCAGCGACCTGTTTGAAGCATGCTTTGAGACGCTATTAGCAATCGTTCTCCAGGCCAAAGTGCATGGATTCGTGCCCCTTAATCTGCGCTTAATGCTGCTTGGTGCATAGATTTCTGCTTGGTTCGGGCACAGTGGGAGGCGTGTATCTCTCACGCCGCCACGCGTAGGACGAGTGACAAGACCTGGACCCGCAGCTTCGCTTGCTGTACCTGGTACTGTTCAGGGCGTACCATGGCATTGTAGTCTACGCTTTTGACGGTCAAATTTTGCTGAGCATCAATGCGTGCTTCACGCTCGGGGGTGCTTCCGACCATGTTACTTTCAACATGCTCAAGCAATCATTAGGATTGCTACATTTGCTATCCACTAGATCCCTAGATGCCTTTGTTGTCATACCGTGCTGTTGTCTTGACAACCAAGGATTTTTTTCTTTTACAAGGAATGTCACCATTCATCGTTTCTAAAAGAACTCGGGTGGAGTTCTTTGTGAAAACCATTGCTTCGTACTGTAGATAGGCGAAGTGCTGGCAAAATCGCAACTGAAATTGGAAGGCGATAAGAGTTTGTGCAACGCAATTTGTGTAAAATAAATACCGTCTAATCTAATCTATTCTACCAACCTGGATCTACAAGCTAGCTCCCACAGCAGCTCCCGTAGTTGTCGAAACCAAAATGCGAGGCGCATGGCGCAGGCAGAAGTAGTCGTACTTCTGGTACGAGCGACGATTGCAGCCCTCGTGCTTGCAACGGTTGCCGCCGCCGTGGGCCCAGCAGAATCCGCCCTGGGTCGACACCTTCGTGCACTCGGGAGCCTCACAGATGTGACCGCCGCCGTGCGACCAGCAGTGGCCGTAGCGCTTGGCCTTCTTGGTGCAGCCGGGCTCGGTGCACATCTTGTAGCCTCCGTGCTGGAAGCAGCGCTGATAGAGCTTGGCGCGCTTGTTGCAGCCAGGCTCGGTGCACTTGGAGCCGCCGCCATGACGGACGCAGAGGCCTCGGGAGACGGAGAGGTTCTTGCAGCCCTCGATCTGGCAGGGGGGAGTGTGGCTCTTGCGAGGACGGGATGCAGCCTCGGTGACTGCCGACAGCTCAAGCGTCGGGTCGAATGGCTCATTGGACACGCACAGAGCAGCCAACGAAAGCATGGGGAGGTTTGCCTTGTCATCCCCGTACGAACGCATGCTCTTGAATTTCTTTTCACGCGGAGCGATGCATGACGCGATCAGGCGGCGCTGGTGCGACGTCGACGGCGAGGCTGGTTCGGGGCTCTGCATCACTGAGGACAGGCAGTGGAAGAGCGACATGGACGGAGACGAAGGCGCAACAGCCACCTCGACGCTGTCGCCGGCATGGTCCGCCGTGGCGGAGGGGTTGAGGAGGAAGGAGATGTCCGCCTTGCACATGCTTTGGTTGAGTGGATGTGCTCACGAAACGGTGAATTGAGTTGTGAACTGAAAACCAAGCAGACAAAGCGGAGCGGCACACGACTTGCCGCCTCCTAACAAAGGGTCAAAGACCTGCGCGGGCCTCGCATGACTCGAGCCCCGTCATGCGACATTCAGTCCGGTGGTGGGTGCGTGCTCATCCGTGTGGACACTTTGCACACAACACAAGTGGAGTGCATAGTGCCGTCGAACTCAAGCGCCCGAAGGCATGTGGCGGCAAGGTTCTCGCCGGACAGACTGGGCATCCGAAGCGTCGGCGATGTCTTACCGAACAACAACACTCACGCATTTCGCTACCTAGGTGATAGCACGCCAAGGCAAAACCTACATGACCCGCAGGGCATTTTGCGTTGATTTCGCAAGATCCTCGAGCCTTTAGCAATCGAGTACCCCGCCATGTATTTCGGGGCCCGCGGACCTCGACGGCGCCGAGCTTGTCTTTGTCGGAGCCTTCGCTTCCAGGGCGGATTTACTTGACACGAGCTTCGTGCGGCATGGCGCCGCATAGACGCCGTCTCGCAAAACTGAAGTTGCCGCAAGAAACACGCCGCACGCACCAAGCAGCCATGCGACGGGACAGCGCAGAAGTTCAACCGTGTGGATCGTCAACGCGCGGCATCGCCTTGATTGCTCGGGCAGGCGCTGCGTGTCTAGCTGCTCCGCGGCAGATTAAGGTCGCAGCTGTATCAACTGACAAAACCACTTGATTTTTGTATGCTCAAAGTTGAAGTGGATATATCAAACATAACCGGGACCGCTAGACCAATGCAATCCGCTCGCTTACGCTCCAGAGTCTCGGTCTTTCGCTTTGTTAATGGCCAACCTGAGCTGGCATGCAACACACACTCACGAGCTTTGTTGTGAGTATATCGGCCCCTTAGTCTCGCCAATCGCCTTACTACTTGCTACATGTACACGGCCGACAAAGAGAGCATGTACATGGCTGCACAGCGCCTTGCCTTGTCTGCCATGTCAAATGAAGCAGCACCTTCAACGTCTACGTTGCTCACGATCGTGTACGTGTGCACCGCTGAAGTAGACGCCCTGAGGACACACGAACTCGATGGGCACGAAGGCGCTAATATATTGTCGGGGCATCGCAGAGTGCGCGTTGAATAAATTAGTCTAGCTATCATCTAGTCTCATCCGAATTGACGGACTTGGTACACCATCTTGGTCTTGGCGTGGCGCATGCAGTAGTAGTCGTACCGCCGATAGGAGCGGCGGTTGCAGCCCTCGTGTTTGCAGCGGTTGCCGCCACCATGAGCCCAGCAATAGCCTCCTTGCGTGGACACCTTGGTGCACTCGGGCGATTCACAAATGTGGCCGCCGCCGTGCGACCAGCAGTGACCATAGCGTTTCGCCTTCTTGGTACAGCCAAGTTCAGTGCACATCTTGTATCCGCCGTGTTGAAAGCAGCGCTGGTTCAGTTTGGCACGCTTGGTGCACCCGGGGAATGTGCACTTGGAGCCACCGCCGTGGCGCACACATAGCCCTCGGGAGACAGAGAGGTTCGGGCAACCCTCGACTTGGCACGGAGGAGCGTGGGTCTTGCAAAGTTTTGGCATGCGCTCGGATTCAAAAGTTGATGCCAGTTCGGACTGAGCGTCTTCGCCGTCGACGCTGCCGCTGGGGCTTGAGTCACTGCTGACGCACAAGGCAGCTATGGAGATCATCGGCAGCCGCGTCGTGCCGCTTCCGTAACATTGGAGGTCGGTCATTTTCTTCTCGCGGGGCACGATGTCCGGTGCCACCAGCGTCTGCCGGTGCGTGAAAGCCGAGTCGGGGCTTCTCGCGACCGGCGACAAGCTGCGGAACAGCGACATTGGTGGCGAGGAGGTCCCTGTCAACTCGAGGTCGGCGTGGTCGGGCCTCGAGCACGGCGTTTCCGCGGTGCTATCCACCTGGCCGGATGGGTTGAGCAAGAAGGTGATATCGGCCTTGCAGTGCATACTGGTGAGGATTCTAATGCAATGCTCCGCGAAAGGCAAATTCAAATGTGAGCCGGTGGCAAAATGGATCGCCGAGGACTGTGAACAGACTGAGTGGCTTGGCTTAACGACGGTTGTCCTGCTGTTTGCGGCTCCAAGCAGAAAACAACCAAGCAGAAAACCTGACCAGCGCAAGAGCCGAGAAACGCGGACAAGTTATTTGCCAGTCAAATCGTGCTAAGTTAGCGCTGCTAACCCGCCCAAGACCGCCAGCCTGGTGGTCTTGGCAGCGCCAGGATCCGCTACCAGGCGCGATCCCGCATCACCTCCTTCGCGTCGAGGTTCTAGAACTTCCTCGTTTCGGAAGGCAGACACGCGCAACTGGTTGTCAGCGCAGCAAGGTCACACGACTCCGAGAGGATAGAGCATTGTGGCGTTGGCCCGACAGAGGCATCGGCAGCGATAGCTGAGCAATCCACCTCACGGCAGCGCGGCTTTTTTGTTAAATTCGTCTGCATGCGCGCAGCGTTAGTCTGCGCCTTAGTACGTTCAAGTTTAGTCCCGGGGGTGCGGCGGGGCATAGATCTGGCCGGGGACGGCCGGCCCAGCATCACGAGCTCACCCTACACTAGCGCCGCGCCAAGACCAGTGACAGGCGGGAGATTCCCCGAAGAGAAGCACGCGTGCCTCTCTCGCTGACGATGGCAAAGTTGACAGGTTCAACATGCCTGGGGTCTGATTGGCGCGCGACGAGAGGCTCGCAGCAGCGCGATGCAGGTTGCTTGCTCGCCTCCGTCGCGCGTGTCTTAGCAGTCGCCGATTTAGACGTCCGTTAAAAGCGCTGTCGGCAGCGGTAATTCGCTGCTCAAAAGCGACTTGCGCCCATCGGAAAGCAGCGTCTTTGCGTCTAACTTCAGTTTCTGCCTACAGTACGGGCCAAACTTCAGCTTTTGAAGTGAACTTTTGCCATGTACCGCTAACAGCGAAGGCATCGATCGCCACACGCCTCCTTCCGCTACCTGCCGGCTAGACAAAGACCGAAAACACTGAGCATGGGCTGGAATGAGGTGTCAATTAAATAGTCTAAATGCCTAACTAGCTATCGGTACTGGCCGCTTTAAGCCGTGGCGTGGCGCATGCAGAAGTAGTCGTACTTCTGGTACGAGCGACGATTGCAGCCCTCGTGCTTGCAACGATTGCCGCCGCCGTGGGCCCAACAGAATCCGCCCTGAGTCGACACTTTCGTGCACTCGGGAGCCTCGCAGATGTGACCGCCGCCGTGCGACCAGCAGTGGCCGTAACGCTTGGCCTTCTTGGTGCAGCCGGGCTCGGTGCACATCTTGTAGCCTCCGTGCTGGAAGCAGCGCTGATAGAGCTTGGCGCGCTTGTTGCAGCCAGGCTCGGTGCACTTGGAGCCGCCGCCATGACGGACGCAGAGGCCTCGGGAGACGGAGAGGTTCTTGCAGCCCTCGATCTGGCACGCGGGCGAGTGCGTCTTGCGCGGGGGAGACGCGCTGGCCGAGACCGAGGCGTCGGAGAGCTCATCGTCGCTGGAGCTGAAGCACTCAGAGCACAGCGCCGCCATGGACATGGTCGGGCGTGCGCGCTTGCTGAGGCTGCGGCGCTGCTCGAGCGGGGCCATGTACGGGGCCGCCAAGCGGCGATGGCTCGCGTAGGACACCGGAGAGCGCTCGGGGCTGCTCATGATCGGCGACAGGCTGTGAAAGAGCGACGCCGAGGATGCCGGCGCTCGATCGGGCGTCATCGGGGCCTGGGCCAACGGGTTCAGGAGGAACGAGATGTCCGCCTTGCACATTGCTTTGGTGGTTGTGGTGTGGATGTGGGGAATTGAATAGTGAGATTCGATACACCACCGGCGCAAAGATGAGAGCGATGCGCACGGCCGGCCAAATCAATTTGGGGCGCGTGTTTATCGTTGGTGCGGCCATCTGATTCTCGGTCTCAAATTGGCATTCATGAAGGAGGCGGTGCCGGTCGGGGACTGTATCAAGTCGATGGCTTGCGTCTCCTGTCGCAGCCAAGCTGTCTTGAAGCTCACCAACTGCTGCGTTGTCGCTCGCTTGGGCCGAGCATTGCCAGCGCAAAGCGGAGCAACGCCACTCGGCCGCTGAGCAATCTCGCATCCAACACCGAGCAGCGCGCGCTGTTTCTGGCCTTAATAGGGCGTTAATAAACACGCAACGTGGCCCTTGTATCTACTGTAGACACGCAGCACCGCCAGAAAAACTTCAGAAAACGCGACGAAGCAGGCGGGTTTTCCGCGACGCTTGCTTTCAAAGCAGCCTGCCGCTCTTAGCGCCTCTGCTTGGCGAGCTTGAAGCGAGACGAAGGTGAAGATGGGGGCGTCCTCTGATGATCTAGCGGTGGATAGGCCGACTTTAATCGGTTTAATCGCTGCAGACGCTGCGACGGCGACACCGCCGGCCAGCTCTGAGCAACAACGATCTGAGTGCTCTGGCTCAAATGCTCTTATGCGAGGGGCATGCGCTTTGGTTTGCATCCCCCGCAACGCATCCAAACCTCAGTCCAATAAAATACTAAGTATAACAGCACAAGATGCCAGGAACTCGGAGCATGACCGCATGGATTTCGACTTGGAAGATCACCGCCAAAGCGGTTAGCCCCACGGTGTGACCCCTCATCCGAGTCTCGGAGTCCGAGTGCAGCGCATGCCTGTCGGAGCTAACACTCGATCGAGGCTGTACCTGGTACTCAAGAAGACTGCCCCCCCCCCTAGCTAGTAGATCAGAACCATTGACCAAAGCCGTCTTTGGTGCTTGGTGCACTCTTACTCATAGACCCATTCAATTCCACTTTATGTATTGCGATAAATAACACACAGTCAACTACAGTCAAGGTACCTCTTACACACTCGCGTTGAAGTGGGTGTTCTCGGTGTCCGCGCTCATGTTCGCGTGGTGGACGCAGTAGTAACCGTACTTCTGGTACGAGCGGCGGCTGCAGCCCTCCAGTCTACAGCGGTTGCCGCCGCCGTGGGCCCAGCACAGTCCGCCCTGGGTCGACACCTTGGTGCAGTCCGGGACCTCACAGATCCGGCCGCCGCCGTGCGACCAGCAGTGGCCGTAGCGCTTGGCCTTCTTGGTGCACCCAGGCTCAGTGCACGTCTTGTAGCCGCCGTGCTGGAAGCAGCGCTGGTAGAGCTTGGCGCGCTTGCAGCAGCCAGCGACCACGCAGCGCGAACCACCGCCGTGGCGGACGCAGCAGCCGCGGGAGACGGCGAGGTTCTTGCACCCTTGGACCTGACACGGCGGGGTGTGCGTCTTGCGTACGCGCGTCTTGCCGGCGTGGGTCTGGTTGGTCGTCAGATGCTGGGATGTTGTGCTGTGGTCCTCTTCGCTGTGCTCACTGCCTGCCACCGACGACGTACGCGAGACGCTGCTGCTCGTAGAGTTGGAGCTGTTGGCAGCGTACATCGCAACGAGCGACAGCATTGGCAGGCGGGTGCTGTCGTCCCCGTAGCAGCGGACGTTGCTGAACCGCTTCTCGTACATGGGCTCGTACGAGGCCGGCAGCTTCCGGGTGGGCGAGAGCGAGAGCGTGGGCAAGCGCTCCACCGGCGAGAGGCTGCGGAAGAGCGACATCGGAGGCGGCGTCGCGGGAGGTGTCGCGACATTGTCCTCGACCGGCGACTGATAGTTCAGCATCTGCACTTGCGCCTTCGGGTTGAGGAGGAAGGCGATGTCAGCCTTGGCGTTCATGGTGCTGTTGGCGCGAGGATCAATGGGGCGAGAGGTCTGTCGGGTCGAGAGCAAATTCCGTTGTGAGCAACCACCGGCTCCGGCGGCGGCGGCGTTGGTCCGACAACAAAGACCCAGCGAGCTCGGGTCGAGAAACGTATTGCGAAGAGTGCCCAGAAGCTGCATTTTGACTGTGTACCAGTCGTCATCGATCTTCGCCAGATATAGATGAAGCTCTATCGTTTGGAAGCCTACCAAGGCGTTAGATGCCTTGACCAGGACTTTATCCAGTATCGCACACACGAACTCTTGGGAGTCAGCCTGGGCGACCACGACATGCGCCTCGAAGCCGACTAACGCGCACACGTACGCGGTGATCCACGAGTATGGCCAGTTCTCAAGGTACGGTTTTGATGCTGTACCTTGAAACGGGTACACCATGTGATTCCAATTTGATCCAATGACATGAGACTTACAGATGAGCTTCTGGCTTCGTGGTCTGCGCGTTAGTTGCCGTACGTGCCAACGTGGCTTGTCTATCCGTGGACGCGGATGAGCTGGTCGGTTGTTTGCCTGCCAAGATCATGGAGAAGGCGGTGAAAATCCTGTACAACGTAAGAGCAGACGACCTCAAGTTGTACCTCGCCAAGGATGGAGACGACTGGATTTCTTCTACTTGCTCAGGACAGTATCAGATGTCCGTTGGAATGTAGCCATCTTCAACAATATGGCTACACTGGTCGAAATGTGACATATGCGACATGAGTTTAAGATGATTGGCTAGATCCACGAAAAAGTCCTATCGATTTTGGTCCGGACCAAACGAGTCCAATTTCGGAAACCAACGGCCCAGTTTTCACAAATCGAAGCCACGCACACGTAATGGCGGCCGGGCACAAGGGAGTCGCTGCCGGCGGCGGCGCGCTGCGGCGTCTCGCGGCGTCGCTGGAGCGGCAGCTGGCCGAGGACCAGCTGCGCGAGGGCGAGGACTGGTTCCTCGTGTCCTCCGCGTGGTGGGCGCGCGTGCTCGGGCGCGACGTGGGCGACGACAGCGCGGACAAGACGGACGACGACTCGGAGGACTCGGACGACGCCGCGCCGCGCGGGAACGACGAGCTGCGCGTGCAGAACGCGGCGCTGCTGGACGCGGAGCTGAGCAGCTGCGCGCGCGAGGTCGCCGTGCTCAAGCCCATGCTGGTACGAGCCGCAACGCAGCTCTGGAGCCCGAGATATGCCCACTCAAAGATACTCACACGCTATTGTTGCTGCTGTTGCTGCAGGTGGAGGGCAAGGACTACCGCCTTGTGAGCCAGCGGGTGTGGAACCAGCTGTCGGACCAATTCGGCTTCGACTGGGAGATCGCTAGGCCCGTGGTGGCCCGCGGGCCCGCCAAGACCCGCGTCGTGGAGGTGAACCCCGTGGCCTTCGAGGTGCTGGGCTGGCGCACGGGCCTCGAGGCGCCCGTGGAGCTGCTGGATGATGAACAGAAGCCGCTGGTGCTCACGGCCAGCGAGAAGTGCTCGCTCTCGGAGCTCAAGATGAAGATCTGGAGGGCGGCGGCCGACACGCCTGCGCTCAGGAACATGTTCAGTGATGTGAGCGAGGAGGACATCGGCAAGGCTGTACAGGTATGCTACAGAATGGACGAGGACTCGCCCTGGACCCCACTGAGAGACGCCGTGGTGGCCGAGTCACGCGCCAACGGGTTCTCAAGCCCCCGCAGACCCGATATTCTGGTGGAAAGCACCTCCGTGGGGGAGCTGCAGCTGGAGCAGAGGGACTACAAGCCTGGCAGGGAGAAGCTGCACCATTTGCTGGTGGAAGGACGCTTTGCAGCGGAACCTGGCAGAGAGATGCTGGACTGGAGACACGGCAAGTTCTACAGTGAAGTCCAGGCGGAGGCGTGGCGGTTCACGCTGGAGAAGAACCAGTTGATCGACGCTTTGGACACGGACAAGAAGTGGTACGAAGCGCGCGTGATCGATTTGAGCGACACGCAGGTGAAAGTGCATTACCGTGGATGGACAGCCAAGTGGGACGAGTGGCTGACCCGCACGTCGGCGCGCATCGCGCCGCTGCACACGAAGGTCCCAAATTGGCGCGCCTTTAAGGTTGGAGACGAGGTGCTCGTGGGGAAGGAAGTGGATCGAAAGAATTATCCTGAATGGCGAATTGGACGTGTTACGGATCTCAAGAAGTCGGAGATGCACGACTCGCTCCGAATTGAGCTCGATGTGGACGGATCAAAGAGGTGGGTGGACGCCCAAAACGAGTTGTTGTGTCCTGTGGGCACGCACAAGGCTCTGAACGTGAGCACGACTGTTACGTCGCCAGTGTCTTCGTTCTCGCCGGCCTCTTCATACAACCAATTTGCGCGCGACTACGGGAGTGAAGCGGGTAAGGGCCGGCCTACCTTTGAGGGCGTCGTGGGGCTGAGAAACCTGGGCAACACGTGCTTTATGAACAGCATGCTGCAGTGTCTGATAAACACAGCACCGCTTCGGGACTATTTCCTCGAGAAGGACCCGGAGACTGGCAGCCCATTCTTCACCAAGGAGATTAACCGACATAACCCTCTGGGTATGAAGGGAATCATGGCAGTCGAGTTCGCGTCGCTGCTGCGCAAGATCTGGAGCGGGGAATTCACAGCGGTCGCCCCAACGAGCCTGAAGTCCGTGATCGGCCAGTACGCGCCCCAGTTCGCGGGGTACCAGCAACAGGATAGCCAGGAACTGATGAATTTCTTGCTGGATGGCCTTCATGAAGACCTCAACCGTGTGAAGACGAAGCCATACACCAAGCCTGTTGAGAGGAATGGTCGCGAAGACCCGGAGGTGGCACAGGAAGAGTGGCAGCAGTTTGTTCGTCGCAACAACAGTATCATTGTTGACAACTTCATGGGGCAACTCCGCAGCCACGTGACGTGCTCGAACCCGGACTGCGGCAACGAATCGATCACGTTCGACCCGTACATGAACCTGTCGGTGCCGATCCCGAACAAGGAAACGGTGACCGTCCAAGTGCAGCTGTTCTGGGCTAATGGTGATATTCCGATGAAGTACGCTCTGCACCTCCCCAAGGAGGACATGTGCACCCTGCAAGACGCGAAGGAGAAGCTCAGTCAACTGTCAAGCGTCCCGGTGGCGTGGATTTTCTTCGTCGAAGTATGGAACCACCGGATTCTTAAGGCGTACTCGGATCGTATGCACGTTGACCGGCTTCGTGACGGCGTCCTCCACGCGTATGAGCTCGAGCTGCCGCTGACTGACTACTCGTTTTCGTCGCCTACCATCCGCCCTCCCACGGCGGGTAGAAGGTTAGGTACGCTGGAGACTGAGTCAGAGCCTGCAAAGCAGATGCACCTCGTCGAGTTGCTCCACCAAGCTCCCGTTGCGTCACCAGTGGATGGACGTAACAATTCCGAAGGCTACGATATGCTCGTGGAGGAGGGATATGGTCCGAAGCAGCGACGGGTCGAAGTGGAGTTATTCAATACGCCGCTTCTTGTGTCGATCGACCGGAAATGGTCAAAAGCTCGGATACACAAGAAAGTGTGGCAGATTGTGCACCGTCTTGTGGCCACGAAGGACGCTGATAAGGACTCCAGAACAGAGTTTGGATGCGGCCAGGACCAGCAGTTGCCGTACCGCCTGCACGTCACAGAACCCAACGGAGGCACCACTTTCATCAGTGATCTCCCGAGGGACGACGAGCCCGTGGACGTTCCTGACAGCTCGAACAAGCCATTTAGCTTTACGCTGGAGTGGAATCGCAATGGGTACGTCTTGAAATGGGTGGCATTCAGTTGTATACTAGGTAAAGATACTAACTTATTGTTGTTGTGCTTACTTTTTGCCAGCTACCAACGAGGTTACGATGAAAAATCAGCAAAACGGATCGACCTCCACGACTCGATGAAGAACCTGAAAATCTCGTCCAAGGCTGAGCCGATCACGCTGCTAAACTGCTTAACCAAGTTCACGGAACGGGAACAGCTTGGCGAAGCAGACACGTGGTATTGCCCCAAGTGCAAAGACCACGTCCGCGCGTTCAAGAAGTTCGACCTGTTTTCGCTCCCCAAGGTGCTGATTTTCCACCTGAAGCGCTTCCGGTACGCTCAGAACTCGTTTTACATGCACCGTGACAAGATTTCGACGCTGGTAGAGTTCCCTATCGAAGGTCTGGACCTCTCGGAGTTTGTGATCGGGCCGCAAAACGGTTCCGAGCCCATTTATGATCTGTTCGCTGTTTCCGAGCACATGGGGGGTCTTGGCGGCGGACACTACACTGCCGTGGCGAAGAACCCGGTGAACGAGTGCTGGTTCAACTTCAACGACAGCCATACGAGCGAGGCGTCAGCGGAGGATGCCGTGTCCTCTCGAGCGTATGTTCTGTTCTACATTCGTCGCGACCAGGCTTAAGACAGGATATGCGTCGATGCATGTGGAATTAGAAATACCAATCGAGTGAGCTCGCTTACTACGTGCTTTGCTTTGCTCGTTCAATTCTTGGTTATATTCGTGAGATCTAGCCGATGTTCAGGAATACGGGAAGCAGCAATGCAGCTTTATTCTCTCGAACCTAGACTTGCTACGAAAACAACACATAAATCAATATGCAACGTGGCTGCATGGACTCCGACTGGTTATTCAGTGCCAAGTTCCGAGGCCTCCTCCCCAGCGTCCTGCAGATCGCATATCCACTCGGCCACCTCATTTTGCTCAAAGAGAAGAGCTTCTGCCAGTGCAGTGCGTCTTGAGTATTCCACGCGATTAAGCACCCTTGCAGCAGGAACTGCACCACGTGACCATGTCCGCCGCGAACCGCCAGCAGTAGAGCGTCACCCTCATCACTAGAAGTGTAGTCCTCAATGTAACCCCATTGAGTCACAAACTCCACCACGTATACCACCACATTAAGGTGGCCATGCGCCGCGCCCTCATTCAGAGCTTGCCAACTTGCGTCGTGCATCTCTTGTATGTCGTCACTAATGCGACCGGACCCCGCAAGTCGCGGCAAGAAATCAGTGACGATAGGGAGCTGCCCACTCCGTGCTGCTGCCACAATTGCGTTCCTTAATAATGGACGCACGTCGAGACTCACCGACTGCAACTTATTGTTACCATTGCCGTTACCGTTGTCATTGTCGTTACTGTCATTGTCACTATCGCTGTCGCTGTCACTGTCACTTTCTTGCTAGTTTTTCTCTTGAATGATGCGAATCACAGCCTCCATGAACCCGTTTGCTGCGGCACTGGCAACAGCATCCATGAGATCGCCATCGTGGGTCTCTAGGAGGAATTGCAGCCATGCCAGTTGATTTGATCCTGCAGCTTTAACCACAGCCTCTTCGCGTGTCATCAGCATCTCGTCAATGAGCTCCAGAACATGGCCCAGAGCAGCTACTTCGTCCGGAAACTGTACGTCCTTGAGTCTCGAAAACTCGTGCTCATGCATTCGTGTTGTGTTCACGGTGTCAAATTGGTGACTGAGAGAGAGAAAAAAACTGGTTGCTTTGTTTAAAAGACAGTGACTACAGCGTGGTGACCCAATTTCTGATCGTTACTAACCAATTCTTTTTATCAATCAATTTGTTGCGTTCAAAACACTTCCCAAAGTCACAAAAGTATCAAACTCAAGCAATGATGCACCGTTCACTCTCCAGGTGCTAGCTCAAGCACGAGAACTGTCTTCTTCTTCCCTCCGGCATCAGAATCGGACGTCGTTGTCATTGCGGGGTATGGCGTCCAGGTAGGCTGCCCTCCTGAGCCGTTAGTAATATGATAGAATTGGGTGCACGCCGCCGCTCTGTCGCTGTCGGCGGCCGGTTTCAATGTTTCCCATACCCCATCCACCGCACTCGTAACAATTAAATGGATTGAAGACTCAGAGGGGATTCGATCCATAACTTGATCAAGTTCCGACAGGTTCATGGAACGTGAACACTCGAAGGAAGTGGCGCCGGAAGAAACACGAAAGTCGAGTCGCCCCGATTTCGCGTCGGCTGTAAACGTTAAATCCGCGAACTCTGCGGAAGTATTTTCCCAGTCACTCAGAAACCAGTCGGGCCACGCCGCGTTCGGAGGCGAAAGGAACGGAACCAAAACTTGGCTCAACAATGCATCCTCGACGTCCAACGAAGACTGCGTGGCTTCAATCTCCGATGCGACGCCCAATTCATACAGCATTACACCTAAAAAGGAGGACAAGCCAGCCCCGTGGACGCCGCCGCTTCTGCTGGCCAGCACGATGGAAGCCGTTACAAGTGCCTCAAACCTCACGACTTGGCCTGAGCGCTGTCGGTCGGTGTCGAACACTAGCAGATTCTTCATGGCTGGCCACTCCATCATCTGATACAAGGGCTGCTTCAGGGGACGAAATGAGTTGCCGGAAGTCAAGGCCAGGTGCAGCACCATGTCGGACTCTGGAGGGGGAAACGCCCCAATCGGCTTCCACTGCTTCCCATCTCGCCACAATATGTCGGTGGCCTTCAGTATGAAAGGCTTCAACACTTTCAAGCAGGCGTAATGGGCGGTCACCACGCCGATACATTCGTCCTCCAAACTGAAGTCGCAGCCCAGCAGCAATCCAAACTGGCCCAGCTCAAAGGCTTCGCTTGGTCGCTTCATAATATGATATATTATATCGGATCGCTGGTCCCAAACGGTCAACAATGTTGCCGAGGAAGTCTCCTAGATCGTCCGAACGGTGCTCGTCAGTCTTTATCAGCGCAGAATCCGAGAACAGCGGCCGATTGTGCTGTATGAGCCTCTTGAACTCCTCAGGCACGTTATTCAGCCTCACGTAGGCCTCATCGAGAGCAATTCCTGGCAGAGACGGATACACATCGCACCACTTGAATGGCATCACCCCCTCATGAGAGCTCGATAGCCCTCGCCCAGTTCCACTCGTGGAGCTGACCACTAGCGGCAGCTTGAATGAGAGAATCACGTTCCTCATCGCGCGCAAATATTTTTCTTGCCTTGTTCTGCTGGCCGCAATGTAATCCGCAGCGCAGCGTCTGAAGACGCAGGGTTTGTCTCCTCGTTCTCGGCGCAGCTTAAGCTCGTCTTCGACATCAGCGCGTGAAGCAGTCGCGCTAAAGCCGATGTCCCCACGCAGAACCGCGACTAGGAACGCGTACAGGTGCCGCTCGCAGTCTTCGTAGAACTCGTGGAGCTTCCCCGTTTCCATTTCATCCGCGTCCCTCTTGGCTCACACGTTGGACGCCATCGATCGACCGTGAAGCGGCTTGTAAACCGCCTGCTCGCTGTCCCCCGCCGCGCCGCGGACGATGTGGAAGACATCGAACGCTCCACTCGCCTGGAGATTGAACGCCATTTGCGTCTTCCCCATGCCCGACGAGCACTCGATCATGACAAAGGGGGACGGAAGTGTGCGCATACCAGGAACCAGACTCAATAGTTGATGCTCCAGCTCCTTGACCTCAGGGTGGTCCTTCAGACGCTCCGCAACTTCCTCGTACGGCCGAAAGTTGGCGATTGTCTTCATGTCAAGCCTAATCCACCACTCGAACTGTCGGAGGGGAGAGTCCACCAGCACGTGGATGGTACCTGCGGGCAAGTTTTCGCCGATCGCATCCTTGATCTTCTTCGTGGCGTCAATTGTTCCCAGCTCCATTAGACCCCAGAAACTTCTCGGGACCCCCCCCCAAGATAACAGCTACTTCCTCTGGTTGGAAATGATCACCGGAAACAGACATTTTAACCAATAACTCCACCACTACGTGCTGTATAAAGCTGCGGATTGGACAAAAAGAAAGCTCTTAATCTCCGCTCATCTCAAACGGGTTCCTGTTGCCCACGTCATTTTCATTTTACCGCTCCAAGTAGCAAGCCGATATCAAGAGGGCCGGACGAAGGCCAACCTAGTGGACATGGAGCGCAGAGGCATCATCGACAAGCTCCTCAAGCTAAGTGACAATGGAGTTCTACCCCGCGGAGCCTTCGCCCGCGTCGGGGCCCATGTGAAGCGTGACCCGACCACGGTGAGCGCTATTTGGAAGCGCTACACGGCTGCGGTGGTGGCTGGTGTTCCTGGTGGCGAGTGGGCTAGCCGGATCAAGCAGAACAGCGGCAGGAAGCGTAAGAATCGAGATGAAGTGCGGACGAAGCTGGCGAGTGTTCCTGTGGAGGATAGGGCAGTTGAGAGGCGCGTTGCGGCTGCTTCAGGGCTCTCCCGGCACCTAGTACGACAAGCTGTGAAGGAAGGCATGGTACGGCGTCGTACGACGTTTATCAAGCCGGCGCTGACCCCCGAGAACAAGCTGGACCGTGTCGAACATGCGCTGTCGTTCGTCGACAACACGACGTTACGCTTCGAGTCGATGCACAACGTGGTTCACGTCGATGAGAAGTGGTTCTACGCAGACCGCAACAGACGTTCCTACCTTGTATTTGACGGTGAAGAGATGCCTCCACGAGCCTGGAAGAGCAAGCGCTTCATACCCAAGACCATGTTCCTGGCAGCACTCGCACGCCCTCGGTAAGTCTCTATATTTTTATAATTTTATACTGTGGATAACCTTTGACACTGTATGAAATTTCTGTGTAGGTACGATCCACACCGTAAGCAGAGATGGGATGGCAAGGTGGGGCTCTGGTCTTTCACGGAGAAGTATAAGGCACAACGTAAGAGCAAGAATAGAGCCAAGGGGGAAATTTGCACACGCAATCTTGATACCGTCGATCGAAATGTCTACAAGGACTATCTGATCACCAAGGTGTTCCCAGCTATCAAGTCGAAGTGGCCAAGGAAGGACCGTCGCCAGTTCATCTTCGTGCAACAAGATAATGCGAAGCCGCACGTGTCGCCAACCGATCCGGACGTTGTCGCAGCGGGAACAGAAGGAGGGTGGAACATCAGGCTGTTATGCCAAACAGCCAACTCACCCGAGCTCAATTGCCTTGACTTGGGAGTTTTTGCTTCAATGCAAAGCATTCAACACCGTCTACCAAGGAAGGGCATCGATGCGCTTATAGCGTCGGTTGAGGACGCATTTCGGGAGCTCAAACCCGACACTGTGGACAACATCTTTCTTACGCTAGAGGCGTGCATGCGGGCAATCTTGGAGGAGGCTGGCGGCAATCTCTACAAGCTTCCACACTTGGGGAAGGCCAAACTCCGACGTGCGAATGAGCTACCGGTAAGTCTATCGTGTAGTAGAGAGCTGTATGACGCCGCACTTGCGTTACTCCAATCTTCAAACCGTGGTAGTGATCTGTTCTTTAAATGAAAAGTACTTCGAAGTAGATACCTTTCTCCTTCTTTGAACTCAAAGTACACTTTATAAATTAGTATTTGTCGTGTATAAGATTCGGCCGTCACAGAAAAACTGCCGACCTATCATAATGACTTCCGGTGATCATTTCTGCCAGATCTCCTCAAGACGATCTTCTCTCGTCCTCTTCTTGTCCCTCCTCCGATGACCATGTTCGCCAGGCTTGCTATGGCTGCGACCCTCGTCGGCGCGGTTGCAGCCGGCGCGCCGGCGGACGACGCGCACCGCGTGGCCGTGTTCGACGCGGCGGTGCAGGAGCTGGCGCCCAAGCCGCCCAGCGCCTTCGACATGTACATCCTGGCGCAGAGCTGGCAGCCGGCCTTCTGCTTCGGCAAGGAGCAGCAGTACCCGGGCTGCCGCGCGCCGCAGAGCTTTTGGCGCTCGCACCTGACGCTGCACGGGCTGTGGCCGGAGCTGTCGGGCAGCGCGCCGCCCAGCTTCTGCTCGGGCGAGGCCTTCGACGCCGACAAGATCGAGCGCGAGCTCGGCATCGACACGCTGCACCAGTACTGGCCCGACGTCAAGTTCAGCGAGGCGTCCCCGCAGTACGCGGACTTCTGGAAGCACGAGTGGACCCGCCACGGCACGTGCTCGGGGCTCAAGCAGATCGACTACTTCACGCACGCCATCAACCTCGAGCGCAACGAGACGCTCGCGCCGACGCCGCAGCTCGTGCAGGACAATGTCGGCGGACAGGTGGACGTCGAGAAGCTGCGCGCGGCATTCGGGGATGCGGCGCTCAAGTGCCAGTGCTCGCACGCGGGCGGTGGCGACGACAGCGACGCCAAGCACGCCACGCTCTTCTCGCAGGTCTTCACCTGCTGGGAGAAGGACGAGCACAACGTGCCGACCCAGCGCCGCGCCTGTCCGCCGCATATTCACTCGGAAGACTCGTGCGGCAAAGCTGGCAGTGTGACCATCCCGGCCTTTCCAACCGGCGACTAGCGTGACCGCGAGTGAACCGAGTCACGCGGGTCAAGTCAAGCTGCGGAATAGTGCAAGAACGCGCTGACTACCTCACGATAGTCGGCGCCGTGAGCCACGAGCGCACGCTGCCGCATCCTCACGACTTGACCGGGTAGCGTTGCTCTAAACCAATGTACATTCGTTCCCAACCCACCACGCGGCATTTCATATCGGCGTGCGTGCGAAGGTTCCTCCTGTTGCAGCGGGGGGACCACCCACAAGCGTCTCATTGCACCCCGTCGTGGTTGTTGGCTCGGAGCTTTTTGGTCCGCACGTGACGGTAGCTCGTGTCGTGGCTGTCGTTGCCCTCGTCCTGTCTTGATTGAACTTGGTGGTTTACTTGAATGCAACGCCCGCCACGCTAGCTGCAGCTGCAGCGGGGCGGCCACGGTTGGTGCTTGCACTGCGTTGGACGCTGTGGTTGGTAATCGGTTGCACTTGTTGCACAGGTGCATCGAGCTTTCCCGTGGTCCCATTGCAATGCTGTAGACGCGCGTGACCTCGCCGCTCGAAACGCAAGAGCTGTCAGAAGCATTGAAAGTCTTGATATCATTACGCCGGTCCTGCCGAGCATTTATTGATCGTTTGTAGTACACTACTTCGTGTCGCTAACTTATCTACACTAATACGCCATGCCACCAAAAAGAACACACAGCTCACTCCACTAGTCTAGCACATGGAGGATCGCACCAGCGAGACACGCAGTGGCGGCAGCACTGCCGTCGATGTTGCTACTGTCACGGGGGACACACTGCGTGGCTGGGTTGAGTAGGACGCACGACGGGAGACGTCGTCCGTGACGGTCAACTTGGGCAGCTTGCACACCACGGGCGTGGTGGCCGTGGCCGCCGGAGCGTACCGGGAGTTGAAGAGCGTCGGCACTGCCTGACGCTGGAAGTGGTAGGAGATCTGTGGCTCCGTGAGCTCCACAGATGACGGGTAGCCCTGCAACTGCTGCTGCTGCTGCTGGGCTCGGACGACGCTGTTGATGTCGTCGTAGCTGCGCTTGCGGGCAATGGAGGCCGCAGGCTTGGGGCTGCTCTGCGTCGGAGCCAGCTTGGGGCTGTCCTTGACAACGACACCGTTGCTGGCGGCCTCGAGCGCTTGCTCCTCCTCCTCGATGCTCTTGATGAAAGCCTGGCGGAGGGTAGTGAGGTGGATGGCCGCGTTCTCCTTGGAGCGCGCCGCGGCGGGCGAGTCCTGCGCGCACGGGTAGTACGCTCGTCGGCCGATCTTGGGGTTGATCTTGATGCCGGCGAAGACCGAGCCGGGCAGCAGCTTCTTGGAGATCCGCATGGGGTCGCAGTGCAGCTGTTGCGCCAAGTACCCGCGCAGGGTGGTGCCGTACTGGATGGCCAGCAGGCCGTCGCAGAAGTACGAGATGGTGGCGGCGGCGTAGTCCTCCTCGGCGCGCGTCCACTTGCCGCGGCGCAGCGGGCCGCTCAGAGTGAGGTCGGCATTTGAGGGCATGGCGGCGGCCGGAGCCGGCGGCAGCAGCTGCTGCTGCTGCTGCGGGAGGAAGGCGTGCTGGGGCGAGTACTGCGGCTGCAGTGGGAAGTGCTGGTTGAGCTGGTGTGAGGCGCGCAGCGGCGGCAGCACGGCGAGCGGCTGGGGCTGCGGGGCAGCGAGAGACGGCAGGTGGGTCAGCGGCATTGCTACTGCAGTATCTTGTTGAAGCGCAGTCTTTGTGAGCGTCTGAGTCTTGCTGCGTCTGCGCTCGACGCGGCCGATTCGCAAATGAGACTTGGGTCGCGAGTTGAAATGACACACGAAACCCGATGCTCGCTTCCGTTCCCAGACTCGTCCGCGCCAGACCGGGCGCCAAGACTTTCGAGCCTCTCTCTCACCCACCTGCGCGTGCAGAACGCCCGCGCTGACCACTATCGTCTTGCTGTAAGTAAGGCCGCCATGATCATTGAGGATATGCCGCCAGCCACTTTTCACTTTGATGTGCAAAGCTGCGTCCTGGCGCTGACCGGCACTTGACGCGCCCAGGTCTGCCTCACACTCGCCCCTCACCTTTGTTTGCAGTGATGAACCGGGCCAGGGTGGCGAAATTCACCAGTTGAGACCGGCGCTCGGCAGGAGGTGGACTCCACCTCCTGCCGAGCGCTTGAGCCGAGCGAGTCGAGTCCTGATGCTATTGCCGCTGAAAGCTGCTGCTTGAAGGCACCCACCCATGCATGTTACGCGCTCAACTTGTTCGAATTGGAGCGCGGCGCCACGTACGGACTGGAGGGGGGCAAAACAGCTTGCTGGGAGGAAGGCAGGCAGGACACACCACCGCGCTGTTTGCAGCGCAGATACAGCGCCCTCGGCCTCTTCTACGATGGAAAAGTCTCACGCACCGAGCTGGGCCGCCGTGCACGCACGCCAATCTCGCTGGAAAAGCCCCGCGCGACAGCTCGACGCAGCGCGGGCGTGCCTCTCATCGCGGCGTTGACGAACCGCGGCCTCAACTGCCTTTTGACAGCTGCGGCCACGGCCGACGGCTTGCAGCGTTGCGCGCTGCAGGTGTGAGGTGAACTCCACACAAAATCGGTTATCTATAGCGAGTATTTGTAAATTTGCCAACATTTTCGTCGGCAGAGATTGTAAGACTTCCACCGCGGTGGCAAAGCTCACGCGGAGAGGATCACCAGAAAACCGTAGTCGCCCACAAGCGTGGCTCGCCGCGAACTCAGAACCTATTGCGCGGATCCCGAGTCAACTGTAGCTCGCATGCGCCACTGGCGCGCTCGAGATTGGTGGGCGCCAACGCTGAAGGTCAGGCACGCCGTCGCAGCGCGAGTCGCAAGCTGCCTCGCTCGTAGAGGCCCGGCCCGCCGAGCGCTTGGCCGCTTGGCGCGTTAACTCACGGCCGAGGCCAGCACCACGCTGGACTTGGTGTCACGGCGGGTGCGCACCCAAATTCGCATCTTAGTCCTGCGGCCGGAATGACTCATTCAATGAGACCCTGCAGAGGCGCGACTCACGTCCAGCTTCAGTTGCCGTTGGACTGACGCACGGAGGCCGGAGGCAGTCAGTCTCGAGCAGGATGCGGTCCTGAGCTCGCAGTTCGGTCGAGCCGATGTGTAATTCTCGAGAAAGCGTCCTCCACTTCGGTGCGAGGGACGTCCGCGGGCAGATCGCGAGGGACTTTCCTTGGCCAGCGGACACTGGAGGTGCAAGCGCTTGCTTACGGGCGGGATCCGGGCCACGTCAAGTGCGGCGCCCGGGCTCTAGCAAAGAGCTCCGCGCGGAGAGTAGCATTGCTCCGCCCCAGTGTTGGGTGGCGCCGGTGGCTCGGCTCGCGAAGGTGGCGACGAAGCGTCTCTGCAAGCACTTGGAGACATGCGGGCCCATGAGAAAGCAACAATCGCTGGCGCCAGCGCGGCCAGCGGCCCCGCGGCGCTGCAGGTGCCTCGCGGTCCAGTTGCACAGCCTCGCCGCACCGCCGCCGGGTATCGCAAGGCCGTGGCTTGTCTGGTTTCGGACACCAGGCGCCCAGATAAGGTTGTTCCGCTCGAGGGCACGCTGTGGACGCAAATGAGGCTGAATAAGAACGGCGTCGGAAGCTCGGCGCACTCAACAACGCTCGCCGCCGAGCGGTGAGCCTTGAGCCATCTGCGCGCGGTGGCTTCCGCCTCGCCAGCAGAGAACAGCAGCAACGTCAAGTCGCCACGAACGAATGGAGCTCGGCGCCTGATCGCGCGCCAAAAAGGCGGACGCGGGCAGTAATGCTCCGCGCCTCAAGTGGCGTGCACCCGCGGTTGAGCAGCAGGACTCAGCGGCCGATGACCGCGGACTACCGCGTTGGATTTGTGCAGGATGTGTGTGGCGCGTTGGGGCTAGTCCTGTCAACCTCAGCTGTCAATGACAGCCTGTCATAGCCTTTACCTTGACCTCCTTAACCTTAACCCACCTCCAAACTCACTGGACTTTCTAAACTTTCGCTTTAACCTCCTTAACGACACAAAGGTACCTCAAGCTGGCTCGACTGGAGCCTGAAGTGGTCGACCTGGATGATCAACGAGCACCGTTCCCCACTGACGCGCTGAATAATAGCGCCTCGCACATGTCGATAGTGTTTCTTCAGCAAACTGGCGTCTGTCCACTGTTGCCTACGAGAACATCTAGCCTCCTGCCACGCTGACAAGGCTTCGTTAAGCCGAAGGCTAGACGTTCTCGTTTTATATGAAAGCGGGTACAGAGGTACAGAGGCACAGGTTCAGGTGTGACCCACCACCGTCTTAAAGAGCTACGAGCGACGTTAATAGCGGCATTCGCATCCTCCGCAACTTGGACAGATCGCTGTCGTCATCGATACTTCTGAAGTAAATGGATGGAAAGGCACAATAAAAGGTGTATTGTTTTACTACTACACTGTAGAAGTTCACATTATTGGTAGATCAAACGGTGAGGCTTAGAAATCTGTCCTGCAATATGCTGCGTTCGTGCAGGCTGGAAGCTGCAGTCACGCCCAAGGTACTGTACGCCCACTACCAGCTCCAGTACATGTAGTACTGGAGTTGGCTGGGGGTTTGGTCCCGGCTTTTTCCATTATACTGAGTTTTGTATAGGGGGAGGTTAGGGAGGTTAGGAACCTTACCTTAACCTGTGGGAGGTTGGAGGTTTGTGAGGTAAGGTTGACAGGACTAGTTGGGGCTGCCCGCCAGCCTAATTCATTGCTGCCTGCAGGCAATTTGCATCGAGCACCGAATGTCTGCGGGCGACGCATTGCAATGCGCCGAGCTATTTGCCGTCTCAACTGCGTACAGTACATGTAGTTGCCGTTGAAGTGCCGGCCGGGGATCGTGTTTGAAGTTGACGACCACGATCGGCGAGCTGCCGGCACGCGGCTCATAATCAACGCCTCGCCGGCGTCTAATCCGCGTCGAGGAAGTCGCCGCCAGCTGCCGCAGCGCCGCAGCTCCTGCGCGATGCAGCCTGGTGGCAGGTTTTCAATCGGCCCTCCTGAAGTCCATCGACCGACGGCGGCACTGTATCGAATCGACGGCTCGACTAGAAAATGGTCCGGTACCGACTCCTTCTTCAGCTGTAGCCACCTCGCGCGTCCAGCGTAGCACTACAGTCCTGCAGCAGATGCTTTCGCTGCTGGGCTTAGGCTCACCTGGCCTTGACAGCTCTGCAAAGTTGCCAGCGTATTATCCGCCCGTGCTGCTGCTGCCTTAGCCACAGGGCGGCCAGAAGCAGCTTCAACGACCGTATCCTGCGCGAGTGGCGAGCTACAGCGGAACAAAGGGTGAGACCGCTTTGTTGGATCGCGCCGCCATGCCAACTGAGGGGCCCAGCTCTCGGTAGAGTTTGGTAATCACGTGCTGCGAGTGGTTTAGCGCAGCCGCAATGCGCTGCACGTCCGGTGGTGAGAGCATGGCGATGCGGCTTGCACTTGAGTTTGTCTCCACCAAAATGACTGCAGAGGCCGCCCCGAGAGCAGCCACAGTGTCACCAACGAGGCCTTGACTTGACGTTTGATGGCTTGACGCCCGCTGAGCTGACCTGAGGCGCGGGCCGCCACCAACAGCAGCCCCCCCCCCATACAGTTGAGTTCCCGCAGTGAGGCATCGTGCGGCGAAACGCAGCGGCGACAGCAACGACAGCCAGGTCATGAGAGAGCACTAAAAGCACACCGTGGTCCTTGCCGTCGCGCTGCGCGGGTGCACTGCACAAGTCCACCGTCAACTCAGCGTCGTGGAGATCGCGGGAATCAAGCGCATGACACTGAGGCCAGCGCAGCACGTTGAAAATCAGCTAGCGCGAGAAGAAGTTCTCTTCGCGTCGTTAAGTCGGTGTTGTGGTCAGCGAGCGATACGGCATGAGTCGCTAAGCATTGACGGCCATACAGTAGTTGCCAGTGATGTGTCATTTACATTGCTACGCTAAGACTTGTGGCGACGAAGGGCGGGATAACCAGCCAGCAAGTTGAAGCAGTTCGGTTGCTGTGGAACGACTGACTGTAATGGCTAAGAAGCGAGAATTGAGAATTGGTAGGCAGTCAGGAAACTGCATCCTGTGGTAGCACAAATAATGTGCTCTCCGGCCGGCGAGTTGACTGCAGTAGTGGTGGTTATGGCAGCGGCCCCATGAATACTCGCCACCACTGGTACTGCGTGCTTCGGTCGACGTGTGCAAATCCCGTGGGTCACAGCTGAAGTTGAAGTTCATCATTTTTAAAGAGTATTATATGATTCGGCTCACAGGACCTCAACAGCCGAGCACTTTGGCGCTGAATATGTGTATCCACTGATGCGCATGACAAGTCGTGGTGTGTCCCGGACTCATTGAATACTTCTCTGGCCCACTTAAGAAACAGCATTCGGCATTAAACCTCAATTTGATGTGAACCACATGTAACATATGATTGGGTATAATCAACTGCTTCAGCTTACTATTGGCCAAAATAAATGGGTCTGCGCATGTCGAGATAATCGCGTAGAAAAACCTCAAAACTGTAGCCCTTCTAACTCGTCTCCAACAGGCGCTACAACATCGACAACCGAACATAAGGGTAAAGCAGTCACTCGCGATTACGGTGATATTTTATTTTCTAATATCGCTAATTTTTGACGGCACCTCGCTAAAAAACCTAATGTTGCCTAAAACGGACTTCAGATAAAAGGCTGTTTCTCTTTTCTTTCTGCTGCTAGATTTTTTTAAATCATAACGTGAAACGGAGCAAATGCGCAGCTTTCGGTTGAGGTATTGCGAGTCACCAAACGATTTTTTTGTAGAAAGTTATGTCCAGAAAACTGAAGTGTTGTTTCTTATGTGGGCCAGAGAAGTACCGCATTGGCGAGCTGGAGAATGTCACTCAATTTCCTCATGGGGAGGAACCAAGTTTCTCCATCGCCAACAGGTCGGATGGCGATGGCTTCATTAGATTGGATAGCCACGCACCAGTAGTGGCAGCGCACATATCGACTCGAGGTGCAGCTATCACCGCAACTATTCCAATGCTCGAGCGGCCACTACATTATTCGAGGGCAGATGCAGCCAGAAAGCACTATCCCCGTGCTGTGGCCGTCGTGCAGCTCCGACAGTGCTTCAAGCTGTCGGTTAGCCTTTACAGCTAGGTCCACGCTCAGCAGGGTAGTAACAAGCTGTCGACCGCTTGACTAACAGTAGTCGCACCACTCGTGACTTCCAAGCGTCAAGGCAACGACACGAAGAGAACTTCTTCTCGCGCTGCGGCGACATGATTTACGAGCGCGCTAGCTGATTTTCAACGTGCTGCGCTGGCCTCAGTGTCATGCGCTTGATTCCCGCGATCTCCACGACGCTGAGTTGACGGTGGACTTGTGCAGTGCACCCGCGCAGCGCGACGGCAAGGACCACGGTGTGCTTTTAGTGCTCTCTCATGACCTGGCTGTCGTTGCTGTCGCCGCTGCGTTTCGCCGCACGATGCCTCACTGCGGGAACTCAACTGTATGGGGGGGGGGGGCTGCTGTTGGTGGCGGCCCGCGCCTCAGGTCAGCTCAGCGGGCGTCAAGCCATCAAACGTCAAGTCAAGGCCTCGTTGGTGACACTGTGGCTGCTCTCGGGGCGGCCTCTGCAGTCATTTTGGTGGAGACAAACTCAAGTGCAAGCCGCATCGCCATGCTCTCACCACCGGACGTGCAGCGCATTGCGGCTGCGCTAAACCACTCGCAGCACGTGATTACCAAACTCTACCGAGAGCTGGGCCCCTCAGTTGGCATGGCGGCGCGATCCAACAAAGCGGTCTCACCCTTTGTTCCGCTGTAGCTCGCCACTCGCGCAGGATACGGTCGTTGAAGCTGCTTCTGGCCGCCCTGTGGCTAAGGCAGCAGCAGCACGGGCGGATAATACGCTGGCAACTTTGCAGAGCTGTCAAGGCCAGGTGAGCCTAAGCCCAGCAGCGAAAGCATCTGCTGCAGGACTGTAGTGCTACGCTGGACGCGCGAGGTGGCTACAGCTGAAGAAGGAGTCGGTACCGGACCATTTTCTAGTCGAGCCGTCGATTCGATACAGTGCCGCCGTCGGTCGATGGACTTCAGGAGGGCCGATTGAAAACCTGCCACCAGGCTGCATCGCGCAGGAGCTGCGGCGCTGCGGCAGCTGGCGGCGACTTCCTCGACGCGGATTAGACGCCGGCGAGGCGTTGATTATGAGCCGCGTGCCGGCAGCTCGCCGATCGTGGTCGTCAACTTCAAACACGATCCCCGGCCGGCACTTCAACGGCAACTACATGTACTGTACGCAGTTGAGACGGCAAATAGCTCGGCGCATTGCAATGCGTCGCCCGCAGACATTTGGAGCTCGCTGCAACCTGCCCTTAAATTGCAGTGCAATGGCTGGTGGGCAACCTCGAAAGCAGAAAAGTGGTGCTTCAAGAGAAGTTACGAAAACAAGACTCCCAACACTGGAGCTGGCTTGACAATTACAAAAACTATTTTTCACCGTAAACTCGAGCGGTGTTAAACGCAAAGCTTACTTTTGTCCGAAGCCCAACCTCCTGAACGCCTCGATCCTTGATTTCTTAGCGCTTGCGTCTCAATCCTGGGCGTGAGCGTCGACGAACGCCATGAGACTCTCACCAAGCCGACCCCAACTCGTATGCAGCGCTTGCAGGTCGTTGCCCACCTGGGCCCACAGTGTCTGCAGCTGAGAGGCACTCGGCGGGGAGGCTGGCGATACTTGCTCCGGGGAGGTCTCATCACTTGAGACTCGGGTTCTGCTTCGGCTCCGGCCTCGAGCTGGCGTTCGACCCGCAGAGGATAAGCCTTGGACTTGAACCCGGCTGAAGCTTGCATTCAGATCGCGAGCAGGACCTGTCCGAGTTCGTAGCTCCATTCGGTAACGACTCGCCGTCGTCACTTGCATCGCCCTCGGGGGACGCAATGGTGGAGAGCTGGAGCCCTCATGGTGGCCCGCTAGACCCATCTCTTCATCTTCATCTCCGTCCACTTCCACCACTTCCTGTCCTTCGTGCTCGTCTTGCCCTTCTTCTTCACCATTGTCCTCTTCTTCCTCCTCGGGCTCCGCGGGGACTTCTTCCGCAACTTCGGACGAATCGGATGGCAACGTATCATCGTGGGCAAGCAGCCGCCGTTCGACCTTGCTCAAGGGCTTCGACTCGTTGTGCGTGTTTGGCCGACAGAGCAAGTCGTCGTTCGCAGGCAGCCAAATGTCGTCCTCGTCCACCTGCACGTGCACCCTGAGCCCAGCGCCATCTTCCTCCGCCCGAGCCTGCGTGACTTCACCGTCGGTGCTGGGGACCACCTCGATCACCGTAGCGTTACGCCACCTCGGGTGTTGAAGAGTTGGAACCTCAATGCCAACCTGCACCAACGAGTGAGAACGTAGGGTGCTGCGCCATTTAGGCACCTTAGAGTGCAGTGGGGCGATCCGAGCGGAGGTTCGGGGGATCCATTCGTCCCATTTGGGTTCCCAGCTCCGATAGTGCACGTGCACTTTGTTGCGTCTTGCACCAAGGATTCGAGCCTCAAACCACGTCTTCGACGTGTCCAGGGCGTCCAGCAAGTCGCCTTTTGCCAGGTCCATTCGCCACTGCATCTCGAGGCCTTGGCTCGGCCACTCCATCTCCCCGCTATTAGCAGCACCCTGCAGCTTCTGCTCGACAAGGAGCTCATGAATCCTCGCTGGGCCGCTAGCGGTCTCGCTCCGATTATCCAGGCGGAGATCGACAAGCTTCGTATTCATCAGTGCCGATAGACCACTACGGTCGCCCTTGAGCTGGTCGGCGTGTTCATCAAACTCAGCCTCGCTCTGTTCGTCGTCGCCATCTTCTTCATCCGCATTCTCTCCATCATCGTCACGGACCTGGCGCTTCTTAGCTCTAGGTTTCAGTCGCAAGGATGTTGGCGGTGTGCGTGAGCGCTTCATCATCTTCTCGATCGGTGTCCACACTTCCTCGCCATCAACTAGGCGGATAGTGCGGTAGCAGGCACGAATACGTTGACTCTCCGACGCGGCGGGTCTGGTTATCGAGGAAGTTGTGTCGATACCACTCAGAAACTGGGGGAACTTTTGCTGGAAGTCATCCGACGCAGCTAGCCACACTTCGCTAAGCAACTGTCCAAGCGTATGCGCCCGACTGGCGAGAACAACCACGGCTCGACCTGCATCGTCGACGAGCTCTTCCGCCTCGGCCTCACCGCTACTCCAATAGAAAATCTACAACATCAAACGTTAGTGAAATTGCACGCTGGCATACCAGTTTAAGCTCACAGAAACCTTGAACGTCAAGGGATAAGCTTCGATCTCCATCTGCTGGCGGCTTCGCTCGTAGACGACTTCGCGTCGGATCTCCCAGTCGAAATCAAGCTCGCGCGCAAACACCTCCCATGAGAACTCCGGCATAAACACGAAGTCTGGGCCCTCCTCGAGATTCGGCTTGAGAACTGACACCGTGCGGGTCTTGGAGCTGAGCTGCTTGTCAATGAGCGGGTCGTTACGCACGCTTGGTGCATCCTCGGCTCGCTTGCAGGCCTGAAAGTCGTCCCACCACGGTTTGGCGACTGCGAACCAGTGATCACCCTCCTCGAGGGGCGTGTCGTTCCCACATAGCTCCTTAGCGCGCTGCAGCGCGGGCTTCTTGCTTTTCGCCGGCATCTTCTTCCAAACACGTCCAAGAAGAAGAATGAGCACGTTAGTTTTTCTCCCTCAACTCGTCCCAACTCACCTGTCCCTGGTCTCGCTCTTTCAACGTGCTTGAAGCTGTATTTGATTAGCAAGTTGATCGTCTAAGCTTGCTCCACATCAGGACGAGGGTGCCGGTCCGTGTAGAACTGGATGATGTTGAGGTAGCCGTCCGGTTCATCCCCCATGCAGCGAACGCTCGTCTCCAGCAACTGCACGGCTTCTTCAGCTGTTCCGCGGCGGATGAGAGCCAAAGCCACAGCTTGGTACACGTTCTTCCCCCAAGCTATTTCCTTGTGCTTCATGTTTTCCGCAAGGGCCAGGGCTTCGTCGAACTGCTCCGTGTCCAGCAACGCGGTGATCGCGCCGCCGTATGCGAGTTCGCTGACCTTGTCCTTGTGCTGGTTGAAGATTTCGAGCGCGCGGAGCTTCGCCTCCTTGTCTTCAGCTCTGGCATGCGCCATGATGACAGCACCCAGGTGCCAGCCTTTCAGCTCTGGGCGGAGGTTCTCCGGCATCAGCTCGTACACGTCGACCACCTTGGCCCAGCGCTCCTTGTTCCCGTAGGCCGCGATCGCTGCGTTGAAGGCGATCGCCATGGTGGCCACCCCCTCACCATCGTCAGCACTTGGAACTGGCGGCGTCAGAAGCCCCTGCACGAGGTCCCATTGGTCCGTCCTGCACGCACAGTGCACGAGCCAGTGGACCCCGTCGTCGGTGAGCTCGAACCCGTTCTGCTGCAGCGTGTCTCGAGTACCCAAGGCAGCCTCCATGTTGCCCACAGCGGCATAGCTCCTCAGCACGAAGTGGTAGTGCTCGCTCGTGAGCTCGACATCCAGCGCCTTGGAGCACTCCATCAACTCCAGCACGAACTGGTGCAGTCTGGACTTGACCGCCGCGCTCAGAGCCACTTGGAAGGCTCGAGACGAGTAGGGCTTGGCGTCCTTGAGCATCTGCTCCAGGATCTTGAGCACGCGCTCCCTGTCCCTCAACCTGTGGGCCGCCAGCAGCGCCGTGGTGTACACCAGGTTGCTGGGGCTCAAGTTGGCGCGCTGCACCGAGTCGAACACCTGGAGGGCAGTGTCGTAGTGCTTCGATTTGTAGCTCCTGGTGATGAGCGCCTCGAAGGGAGGCGCCCGCAGCCACATCTTCTGCTTGTAGGACAGATCCAGCACCTGCAGCGCCTTGTCGACCCTGTTCTTATCGACGAAGGTCGTCAGCAGCGTCGTGGCCACCTCCTTCGAGAGCCCCGAGCCGTCGGCCGCTTGAATAGCCGCCAGGATCTCAAGAGCCGCGTCGGCGTTGCCCCCACTGGCCTGCAGCTTGGTCAGGTATTCACTCTGCCTTAGCTTCTCTTCGTTCGAGGCTTTGGCCTTCTTATGGCGGCGGAACTTGGCTCTGGAGGGCTTTTCAGGCGTGGAAGCGTCCTCGAGCCCCGAAAGCTGCGAGAAGCAGCGCGAAGAGGAGACCAACGGCCCCCACGCGACTGCAGACGACGGGGCGAGGTCCGTGACGCAAGGGGCCAGGCGGTAGGCTCCCTGGAAGAGCGAGGCATGGCGCCCAGCAGCCGCCGCACGGCGGATACCGAGGCGACCGCGAGTCAGCATCTTCCAATTGTGTCTGGTATGATACGCAAGCAACTAATATTGTGGTTTTCAAATATTTTGCCACCCGATTTGATGTGTTAAATCGGAGTCCGATTTATATAAAATGGAGCTCCTACATGATCGGTTAGTCCAATTTAGCTATATCTGACCTGAGTTGGTAGCATAAGGCTCAGAGGGGAGGCATTCCAAGTTGGCCATACCTCCCCACCTCTCATGACGCATTAGAACTGCAAGACATTGGGGACAATAGTACACTGTATATAGCCACTCCGTAGCACTATGGCCAGCTAAACGCCTGTGTGATGATCTACGGCCGCTGCAACCTCGATCTGAGAGGGCCCCAGACATGTTTTCGCGGCGGTCCCTTTTGCCGGCGAAAAGCGGCATTTCTGGCCCCTGCTTCGCAACTCGCAGCCCCCAGACGCAAATCGGGCCAGATATAGTTTGCTTCCCTCAGCCCCTCCTGCTAAATCGGAGCCCTCCAGCAAATCGGGCCCGATATATCGGATCTTGGACCACCCGATTTGCCAAAACGGATGAAAGCCACAATACTAAAACCCAGTCTAATTTGGGGTTAATGCGAAGTTACCCTGAAATTAAGACTCTCAACTTAAAAACTCTCGTGCTGCAAGACGATAGATACAGTCGAGCCAGACATATTCAATCGAGAGACGACTTCGAAGCGCTCAATTCCGGTGCAAGAAGGTGCCACGTTGCGCTAGCGTTACGGGCGATTGTTTGCATCATTGATCGAGACCTTGGTCGAGTGGCGTGCTACACTCACGATGAGGATGCAAATTATCCATGCCGAAGTGACTCACGTCGTCCGGGACAGCGCATGTCAGTGTCCGATAGGCTTCCCTAAACAAACCGGCTGACCCCTTGCGCTACGTAGTCGTGAAAATGAATTTGCTTTGAATAGGTTATGAACTACGCTGCTCCGCTGCTTTCCCTGTACAAATGTAGCCGTGTGTAGGCTCCGACTGCGCGCTGCCCTATACGTAGTGCAGACAGCACGCAGCTCCCCAGTGTTTCTTCTTCATGTGATGTTGACGACGATGGCGGCCGCCAATGCCAGTCCGGCACTGGCCGTCGCCGCCTGGCTGACCTGCTGCTGCTTGCGCCGCTGCTGCTCCTGGCGCTGCAGGACGCCGTAGAACTGCTTCTCCCTGCTCTGCACGAAGGCCATGGTGCAGGGCTTGCGCGCGTTGCGAATGAGCACCTGCAGCTCCTTCATCTCGAGGTAGCGCACCACGCGGCCGTCCACGTAGCGCAGCTCGAAGCTGGCGTCCACGCCGGCCTCTTTGAGCGCGCCCGCGCACTTCTTGACGCGCACGGGCGGCGGCGGCGGCGCGAACACGAAGGGGATAGCCGCGCCCCCCAGCTCGTGCTCCTGCTTGAGCAGCGCCATGCGCTGAGCGAAGGTCTGCTCCGTGAAGGGCTCGCCGCCGGCGTGCAGCAGCACGTCGCCCGAGCGCACGTCCGCGCGGCTGGAGCGCGTCACGATGATCTGGCGCGACGTCTCCTCGACGCCCAGCGTCACCCCCAGCGGGTCGGCGCCCCAGTAGATCGTGTGCATGGCGCTGGAGGGCGGCGGCCGCATGAGCTCCAGGCCGATGGCCTCGCCGCCCCACACGTAGCGCACGACCAGGTCGTCGCTGCCGTCGTTGGACAGGAAGCTCTCGCACGTGGAGGACGCCCGCCGGTCCGCCATCGCTACAGTGCCGCAGTCGTCGAGGCTTGGCTTGGCTTGGCTTGCTGTCGAGCGAGCTTTAGCGCCGTCCTTCCTCCTTCCTGCCTTCGAGCAAAGCGTCGTTGGTTTGTAACGCTCTTGCTGTTCGTAGCCTGTCGAAGGATAATGCCTTTTGAAAAGTAATAATAAGCAGGACATGATTAATGGAGGGGTCAATATGTATGTACAAAGTACGGTTTGTAAACTATAGTACCGTTGTTTTGGTACATATTTACCCTTAAAACACAGATAATGCCTATAGAGAGGGTAGTTCAGCACGATGTAAGTTACCGTAAATTCGGGCCATTCCAGGTTCAGGCCCGCAGGTCTGACGGTCAGACACTGACCTCAAACTTCTAGCCCCTCTGCAGAGAATTGATAAAGGCTGCCCACGTCTGCCATCGATTCCACCCGCAAGTCTGATACAAGCAGCCTTCCAGTAGATCATTTCCTGGTGAAGCCTTCGAGCAATGAGCGTGACAGCGCTGAAAATACTGAATTTGTTTGTCCAGTGCGGCAGTTGCTGTGGACCAATACAAGTACTCCACTACCGGCAGAGCCGCTACCTTTCGAGTGGCAAAGTTACATCTACCAGTAACAGCTATTGCGGCGTCTTGACACGCTTTCTCCGACGGCCGAAAAAGAATTCGGGGGGGGGGGGGGGGCAGAGAAGGAGTATCGAATAAAATTTTCTAGTGTGGTTGTCCAAGTATTTACCAGCCTTCGGTTGTCTATACATTTTGGAAATGAAGATGTTTTGGTTGCTATACCGTTGCTATTTTCTTTAACGGCAGAATATTTTTCTTGAAGGAAAAAAAGTGGTGAAGTCCATTGCGACAACAGCACTTGGTATTATAGATGGGAAGTACCCGGACGGATAAAAAAACATGTAGCGGAATACTGGAAGACAAGAAGCGTGCGTGCAACGCAATTCGTGTTAATTAAATACCGTCTAATCTAAACTATTCTACCTACCTGGATCTACAAGCTAGCAGCTCCCGCAGTTGTCGAAACCAAGCTGCGAGGCGCATGGCGCAGGCAGAAGTAGTCGCACTTCTGATACGAGCGACGGTTGCAGCCCTCGTGCTTGCAGCGGTTGCCGCCGCCGTGGGCCCAACAGAATCCGCCCTGGGTCGACACCTTCGTGCACTCGGGGGCCTCGCAGATGTGGCCGCCGCCGTGCGACCAGCAGTGGCCGTAGCGCTTGGCCTTCTTAGTGCAGCCGGGCTCGGTGCACATCTTGTAGCCTCCGTGCTGGAAGCAGCGCTGGTAGAGCTTGGCGCGCGTGTTGCAGCCAGGCTCGGTGCACTTGGAGCCGCCGCCATGACGGACGCAGAGGCCTCGGGAGACGGAGAGGTTCTTGCAGCCCTCGATCTGGCAGGGGGGAGTGTGGGTCTTGCGAGGACGGGATGCAGCCTCGGTGACTGCCGACGGCACACGACTTGCCGCCTCCTAACAAAGGGTCAAAGACCTGCGCGGGCCTCGCATGACTCGAGCCCCGTCACGCGACATTAAGAGTTAAGGAATTATCGACGAGCCTGCGAGGCGATAATTATGTTTTCTGGAAGACGGAAGAGGTCAAGCATCCAGCCTCGGCGGGCATGGAGTTAGATGGGCAGGTGACCGTATGTAGGGCGGAATTTAGTCCAGCGGGTGGCGGAGCAGAGCCCCACCGTCAGCAAGGTTTACCGCCAGTAGTTAGAGCAGTAGCATTCGTAGTTTTGCGCCGAGGAGAAGAGCAGCGGGGTCGCCGTCGAGACCTCGCTCGCTTTTACTACGTGGGGTAGCAAACTCGCTCTCGCCAACGATTTCTCCTCGGGCGGCTACGGGTCCATGGCTGGATGTGGGCGGCGACGGACAAGCGCGGGATCAAGACGCAGACGGCGAAGGGTGATCGGCGTGGGCACGCGTCCGTGGCGCTTCGTGGCAAGACCCTCCTCGGCCGGAGACCAGGCAGCGGCGACGTCGCGCGAGCAGAGTCACAAGGGGCGCCGATGCGCCCGATCTCCGACGGACGTCTGCAAGCAGGGATCCCGAAAAATAAATACGCCCGGAAATATATTTGTATTTTCGGAATCAATATTTTATTGTAGGTATACCTCCTTGGTTTATTCGGTATTTATTCCAGCTTAGATCAAAACTTCTAGATCTTATTTCTGCGGTTGAATATATCCTTCATGATTGAGAAGTTTCTTCCCCTAATTTTCATTGTGTTAACGCCATCAAATTTTCCCTTTATGCTAAAATGATGTTGTTCAGCAACCTTAACACGGATGTGGCGACCGTGGGCAGTGTTTGTAAGAACCCATGAAGGTAACACGATTGCAGCAATTTACTGAATAATTTACTGCGTCAGCACGGGGTCTTCAGATTATTTATTTCTTCTCTCCTTGGTACACAAACAAATACGTATTTCGTTAACTTGAGAAAATAGATATATATCGTATTTTCGGCATGCCTGTCTGCAAGGGTACCGCCGCTATGGGAATGTCGGCCAGCACACATCGGTCATGCTTGCCACTGTCGGTATGTTCCTGGACGCCACTGTCGGCGCAGGACACGGAAGCCACCGTCGGCTTCGCCTGAGCGCCACTGTCGGCGAAGGGCATGGTCTGGTCGCCACTGTCGGCGCAGGACACGGAAGCCACCGTCGGCTACGCCTGAGCGCCACTGTCGGCGAAGGGCACGGTCGCCATTGTCGGCGCTGCCACGGTCGGCTAAAGGTAAGTATGCGGTCTCAAACTACTAACTACTCTGTTCGTCTTCTAATGTATGTAGGCAAGAGCAGTTCCTTCAAAAGCAAGCCCTTATAGTGGGGTAGCCTTTCAGAGCCACCTCTCAAGCCGCCGCGCTCCTCCGATAATCTGCGCGCGGCTCTCAAGGCGCCTCCTCAAGGCTGGACTAAGCTTTCGAATGTACTGCTCTTCGCCCCACCTCGCACGACTTCCTTAGAAACCGGCGGTGGGTGCGTGCTTATCCGTGTGGACACTTTGCACACAACACAAGTGGAGTGCATAGTGCCGTCGAACTCAAGCGCCCGAAGGCATGTGGCGGCAAGGTTCTCGCCGGACAGACTGGGCATCCGAAGCGTCGGCGATGTCTTACCGAACAACAACACTCACGCATTTCGCTACCTAGGTGATAGCACGCCAAGGCAAAACCTACATGACCCGCAGGGCATTTTGCGTTGATTTCGCAAGATCCTCGAGCCTTTAGCAATCGAGTACCCCGCCATGTATTTCGGGGCCCGCGGACCTCGACGGCGCCGAGCTTGTCTTTGTCGGAGCCTTCGCTTCCAGGGCGGATTTACTTGACACGAGCTTCGTGCGGCATGGCGCCGCATAGACGCCGTCTCGCAAAACTGAAGTTGCCGCAAGAAACACGCCGCACGCACCAAGCAGCCATGCGACGGGACAGCGCAGAAGTTCAACCGTGTGGATCGTCAACGCGCGGCATCGCCTTGATTGCTCGGGCAGGCGCTGCGTGTCTAGCTGCTCCGCGGCAGATTAAGGTCGCAGCTGTATCAACTGACAAAACCACTTGATTTTTGTATGCTCAAAGTTGAAGTGGATATATCAAACATAACCGGGACCGCTAGACCAATGCAATCCGCTCGCTTACGCTCCAGAGTCTCGGTCTTTCGCTTTGTTAATGGCCAACCTGAGCTGGCATGCAACACACACTCACGAGCTTTGTTGTGAGTATATCGGCCCCTTAGTCTCGCCAATCGCCTTACTACTTGCTACATGTACACGGCCGACAAAGAGAGCATGTACATGGCTGCACAGCGCCTTGCCTTGTCTGCCATGTCAAATGAAGCAGCACCTTCAACGTCTACGTTGCTCACGATCGTGTACGTGTGCACCGCTGAAGTAGACGCCCTGAGGACACACGAACTCGATGGGCACGAAGGCGCTAATATATTGTCGGGGCATCGCAGAGTGCGCGTTGAATAAATTAGTCTAGCTATCATCTAGTCTCATCCGAATTGACGGACTTGGTACACCATCTTGGTCTTGGCGTGGCGCATGCAGTAGTAGTCGTACCGCCGATAGGAGCGGCGGTTGCAGCCCTCGTGTTTGCAGCGGTTGCCGCCACCATGAGCCCAGCAATAGCCTCCTTGCGTGGACACCTTGGTGCACTCGGGCGATTCACAAATGTGGCCGCCGCCGTGCGACCAGCAGTGACCATAGCGTTTCGCCTTCTTGGTACAGCCAAGTTCAGTGCACATCTTGTATCCGCCGTGTTGAAAGCAGCGCTGGTTCAGTTTGGCACGCTTGGTGCACCCGGGGAATGTGCACTTGGAGCCACCGCCGTGGCGCACACATAGCCCTCGGGAGACAGAGAGGTTCGGGCAACCCTCGACTTGGCACGGAGGAGCGTGGGTCTTGCAAAGTTTTGGCATGCGCTCGGATTCAAAAGTTGATGCCAGTTCGGACTGAGCGTCTTCGCCGTCGACGCTGCCGCTGGGGCTTGAGTCACTGCTGACGCACAAGGCAGCTATGGAGATCATCGGCAGCCGCGTCGTGCCGCTTCCGTAACATTGGAGGTCGGTCATTTTCTTCTCGCGGGGCACGATGTCCGGTGCCACCAGCGTCTGCCGGTGCGTGAAAGCCGAGTCGGGGCTTCTCGCGACCGGCGACAAGCTGCGGAACAGCGACATTGGTGGCGAGGAGGTCCCTGTCAACTCGAGGTCGGCGTGGTCGGGCCTCGAGCACGGCGTTTCCGCGGTGCTATCCACCTGGCCGGATGGGTTGAGCAAGAAGGTGATATCGGCCTTGCAGTGCATACTGGTGAGGATTCTAATGCAATGCTCCGCGAAAGGCAAATTCAAATGTGAGCCGGTGGCAAAATGGATCGCCGAGGACTGTGAACAGACTGAGTGGCTTGGCTTAACGACGGTTGTCCTGCTGTTTGCGGCTCCAAGCAGAAAACAACCAAGCAGAAAACCTGACCAGCGCAAGAGCCGAGAAACGCGGACAAGTTATTTGCCAGTCAAATCGTGCTAAGTTAGCGCTGCTAACCCGCCCAAGACCGCCAGCCTGGTGGTCTTGGCAGCGCCAGGATCCGCTACCAGGCGCGATCCCGCATCACCTCCTTCGCGTCGAGGTTCTAGAACTTCCTCGTTTCGGAAGGCAGACACGCGCAACTGGTTGTCAGCGCAGCAAGGTCACACGACTCCGAGAGGATAGAGCATTGTGGCGTTGGCCCGACAGAGGCATCGGCAGCGATAGCTGAGCAATCCACCTCACGGCAGCGCGGCTTTTTTGTTAAATTCGTCTGCATGCGCGCAGCGTTAGTCTGCGCCTTAGTACGTTCAAGTTTAGTCCCGGGGGTGCGGCGGGGCATAGATCTGGCCGGGGACGGCCGGCCCAGCATCACGAGCTCACCCTACACTAGCGCCGCGCCAAGACCAGTGACAGGCGGGAGATTCCCCGAAGAGAAGCACGCGTGCCTCTCTCGCTGACGATGGCAAAGTTGACAGGTTCAACATGCCTGGGGTCTGATTGGCGCGCGACGAGAGGCTCGCAGCAGCGCGATGCAGGTTGCTTGCTCGCCTCCGTCGCGCGTGTCTTAGCAGTCGCCGATTTAGACGTCCGTTAAAAGCGCTGTCGGCAGCGGTAATTCGCTGCTCAAAAGCGACTTGCGCCCATCGGAAAGCAGCGTCTTTGCGTCTAACTTCAGTTTCTGCCTACAGTACGGGCCAAACTTCAGCTTTTGAAGTGAACTTTTGCCATGTACCGCTAACAGCGAAGGCATCGATCGCCACACGCCTCCTTCCGCTACCTGCCGGCTAGACAAAGACCGAAAACACTGAGCATGGGCTGGAATGAGGTGTCAATTAAATAGTCTAAATGCCTAACTAGCTATCGGTACTGGCCGCTTTAAGCCGTGGCGTGGCGCATGCAGAAGTAGTCGTACTTCTGGTACGAGCGACGATTGCAGCCCTCGTGCTTGCAACGATTGCCGCCGCCGTGGGCCCAACAGAATCCGCCCTGAGTCGACACTTTCGTGCACTCGGGAGCCTCGCAGATGTGACCGCCGCCGTGCGACCAGCAGTGGCCGTAACGCTTGGCCTTCTTGGTGCAGCCGGGCTCGGTGCACATCTTGTAGCCTCCGTGCTGGAAGCAGCGCTGATAGAGCTTGGCGCGCGTGTTGCAGCCAGGCTCGGTGCACTTGGAGCCGCCGCCATGACGGACGCAGAGGCCTCGGGAGACGGAGAGGTTCTTGCAGCCCTCGATCTGGCACGCGGGCGAGTGCGTCTTGCGCGGGGGAGACGCGCTGGCCGAGACCGAGGCGTCGGAGAGCTCATCGTCGCTGGAGCTGAAGCACTCAGAGCACAGCGCCGCCATGGACATGGTCGGGCGTGCGCGCTTGCTGAGGCTGCGGCGCTGCTCGAGCGGGGCCATGTACGGGGCCGCCAAGCGGCGATGGCTCGCGTAGGACACCGGAGAGCGCTCGGGGCTGCTCATGATCGGCGACAGGCTGTGAAAGAGCGACGCCGAGGATGCCGGCGCTCGATCGGGCGTCATCGGGGCCTGGGCCAACGGGTTCAGGAGGAACGAGATGTCCGCCTTGCACATTGCTTTGGTGGTTGTGGTGTGGATGTGGGGAATTGAATAGTGAGATTCGATACACCACCGGCGCAAAGATGAGAGCGATGCGCACGGCCGGCCAAATCAATTTGGGGCGCGTGTTTATCGTTGGTGCGGCCATCTGATTCTCGGTCTCAAATTGGCATTCATGAAGGAGGCGGTGCCGGTCGGGGACTGTATCAAGTCGATGGCTTGCGTCTCCTGTCGCAGCCAAGCTGTCTTGAAGCTCACCAACTGCTGCGTTGTCGCTCGCTTGGGCCGAGCATTGCCAGCGCAAAGCGGAGCAACGCCACTCGGCCGCTGAGCAATCTCGCATCCAACACCGAGCAGCGCGCGCTGTTTCTGGCCTTAATAGGGCGTTAATAAACACGCAACGTGGCCCTTGTATCTACTGTAGACACGCAGCACCGCCAGAAAAACTTCAGAAAACGCGACGAAGCAGGCGGGTTTTCCGCGACGCTTGCTTTCAAAGCAGCCTGCCGCTCTTAGCGCCTCTGCTTGGCGAGCTTGAAGCGAGACGAAGGTGAAGATGGGGGCGTCCTCTGATGATCTAGCGGTGGATAGGCCGACTTTAATCGGTTTAATCGCTGCAGACGCTGCGACGGCGACACCGCCGGCCAGCTCTGAGCAACAACGATCTGAGTGCTCTGGCTCAAATGCTCTTATGCGAGGGGCATGCGCTTTGGTTTGCATCCCCCGCAACGCATCCAAACCTCAGTCCAATAAAATACTAAGTATAACAGCACAAGATGCCAGGAACTCGGAGCATGACCGCATGGATTTCGACTTGGAAGATCACCGCCAAAGCGGTTAGCCCCACGGTGTGACCCCTCATCCGAGTCTCGGAGTCCGAGTGCAGCGCATGCCTGTCGGAGCTAACACTCGATCGAGGCTGTACCTGGTACTCAAGAAGACTGCCCCCCCCCCCTAGCTAGTAGATCAGAACCATTGACCAAAGCCGTCTTTGGTGCTTGGTGCACTCTTACTCATAGACCCATTCAATTCCACTTTATGTATTGCGATAAATAACACACAGTCAACTACAGTCAAGGTACCTCTTACACACTCGCGTTGAAGTGGGTGTTGTCGGTGTCCGCGCTCATGTTCGCGTGGTGGACGCAGTAGTAACCGTACTTCTGGTACGAGCGGCGGCTGCAGCCCTCCAGTCTACAGCGGTTGCCGCCGCCGTGGGCCCAGCACAGTCCGCCCTGGGTCGACACCTTGGTGCAGTCCGGGACCTCACAGATCCGGCCGCCGCCGTGCGACCAGCAGTGGCCGTAGCGCTTGGCCTTCTTGGTGCACCCAGGCTCAGTGCACGTCTTGTAGCCGCCGTGCTGGAAGCAGCGCTGGTAGAGCTTGGCGCGCTTGCAGCAGCCAGCGACCACGCAGCGCGAACCACCGCCGTGGCGGACGCAGCAGCCGCGGGAGACGGCGAGGTTCTTGCACCCTTGGACCTGACACGGCGGGGTGTGCGTCTTGCGTACGCGCGTCTTGCCGGCGTGGGTCTGGTTGGTCGTCAGATGCTGGGATGTTGTGCTGTGGTCCTCTTCGCTGTGCTCACTGCCTGCCACCGACGACGTACGCGAGACGCTGCTGCTCGTAGAGTTGGAGCTGTTGGCAGCGTACATCGCAACGAGAGACAGCATTGGCAGGCGGGTGCTGTCGTCCCCGTAGCAGCGGACGTTGCTGAACCGCTTCTCGTACATGGGCTCGTACGAGGCCGGCAGCTTCCGGGTGGGCGAGAGCGAGAGCGTGGGCAAGCGCTCCACCGGCGAGAGGCTGCGGAAGAGCGACATCGGAGGCGGCGTCGCGGGAGGTGTCGCGACATTGTCCTCGACCGGCGACTGATAGTTCAGCATCTGCACTTGCGCCTTCGGGTTGAGGAGGAAGGCGATGTCAGCCTTGGCGTTCATGGTGCTGTTGGCGCGAGGATCAATGGGGCGAGAGGTCTGTCGGGTCGAGAGCAAATTCCGTTGTGAGCAACCACCGGCTCCGGCGGCGGCGGCGTTGGTCCGACAACAAAGACCCAGCGAGCTCGGGTCGAGAAACGTATTGCGAAGAGTGCCCAGAAGCTGCATTTTGCATTTAAACGCGCGAGTGCCGAGCGCGCGTGTCCGGCGCCGAGTCCGGATTCAGCGGCGAGAGGAACTTTGGATAGTGGTGTTGTTGGGCGGCGGCGATGGCGGCGACCGAGGCGAGGTAAAACAGCCTTCCGCCCGGATCGCTGTCAACAATAGCAGCGCCCGAGATCCGGTGCTCCCCGCATGGACGACTGGCTCAAGCAAGACGCGAAGTTGAGGTTGCACGGCAGGGGCGGCGGGACAACCTCATCGCGGCTCCTGAAGCTACATTTCCCCCAGCAGCAAAACGATGTACCGCCGTGAGGGTGAGTGCACCCTGCTTTTCAGCAAAATGTACCCCGGCACGCTCACACGTAGCGGGGAGAGGAGAATGCCGGCAGCGACGACATCGAGACCTCACATCTCGTCGAGAATCGTGTTTGACAGCAAAGAGATGGGCGAGCGCAGAGAAGTTGCGCTGCTGCTTGGTGCTTGTCCACGGTGCCGGCGGTGCAGACACGCTTGCTTCAGCTTGGCGTGAAGTTCGTATCATAGTGTACTGTACGCAGGCGTTTCGTTCTCGCCGGGCACCTGGGAGTTTGACCTCCGACAGCAGCTTTTCGCCGTTGCTGCCAACTACGCTTGCCACGGGTCAGTCTGGACCGATATGCCGAACCTCGCACCGGCGAGCGTTCGGCGATGGCGACGCAGTTAACGCGGTTTCAGCGCGCATGACATCGTCCTCGATGCAGCCCTGAAACCAAAGCATGGGCGACGTGGACGAGTGGCAGTTAGGCCGGCAGTGACTTGCTCCGGAAACTTCAGGGGTGGAAGGTATCGAAAACAACGCTTCGTCGGAAGCTGGGTCCGCAATGGACACCAGGAACAGAGCGGTGGTGCCGATGCCTGGCAGCCACGAGAGCCGAACGTCGTCAAGTCGAGTGTATAAAAACATCTTTGGTGCTCGCTTTGCCGAGCCTCAAACGCGTGCCAAGCAGCATAGACGGCATGAAACTGCGCTCGCTGTCGCCAGCAACGATGGCACAGCTCTCATAGACAGGTGCTGCTGCTGCAGTGCTTCGGGGTACCAGGCTTTCCGCTATCGTGCGTGGTGCTCCACTCCATCTTTGCACTCTTGCCAGACATTCCTACGTGCTTTTCAAACGAAGCTGTGCTGGAAGTCGGGCCCATGGGATACTAGATCCCAGTAGTGTCGATGTTGAAGTGGTTTTGCGCTTGGAGCATCAAAATTTGCGATTGGACTAAATGCTCTGATTGTTCTAAATCTACGACGACTTAACTTTGTGCATCACTTTAAGTGAGAGCTAATGGCTTTAGCGCTCTAAATCTGCGACGAATCAAATTTGGGCATCACTTTTTTCAACGAATGTTCAAATATGTAGTTTTAGAAGGTCATTTTAGATAGACAAAGGACGCCGACTTCGGAAGCCTCATGCCGCTTTCTTTCGTCCAGGCTGATCGACGAACTGAGTTTGCTCCTGCTGTTGCTGCACAGATCGTGGAGATACACTGTACTGCACTGGCGCTTCTTCAGCGTTCGGCAATCGCCGGCCATAAAGAAAAGCACGTGCTCATTGACGTTGATCGCAGAGAACGGGTGTCGTCACTACTGTACCTGGCTAGAAGCTCAAAAGCGGGTGGCCCCGGGGCCTCGATATTGACTGCGCTCGTTGGAGGCGGCTCGAGCCGCTGAAGTGTTCGCCTTCTGATCAACCCTCGACGTTAAATGCCTACAGCCAGGCAGACTGTATCAAGGTCGGGATGACATCGGCCTGAGCACCGCGACGACGCATCAACAATTGCGCGTGTCAAACCGCCGTGCGCCGGGCACGCGCCTTAGGAACACAGCATCAGCTTTCACGGTCTGTTTCTACTGCACTTGCATGCAGACAAATTGTGGGGCGCACAATACTGCATCCTCTTTAGAAGTCCGTCTCGGTGTTTTACAGTCTGACACTGGTACAGTACATATAGTATATATTCGGGAGGGGGCCATGCCTCCGACGGCGTACGTGTGCGGATCCCCTGAGCTCGACCGGCGCGTGCCTCGCACCACCACCAGAAGCCTGCGATTGGCAGCCTGCGTGCGTCCACCGGCACGGCACGGTGCAGCGCGACGGGACCAGCTGGCTGTCGCGGAGGACACCTTTTGGCTCAAGATACGCGCGAGAGTGGGACGACGGCCGCACCACCCGAACGGGCACCGGCCAATCGCGTGCCGGCTCGCGCGTGCCTGCACCGTCGGAAGGCCCATACAAACGGCAAGGCAAAAGCGGGGATGCGCTCGGCGTGTGCCGGCAGGCGGATCCGGCCAATCGGACGCCGCGCCGCCACGCGCCCTGGAACTTTGGGCCTGGAACTCGGCGGCTTGACACGCTCGCCAGAGTCGCGTTGACGCCTTCCGGCTTGTTGCGCCGTCATTCCGGCCGAGGCCACACACGATGCAGCAGGACTGCGATGCCGACAGCTCCGAGCACTTCTGAATTGGAGCGGCAGCGCGCACTCGATCCATTGCGCGCGTCCTGCAACAGTAGCAACTACAACTGCACCTAATACACACGAATCGCACAATGAGCGGCAAGTCGGACATCTCTTTCCTGCTGAACCCGCAGCCGGCGGGCTACCGCGAGCTGCGCGCCCCGATGCCGGCGCCCATGTCCCCGCCGCACGCCGCATCGTCGCTGCTGCTTCTGGGCGCGTGCATCGCGCCGCTCGACAAGATGAGCAGCGTGTACAGCAGCAGCAGCAGCGGCGGCGGCTGCAGCAAGAAGACGCTGTTGCCGGCGCTGTCTCTGGCTGCGCTGTGCGAGGCCAGTAGCAGCTACAGCAGCGGCAGCAGCAGTGGCGCCGACTCGAGCTGCAGCGACAGCGATGACGACGACGAAGAGAAACAAGAGCAACAACAACCGACCGCGGCGTCCGCGCCGACGACCGCCACGACCAACTCGAAGACGGACGCGACCACGGAGCAGACGGCTACGACCCGCACCCCCGCCGCCGCCAAGACCAGCAAGCCCAAGAAGCCCCGCGCGACCCGCACGCGCGTGCGCAAGAACCGCACGCCGCCGTGCCAGGTGGACGGGTGCACGAACATCGCCGTGTCTCGCGGCTGCTGCGTGCGGCACGGCGGCGGCTCTCGCTGCTCGGTGGCGGGGTGTCCGAACCGCGCCAAGCTGTACAAGAAGTGCTTCCAGCACGGCGACATCAAGACGTGCGCGACCGAGGGCTGCACGCGCAAGGCGAAGCGGTACGGCCACTGCTGGTCGCACGGCGGGGGCCGCATCTGCGAGACCCCCGGGTGCGACAAGGTGTCGACGCAGGGCGGACTGTGCTGGGCGCACGGCGGCGGCAACCGGTGCAAGCTGGAGGGCTGCAGTCGGCGCTCGTACCAGAAGTACGGCTACTACTGCGTGGACCACGCGTCGCTGAGCAAGGGCGAGCCGGCGTAAGTTTGCGAGCAAGCAAGCATGCGAGCCAGCACTTGCTTGAACGATCATCAAGTGTCGTTTGAGCAAGGAAGCTGGTTCATTCGGCTGTGGCGGAAGCCTACGAAGCATGTGCCCCGGATGTAGTTGTAGGCGGGTACAATAGTTGAAGTGGTCCTTATTTATTTGGCGATAAGCCTAGCGAAAGTAATCTCAAGTAACTTCTGTATTTCCCGAGTTGTTCATGCTCGTTATTTGGGGGGAGTTCGTAAACTCGACTGCAACTTGTACGGTACTGAATGGGATGCAACGCGGCGTCCATTGACGATGGTTTGCTTCAGCTTTGTTTTATCGCGATTAGAAAAACTACTACGGGCTCCTTTGGCATGTGAGCTGTCAATTCGAGTGCCAGGTTCGTGTGTGCATTCGGCGAGACTGTCATTATGAGGTACTTCTCTGGCCCACTTAAGAAACAGCATTCGGCATTAAACCTCAATTTGATGTGAACCACATGTAACATATGATTGGGTATAATCAACTGTTTCAGCTTACTATTGGCCAAAATAAATGGGTCTGCGCATGTCGAGATAATCGCGTAGAAAAACCTCAAAACTGTAGCCCTTCTAACTCGTCTCCAACAGGCGCTACAACATCGACAACCGAACATAAGGGTAAAGCAGTCACTCGCGATTACGGTGATATTTTATTTTCTAATATCGCTAATTTTTGACGGCACCTCGCTAAAAAACCTAATGTTGCCTAAAACGGACTTCAGATAAAAGGCTGTTTCCTTTTCTTTCTGCTGCTAGATTTTTTTAAATCATAGCGTGAAACGGAGCAAATGCGCAGCTTTCGGTTGAGGTATTGCGAGTCGCCAAACGATTTTTTTGTAAACAGTTATGCCCAGAAAACCGAAGTGTTGTTTCTTATGTGGGCCAGAGAAGTATTCAACCAAACAGTCCTTGAAGAGAGCGAATACTGACTCAGGAGCGCCAATTCTCTCGGTCAAAGCAACCCGAGAATTTCATCTAACTACAGAACTGCGTAGTGACACGTAAGTTGTCGGAAGCGAATCACCTAGCGATCTTTCTTGCGTCAGTAGCAGTAACAAATGCCACATTAACAATCAATATCTACTGATATGACCACGAGGGCATACTTCTGCAATTCACCAATTCGGCACAAGCCTCCCACTTACTCCTTGGTTGGAGAATCCAAGTCATAATAGTCCACATGCGCTCCAGTCTCGTAGTCCCCACTAATAGCAAGTTTCACTCCACGCTGCGAAGATTGGGCTGGTGGGATCAGCGTGCCTTGAGCCTTCATGTCCTCGAACTGCTTCCGAAGCTCAGGGTCCACACACGGCGACTCGCGGATTGTCTTCTGCATGTCCGTGTCCATCGGTCCGGGCGAGTACTGCAGCACGCGCACCTTGTCCACCACCTGCTGCTCTGTCGCGATCACACGGTGGTGCATCTCGCGCGCCGCCTTGCCACTACAGTACATCATGTGCGTCTTGAAGGGCTCGATGCCACACAGCGACGTGATGTTGACGATCACCAGCTGCGTCTTCTCGTCACCAGTAGCGGGAGTCGCGGCCAGCAACTCGTCCCTCGAGGCCCCGAAGACGTCCAGGAAGCGCTTGTTGAGCCACAAAACGGACGTCACGTTCAGCTCCCAGTACTGCGCTAGCTCCGTCGGGGATGAGGCACACTCCTGTACGACTCCGAGCTGGCCCAACGACCCTGCGTTGTGCACAAGGAAGACGCGGTCGTAGCTCTGCGCCGCCAACTGCAGCAGCACCTGGTCCACCTTCGCCGCGTAGTCAGCCGGGTTGCCCAGGTCCACGCACTGCACGAAGCAGCGCAGCTCGCCAGTGGCGGCTGCAGTCTCCCATTCGTTCCGCGCCAAGCGCTCAGTCTCCTTGAGGTCGCCCTCACTGCGAGCCCACAAGTGCTGCGTAGTGTATCAAATGCATGAACAAGCACCGACAACACTCGCCAGTCAGTCGCAGAGGCCTGCAGCAATACAATAGTGTCCATACGCACCAGATCGAGGTCCTGAGTCTTGAGCAGACGCGCGAAGTCGAGCGTCAAGCAGCGGCCGAAGCCGCGCGACGCCCCCGTGACCAGCACTGCGCTCTTCATGATGGGGTCAAGCTACAAAATGTGTTCTGACACATCAATTCGGTGTGGCAGTACTCCACATTCCGAATGACTCGAATTTTGCTCCAACTGCAAGAAGATCGCTAAAAAAGGGTTCATTACCATGCCGAGGGGAGTTCCGCGCCGCGATGGAGACAACGAGGGGAGCCCCGCGGAGGGAAAAATGCGCCAGCGGTTCGGCCGAGACGAGGACTACCTGCTCGCGGTGCAGGTGAAGGAGGACACGCCGTTCAAGGCGCGGCACGGCGCGATCGGAGAGACGTGGGACGGCGTCGCCGAGCGGCTCAACCAGCACCCGGACTTCCACATGCGCCCGATCAAGGGCACGACGGCCAAGACGCGCTTCGACACGCTGGTGCTGCGCCACCGCCTGTGGCAGCAGTCGGCCGAGACCGAGGGCGCGGAGGAACTCGACAGTCCCTATCGCCTGCTGATGAGCGAGTTGGTCAAGGAGATTGACGAGCATCCGAGGACGAACGCCCGCCACGGCTCCGACGAAGCTGCGGACAATGGAGAGCTGCGAGGAGAACGAAAGGTGGAAGCCCCCGAACCACGGACCAGCTCGCGGCTCGGCAAGCGCCGTGCCAGCTCAGAAGCTGTTGAGCCTGAGTCGGAACGACGTGAAGTCTACGTGCTGCCTCGTCCTCGGTCGGAGCCAGAGCAGTTGCAGCCCGATGACGCACACCTTGCTGAAACTACGGCGGAGCGCACAGAGGTAGTGGGGCTGCAGCATGCACCCACACCATCATCTGCCCCTGCATTTGCCTCAGTGGCTGCACCCCCACCTGCAGGGCAGAAACCGGTCACGGGGGACTTGGTTACCGCGCAGCAGGCCATGGCAGAGCTGTTGAAGATGCAGCACGCCTTCGCAGCACGGCCGAGCGAAGTGCGAGTCATTGAGTTGGAAAAGATGAACGAAGCCCGGCTCCGTGAAGAAGAGGAGAAGACCAAGCAGCGCGGACTCGAACTTCAAATCGAAATCCAGCGCACGAAGCGCCGACAGTTGGAGCTGGAGTTTGAGAGAGAGGAGCGACAGAAAGACCGCGAGGAGCAAGCCAAGTTGATCGCCAGCCTGGTGCAGCGTCTCGAGCCCAAGAAAGACTAAACTTTGACTGGGGCAGGTGAAGTTGTCCCGCCAATGGCACATTGCGTGCCAAGCAGGTATATAAGTATATTTTCTACAGTCATTTCAGAAGCACACGCACCGCAAGCGCCTATTTGGCCCAGGGTCAACCACCAGACCACGAAGCCTTTGTTAGCGCAGCTTTTCAGCTTTTTGGGTGTACCTTGCAGTTGTGGACGCAGTATTATTGTGCTTTGCAGATAAAATGTCGCCCCGTTTTATGGCCTAGATCGAGGTAGGCCGGTCCACAAATCAGGGCACAAATCAGAGGGGGTAGCATGGACGATCTCGATTTGCTTAGATCGACCTCGAATTACGCTTTTGAAAACGCAAAAAGGATCGATTTACCGTAGATCGACCACGTTCTACTCAAATCCACGAGCAGATCGACCTCGAGCCCTGATTTGGATTGGCGTAGGTCGAGTTATTAGCCGGCCTAAATAGATCGATCTGTCCCTTTCTTTGACCTCGTTTTATTAAATCGATCTTGATTTATTATATAACTCGAGGAGAGCTCCAAGTCAAAACGACAAAACGTTTGCAAAGCACAATACATTTCCCGTTTATACTGGGAGGACAGCTTTAGCTGGCTGAACAGCCTAAGGGGATTGGCCAGTTTAGTAGAGCAAGCTGAATTTTTGACTTTGAAAAGTATTTTCTTGAAAACTACTAATCTTTTGGAGATAAAACGTGTACACAATGAAAGCCCTTGATTTGCTCTAACATGTGCACCAATCCAGACACAGTTAGCAGCTACGAAAGTGCTATTGTAGCGCGCAAAAGAAAACATACCTACAGTATGCTGCGATCAGTTTAGTAGAGCGGAATAATACTGGTCTTTGTAAGTATCGAACTACCATATGGAAACGCGTGGTAAGAGTTTTATAGCCAATCAAAGCACGTATTTCATTATTTCTGCAATATTACTGGTTCTACTAAACTGGCCAAAACACTTAACCAATTTTATTTCAGCGACCGGGAGCCCCCCCCCCCCAACTTTAATTGGCAAATGTCGCCTGAGTCCATAGTCCACAGATTATGGCTACCATAACATCACAAGGTATATATTACATTTTCGTGGCTGGTTGTTCCCAAAATGTCGCGGGGCTGCTGGTAGCCCACTGCGTAAAGGTCCCAGGAAGTACGCTCTTGGCCGGAGTTAAAATCCCACCAAGTATTGTGATTTGCATCCAGTTTGCCCTCCTAATTAGTGCACTAGTTAGTGTTCGTACTTATTGGTAAATCATGGAGGCTTTGAATGCAAGTTGCTCAAGTCGTGCTTCGAGCCCGATTTGGCTCGGAAATGGCACTTTCTAAAAGTGCCAAACGGATGCTAATCCATGCTGGATGTGCTAAATCATGCAGATGGCGTTTGTGCACTACTTAGTGCTCATCGACCATCCACGACTTATAGCAATTCGTACTCGAGTACGATTTATAGATAAGTCGCGCTCGATAAGTCGTACGAGTTACAGTCCGAAGTGCCAAAAAGTATGAAAAGCACAATACGAAAAAGGAAGAAGAATAAATTGATACACTCTCCAATCCAATATCCCATCACAACCATTCAACAATCATTACCTCTGACACCCAATTCACCCAAGGAAGATCAACAATTCAGTTTCCCAAGAGCGTACAACCAGCAATAAGTTATTGATTAACTGGTTATTGCCAATAACGAGTTAATCAAATCATCAGTTTTTCCCCCCAAAATGTCGACTGTACCCGTAGTGTGTACCACACACTGTAGTGAGCAGTTATTGAATTTATGAAATTTATTTGAAAAATCATAACTAGGATAGCTGTATTTTATCTTGTAAGTTAAAATTTACTCAAAATCAATGAAATAACAACTGACGGCGGATTGCTCTCTTTCCTGTGTCTGTTCGCGCCAATGGCTAGCTGGAATGCATGACCTCAATGGGCTCGGCCGGGGGCAAAGCCCCTGGCCGACCGCGCCTTTAACTTCTCTCGTGTCTTTTGCACGGCAACTTCGCCATTTTTTAAAAGGCGCTACACCAGGGTTTGAAAACTTGCCACCAATTTTCATGTTAAATAATTCTTGCCTACCCCACGTTTGCACACAAATGAAGTCTACACTGTCCTCCCAGACCAAAGCTTTGCCTCTAGTTTGGCTCCGCACATTCTCTTTGATCGTTGTAAATGCGAGGAAGTTCCTCGTCCCTCGGTGCAATATCGGATATTTCAGGTGTGGATAACTCAATTATCCCCACCAGACGACAGTAGAAGTTCTCCCTTGCGATGGCACCACGGTGATTGTTTTTACGAAGAGTGCGAGTGTGTGGCATCTTGTGATGGATGAATACGTGCAGTCTTGCGGCGCCAAATTGGTGTAGGCTCGTGTGGGAGTGCAGTAGAGCAATTCGCGATTTTGCAGCATGCATTCAAAAATTATGCAACCACACAAGAAGTAGATAACTGGACAAGTTTTCGTGGCTGACGCTCTGCAGTGCCAAGGAACATGGTAAGTACTTCGAAGTATGCCTAAGTAAAACCACAGATGAGAAAATAAAAGTTTATTGCTTCAGATTTGCAACTACCAGATAAATAGGGATCATTTCAACTATTGTACCCGCCTACAACTGCATCCGGGGCACATGCTTCGTAGGCTTCGCCACAGCCGAATGAACCAGCTTCCTTGCTCAAACGACACTTGATGATCGTTCAAGCAAGTGCTGGCTCGCATGCTTGCTTGCTCGCAAACTTACGCCGGCTCGCCCTTGCTCAGCGACGCGTGGTCCACGCAGTAGTAGCCGTACTTCTGGTACGAGCGCCGACTGCAGCCCTCCAGCTTGCACCGGTTGCCGCCGCCGTGCGCCCAGCACAGTCCGCCCTGCGTCGACACCTTGTCGCACCCGGGGGTCTCGCAGATGCGGCCCCCGCCGTGCGACCAGCAGTGGCCGTACCGCTTCGCCTTGCGCGTGCAGCCCTCGGTCGCGCACGTCTTGAAGCCGCCGTGCTGGAAGCACTTCTTGTACAGCTTGGCGCGGTTCGGACACCCCGCCATCGAGCAGCGAGAGCCGCCGCCGTGCCGCACGCAGCAGCCGCGAGACACGGCGATGTTCGTGCACCCGTCCACCTGGCACGGCGGCGTGCGGTTCTTGCGCACGCGCGTGCGGGTCGCGCGGGGCTTCTTGGGCTTGCTGGTCTTGGCGGCGGCGGGGGTGCGGGTCGTAGCCGTCTGCTCCGTGGTCGCGTCCGTCTTCGAGTTGGTCGTGGCGGTCGTCGGCGCGGACGCCGCGGTCGGTTGTTGTTGCTCTTGTTTCTCTTCGTCGTCGTCATCGCTGTCGCTGCAGCTCGAGTCGGCGCCACTGCTGCTGCCGCTGCTGTAGCTGCTACTGGCCTCGCACAGCGCAGCCAGAGACAGCGCCGGCAACAGCGTCTTCTTGCTGCAGCCGCCGCCGCTGCTGCTGCTGCTGTACACGCTGCTCATCTTGTCGAGCGGCGCGATGCACGCGCCCAGAAGCAGCAGCGACGATGCGGCGTGCGGCGGGGACATGGGCGCCGGCATCGGGGCGCGCAGCTCGCGGTAGCCCGCCGGCTGCGGGTTCAGCAGGAAAGAGATGTCCGACTTGCCGCTCATTGTGCGATTCGTGTGTATTAGGTGCAGTTGTAGTTGCTACTGTTGCAGGACGCGCGCAATGGATCGAGTGCGCGCTGCCGCTCCAATTCAGAAGTGCTCGGAGCTGTCGGCATCGCAGTCCTGCTGCATCGTGTGTGGCCTCGGCCGGAATGACGGCGCAACAAGCCGGAAGGCGTCAACGCGACTCTGGCGAGCGTGTCAAGCCGCCGAGTTCCAGGCCCAAAGTTCCAGGGCGCGTGGCGGCGCGGCGTCCGATTGGCCGGATCCGCCTGCCGGCACACGCCGAGCGCATCCCCGCTTTTGCCTTGCCGTTTGTATGGGCCTTCCGACGGTGCAGGCACGCGCGAGCCGGCACGCGATTGGCCGGTGCCCGTTCGGGTGGTGCGGCCGTCGTCCCACTCTCGCGCGTATCTTGAGCCAAAAGGTGTCCTCCGCGACAGCCAGCTGGTCCCGTCGCGCTGCACCGTGCCGTGCCGGTGGACGCACGCAGGCTGCCAATCGCAGGCTTCTGGTGGTGGTGCGAGGCACGCGCCGGTCGAGCTTAGGGGATCCGCACACGTACGCCGTCGGAGGCATGGCCCCCTCCCGAATATATACTATATGTACTGTACCAGTGTCAGACTGTAAAACACCGAGACGGACTTCTAAAGAGGATGCAGTATTGTGCGCCCCACAATTTGTCTGCATGCAAGTGCAGTAGAAACAGACCGTGAAAGCTGATGCTGTGTTCCTAAGGCGCGTGCCCGGCGCACGGCGGATGCGTCGTCGCGGTGCTCAGGCCGATGTCATCCCGACCTTGATACAGTCTGCCTGGCTGTAGGCATTTAACGTCGAGGGTTGATCAGAAGGCGAACACTTCAGCGGCTCGAGCCGCCTCCAACGAGCGCAGTCAATATCGAGGCCCCGGGGCCACCCGCTTTTGAGCTTCTAGCCAGGTACAGTAGTGACGACACCCGTTCTCTGCGATCAACGTCAATGAGCACGTGCTTTTCTTTATGGCCGGCGATTGCCGAACGCTGAAGAAGCGCCAGTGCAGTACAGTGTATCTCCACGATCTGTGCAGCAACAGCAGGAGCAAACTCAGTTCGTCGATCAGCCTGGACGAAAGAAAGCGGCATGAGGCTTCCGAAGTCGGCGTCCTTTGTCTATCTAAAATGACCTTCTAAAACTACATATTTGAACATTCGTTGAAAAAAGTGATGCCCAAATTTGATTCGTCGCAGATTTAGAGCGCTAAAGCCATTAGCTCTCACTTAAAGTGATGCACAAAGTTAAGTCGTCGTAGATTTAGAACAATCAGAGCATTTAGTCCAATCGCAAATTTTGATGCTCCAAGCGCAAAACCACTTCAACATCGACACTACTGGGATCTAGTATCCCATGGGCCCGACTTCCAGCACAGCTTCGTTTGAAAAGCACGTAGGAATGTCTGGCAAGAGTGCAAAGATGGAGTGGAGCACCACGCACGATAGCGGAAAGCCTGGTACCCCGAAGCACTGCAGCAGCAGCACCTGTCTATGAGAGCTGTGCCATCGTTGCTGGCGACAGCGAGCGCAGTTTCATGCCGTCTATGCTGCTTGGCACGCGTTTGAGGCTCGGCAAAGCGAGCACCAAAGATGTTTTTATACACTCGACTTGACGACGTTCGGCTCTCGTGGCTGCCAGGCATCGGCACCACCGCTCTGTTCCTGGTGTCCATTGCGGACCCAGCTTCCGACGAAGCGTTGTTTTCGATACCTTCCACCCCTGAAGTTTCCGGAGCAAGTCACTGCCGGCCTAACTGCCACTCGTCCACGTCGCCCATGCTTTGGTTTCAGGGCTGCATCGAGGACGATGTCATGCGCGCTGAAACCGCGTTAACTGCGTCGCCATCGCCGAACGCTCGCCGGTGCGAGGTTCGGCATATCGGTCCAGACTGACCCGTGGCAAGCGTAGTTGGCAGCAACGGCGAAAAGCTGCTGTCGGAGGTCAAACTCCCAGGTGCCCGGCGAGAACGAAACGCCTGCGTACAGTACACTATGATACGAACTTCACGCCAAGCTGAAGCAAGCGTGTCTGCACCGCCGGCACCGTGGACAAGCACCAAGCAGCAGCGCAACTTCTCTGCGCTCGCCCATCTCTTTGCTGTCAAACACGATTCTCGACGAGATGTGAGGTCTCGATGTCGTCGCTGCCGGCATTCTCCTCTCCCCGCTACGTGTGAGCGTGCCGGGGTACATTTTGCTGAAAAGCAGGGTGCACTCACCCTCACGGCGGTACATCGTTTTGCTGCTGGGGGAAATGTAGCTTCAGGAGCCGCGATGAGGTTGTCCCGCCGCCCCTGCCGTGCAACCTCAACTTCGCGTCTTGCTTGAGCCAGTCGTCCATGCGGGGAGCACCGGATCTCGGGCGCTGCTATTGTTGACAGCGATCCGGGCGGAAGGCTGTTTTACCTCGCCTCGGTCGCCGCCATCGCCGCCGCCCAACAACACCACTATCCAAAGTTCCTCTCGCCGCTGAATCCGGACTCGGCGCCGGACACGCGCGCTCGGCACTCGCGCGTGTATGTTCCAACCAAAGGCCGGATTGAGCAAGACCAAGATTACGACGATGGCGTCAATCGGATTGCTGCGCGGCTGAAGGACCATCCATATGTCGTCCAACTGGATAGGACGATTGAGTCGGTTCGTCGTCATACCGGTAAGCACCCCACTCCCTTCATAGTTTTGGAAAACTCATCGGGAACGGGTAAAACCCAGATGGCTTTCAACCTGGAAGCCCATGGAGTCCACGAGGTCTACTACATTCCTTACGCGGATGCCATTGATGGTGCCCTCGATCCGCCGGATGGAGGGCACAGTCTGTCCCACACAATGTATCAAGCGTACAGGAGCCGAGCGGAGTGTTTTTTGTCGTGCGTCCAAAATGACATCGCGCTATTAGCGGATGGGTCCGTCCAGAACATCATCTCGACGGACTTATGGATTTATTGTCGCTGCGTTGCGGGGTAAAGGAAATGTGGGTAACTTTGCTGTTATTCGTGCCGATGTGGTTGAGGCTCTGGAGCAACGAGGTAAACCCTGTGTTTTCTTCTTGGACGAGTTTCCGCGAGTAGGTTCTCCAATTGGATCGGCACTTACTGACAAGAAGCGTGAGGAATCGGTGACACGGGTGCGAATAATGAGGAACACATTCCGATCTTTCGGTATCCCAGTCGCGATCAGCTCTACAAACGGCTCCGCAAGAAATTTGTTACAGCTTGGGAGTCGTTCCAGAGATGCCGTTCAGACCGATGGAGTTTTGTGGTGCTTCATTTTTCCGAGACTCCGTCCTGCTTCTGTTGAAGACGAGATTGATGCGCTCTATCTTCCTGAAATACTACAACAGATTTAGCAGACCACTTTTTACGCATTTGGCGCTGGAGTACGTCAGAACTCACAACTTCAAAAACGCAAACATTGTTTCTTACTTGGATGAACCTGGTCGAAAGCAAGTTCTTCGAGCTGTCACTTGGAGAAGCGGGCGTATCGGGCGTATTGTCGAATGGTAGAGCGTGGCAGTGTTCCTGCACATTTCCTGTCCCAGAGAACGACATGTTGCTTCACATGACCCTAACTGGAGGAAGACGATTTTATCCGTTCGAGCAGCCACTGCATCAACTGGTCGCGGACCCACATATCCATAATCTGGTGAACTACAACAACATTCTCCAGAGATCCAATCCTGGTATGCGTCTTGAAGCTCTTGCATCAGCTGGAATTGCTGTCGCTAGCATCGAGGCGGCTTTCGTGGAATACCATTCACACAGTTTATGGGGGCGCTTGTTTACGAGTTGGGCTTCGACTCAACTTTCGAGCTACCTTTGGATTTTGTAAGTTCCGAGCTCGATGAGCTAGTTGTACCCTTTTTGTCGACTCCAAACATGTGTTGGCCACGATGGTTTACCGAAGGTTTGGATGACACAACCGTAAGTTTACAAATTTGATACGTACGCGCAACGAAGACCGCATTGACTTCCGTGTTTCGTCCAACGAAATCTCTGGTGAATGCAAAGATTACAGCTCTAGTTTGAATCTTGCTGTCTTGAAAGCGATATTGATAAGGATTCCTGCTGAGTCTCGAGTGCACCTAATGGTGACAAACAAGTTGCAAGGGTCCTACTTCACTCGCGAAAGTGCATCGGATATGGGAAACGACTGGAAAAATGTCGATTTCTACCGAATTTCACAGTCGGGCATGTCCAAGGTCGCAGGTTTGGAGTCACTGTCGGCCCCATCAGTTGGAAAAAAACGAACACTAGTTCTCTTCATTGAACTGAAAAAATATCAACTTCCGTTGACCACGGATTCTACCAGAAACGACATCGCTTTACCAGGCGTCGTGAACTATCTCGAGTCCTGCGCCCTGCGACAGTGATGAACTATTTTATTTCATTTACGCACTCCGTGGCATCTTTAATCAAGCGTCATTTTTTCGATCTGCCCGACAACTTTCGTCGTTTGCTGGCTACACAAGAGCACAGAGGAATGGGCGGCAAACGGAATCGGCATAGCAAAACCGCTGACTTCGCGCCCTCTACACCGCTTCATCCGGTGGACAACTCACGCTCTCTTTCTGCTGTTGCTGGTCGAACGAGGCGAACTTCAATTGATCCAAAGGTCCACCAATACCACGAAAGGGAAGCTGCGGCTCAAATGCATCGGCGCACAACGGTAAAGAGGTGTTGCCGACTGGAAATGCAATGAATTCGCTGCGGCCCGCGTCGTGGAGGTGAACCCCGTGGCCTTCGAGGTGCTGGGCTGGCGCACGGGCCTCGAGGCGCCCGTGGAGCTGCTGGATGATGAACAGAAGCCGCTGGTGCTCACGGCCAGCGAGAAGTGCTCGCTCCCGGAGCTCAAGATGAAGATCTGGAGGGCGGCGGCCGTCACGCCTGCGCTCAGGAACATGTTCAGTGATGTGAGCGAGGAGGACATCGGCAAGGCTGTACAGGTATGCTACAGAATGGACGAGGACTCGCCCTGGACCCCACTGAGAGACGCCGTGGTGGCCGAGTCACGCGCCAACGGGTTCTCAAGCCCCCGCAGACCCGATATTCTGGTGGAAAGCACCTCCGTGGGGGAGCTGCAGCTGGAGCAGAGGGACTACAAGCCTGGCAGGGAGAAGCTGCACCATTTGCTGGTGGAAGGACGCTTTGCAGCGGAACCTGGCAGAGAGATGCTGGACTGGAGACACGGCAAGTTCTACAGTGAAGTCCAGGCGGAGGCGTGGCGGTTCACGCTGGAGAAGAACCAGTTGATCGACGCTTTGGACACGGACAAGAAGTGGTACGAAGCGCGCGTGATCGATTTGAGCGACACGCAGGTGAAAGTGCATTACCGTGGATGGACAGCCAAGTGGGACGAGTGGCTGACCCGCACGTCGGCGCGCATCGCGCCGCTGCACACGAAGGTCCCAAATTGGCGCGCCTTTAAGGTTGGAGACGAGGTGCTCGTGGGGAAGGAAGTGGATCGAAAGAATTATCCTGAATGGCGAATTGGACGTGTTACGGATCTCAAGAAGTCGGAGATGCACGACTCGCTCCGAATTGAGCTCGATGTGGACGGATCAAAGAGGTGGGTGGACGCCCAAAACGAGTTGTTGTGTCCTGTGGGCACGCACAAGGCTCTGAACGTGAGCACGACTGTTACGTCGCCAGTGTCTTCGTTCTCGCCGGCCTCTTCATACAACCAATTTGCGCGCGACTACGGGAGTGAAGCGGGTAAGGGCCGGCCTACCTTTGAGGGCGTCGTGGGGCTGAGAAACCTGGGCAACACGTGCTTTATGAACAGCATGCTGCAGTGTCTGATAAACACAGCACCGCTTCGGGACTATTTCCTCGAGAAGGACCCAGAGACTGGCAGCCCATTCTTCACCAAGGAGATTAACCGACATAACCCTCTGGGTATGAAGGGAATCATGGCAGTCGAGTTCGCGTCGCTGCTGCGCAAGATCTGGAGCGGAGAGTTCACAGTGGTCGCCCCAACGAGCCTGAAGTCCGTGATCGGCCAGTACGCGCCCCAGTTCGCGGGGTACCAGCAACAGGATAGCCAGGAACTGATGAATTTCTTGCTGGATGGCCTTCATGAAGACCTCAACCGTGTGAAGACGAAGCCATACACCAAGCCTGTTGAGAGGAATGGTCGCGAAGACCCGGAGGTGGCACAGGAAGAGTGGCAGCAGTTTGTTCGTCGCAACAACAGTATCATTGTTGACAACTTCATGGGGCAACTCCGCAGCCACGTGACGTGCTCGAACCCGGACTGCGGCAACGAATCGATCACGTTCGACCCGTACATGAACCTGTCGGTGCCGATCCCGAACAAGGAAACGGTGACCGTCCAAGTGCAGCTGTTCTGGGCTAATGGTGATATTCCGATGAAGTACGCTCTGCACCTCCCCAAGGAGGACATGTGCACCCTGCAAGACGCGAAGGAGAAGCTCAGTCAACTGTCAAGCGTCCCGGTGGCGTGGATTTTCTTCGTCGAAGTATGGAACCACCGGATTCTTAAGGCGTACTCGGATCGTATGCACGTTGACCGGCTTCGTGACGGCGTCCTCCACGCGTATGAGCTCGAGCTGCCGCTGACTGACTACTCGTTTTCGTCGCCTACCATCCGCCCTCCCACGGCGGGTAGAAGGTTAGGTACGCTGGAGACTGAGTCAGAGCCTGCAAAGCAGATGCACCTCGTCGAGTTGCTCCACCAAGCTCCCGTTGCGTCACCAGTGGATGGACGTAACAATTCCGAAGGCTACGATATGCTCGTGGAGGAGGGATATGGTCCGAAGCAGCGACGGGTCGAAGTGGAGTTATTCAATACGCCGCTTCTTGTGTCGATCGACCGGAAATGGTCAAAAGCTCGGATACACAAGAAAGTGTGGCAGTTTGTGCACCGTCTTGTGGCCACGAAGGACGCTGATAAGGACTCCAGAACAGAGTTTGGATGCGGCCAGGACCAGCAGTTGCCGTACCGCCTGCACGTCACAGAACCCAACGGAGGCACCACTTTCATCAGTGATCTCCCGAGGGACGACGAGCCCGTGGACGTTCCTGACAGCTCGAACAAGCCATTTAGCTTTACGCTGGAGTGGAATCGCAATGGGTACGTCTTGAAATGGGTGGCATTCAGTTGTATCCTAGGTAAAGATACTAACTTATTGTTGTTGTGCTTACTTTTTGCCAGCTACCAACGAGGTTACGATGAAAAATCAGCAAAACGGATCGACCTCCACGACTCGATGAAGAACCTGAAAATCTCGTCCAAGGCTGAGCCGATCACGCTGCTAAACTGCTTAACCAAGTTCACGGAACGGGAACAGCTTGGCGAAGCAGACACGTGGTATTGCCCCAAGTGCAAAGACCACGTCCGCGCGTTCAAGAAGTTCGACCTGTTTTCGCTCCCCAAGGTGCTGATTTTCCACCTGAAGCGCTTCCGGTACGCTCAGAACTCGTTTTACATGCACCGTGACAAGATTTCGACGCTGGTAGAGTTCCCTGTCGAAGGTCTGGACCTCTCGGAGTTTGTGATCGGGCCGCAAAACGGTTCCGAGCCCATTTATGATCTGTTCGCTGTTTCCGAGCACATGGGGGGTCTTGGCGGCGGACACTACACTGCCGTGGCGAAGAACCCGGTGAACGAGTGCTGGTTCAACTTCAACGACAGCCATACGAGCGAGGCGTCAGCGGAGGATGCCGTGTCCTCTCGAGCGTATGTTCTGTTCTACATTCGTCGCGACCAGGCTTAAGACAGGATATGCGTCGATGCATGTGGAATTAGAAATACCAATCGAGTGAGCTCGCTTACTACGTGCTTTGCTTTGCTCGTTCAATTCTTGGTTATATTCGTGAGATCTAGCCGATGTTCAGGAATACGGGAAGCAGCAATGCAGCTTTATTCTCTCGAACCTAGACTTGCTACGAAAACAACACATAAATCAATATGCAACGTGGCTGCATGGACTCCGACTGGTTATTCAGTGCCAAGTTCCGAGGCCTCCTCCCCAGCGTCCTGCAGATCGCATATCCACTCGGCCACCTCATTTTGCTCAAAGAGAAGAGCTTCTGCCAGTGCGTCTTGAGTATTCCACGCGATTAAGCACCCTTGCAGCAGGAACTGCACCACGTGACCATGTCCGCCGCGAACCGCCAGCAGTAGAGCGTCACCCTCATCACTAGAAGTGTAGTCCTCAATGTAACCCCATTGAGTCACAAACTCCACCACGTATACCACCACATTAAGGTGGCCATGCGCCGCGCCCTCATTCAGAGCTTGCCAACTTGCGTCGTGCATCTCTTGTATGTCGTCACTAATGCGACCGGACCCCGCAAGTCGCGGCAAGAAATCAGTGACGATAGGGAGCTGCCCACTCCGTGCTGCTGCCACAATTGCGTTCCTTAATAATGGACGCACGTCGAGACTCACCGACTGCAACTTATTGTTACCATTGCCGTTACCGTTGTCATTGTCGTTACTGTCATTGTCACTATCGCTGTCGCTGTCACTGTCACTTTCTTGCTAGTTTTTCTCTTGAATGATGCGAATCACAGCCTCCATGAACCCGTTTGCTGCGGCACTGGCAACAGCATCCATGAGATCGTCATCGTGGGTCTCTAGGAGGAATTGCAGCCATGCCAGTTGATTTGATCCTGCAGCTTTAACCACAGCCTCTTCGCGTGTCATCAGCATCTCGTCAATGAGCTCCAGAACATGGCCCAGAGCAGCTACTTCGTCCGGAAACTGTACGTCCTTGAGTCTCGAAAACTCGTGCTCATGCATTCGTGTTGTGTTCACGGTGTCAAATTGGTGACTGAGAGAGAGAAAAAAACTGGTTGCTTTGTTTAAAAGACAGTGACTACAGCGTGGTGACCCAATTTCTGATCGTTACTAACCAATTCTTTTTATCAATCAATTTGTTGCGTTCAAAACACTTCCCAAAGTCACAAAAGTATCAAACTCAAGCAATGATGCACCGTTCACTCTCCAGGTGCTAGCTCAAGCACGAGAACTGTCTTCTTCTTCCCTCCGGCATCAGAATCGGACGTCGTTGTCATTGCGGGGTATGACGTCCATGTTGGCTGCACACCTGAGCCTTTGACTTTAATGATACAGTAAATCTGGTTGCATGCCATCACTCTGTCAGCGTCAGCAGCCGATATCAACTCTTCCCATGCTCCACCAAATGAATCGAAGACTCGGAGGGGATTCGATCCGTAACTTGATCAAGCTCCGACAGGTTCATGAACCTCGAACACTCGAATGAAATGGCGCCGGATGACTCACGAAAGTCAAGTCGCCACGACTGCGCCTCAGCTTGAATAAATAAATTCGTGAACTTTGCCGACGTATTGTTCCAGTCACTCAGGAACCAGTCAGGCCACGCCGTGTTCGGAGGAGAGAGGAACGGAATCAATAGTTGGCTCGATAATGCATTCTCGACGGCCAACAAAGACCGCGCGGCGTCGATCTTCGACAAAACTCCCAATTCATATAACAACGCCCCTAAAAACGACAACGCAACCCCGTAGGTGCCCCCGCTTCTGCTTGCCAGCACGATGGAAGCTGCCACGAGTGGCTCAACCTCATGAATTGCCCCGAACGTGGTCGATCGCTGTCGAACATCAGCAGATTCTTCATCGCCGGCCACTCCATCATCCGATACAACGGCAGCTTCAGGGGACGAGATGAGTTGCCGGAGGTCAAGGCCAGGTGCAGCACCATGTCGGACTCTGGAGGCGGGAACGTCCCAACTGCCAGCCAAGGACTCCCATCTCGCCTCAATACGCCACTGGAGTCAACTAGGAGCTCGAACGGCTTCAAGTCTTTCAAGCAGGCGAAGTGAGCATTCATCCTTCAAGCTGAGGTCGCAGCCCAGCAACAATCCAAACTGCCCCAGCTCAAAGGCTGGTAACCTCCAGAAGGGGTCATATACGGTACAGATCTGCTTTTGGAACATATGACATTTTTGCGCGGATCGGCTTTGAGATCTGAAAATGCACGGTAGCACGTAGGCCACGTGGAGCCTTGGCCGGCGAAGCGCTTGTATCGGCGAGGGTTCATTTGATAACATGCAGACGCCAGCGCAGTCTCTCCCGGGCACTACAGGACCTCCAGGCAACGTCGGCCCTCTGGGCAGCGCCATACCCGGCCGTACAAGGGGTTCAGTGCGGCAAGAGGTCAGCACGTGCTACTTCCGCGGCTATAAGTATACACGTGCTTGGGCATCCTCCAGGAAAATCTCCTACCGCTGCAGCCATTGGCGCCAGGGCTGTCCCGGGACGATGGCGTTCTTCATTGGCACCATGGGGTACACCGCCCACCCCCACACTTGCCGCAATGTCGATGCTGCTGGCACGAGCCTCGTCGACGTCTCCAGTGCTATGAAGGACAGAGTCGATACCCTGGCCATCGAACCAGTCGCGCTTCCTGCACGTCGCATATGGGACGCTGTGCGGAGCGAGTTTTACGGAGCTGACAACGAGCATGTCGTCCGCGGGCTATCTGAGCCTCAAGTGCTTCGCCGTGTGAACCAAGCAAGGAGCCAGCACTTTAGCGGAGACGTGCACGGGGCCATTGAAATTCCGCCACTTTCAACGGCGCTGAACGAAGCTGTCTCCTTCTTCCAGTTTCATTACGTCACGGTGAACCGCGAGAACCTCAGCAAGCCTACCCGACTCATTGGCTGGGCACACTCCTCCCTCATCAACCTACTTCGCTACAACGGGACTACCATTTTTGTCGATGGTACATTTCGCTGTGTACCCCCTGGGTACAAGCAGTGTGTCATCTTTATGGTGCACGACCGAGCGTCCGGACTATATGTGCCAGTCTACTATGTATTGAGCACTTCTCGCAGTGGCGATTCTTTCTGGGACATGGTGCATTTCGTCGTGCAAAGCACTGACCAACAGCTTGAGCCGGCGGAAGTCGTGTGCGACTTCGAGAGCGCCTTAATTGATGCCGTGCAGACTCAGTTCCCCAACGCAATCGTTATTGGGTGTCTGTTTCACCTGAAGCAGGCGCTCAGGCGTGCGATGAAGCGGTTCCTGATACCGGATGAAGAATGCGGCATTGCGATGACCCGTGGGGTCCTCGACATTCTAACGGTGGTTGACCACAGCTTGATTGAGCGATGCATCAAGTGGGTTAAGCGCGAGATCCGACAGCGCTGCGACGTCGCTGGAATTGCGTACTCTAAAGCTAAATGGCGAGGATTTTGGGGTTATTTTCAACGGACGTGGCTGGAGCAGTACGACGTGAGCGTGTGGAACGTGGCCGGCCTGAACAACGAGCTGGTAGCGCGCACGAACAACCCTCTAGAGAGGTTTAACCGTGAGCTCAACGACCGTTTTCCGAAGCCTCGCCCTAGTATGGCGATGTCATCAAGACACTTTCAGCTGAATACATTCAGCGTCTGGCTGACGTTCCACGCGGGCGCGCGCGCCGTACTACACGCGAACGTATTCAGCTGCCCGTACCCGTTGATCTACCGGACGACATCCCCGATGACTCGGACGACGACACGCTTGCGGTTACCGAGCTGCCGTCGGACAGCTCGTCGGATGAGGAGGACGGTGTTTTGTTTTTGCTTCTTGTTTTTGCAGAATCTTTTTCCATCATACTGTACTCTTCCGTCAGCTCTTCAGGCGCTTCCCCACGTTGCTGAAGATATTAGGGAGCTGCTGAAGCCAAGAACCATCGATGGCGCCGTGTACAATGAACTTGGTCGTGTTTTTCGTGTCCATGGAACATCTCGACCGTTTACGGTAGGCGCGATGGATGGAGCTGCTGTTAGGGGGAAACTCAATATCGTCACATGGCTGCACTCCACGCGAACGGAAGGGTGTTCCCGTAAAACGAGCATTGGCGCTGCGGCCAATGGCCACTTGGTCGTGTTGAAGTGGCTTCATGTAGCTTACGTACAGAAGTGCAACCGTGAAGAGGAGCTCGTAGCCGCTGCACAGGGCGGCCATACGGAAGTGGTGAATTTCTCAGCGCTCAACTGCGTTCGGGATATTGTGCGTGCTCTGGACAAGGCTGCTGCGAATGGGAACGTTGCTATGGTGGATGCCTTACTTTCAACGTCATACCGCTTCGAGCTCAGACGAAGGATCTTAAACGACGTCGGCCCATTCCTCACGGCGGCTGAGAATGGCCACACAAATGTTTTGCGGTTGTATCTTGAGAAAAGGTAGCATCCCATAGGCGGGGATTTCGCTCTCGTTCTCGCACGAGCTGTGGAAATTGGTCGTCTGGAAGTGGCAAAGATGCGGGCGCACGACCAGTACACTTGGTATGCATTGGCAGAGGGCTGTCACAATGGACTTGTGCAATTTCTTTTGGATCGAATCCAGTTTAATACGTCGGACATTACGAGAGCAGTGAGCTCTGCTCTCACAAGAAAACGACTGGATATGCTTCAGTGGTAAACCGTGACGACTGGTGGGTACGGTTTAATGTCAAAATGAGTTTTCTTTCAGCCGCAGAGAAGGGATTCGCTCAAGTTGTGAAGGTCATGGTGGGCACCGGTTGGAGAGTCCCCCACATTGGCAGGGCCTTAGAGAGTGCGACTTCGACCAAACGATTCAAGATGTTGAAGCTACTGCTTGACTGTGACGGGGCACACAGCACTTCTTAACAGAGGAAGCAGGAGTATACAAACTCCAAGTGAACAGCCGTTCACGTGTCCCTGGTCTGAAGGGGACGACTTGACTTGAAAAGCGGTAGATCTAAGACTGAATGTATTTATAGGTTGGTACAGATTTGGCCTGCATACAAATGCTAAGTTCCCTATAGTTTGTGTCATACAAAATGTATCTGTTGGCTCTAAGGCCACTTGGGTCACTATCCAGGGGAGTGACCGATGTAGCCATCCCGGAATAGTGACAGGGTCACTATTCCATGTAACCCCGTTACATCCTCCCCCACTTAGATTCGATCTTATCGACCAATCAGAGCGAGGTTACGCCGGCGACTCACATTTCACTCGCAAAGTCGAAATCCATCGACAACGGCGCGAGCTCTGGCGCCTCGGCTCCCGGGCCTCACAGAGCAACTGGCGCATCGCCGAGCAAGCCGCAGGGTCTCCACGTCGACCGGAAGCATGCCTCCAAAGTGCAGTGCGCGCAGTGCGAAAGAACCTCCGAAACCGCGGGCCGTAGGGCCGAAGACCAGGGCGGCCAAGGCCAAGGACGAGTCGTCCGCGCTGATGGAGGCCACGAAGGCGGCCGAGGAGGTGGTGCGCTCTCGTAGCAGCACGCCGGAGAGTGGCCGTCAGGTCGGGGCTCGGAGCAAGTCTCCTGACGCCGACGCAAAGGCCTCGTCAGAGTAGGAGGCGGAGGACGCCGAGTCCGGCTCAGGCGACAGCAAGCAGTCGCACGACGAAGTCGCCATGGCTGACGCTGGGGTCGTGGCCGAGAAGTCGCCGAGCGACACGGGCTCCAAGCCCAAGGAGGTGCTGGCATCCAAGCATCTGACGCTGGCACAAGGTCGTGAGCGTGCCCAAGCGTCGAAAGCGGCTGCCGCTGCGAAGGCCGCCGAGGCCAAGGCGAAGAAGCGTTCAGCTTCCAGGTCGCCTCGCGGCTCCAGCTCCAAGCTGTTCATCGACTCGGAGTCTGAGGACAAGGAGGGTGCCGTCCACGAGCCCAAGGAGCTCTCCAACAACCTCGACGAGCAGCAGCAGCAATACCACGCTGCTGGCTCGGGTGTGTATGCCAGGCAGCCGACTGCCACGACTGCCATCGAGTCTTCTTCAGGCGGGATGCCACGTACCCGCAGGGCTACTTCCCGCCCGAGCCTGGCACTGGTGCGTCAGCGCTGTTGGAGAAGCTCTCGGCTCCTCGTGGCCTTATCGGCGGGTACACCTCGAGGGGTTCCTATGAGCGTGCTCTCGTTGAGAAGGAGCCTCTCTTTCTTGGCGACATAGAAGCCGCCCGGTATGTGCTACTTGCACCACACAAGCTCACACTGAAGGAGATCACCACGATTCGCAAGAAGCCGGAGGACAAGGGTGGACTGGGGTTACCACTGGGTCAAGCCGAATGAGAACATGACCTGGAACGAGGTGGAAGACCGCTTCTGGCGCTACGTCCAGCGCAAAGGGTATTCCGACCAAGAGTTCAAAGTCCGTGAGGATCGCACTCTGTCCGCAATCCTGGACGTGCGCGAGCTCCGCATCGAGTTCGCTCAACCCCGTGAGCAAGCGCAAGCTCCACTCGAAGATGGACGAGCTGAAGCAAGAGGCGAGAGCCAAAGCTCGTGAAGAGCGTGGGCGTGGTGCGACTACGTCTGCTACCGTGCCCCGGGTACCGGCCAAGAAGCCAAGGACTACTTACGAAGCTGCCGCTGCTTCTCGTCCCATATCGCAACCGCCTTCGGGCAGTCTGCCTGGAGCTGCTCAACGGGCTCCCACGAGTTATCCGACTCAGGGTAACCCCTCCGCTTCACGAGCAGCTGGCGCTTGCCATGGAGCCGCCGCTCACGGACGACTCGTTCCACGTGGTAGTGGATCTGCCCATTACGATCAAGGGGGGCCGGCGGTGGTCTCGCACGGCCATGGCTACGAGCCTGAGGCGACGCAGCCGTATGCTGGGGCCCCGAGTCAGGTGGTGGCCCTGCAGCAAGAGGAGATTCGTCTTCTCCGGGACCGTGTGTACGTCCTCGACATCGCGCTTGGTGTCGGCCTTAGTGGCGAGGCTGCCGCTCGTGTTGGTCAGCCTGGTGCCGTGGAGCGGCTCCGTGAGGATGTTGCCTCGCTCTATCAAGAAACTCGCAGTCTCCATGGCCGTGTGGATCGTCGAGCCGACCTGCCGTCTTACGACTCGCTGCGAAACCATCTCGCTGGCCTTCTGGCCGAGCTTCATGACCACGCGCCGTATCCGGAGCAGCAGCAGCCCCACTCGTATCAGGCCCAGTTTGGCCAGGGCTCGTACGGGGCCCTGCGTATGCTGCTCCGATGTACGCCGCGCCGTCTTACGACCAGCGCGCGTATCAGGCGCCTTACCGCGACCCGACGCCGCGCTTCGAGGAGCTGCGCTCTTCTCCACCGGGCCACCCACCGCTTCCTGCGGGGCAGCCAGAGCCAGAGGGTCATGGCACCTCTTAAGACGACCCACGTAAAACGTCGGGTGAGTCGTCATCGACTTGGGCAAGTCTATGGTGTACGCCGCGCCATGCCGGCTGAGGACCGTGAAGGGTCCAATGAAGCGGTGCTTCAGCTTGTTGCTCTCGACCGAGCTAACAGTGTTTAGCGGTAGGTTTCTAGTATCTAGGAGAACTAAATCCCCAACCTTAAACACGTTCATGTTTCCTCTTCCATTTCGGTCAGAGTACTCCTTCTGTTTATCTTGGGCTTGCGCCATGGTGTCTCGCACCCTGCTGATTATGTTCAGCCTGTCTTCGGCAAACGAGGACAGTTGCTTCCGCAAGGTGGCTGGACTCACGTCCGAGACTTGGGAGGAAAAGGTTTTCCGAGCCTCTCCCCCACTTAGGACCGAAGCCCCGGTACTGCCTCGTAATGTGAGCGGCACCTGAGGGTGGCGCAACCCGTTCAGGTAAAAGGGCGTAAAGCCCGTCGATGCATGTACCGCATTGTTGAGTGCGAACTCAACCATGGGCAAGCGAACAGCCCAAGAGCGGGGCATCTCCGCGCAGATACTGCGGAGCGTGTCTTCGAGCACGCGATTGACGCACTCCGTCTGGCCATCCGTCTGCGGGTGGTCCGCCGTCGACATCGACAGTCGTGTGCCGAGAAGGCGAAACGGCGTCTGCCAGAACGTAGCGGTGAACCGCGGGTCTCGATCAGAGACAATGGTCTCGGGCAGACCGTGGTGTCGGAAGAAACAGTCCATGAACAGGCGAGCGACCTCGTCGCCAGTGACGGTGTCACGAACTGGAGTAAAGTGGACCATCTTGCTCAGACGGCACACGAAGGCAACAACACCAGTGTTGCCACGGTCATCGGCCGGAAGTCCGAAGACAAAGTCGAGACGCATCGACTTCCAGCAGTCCGCTGGGACCGGCAGGCTCTGCAATGGTGCCGAGGCGTGACCAGCAGGCTTCACGCGCTGGCACGTCTCGCACATACGGACGTAGGTGGCGACCCACTTGTACATGTGACGCCACCAAAACATCTGCGAGACAGACGCGTACGTCTTCTCACGGCCGAGATGGCCACTGGATGGAGCGTCGTGCGCCTCCATCCGGATGTCGTACTTGAGATCCTCGTCGTTGGGCACGACAATACGGGGAGGATCCTCGGGCTCGACCCTATAGTGGAGCAAACCGTCAGCCCACTCATAGCGGTGCAGCCTTGCACGTTGTCGGGGCGTGAGCCACTCGGCCTTGGCTTCCGAGCCAGCGGCCAAGAACCGCACAAGAGGTCCGAGACTGGCATCGTCTCGGTACCCCAGCCTGATGCGATCATACAGATCTGTCGTGACCCGATTAATATGAGCAAGCTCGTAGTCGGGTCGGCGCGACAGCGCGTCGGCAAGCACGTTCAACTTGCCCGGCTTGTACTCGACACGGAAGTTGTATTCCGCGAAGAATGACAGCCAATGCGCCATCCGCTGTGAGAGATGCGGCGTGTTGACGGCAGTCCGCAAGGACGCGTGGTCTGTATAAACGACAAAGGGCGTCGAGCCCAGGAGGTGCACTCGGAACTTGACAAGAGCGTAGCTCCTTGTCGCGGACTGGATAGTTCCGTTCAGCTGCATTGAGCTGCCTGGACTGGAACGAGATGACCCGTTCGCGGCCTTCATCGTCGGTCTGCAATAGCGCACAGCCAATTGCGTAGTCAGACGCTTCACAGACTACGCTGAAAGGCTTCGTCTCGTCCGGCAATGCCAGGACTGGCGCGCGCTGTAAGCTCGCTTTGATGTCGTTAAAAGCATCTTGATGGCGACGCTCCCAGCGCCAGTCGACATCCTTCTTCAGGAGATCCGACAAGGGCCGTGCCAGCTCGGCGTAGCCTGCACTATACTTGTACAGGTAGTTGGCGAGGCCCAACCACTGTCGTAGGTCCTTCTGCGACCGAGGTTGCGGCCAAGCCGCGATGGTTTTCACCTTCTCCGGATCCGCCCGGACCCCGGCGCTGCTGACGAAGCAGCCCAGGACCTTGATCTCCTCAGCTGCGAACACACACTTGTCGATGTTGGCGTACAGCCTGTTCACCCGCATGACTTCGAACACACGTCGAAGGTGCTGGAGATGCACCTCCATGGCCGTCTGGCCTGCCTCGGCACGGCTGTGGACGAAGATGTCGTCAAAGTACGTCTGTGTGAACGCACGCACAGGTCGGAACAGTTGTGTGACCAAGCGATTGAACGTTGCCGGGGCGTTAGAAAGCCCCTGAGGCATGACCAGCCACTCCCAGAGCATACCGCTCGGCATGCTCACAACCGTGAGTGGGATGTCGCTCTCGCGCATCAGGATCTGGTAGTATCCGTCCACCAGGTCCAGCGCGCTATACAGCGTGCAGCCGGCCATGTTGTTGAGCAACACGTCCTTGCGCGGGATCGGTGTCTGCGCAGGCACTGTCGCGCTGTTCAGCTTGTTATAAGCATGAACCAGACGACACTTTCCGTTCGGTTTGCGAACACAGAAGGTAGGCGTCGAGTGCGGGGACTTCGACTCCCGCACCATGCCTGTCTTCGCCTTGGCGGCAAGAAGGCATCAATGACTTCACACTGCTCCCGGGGAAGCGGCCATTGCCTCGTGACACAGTACTTCGTGCCCGGCGCGAGATCGATCTCGTGCCTGATTCCCCTGTCCGGAGGGAGATTGGACGGTGGATCCTTGGACACCACGTCCTCGAACTCCTTCACCAAGGTGTACACCGGGTCCCGGGGGTTCTTAAGAATCTCAGAGCCCATGCGCGACGCGCGCTGTCTCTGGAACTCCTCCAGGACTGCCCGGTCCATGACCGAGGACGAGTTCAACTCTGCCGACGTGGGCTCCGGTCGGAGGAGAACCAACTCTGCGATCTCCCCGGCCTTTAGCTCGGCCAAGAAGTCCTCCATGGCGAGCTCCTCAAGGTTCAGCAACTCTGAAACCTCGGGCAGAGCTGTAAGCTCGACAGCTCCTGTCTTGACCCGACGACCGGTCACGCCGTCGAAGATGTGATAACACTCTTCGGCGGCTGGAGCCTTGGCTGGAGGCTCGGAGTCGCTGGCGACTGGCGTCGTCGGCCACACGACTAGGCCCGGCTTACGACGTGACCCTCGGGTGTCTTCGTCTCGTGGCGCCGCCTTGACGGCACCACCGATCTTCTCGATCTCGTTCGGAACTACGTTACCCGCCTTGTCCTTGAGCGGAACTTGGTTACCCGCCTTGCTGGGTGGAACTATGTTACCCACCTCGCCGTGCGGAACTTGGTTACTCACACCAGGAGCGCTTCCAGCGACTCCCGCATCAGTTATGGTCTGAGTGACCTCCTGTGGAACTATGTTACCCACATCGGAAGCGCCTGCAGCGCCTTCCCATCAGTTACGGTCTGAGTGACCTCGCGTGGAGCTTGGTTACCCGCGCTAACGCCAGCGGCGCCTTCTCCAGCAGCCCTTGCTGCCTGCGGTACTTCGTTACCCGCGTGTGGACCTACGTTACCCACCTGGTAGGTGCTGTCCGGCACCTCCACTCTCAGGCCTTGTCCGGCCCGGTCGGAGTCGTCGTCAGTCTCGACGGACCCCAAGAACTCATTAGACGCTGCTGCGCCCTGGCGGCCCTCGCGGGCGCCCCAGCTGCTGCCAGAGGTGGGAACATGACTCACCAAAACTCTGTCAGAGCGTGGGGGACGGCTGGCCCCGATGGTCTTGCCGCGCCAGTCGATCCAAGGCACGTGTTTCTCCAGCCACGGCATGCCAAGGATCAAGTCGTACTTGTCCATGTCTAGGACCAAGAACGGCTCCGTGCTGTCGAAGTCCTCGAACTTGACAGTGAGGTCCATGTGGACCCGAGGTACTTCTACCACCGTACCGTCGGCCAGTCTTACTAAGACCAGCCCGTTGCCTTTGCTGCCTCGTAGCGCATCGGCGTACTTGTCGCGATTGCGTGCGACAGTCTGGCGGCGCGCAAAGTTCTTGGACGCCCCAGAGTCGATCAAGATTCTCAAGGGATGATCGTATCCCGGTACACTCGCGTGCACCACAAGCAGCCCACCGCTGCCCTTCTCCGCTTCGAGAGTACAGAGACTCTCAGGGGCTAAGGCCCCATGGCGTGCGCCACCCGCACGCCCCTCATGAAGACTTAGTGTTTCCCCAGTAGAGCGCCCCGCCCCTACTGGTGTCCGGCGTTCCCCTGGTTCCTGGGGCGCGGCTTCTGCCAGCGACCCCTAGAGCCAAAGGGCTTCGAAGAGAACTTCTTCTTCAGTCTTCCAGCGGGGCAAGCACGTTTCATGTGCCCAAGCTTGCAACAGCCGTAGCAGTGAATGTCGCTCTGCTCGGCCATGCCCAGATCCATGGAAACCGGCCCGTTGATCGCTCCATTGCCGGAGTTACCATTAGGCGCACCGCCAGAGGCAGGGTTGCTCTGCCATACCGTGGCGGGGGTACGAGCCTGCTTGTGGCTGTACTCCTCCTGGAGGGCGATCTGAATCGCCTCCTCCATAGTGTTTTCTTGCACACGGAACAGTTGCGTGCGGGCAGGACCGACACGCAGACCGTCCATGAACACGGTCACCTTGATGTGTTCAGGCAGGGGGTTCCCCACCAAAGAGGCAGTGAGCACTCGCATCTCCTGGATGTACTCATGCAGCTCGCGCCTTCCTTGTTTGCAGGCGAGGAAGCGCGAACGCTGGCGGTACTCGTAGTTCGCCGGAAGAAACGCGGCCCGCAGCTGCTCGCACAGCTGGGACCATGATGCGAAGCATCCAGGCGTCGTCGCTTCGCGCGTATACACCTAACTCTTAGCGCGACCACTAAGGTTGGAGAGCGCAAAGGCGACACGAAGTCGCTCGTCCGAGACGAGAGCCGCGTCCATCGCGAGATCAACCTCTCGAACCCAGAAGTGAAGGTTTTCTCCTTCCTTCCCTTCGAAGGGGTGAACCTTCAGCCGCAGGGGCTTCGGTTGCACCGGCTTCGGCGCGGCCGCAGTGGCCTGCAGCCCTTGAACGTGGGCGATGAGCCCTCGCTCGTAGGTGTCGAACGCGTTGATACGCTCAACCTGCGCAGCCGGCGTCGCCGCCGCTAAGCTACGCAGGGCATCTGTCCCAAAGATGCCTGCCATCTTACGAACGGACTCGTACTGCGAGTCGTTCAGATGGGGAAACTCCGTACGATCCATCTTGGCTCACTCGATGAGACCACAGAGGATTCAGGTAGTCCAATCAACCCGCGTAGGCGTAGGATTGACTACAAGTGCTACCAAGTGTGACGGGGCACACAGGACTTCTTAACAGAGGAAGCAGGAGTATACAAACTCCAAGTGAACAGCCGTTAACGTGTCCCTGGTCTGAAGGGGACGACTTGACTTGAAAAGCGGTAGATCTAAGACTGAATGTATTTATAGGTTGGTACAGATTTGGCCTGCATACAAATGCTAAGTTCCCTATAGTTTGTGTCACACAAAATGTATCTGTTGGCTCTAAGGCCACTTGGGTCACTATCCAGGGGAGTGACCGATGTAGCCATCCCGGAATAGTGACAGGGTCACTATTCCATGTAGCCCCGTTACATTGACCTTGGAGCGAAAAACAACGTCGATCTCCGGGACTCTGTTGGGTTCGCAGTCGAAAAAGCGGCATCAATTGGCTGTTTTGAGGCGGTCAAGGTATTGCTTGCTGGTTGTGGAATAGTGGACACCTGGATTACGTTGTACAAAGCGATGACCAAGAATGATCTCCCAATGGTCCTTCTATTGCTCGAACACAGCGACCAAGCCACAATCGAATACGTTTTGCTCAACAAGACTCCTTCTAGGAAGGATAAGGCGATTTTTGTTGCGCTGCACTCCCGGTACTCGATTGCGGAATCGCAGCAGAAATTGCTCTGTCGAAAGGACCGTTTTTAAGGAAAATTTGTGCGTGTACGAGTAAGCTGCTGGTGCAATACACCCCCGGATTGGATTGTGCCCTACAGGGTGCGAGAGAGTTGCGTTTCTGCTAAGACTGCTAACTTCGGGTCCTACGCAACTCAAGGGACTCTTTTTTAATATGAGGGTTTGTGTGTCCGCCAAATGAAGAAGGCGGGGGGAGGGGGGGAGGGGGGGGGGGCAGTCTATGGATGTTTTCCAAGTCTAATGAACAAGTTGATTTGCTACGTCTGAGGTGTTGCCTACTCCAGCCAGTCCTTCCTATTTAATTGAAAGTGCCTGCAGCTTCGCATGAGAGACGCCTTGTGAGCGAGCACATAACTCACTGGCACTCGCCAATACCGATATTTCGTCACTTCCTCAGATCATCACCACTAAAAATACAGCTCCAGAATGGCAGCAGCAAAACGAGCAGCATCGACAAACAATGAACAAGCCGTTCATTCGCTATTAACCCTGCACGGCTTGGAGTCCAAGCTGCAGGGATGGCGAACCAAGCACGCAGACGCTCAATGACGGCGTCCCAGTTGGGTCTCGGGGCTGGGGGATTCACCCCACGCCTCGCTCAACCCGTGTCCGTGGTCGCTATGGCTGGAGCAGCACAGAGGAGGAAAATCTCCATGCGGACCCAAGGTCCTTCAACGCTTTGGCACCAGCCGTCCAGCCTGCGCATGCGCGATATCCGCTTCGACGTGTTCTTCCACCTCCCCGGCCGCCCCGAGCTGGAGCGCGTGTCCGTCCACCGCTCCCAGTCGCTCGTGTGCATGCAGGCAGCTCTCCAGCGTCAATTCGGAATTCCATTCGAGCAGCAGCGGCTGCTCTTCCACGGCGAACAACTCGAGGGCGACGACGAGTTGGGCGACTACGGACTGCAGGACAAGAGCGTGGTCGTCATGCGAGTCTCCCCACGCTATCGCAGCATCGGCGACGTCTTCTCCACTATCCGAACCATCCGCTTTCCGAGCCCCACGTCCCGCTTGGAGGATTTCCAGATCGTCGAGGTGCCTGCAGGGTTGCCCCCTCTACGCGTGGTGTTCCAGCGCATCGTACATGCCATCACGTACCTCACGACACTCGATCGGATGCAGGCAAGACGAACGCACCGCCGCGTATGGCGCCAACATGTGACGTTCTGGGACGAACCGACCCCGGCACCTTCAGCGCCACCGCGAACTCGTCTGAGCTACAGCTACAGATCTCGACCTCGGCAGTCGCTCATGCAGGAGCAGGTCGTGCTGGCGTCCGATGATAAGAGACCCCCAGCGTCTTACGTGCTGCAGACGAGCAGCACGGAGCACGTCGCGTCCATCTTGGCTCTCGCAAGCGCACACGGCGTCCAGCAACGACTGCAGCGGTCGCCACCGAATCGATCGTCCGCAGACGTCCGACATCTCAAGAAGTGGCTGGCAAGCCTCAAGTACTTCGCCGACGCGCGGCTGCCAGACTCCATCTTCCAGGAGCTCGCGCGCACCAGTACGTACTTGCGCGTGAGCTCCGGGGAGTTTGTCTTCCGCCAAGGAGAAGCAGGCGATAGTTTCTACGTGCTGATCACTGGGTGTGTGTCCTTGGCGGCCTATAGCACCGGGTTCTTCCGTACGCTCACTCCAGGCTCGTGCTTTGGTGAGATCAGTCTGATCGAACCGCAAGGTCTGCGCACTGCCAGCGCCTGTGTCACGTTCGCTACTACATCAGCCGAGCTGGCTGTGGTGCCTGGAGATCTCTATCGCCGAGCCATCAAGCCGTACAAGCAGGTCGTCCTGCGCGCGACTGAGACAGCTATTGCATCGATTCCTCGGATGCACGCGCTGCCCCCGTACATCGTCACGCACCTCGCGTACGCTGCTCGGTCCCTCACAGCACGCGCGGGCAGGCACATTATCTGTCGAGGGGAGGAAATCAGCGTCCTCGTGCTGCTGGTTCACGGCAGCGTCAAAGTCTCGAAGCCACCGATCAGAGGACAGTCGCTTGTGGCCGTTGTCCAGGCCCCCGCCGTCTTCGGACAGGAGGGGGCCCTGGCCACCACGACGTCTCCTGCTCCCTGGGAGCTCGTCGCACTCGACACGTGCTCGTTGCTGTGTCTGAGGAAAGACACGATCGCGTCCTTCCTCTCGCCTCGACAGGAGGTCGTACGAGCGCTCATGGGGGAGCACCACCAACGAGTCCGAGACTTCACCTTCCGCTTCAATTCGGGCGGTGGCGACAGCAGCAGAGACGTAGTAGGTTCTCCATCCAGGCACGCCTCCGTCCACCTCAGCGATGCCGCTCATCTGTTTGGGGACTCCAGTCGGAGAACGTCCATGCGGAACGGGAGCATTCTCTTCCCGAATATCCTCGTGAGAGATGAAACCATGCCAGGAATTCCGGCAACCTCGCGCTTGGACGAGCTGGCACGACCGGTGACAACGGAGGACCGTGAGCTCATGCAACTTCAAAGAAGCCTACGACATACCTCGCCACGCAAACGACCGACCACGCAGCCAGGAACTTCGAGATCCTCACCGTCGTGTGCCGAACTTGAGGCTCAGTATCTGAGTCGCGTGCTTCCTTTCAGTGGAATTGTCGGCCTTCAAGAGCAACTTCGATACGCCCCGTTCGACCAGAAAGAGAGCGTGATCCGTCCACCAGATGAAGACGGGATGGAGGACGCGAGGACGGTGGCGTTGCTCAACGGCCTACGCCGACTCCCCCCGGAGGACGTTTGTCTACTTCCTGTCGTGTGTCCTAGTCCTCGACGCAACGATCGAGGGTGCCACTTTCGCTTTGCCCCATTGAAGTCGGGGGATTAGGAGATTAGTTTCCTGCCAGTTCTAAGGCTGGGGGATCCTAAGTTTTCAACGTGGCCATGAGTGATAGTGGGTTTTGAAAGATGACTCTCGAGATTCATTTGATGGTAGTTGACAAAGATTATTATTTTGTAGTCGGGTTTTAGCCCAGCAACATGGAAAGTTCCCGAAATTAAAAAAAACTCAATCTCCCAGACCACTTGACTCCGAAGCCCTCACCTGGGCGGGTGGCACCAGCTCCTTCATCATCACCAGCATCGATTCGGCAGTCATTTCAGGAGTGTGAAGCGCCGACAAAAGCATGTTTGCAATGCTCTGCAGGTCATCCGATTTACAGTTCTTCGTCCGATTCAGCATCGCGAGCACTTTCGTGGCCGTCACTTCCTCATTCTTGTCCCGAGCTGACAGAAGTTTGTCTTGAATCCACAGCAGTCGGTGCGTCAAGGGGAATTTAAACTCCTCCATTAAACTGCCGAACTGGAACAAGTCGAATTGACAAGTGAACTTGCTGGCAGAATCCTGCTCATGGATCAACAAACGTGACCGGCGTGACGACTCCAAGTTGACGAGCACCCAGTAGCCGAAGTGCTGGAGTGTCCTGATTTCGAAGGGTTGATAATCAGGGGCGAACACCATGTTCTCCCACCGAATGTCGCCATGGCAGTAGCCGCTCTCGTGCCAGGTTTGCAGCGTATAAAGCAAGTTTGTCAGCCACCTGTTGACTTCGTCCACATTTCCAGGGAGGCGGTAGAATCCCTCCCGAGACAGCTGCACCACAGTTTTACGCGACGGGAAGCGGGTTTGCTTTAGGCTCCATGCACTTTGAAGGCTTCGCGGTTTATGTATGATCACCTGTAGATTTCGATAGATACCAATAATCCTCTTGTACTCCTCTCCATTTGCACATTGATCACGCCGTATAGTGATCTGCATCCTGATGCCGTCTACCAGCTCGATTGACCCCGTTTCTCTTTGATAGGATTTGAACGCAAAGAGTTGAGTGGGACGGGTCAACTTGGACTTGGTTGCCATATTGCTCAGGAAGAAGGCCAAATTGTAGAAAACCTTGATTGCCATCGTCGTGGAACTTCACAGATGGAAAACATGGGTTTGCGTCGGAATGCAAACAGCTCCCGACGGTCCCCGCATGCAACGTAGCCCAAAATGTACGGAAGCTCGCCAAAAAATTGTGAATTCCAGCATTTCATCTTTGGAATGAGCTCGGCGATTGTGTCGTTCATATCCGCAACGCCTTCTCTTTCTTCTCCACAAAGCACAAGACACCCATTGCAGAACACAGTGAGGTCCGACCGTATATTTGATCCATCTTCACCGAGATCTTTCCGCTCCACCTTTAATTGAACTCCATTCGCTCTGCAAATCTGAGCCGTAAAAGTAAAAAGCAGGTCGTCGAACTTCTGACACGATTGCTTCGTATCCTCTTCATCTAGTCCAGCCTCGCAACTCATAAAGAGAACATCGATCAGCGATGAGAGAGCGTCGAACCGGATTACTGGGCCAGCTCGGGCAAATATTAACTTGGCGGTTTGCTGGTCGCGGATGCGCACTCGGAATGCTAGGCGGCGTTGAAGCAGGAATGATAAAGCATCATGAAGCGGAAATCTGTCTAGCCCCAACTCCAACTTGGAATAGTTCCACAGGCCTGCAAGACCAACATCTTCCCGAGCTGAATTTGGCTCCAGTTCTTCTTCTTCTTCTTCTTGGGAGTGGATCAGCACCATAACGTGAGGCTCCCCAGAAACGTCCACAGAGAACCAAAGAAGAGGTTGTAGACAGTGGTAGCGATAGAAGTCCACAGTGAAGCAGTCGTCCATTTCAACCAGGGCACCACTTTCTACTCGTAACTGTAGAGATTTCTTATGCTCCTCTTGGTTGCACGCATGTCTTCTTTCACCCAGTAAAGCGTGACTTCGTTCGAGTCAGCGTTCACTTGCGGAGCGCTTGCAATGGCATTTCTCAACTCTGCTACTGCATTGATGGTCCCAATCTCCACTGTGAATGAGGGCGATTCACTCCCCAAGATACCGCACCACAGCGTTCTCATCTCTGGAGAATCTCTAAAAAAAATGCTTTTACTGTTTTTGGATTTGTCCTCAAAACATTCTTCTGAAAAAATACAGATTTTCAAAAAAGCAACATGATCGTAGTCTGGACGCGGATGAGTTGGTCCATTGTTTGCCTGCCAAGATCATGGAGAAGGTAGTGAACATCTTGTACAACGTGCAAGCAGACGACCTCAAGCTCTACCTTGCCAAGGATGGCAACGGGTGGATTCCTGCTTAGCTGTTATCTTACCCTACTTCGTGGAGGGGTCTCACGGAGGTTCTGGAGTCTATTGGGGCAGGGAATGATTGGCCCAAAGAAGATCAAGGATGCGATCGGCGAAAACCTGCCACGAACGATTGACCACCATCGTGGTGGTGGCCTCTCCTCTCGGACAATTCGAGTTGTGGATCGAGATCAACCACAAGATAATCGGCAACTTTCGACCGTATGAGGAAGTCGCTGAGCGTCTCAGGGGCCACCCTCAGGTCAAGGAGCTCGAACAGAAGGTATTGGGCCTGGTTCCCGGTATGGTCGCCCTTTGTTCCTGCTGATGCGAAGTCGGAGCGACTCGACTTCCATGTTTCATCCGGCGCCATTTCATTCGAGTATTCGTGGTTCATGAACCTGACGGAGCTCGATCAAGTCACACGCTACGACCTCGAGCGGCTTGCTCGGTCCGCTGCCTGTTTTGCCGATATTTTGGTAGAGAGGAAGCACCCAAGGGCAAACGAAAGCGTACTCAAAATATTAAGTACTACAAGGCTCCTTTCCGACCCCAGAACTACATCGAGCACAATACTTCCGCGCACTCAGCTAAGTGGGGAGAATACACAGGTCTCAGCGACGCAGAGAAGGCTGTATTTTTTGCTGATCTCACTTCTCGAAGCAACCAATTGGTAGCTCATTTTGACACAGAGAGTGCTGTGTTGCGGTTTTCTTTTCCAGAATTAATTGTGACTGAGCTGATTGGAAAAGTATTTTTCAATGCTGAAGATGAAGATGATGATATGACTGTTGCGAGGGCTCTTCGTGCTTTCGGCTCGGTAGTGGATGGGGTCTACACAGTGGAAATTAAGACGCCTCTGCGGTTTACTCTTTCGGTCAAATATCTCTCGGTTGGGTTGTCGTTTCGGCAGACGGCAGCAGTAATTCAGCAGCACTATAACGCCACAGGGAACTCGAAGCTTTACGGTATGACCGACGCTATGGCAGGCACTTATGCTCGTATTCTAGTTGCCTATTCGTTTCAACATCAGCAACCTCATCGCGTGGGGGGTTGCATTTGCTTGCGGCATCACAACCCACACCGATCGCTCTTTCATGGATCAGCGTGTTCGTGTTGCCGTCAACGGCGTGCTAGTCAACCTACACTTGCTCGCGGTCCCTATGTTTGACCGCCACACTGCTGTGGTCCAAGTTCACCTGATTGTTCGAGTACTCGATATTTTGTTCGCTAACTGGAGACAGAAGTTGGTTGGTATTTCATCGGATGGAGAGAACACTATGACAGGCCGTCATGGTGGGGTGGTCGCTCTTTTAGAGAAAGAGGCCACCCACTCGGTGCTGAGAGTGTGGTGTGCTGCTCATCAGATGGACCTGGTCATGAAAGCCGGTTTTTCCATTGTTGGGAATGGAGACTTTGTGAAGAATACAAAGGATTTAATTGTTCACCTTCGCCGCCAAAAAACCCTGATTACTGAAATGGGAGGTGCCGCCAAAAAACTAACTAATCGGTGGCTGTACATGGGAAACGCATTGCAGTGGATATTAAAAAACCATTTTCGCCTCGAAGAACACCTTGATGAAAACGTGTCTGCGGCACCAACGCCATCATGGTGGGTCAATGCAGCTGTTGTTTGTGGGATAACGGTGGTGGTGAACGTCACGTTTGTCAAGATACAGGGGAAGGATATCCTGCTCTCGCAGCAAATGGCAGAGATTGAGCTCCTTGTAGATCGCCTTCGCAAACTGCTACGAGTTGAACGCGTACCTAGCTCTGAATTCCAATCTAGCGCTAATGACACGATTTCTACGAAGTACTGGCTCAAAGAGCAACACTTGCTCGAGTTTATTAAAGACCAGGGGACGTTCGTCCAGAATCACATGAATAGTGTTGCAGATGCCGACAAAAATTCGATTCTGAGGCAGCTTGGCAAGTTTGTACTGCATCTAATTGAAGGTATGGAGCATGTACAAGCTGAGCGAGACAGCAACAATGACGCTGCCGCATCTCCGGCTCCGCCAGTAATGCCAGCTGAGCTTGTCACAGTCCCTCCTCGCCAGTTTGCAGAAGATATTTTGAATCCTCGCCGCGATCAATTGGCTTTGTTTTGGAGTGAGGCAAAAATTGAATCCGTTGAACGGGAGCATCGAGAGCTGTGTCAAGCCAATCTGCTTGATGAGATGGTTCGCACAGCCCTGGAGGAAGAATCGTATGAGACCAGCTTCAACGACGCCTGGGATTCAGTGCAAAACGCTGCTGCTCCAAAGACATTTTCACATCTCCGCCAGTTCTGCTGCGGATTGGCAACCGTATCCGCGAATACGGCGTCCGTCGAATCCGATTTTTCCGTATTGAAGTGTGAACTGAACGACCGGCGCACTTCGTTGACTTCTTTAGCCCTTGAAGGCATCTTCCAGGCTAAACAGTTCGATATGGTAGAGAAATTGTAGTAAATTGCATACTTTATTTCCTTAAACTGGCACTGTGCCGAAATAAACAAAACAAGAGTGCCGAAATATAGCTAATCCGACACATCCCGGCAGGTGCCAGTATAAGGGAGGTCTGCCCTAATACCGTCCAAAAGCAATCCATCGGTTTTTAGGACGCCTTTTAGGATAATGTTTAGGACATGTCCTAAAACCTTGGTTCTAGCAGTAAGGTTTTTTCCTCGATTAACAATGTGTGAATGTGTGAATCACACACCGTCCACCAGAGCGCTGAATGCGGGCGAGGGCGAGCGAATGCGAGCGCGAGCCTCACTTGGTGCATTCACCTATGGCCAGCACCCGCCGATCAGGCGGGGGCGTGTCTGCGCGAGCGAGCATATGCGAGCGCTGCAACCCGATATTTATTTTCCTAGACACCGCGCCTGGCCGAGCCGAGGACTTGCCGTCGCTAAGTCCGCAGGCGAGAGCCAACGCGAGAGTGTCCTGCCCACCTCAACATCAAGTAACTACTGTAGTGGCAGAACAGCAAGTACTGTATAGTATAGTATAGTACACTCTATTGTGAGAACCGGCTAAAATGCCCATCTGTAGCAACCCCTTATTAGATCTCAATCACTTAGTTAATCAGAGTACAATTCAGGGATGAAATCGATCGCGATCTGGATGCATCGCTTGACTGCGCGATTGTCCAGTAAAAGGTGGGCATTCTGCTCCAAACGCGGCTTTATTGACTTAACTTCCATAAAACGATCGCCTAATCTGCACATCCACTCACATATGCATCGCAGGACGCGATCGATTTGTAAATCGATTGAGCTAAATCAGGGTGCAAATCAATCGATGTATGAGCAAAATAGGCAAATGAAGCGGTTTCCACAATAGATGTGTCTTTATAGAACGTAAGTCCCTGGGGGGGTCCTAACTGTCCTAACTGTTCTAACTGTTCTAAACGTCCTACAGTTTGTCGTAATTAGGACTGTAAGGACAGCTACCTTAAATTACCGTTACCGTCATTTATGGGAGTATCAATTCGGTTTTCTAGGACAGTTTAGGACATTTAGGACTGTTTTAGTACAGATAATCCGACACCCGACCGCTAACAGAGTGGGGGGCGTGCAATCTAGTTTACTGTATCGCCGAAGGCTCAGGAGTGCAATCAACCTGGAAACCATACCCCGAAACTCCTGCGACTTCCTTTCATGATATTGGTGGGAAGAAAGAGACAGTTATCGTGCTTGAGCTAGCGCCTGAGAAGTGTAGACATTGAACGGTGCATCCTTGCTTGGAGTTTAAAAGTCCATTTACCAAAATCATAAATTCAATCCATTACTGACCGAGACGGCCCTAACAGCTCATTCACTATACATGTCGCCATCAATGCAGCAGATCTTTTGAATGTAGTCATCGAGGTGCACGCTACTGGTGAAAAAATCTCGGAAATATTCAAAAACAAAATCTCGGAAATATCTTAAAACAAGCTGATAGAACAAGACATCGCATGTCTGGAGGAGTCTGGAAACGTCGAGTCATTTCCTAACAGGATACGATGAAGATGAAGCTATATTGCGGCATTTGGGGGAGAGGATCACCTCCGTTCGTAGTGATGATTGAGCCCGATACCAGAGTCGAAAAGCTGCGGAGCGTCATTGCCAACAGCCCACACGTTGACGTCCATCCGAGTGATATCACTCTGTACTCGGTAAAGAGCATACATTGGTTTGAGCGCAGCCTAGCTGAACTGAAAGAGGCCGGCGCCCTAGTTGAAATGCGCGACTACGAGAAAGTGGGGAACTTCGGTACGGCCTTGTCTCCTCGACAGAGAGGGTGTCACGTTCAGGTGCAGATCGCTTCCAAGAAAACAATGTCCGTCAAATCCTTCAAGTTACCACCGGAAGCCATTGCTAGTCCAGTGGGTGGAGAGAACATTGATCTGAGAGGCCTCTGGGAATATTCACAACTTGGTATGTTGCAGCTATCCCTTCCGTCTACACTGTCGTTGTATCTTGAACGCCCCCTGCCATTCCGAGTCTGCATCAACAATCGGCACACGGCTGCTAAGATTTTTGCCGAGGATGGTCCGGAGATTAGCTGCGACGCTCTCTCATCGCTAATTGATGTTCTGGTGATGAGTTTCGAGGTTGGACTGGATGAAGAGGACACGAAGCAATCCTGCCAGAAGCTCGACGATCTGTTGTTTGCTTTTACCGGTCAGATTTCCAGAGCGAATGGAGTTCAATTAAAGGTGGAGCGGAAAGACCCCACTGACGATGGAAGTACTGGGAAAAGTTTGCGGTCGGACCTCACTGTGTTTTGTGATGGATGTCTTGTGCTTTGTGGGGAAGAAAGAGAAGGCGTTGCGGATATGAACGACACTATTGCCGAGCCGCAGTCGAAGATGACATGCTGGGATCCGCAATTTTTTGGTGAGCTTCCGTACATTTTGGGCTACGTTGCCTGTGGGAACCGTCGGAAGCTGTTTGCATTCCGATTCAACCACTTTTATTCCATCTGTGAAGTCTCCACGACAATGGCAATCAAGCTTTTTTACAACTTGGTTTTCCTCCTGAGCTACATGGCAGTTAAGTCCAAGTGGACCCGTCCTTCTCGGCTCTCCGTTCAAACCCTACCAAAGTGATACGGGGACAATCGAGCTGGTAGACGACAGCACGACGCGGATAACAATACGGCGTGATCATTGCGCGAATAGAGACGACTACAATAGGATTATTGGTATTTACCAAAATCTGCAGGCGATCAAATATACACCACAAAGCCTTCAAAGTGTGTGGAGGCTGAAGCAAACTCGCTTCCCGTCATGTAAAACTGTGGTGCAGCTGTCTCGGGAGGGATTCTACCGCCTCCCTGGAAATGTGGACGAAGTCAACAGGTGGCTGATAAACATGCTTCATGCGCTACGAACCTGGCACGAGAGCGGCTACTGCCATGGCGACATTCGGTGGGAGAACATGGTGTATGTCCCCAGTCAGGAGTTCATTCTAGATCTAGACGTGGTATATCGGCACCCTGGTTACTGGATGCTCGTCAAGTTGGAGTCGCCACGCCGGTCGAGTATTTTGATGCAGGAGCAGGATTCCGCCAGCAAGTTCACTTGTCAGTCAGACTTGTTCCACTTGGGCACACTGATGAAGACGCTTGAATTCCCCTTGACGCACCGACTGCTGTGGATTCAGCAGAAGCTGCTTTCAGCTCGCGACAGGACTGAAGCGGTGACGGCCAAGAAAGTGCTCGCGAAGCTGAATCGGACGAAGAAGTGTCAATCGGATGACCTGCAGAGCGTTGCGAACGTGCTTCTTCTACCGGCGCTTCACACTCCCGAAATGACGCCCGAATCGATGCTGGTGATGATGAAGGAAATGGTGCCACCCGCCCAGGTGAAGGCGGCAGAGTCGAGCGGTCAGGCAAGTCGGCCTTCGCGATCTCTGTCACTCTACTAGCGCTTTATTGGACAGGATGTCGAACGCCACCTGTGGTTTGCCATTTACTTTAAGATCTTCCCGATTTACTTTTTTTCTGTGTTGAGCCCGACTAACTAGGAATTTAGAACAGCATTTAATAAATGGGAGAGCCGCCGTATCCCTTGTATCTCCCTCCACACGCCGGAATTCATCCAGGTTGAAGCTTGGATTCCAAGTCAATCCCGCGTCACAGAGCCGTGAGGTTCACCCTCGTTGTCCTCGGCATCCTTAAGAAGCATCGCTGTCAGGCACCAACAACTCAAGGTACCAATCCGCACCGGGGGAGTCTGCGCGGTCATCAGTGTCATCATGGTCGTCCAAGAGAGCTGATAAGTAATTTAGCAACTCTTGTATCTGCCGGATTCGACCTCCTTCCGGTCCTCCAGTCAACGCAACTCGCGAAACAGCTACATCAAGCAGCTTTCCCAACTGGTAAAGGTCGTGATCATACTTCAGCTTCCGACCATTACACGGGTGCTCCTATGTAATCGGTGCCCCGGGCTCGTGCGCCTTGTCCATATCAATGAGAATCCAGTAGCAGGGACGTAGACAACATTTCCCCAGCGCAGGTCACCGTGACAATAACCACGACTATGCCAGTTGTTCAAAGCAACCAGCATGCCGCGTAACCACTCGCTCAATTCGGTCTCGGTCTCAGGAAGGCGATGATAGCCCAACGGACCCAGACGGACGATCAACTTACGCCGCCATCTTTGAATATCCAGGCGCCTCACTTCCTGTAAATGCGTATGTCCACCAGGCACCGGAGTTATTCCAGCCAATGTCCTGTAAATGCCTTTGAGTCGCGAGTAGTTTTCTTTTTCCACCCAGCTCCGCTTGGTTTCACGCTTCATGGCATCCTGAACCACTTGAAGTGTTCGGCCACGCTCCTCCCCAGTGGCACTTGGGTGTCTTGAGAACCATGTTGCAGGAAGTGCTTGCTTCGACACGGTCATCATCCAATCAAAGAGGAACGCCAAGTTATAAAACGCTTTGGTGGCGTCCGTTCCACCATTGTGGAAAACGGAGAACGTCACCAACGGGATCCTTTTGAGGTTGGTATTGATGGCGACAAACTGGATCTGGGCTTCACTCGACGCATACCCCAGTATGTAGGGAAGGTTGCCATAGTACGTCGACTGCCAGGGAACCATTTTGTCGGTCAGTTCCGCCAGAGGTTTCGACATATTCTTACGAGCACGTTTCTCCTCAACTCGTAGCAACGGAATCCCTCTACAAATCAGGGTCTTAAGGTGCCGAACGTGGTTCCGGTTGGGTCAGCTGCGTTCCTCACGAAGTTGATGTCCATGCCCTTTGCGCGGCAAATGTGCACGCTCAGTTCAATCAATTGATCGTAGAACAGGTGCCACCTCTCCTCCGAGCTGGTCTCCGGGAGTCCAGGCACGCAACTCTCCAAGAAGGTGTCAATCCGCGCCAAGAGATCTCCACACACGATCTCCTGAGTCCCCTCAGCGAACAGATTGGTGGGAGTTCTCCCCACTTGAACCGATACAGGCAAATGTCGTTGAAGAAATCCCCCCAGCTCGTCCGGTTCAGGAAGATTTGGCTGGTCAGTTGGGAATGGAGGATAATTCCACAGCGAAGAAAACCCAACATCTCCGTCGCCACCGCGGCGCTGCTGGGCTGCTGGCGGAAGTGTAGCGTTTGCTGTCGACGGCTCCTGCCTCAGGCACACGAGTAGTTGAGTGGTGTTATCAGCAGCAACACCGAAGCGTCCGATGAGCTCCTTGACGCTGCTGATAAGTAAGCCATCCGTGAGCTCCTGATACACGTCAGGAACCGCTCCGTGTAAGGCTGCCACGTTCACCGTGTCGAGCAGCCAGTTGCCGTTCTCATCCATCGCCTAGTAAACGCGCACTTCCCGCCAATTTACTTCCGGAGTGTTGAAAATTTGAGCCACCAAAGACCCTGCCACTTCGCGACGACCAATCTCAACCGAAAACACCACTCCATGTCCCAATAGGCGGCACCGCAGCTTCACTCTCGTCGGTGCGTCTGGGACGTCCATCTTCTGGTTAGGTGCTGCCGATCCGACCGTGTCCGCCAGAAGGCGGAAGGTTGGGGACTGAGCCGAGCACGGAACATGGTGTCATGGGATTTCGAAGATACTGTAGTGTAAGGCTATCAACGATTGATCGTCGTCGGTTCGCTGGAACTACTGGCGGAATGGCTTCCGTTCGATGGGATTCGCCAATGACGTCGTCCCCACGACACGTGAAAAGTAGAGCCCAGATCTGGGGGTCGCTGCTGTACGTCTTGGGCTTCGTTACGAGTATAAAGAGCCTAGCGTGGCTGCTAACACATTCATCGGGACCTCCGGAGTCAGCACAATGACGTCTTGAAAGTCGACTCGGTAATCAAGCCATGGCCGGAGTTGCACAGGAGACACAATAGCCAGATCATAATGTCGCTTGATCCATTCGCGGAAGTGTAAGACTTGTCGGGGTAAACCGGTCACACCCCTGAAACATCCCGAGTCTCTGAATAGCCGTTGGTTTTGCATGACAACTCTGGTATTTTTACGAGCTGAGACTTCCGCGACGTGCTGTCTGCCAGCTGCTCCACTTCCCAGTCTCGTTGTTTTTGTCGAGGGGCTATGACGACGGCCGAGAGCTTCGGCGTGAGGCTCAAGCGGAAGGTGCTGAGTGCCGAGACGAAGCTCTTCGAGTGGCGGCCATGCAGCTGCTCGATCCTGGCTCGCGATGGCAAGTTGTTACTGCAGTTGCAGACGCCACCACAAGATGAAGACGCGCACAGCGAGCTCGAGAACGAGACGGAGACGGTCACCATCGACTTGGCCACGCAACTGCTCAACGTCGTGCCCAAGAAGAACAAGGCGCGCTGCGACCTCGAGTACTACGCGCCCGTCGCCACCATGAGCGGCCAAGTGCTGAAAGAGGAGCTCATGGCGCCGTCCGCCACTCACTGCCAGCAATGGATCACGCAGGTGCGGCGTGTCCAGCAGCAAGCGCATCAGCAACGTAGACCCACTTCCAGCGCCTCGACGAGGTCAGGAGCGTCGCCCGTTGCACCGCTGCCGTCGCCACTCACAAGCCACAGTGAGCTTAATGGCAGCAGGAACAGCAGAGCCTCCAGCACGACCAACGCTAACGCTGGAGCAGTAGCGCCCTCAGTAGTGTCGACTACAACCAGAGAGCCTTCGCCTGCTAGAAGGCACGTCTCATGTGAGATGTCTCGGTCAGATCTAGGCCCTCCAGAAATCCGTCCGGGGCAGCGTCTCGAGTCTTCGTCATTGTCGTCCTCCGCCATCTCCTACACGTTGCCGGACAGATTAGCAGCAGTTGCAACCGCGGCTTCCTGTCGCGTTCGCGAACGCTGCGAGCCTGCCCAGCCAGCGGTGAACAACAGCGAGCTGGATCACACTGTCGACTCTTCTTCAAGCTGTCCACCAGCTCCTGCGCTTGAGCCGGTGCCTCGGTCGGATACTCGACAGTCGCTCATATCGTCCATTTCTTCCGTCTCGACAACAGATCCACCCACAACGCAGTGGCGACGAGGGAGCGCAGTCCATGTCTCCAGCCCTCGGTCCTCGTCGTCTTCATCTGAGAGTGAAATGCCCCATTCACCGCATCGGCGCTCTCGTCGAGGCAGACCATCGCCACACGGCGTTGGAGACTTTGAGAACAACGATCAGGGGAGTGACGATGATCTGGAACCAACCCAGTACCGGAGACGGAGCTTTCGGCGGACTTCTGAAGTATTGGACGAACGGCACACAACCACGACGCGAGCGGTTAGTGGTAGTAAACTTGCATCCTCATTGTCATCAAGAGGCTCACCCCCCTACCGAGTTGCAGCTCGTACACGGCAATCACCCGCATGGTTCAGTGAAGGTGCAACTTCGACGGCATACGACGGAGACGGCGGGTCCTCTCAAGCTGAGCTGCACATTCTGCAGCGCGTCGAGGCGGCTCTGCGTGCTCTTGAACTTGAGAATGCTCAGGCCAAAACACGTGAGCGGGAGCTGGTCCAGGAGATCCAAACACTACGCGATGGCGCGCGCGTAGCTGCAGCTGAGCGGAAACACATCGAGCAGGAATACCGTCACGCACGGCGCGAAGTTGACTCGTGGAGACGTGCAGCGCAGAGTGCCGAGGCTGCAGCAGCACAACTGCAAGAACAACTTGGCATCGCGCGCGAGGAGAACCAGCTCTTGGCCGGCGAAAAGATGCGCCTCAAACGCCAGAACAGCGAGTTGTTAAACCAGGTGCATCGTCTCGATTCGCTTGTCTACGGCCGGTTCTAGTTCACAGGTACAAACACAACAACTGCTCAATATCAGTGAAATACAGCGGGCAATGTTGCGTACGTTGGTTGGTAAAGTCCCCAGTTTCTTGCTGAGGTTTGAATTGTTGAGTTGTTGGAGAATCTTCATCAGTTGGCGCTTGATCTAAACGAAGCCGCTGCCAGATCCGCTCCAGTGCTTGTCTTCGTACCGCTCAGCGAAGTCCGCGTGTGATGACGCACTCTTGGTCGCTGATTCCTTGCTCTTCTCATCCTTCGAGACTTCCTCTTGAGGTCCTGACATACGCTTTGTCCTCATTCTTCTCATGGGGAATTTGTTGATAGTAGCTGCTGCGCTTTTCGACGCGTCTTTCTTCTCCGTTGAAGCAGACTGCTCGTCTTTCTGCTTGTCAGTCTCCCCCTTCCTCATCTGCTTCTCCTTCTCCAGCTTCTCCTCAGCAACAGTAGCAGCGACCATAACCTTGGCAGCCTCTGCAGCAGGCGTAGTCGCCCCCTTGGCCAGATCTCCTGGGTTCTCCCAGATCCACGAGAGCCAGCCGGGCGTCAGAGCGTACATGACGGTGCTCCAGATCGCCTCTCCTCCCTGCGCCTGCACCGTTTGGTCCCGCACGACGCCGCTCACGAACTCCTTGGCGTGGTTCTGGACGTCTCTGCGACTCAGCACGTCGTGCACCGAGTCGCTGAGCGTTTTGCCCACGTTCTGCTTGACCGCGTCCTGCAGGAACGTGTGCGCCAGCAGCTGCGTCAAGTTGGCCCTCGTCTGGTCGTCACGCATGATCTGCTCCAGCAGCAGCAACAAGGCCTCCTTGGCCTTGGGGTCCACCACCGTCGACCGCAACAGGTCCACGAGCTGCCGCAGCGTCTTGGGGTCTTCCAGCAGCGCCGTCACCGTGTGCTTCGTCAGATCCGCCACCTGCGTCCGCGTCATCGGGTCGTTCAGCGTGTGAATCACCAAAGCGCGCAGCGCCTCACGCGTCGAATCCATCACCACAAGCTGCAGCAAGCAAGCGAAACACCAGTTTGTCAGCAACTACTCGTACATAAATGATTGCACCATTTCACCCAAACTCATCACAATGAAAGCTGCAATCATATCAACACAACACTATTTCGCCCTTGAAGCGCTTCCTCACCCTTTGCAGGAACCTGGAGGCTTGGTCCAGCACCTTGGGGTCGTTCAGCACCGTCTGCACGATCTGCGACGCCAGCTCGCGCGTGTTGTCCCGCAGCGTCTCGTCCTGCAGCGAGCGCGACGCCACCTCGGCCGTGTGTCGGCTCATGCCGAGCTTGAGCTCCGGCCCGAAGGCCACGAGCCCCACGCCGCCCAGCACCAGCGAGCCGACCCACCACCACACGCGCTGGCTGCGCATGAGGCGCCGCACCATCTCCGGCTCGCTCAGGTTAGGAGGAACCTGCGGCGGAGTGTGGGGCGGAACGTGGTGGGCGCTGTAGTGTCGCCGGCGTGGACCCGCGTAACGCGCACTCAAGGAGGGAGACACGCCGCGACGAGGCGCATCTGATGCAGCCTTCCGCAGCGGCTGCAATCGGCCGCTAGACGCCATGAAGCGCAGCATCTTCAAGTGATACTTTCAGTCTGTCACTGACGTAGCGGATTTTGATGTGGGGACCGCCGTGGCGTCGTACATAGGGAGGGTGTGTCCGGTTGAAAGAGACCTATCGATGAGGAATGTGTGCGGTCTCAAGACAGTGTGGCGTGGAATGGGACTCATGCACTTGGACGCAGTGTAGTGACAAAATGTATCTATGCAGACTCCTTTAGGTATGGGGGCTATTACCGACGCAACGCAACACCTCCGCGGTCGTTCGAAATCCATTCCATTGCACACGCACTATCCACCTCAAATCACTTCAGGTAAACGCACCGCCAATGCTCATCACGGCAGCGCCGCTCGGACCGTCGAAGGCGCTCGTCGCACAACCGGGCGCTGCGTCTCCTTGCTCTGTCTGCCTAATGTCTGTCTGTCCTCCGGCCATCGCACAAAAGCTGTCTTTTTCTGTCTTCGATTCGTTCCGATGCCTGCTCGTCTTCTGCTGCTGGTCTCGCGCTCGCTAATACATCACCCACCGCTCGCCAAGCCGCCCAGCCAACACCCGCACGCCTGCCGCAAGCGTTGCAACTACATTGCTCCCACTGCGCTTCGTTCGGCCGAGCTGAGCTGCTAGCTGCGGTGGGCGCCTCATCGCGTCGCGTCGTCCCTGTATAGTTTAAAAAGTCTGGCACTGGTACTTCCAGATCACGGCGAAGCAGTCGCCGCTTCCCGTTGCGAAGTAGGGCGACGCTGGGGACGACGCAACACTTATCACCGAATTCCGGTAGCCCGTCAGCGTCAGCACCGAGCGCGACGAGCGCGGGTCCCAGAACACCACAGACCGGTCCTTTGATCCCGACATCAACCACCTGTAATGTAATGATCACAACAGCAGACAGAGTCAGTAAGTGTAATGCCCAGTAGCATATAAAGCAAGAGCATTTCGCAGCAGACGCACCTTCCATCAGGCGTGTATGCAACAGACAGCACAAAGTCCTTGTGGCCCTGGAAAAGCATGCGCGGCCGCGTCGTGGTGCGGCCCTGCGCGCACACGTCCCACAACATGATGTTGCGGTCGAGCGAGCCAGAAATCACGTTCTTGCCGTCGGGCGAGAAGGCGATCGAGTACACGGAGTCGCTGTGGCCCTCCAGGCGGTCCAGCAGCTGTGCGGTCTCGGTATCCCAAATTCGTACAACCTTGTCCAGCGAGGCTGCAGCCAGAAGACGTCCATCCGGGGACAGCGCCACTGAAGTCACGCCGTCCGACGGGCCGCCGCTCTCGTTGCCGAAGATCTTCTTGCACTGGCCGTTGCGAGCGTCCCAAAGACGAACCTTGCGGTCACCCGAGCCAGACACAATCAGGTCGTTCACGTAGTCCAGCGAGTAAATCTCTGACTCGTGGCCGGTCATGGCAGGGCCCTCCTCGTTCGAAGCAATGTCCCACACACGGATAGTGTTCTGCGGCATACCCGCCACGAGCTTTGTACAGTCAGGCGAGAAGCAAACAGCGCGCACGTAGGCGTCGTCGGCCTCGTTAGCGGCAGCGTTGGCCTGAGACGTGGGGGTCTGTCCGTTGGAGCCGGCAGGACGCGACACCAGGAACTTGCGGTCGCCGGTCTTGACATCAAACACCTGCGCGGTCTTGTGGCAGCCAGAGGCCATCATCGTACCGTCCGACGAGAAGCGCACGCAGCACACGACGCTTTGGTGGTCCATCGACTGGTGCATCTCAGCCGCGGGGCGCTCCGACTCCTGGTACGACATGCTGGTCTTGGACGAGTACACGCAGCTCCAGTTGAGGCGGCTGGCCTTCGTGTTCGAGCTCTTCTGCGTCGTGTTGTTGCCCGAAGCCGCCGACAGCGTCGTGGGCGCGCTGGCGGACGGCCGGCTCTCGGCGTTCTCGCCCTCGTTCTTCACGCTAGAAGGCGCGCTCTGGGACTGGTTCGCGCTGGCGGCGCTGGGGCTGGAGTTGGTGCTGTTGGATCCCTGCTCGCGGTTCATCTTGTTGACCTGGGGAAGCATACCGCTGGACGCGGGGGCGCTGCCTCCGGCCGAGCTGACGGGCGGCAGCGCGCCCTTGCCATTGGCGTTGAGGCTGGGGATGCTGGGCTCCGATCCGTTGAGCTTGGACTTCTTGAGCGCCGGCGGGGAGCTGGCCGCGCGGTCCTTGCCGTTCACTTCGCTGTTAATGCTGGGCATGCGGCGGGACGAGGGCGTCGTGTTGGAGTTGCTCGTGTCCAGCGGGCTGAGCTGCGGAGGCGGGTTGGCGGCGCCTCCCTGGGGCGGAGGCGGCAGCTGAGGGGGCTGCTGGCCGAGCTGCTGCAGACTGCGCGAGGCCGGCTGCACGGGCACGACGCGCACGGGGGAGCTGCCGCTACGCTGCTGCTGCTGCTGGGTGGTGGGCGCGCGGCCCGAGGACGTGGCGGCCGCCACAAGGTTGGACATGAGCGAGGACGAGTCGTCCTGCATGCCGCCGCTGGTGGGCGGTGCGCGCGAGCGCTTGGCCGGGAGCTTGGCCGGCACGGCCGGTTGTTGCTGCTGCGGCGGCGGCGGCACCTGCTGCTGCTGTTGCGGCGGCGGCACCTGGCCCGTCTCGAGCTGGCGGCGCATGCGCATCATGTCCTCCTCGTACTGCTGGCGGATGCGGCGGTGGTTGGCCTCGAGCGCCTTGAGCGACTGCTGGATCTGGTCCATCTCCACGACCTGCGACTGGATCTTGCGCTCCATCTCGAGCTGCTCCATCTTGGCCATGTTGAGCTGCTGGATGGCGGCCTCGTACTCGGCCTTGACCTGGTCCAGCATCTCGCCCACACGGCTCGTGGCCGCCGTGGCCAGCTGAGGCGGCGCGCCGGGGTTGCCCGACGTCGGACCGCGCAGCTGCGGCTGCTGGGCCTGCTGCGGGGGCGGCACGGCGTTCGGGTTGCCGCCGCGGCCGCGGGCCGGGCCGGGAGCGGACGACGTGTACATGGTGACGGGTTAAGAAGAGGGGGTCTGACGGAGTGAAAGGACAGGTTAGCGCGTTTAGGTGGTGTTAAAGCGACAGGGGGGCGGGAGTTGCCATGCCATACGCAAATGCAAAAGTGAATGAGATGGCGAGAGGCATCACCTGCTACGTGGTCGGTGGTCGACTGTTGCAAGCTGCTGGGGCTGCTGCTGTTGCTGCTGCTGCTGCTAGGGCCTCTGGTCCTCGAGCGCGGAGGGGCGGGGGCAGGCGCGGGCTGAGTGCGTACGCCTCGGTGCGGCGCCGGAGCCGAGTAACGGAGTGTGTCTCGATCCCCTCGGGGTGGCTTTAGGAGTGCCTGCCTGAACGGCAGAACTATCGCGGAGGAAAAGGGGGGAGGCGGGAGCGAGAGGGGCTCGCAGTGCTGGTGGAGCTCAGACACAGCCTCGTCGCTGGACGCGTCCGGGCTATGCGCGTCCAGCGGACACAATAAGGCATGATGGCGCGAATCGACGCACTATGGGCGAACTCAGGTGGGAAGTACCGTGCGGGACACCTTTCACCAGGAATATGTTAGACATCTGCGTACTATTATTATAATAAATCGGCCCTTCGTATTCGTTTCTAAAGGTACCTAAGTATTCGTAAAAAGCATTCTGGAATGTCGGCTGGTGTGCGTCAACACCTGGGCCTTGCTTTTGTCGCGAGTCAAAAGTGGTGCCATGTCATGGATCTAGCGTCGTTCGCGCGCGCATATGAGAGAGAGGGAGACTCGTCGTCCAGGCCAAGCCTTTTCGTCAGCAATTGCAAGTGCCGTATGGACTACTGTACATACCCAAGTGAGACGCCATCAGCATGGGGATGTCGTCGTGCGAGCCTAATTGTTTCTGTACCCCCGAGAATATGTACACGAATAACGTGTGCAGTACAGTAAACTCGCCTTGAATTCGCTGCTGTCCTATAAAGTCGTGCTACCAGTTGCACTGAAACCCCTCGACAAGCATAGACGGTTGGCTCCAGAAATCAACCCATACTCGCTCGACTGAACTGCACGCAGTGAATTCTACTTCACTTGTCGCCGGGCTTGCCGGCGTGCCACTCACAGCCTGATACCGAACTCACCTTCAGTCCTTCAGCCCACGCGCGTTGAAGCTGCCGCGTGGCGAGATCGCTTTGTGCAGGGAGGGCCCGAAGGATGGTACGCCGTACCCATTTCCCGGTACATTCGCCACTTCACTGTTGCAAAAAAGCTGCGCGCGCGTCCGGTGGCCGCAGCCGGCCTCGTGTGTCGCCAGCACACCTAGCGTCCGACCCGCAGTGTTACACACCTCGACCGCACAACACAGACATACTGTAGGGGCCCTATGATAGGGCCAGTCGCCTGTCTTGCCCCCAATATACCGCTGGCGTCCTCGCCCAAGCCGACCCGCTCCATTTAGCTTTACCCCGGCCAAGTCTCGCCGTGCAGCGTCCGTGTCAGGTTAAGGATTGTAACACAATGGTGCGGTCGCTGCCGCTGCGCAGCGGCTTCTTCAAGGCGCCGGAGCTGTCGGACGCCGACCAGGCGGAGCTGCTGGCCTGGGGGCGCTCGCTCGTGCCCGACCTGGTGCGCCAGCCCGACGTGGAGTGGACCATGGTGCACGAGCGCAAGGGCGTGACGCTGTTCGAGGACCGGCAGAAGGGCGGGCTGACCTACTCGGTGCGCGCCGTGGGCACCGTGCGCGCGTCGCTGGACGACGTCATGGACATCTTCCTGGCGCAGACCACGCCCGACTACCGCTCGCTCATGCAGCTGCAGCTGCGCGAGTTCTTCGCGGACGCCGCCGTGCTCTTCCACAAGGAGCAGAACGAGAGCGAGGCGCTGAGCATCAAGTGGACGGCCGCGCGCGCCAAGAAGAGCGTGGCCAGCCTCGGCGGCCACGTGGGCGTCGACTTCTGCTTCCTCGAGTACGCGGGCGTCGTGTCGGCCGACGTCGTGGACGGCCCGCGCCAGAACCTCAACGGCTCGGCCTCTTCCGGCGGCAGCAGCAAGAAGGCCGCGCCCCCCGTGGGCGTCTGCGTCTACGAGTCCATCGACCAGGCCGAGTGCCCGTCGCTCTACGACTCGCACAAGCTCGAGCGCGCGTCCGTGTCCAAGTGCGGCTTCGTGTTCCGCCCCCACCCGGACGAGGGCGTCGTGGAGGCCACCTTCGTCTGCAGCATCCGCCAGCCGCCCGGCGCCCGCTCCAAGCGCCGCTGGAACCGCGCGCTGCTGGCCCACTGGGCCGAGTCCGTGGGCGGCATCGAGGAGGCTATCAGCCGCCGCCGCATCTCCAAGGAGCTCACCAAGCGCCGCGTGCCCACGTGGGTCAATAACAAGGACCGCGCGTGCTGCCACCTGTGCCTCAAGACGTTCACCAACACGCGGCGCAAGCACCACTGCCGCGCGTGCGGCGAGATCATCTGCCGCGGCTGCTCCGTCTACAAGAGCGTGGATCTGCAGTCCGTGGGGCTCACTACGCTGCGCGTGTGCAAGGCCTGCATGGACGGCACGTCGGCCTCTGTGGCGGACAAGGAGAAGGAGGAGGCCAACCTCAAGGCCGCGGCGGCGGTGGCTGCTGTGGCCAACGGAGTCAAACCGGACGGCGTGGCGCTGCCTGAGGGCGTGGACAACAGCGTCCTCAGAGATGCAGTGGAGGAGTACGCGCTGGCGCTGCCCGGCGCCCAAGTGTCGACTGTGCCCGACCTCGTGGGCATCGCCTGGTTGCAGCAGCTCGCAGCGAGAGATCAGGAGAGCAAGGATATGGTCAACGCTCTAATGGAGCGGCTACACATCGACGCCCAGCAGAAGGACACGAGCACGATGGAGGAGCAGGTGGACATCTACGACACACTGTGCGACCTGGCCGCGCAGACGCTGGCCTGCAAGTACGCCGTTGTAAGTCTGGTGGACGAGAACCGCCAGTGGTTCAAGAGCGCCGTCAATGTCAAGGAGTCGGAGGTGCCGCGCGACTTCAGCTTCTGCGAGTACCCGGTGCGCGACCAGCGGCCGCTCGTGGTCATGGACACGCTGCGCGATCCGCGCTTCAGGACAAACCCGTTCGTCACCGGCCCGCTCGGTGTGCGCTTCTTGGCCGGCGCGCCGCTCTTCACGGTGGACAACGAGTGCGTCGGAGCCGTGTGCGTGCTGGACACGGCGCCGCGCGAGTCGCTGCAGGAGTCGCAGATCGCTACGATGCAGAATTTGGCACATCTCGCCATGGTCATGGTTCAGGAGCGGAGAGAGGCACAGAACAAGGTGGCACGGGCCATGGCGGCGTCCTCGCAGATCGTGCCGGCCCGTCAGAACGGCGGCCAGATTACCAACAACGCGGCCGCTGGCTCCTCGGACCTGGTGCCGCTCAGCAGCTACTCCGAGACGTCCATGGTTGTCCAGGGCCGCGATCGGCCCAAGGAAGACCCGGTGCTTAAGGAGCAGATGATTCAGCTGCTGCACAAGGCGTCGCAAGTGCGCGATCAGGTGAACCTGCAGACGCACAAGCAGCAGGCGGGGCTCCAGAGCTCCGCCGAGTAGACCAAGCACATTATCATCACACTGTGACGCCATCGCCACATCATCATTACACTACGCTCCGCCTTCTAGGCGCGACGTACACTTAGGGGGCAGGGAGAAGGAGAAAAACTGAAAGCAATCCGCACTCATGTCACAAAGCACAAGCGAGATTGGAGTCCTACGGCGCGTGCAAGGCGAGCGACGCGCCGGAACTGATGGATATTCTGTCGTCGCGAAGAGTGTGGGCTCTCAAGTCAAGGAAGCACCTGCAGTGGGCGATAGAAGCACAACGCAAAACGGGTGGCAGTGGATAGAAGCAGCCATCGTGGTGAAGAAGGGTGGCGCAGCGCTGTTAGTAGACGTGAGTGTGTTGAGTGAGGTCAATTGCGGCCTAGTTAAAGCAGGAAATGGACCGTGTAGATTTGAACCTGCACCTGAAAAGTAACGCTGTTTGTAAGCTTCCAAGCACTACGCCAGCTGCACGAAAATTGCACTCCGATAATTCGACTAACCTTGTCCAGCAACTGCACCTTCCGTGGTCTTCTGAGTAGCAACAGAGCTTACAGTAATTATTTTTTGTTCTCACCACTCGGCTCCGCACTCTTCGCCTCTGCAGGTGGCACCAGTTCCTTCATCATCTTCAGCACTGACTCAGCCGTCATCTCCGGCGTGTGAAGTGCCGATAAAAGCACGTTGGCCACCCTCTGCAGGTCTTCTGGTCGGCAGCTCTGCGTCTGGTTAAACATCGCCAGCACTTTCGTGGCCGTCACTTCTTCGGTCTTGTCCCGAGCCGACAGAAGTTTGTCTTGAATCCACAGCAGTCGGTGCGACAAGGGGAATTCCAGACTCTTCATCAAGCAGCCCAACAGCTTCAAGTCATACTGGCAATTGTGCAACATATCAACGCCAGGGCCGACAAGGGTTATCAAACTCGACCGGCGTGACGACTCCAAGTTGACGAGCACCCAGTAACCGGGCTTCAGTCGGTCATAACCCCACTGATCAATTCGTTGCGCGGGGACATACGCCACGTTCTCCCACTTAATGGCGCCGTACTCTCGTGCCAAGCTTGCAGTGCCTCCAGCATATTTTTCAGCCACGTGTTGACTTCGTCCACATTCTCAGGAGGACGGTAAAACCCCATCGGACTCAACTGCACCACGGCCTGGCGTGTCCGGAAGCGAGTTTGCTTCAAGCTCCTCACGCTTTGAAGATTTGGCGCGGACAACCTCATGCGGTTTCTGTAGATTTCAACGAGTTTCTTGTAGTCGTCACCATCTTGAAAATGCTCGGGACTTGTCGTTAGCTGGGCCATGCCGTCCACTAGCTGGATAACCCCCACTTTGCTGCGGTAAGGCGTGAACGGAGAGAGCGGAGTGGGAACGGTCAACTTGGACAGGGCTGCCATTCGGCTCAGGACGAAGGCCAAGTTGTAGAACACTTTGATCGCCTCCGTCGAGGAAACTCGACCGAGATACTGGAGGCGGTCTTTACCAAAGAATCGGAATGTAGACCACTGTCGCTTGTTGCCGATGGCGACGTAACCCAAAATGCAGGGGAGCTCGCCGTAATGCAATGGATTCCAGCACTTCATCTTTGACTCCAGCTCGGTATTGACGCGGCTGTCACCCGCAGATCCACCCCTCTCAACTCCACAGAGCACGATGCACCCATTGCAGTTTACAGTGATGTCCGCCCGTAGCTTTTCTTCGACACTTGCATCTCCATCGGGATTTTCGCGTTCTACCTTCAATTGCACCCCATTAACTCGGCAAATCTGAGCGGTAAACGCGAACAACAGGTCGTCAAACTTCTGACACGAGCGCTTCGTGTCCTCTTCGTCCAGTCCAGCCTCGTAACTCAAAACCACAACATCGATCAGCGACGAGAGAGCATTACAACGAATCTCCGGACCATTTTTGGCAAAGATCTTGGCAGCAGTGAGCTGATCGTTGATGCGCACTCGGAAGGGCAGTCGCCGCTCAAGATGCGACGACAGTCTGAATCCAGCACGAGAGGATAGCTGCGGTAGCGTGAAGTCAAGCTTTGAGTACTTCCACAGGCCGTTCAGACCGACGTCCTCTCCAACGAGTGGGCCGACTTTTGCTTCCGGGGCCTTGCTGGAAGAGCGGATGCGCACCTGCATGTGAGGTCCTTTGCGTTGCGGAGAAACGTCCGGATCAAAGCGCCTCACTTTCATGCAGTCGCTCATTTCGAGTCCAGCCAGACTGTGGCTGACCCAGTAGAGCGTGATATCGCTCGGGTGAGCGTTCACTTCTCGAGTCTTGGCAATGATGTTCTTCAGCTTTTCCACTCCGTCGTCGAGTCCAACGACCACTGTGAACGGAGGAGAATCCCTCCCCCAGATAGCGCATACCGTTCCAATGTTTCCAGACTACTTCAACTTGGAAAAAGGGGGGAATCGACCTCACTAACTGTTTTTGTTTCATTCACAATACTTTGCTGGTAAGCGCTGAATGTAATAAGCAAAAACAAATACTACGACATCCTTCAGATGAAAAGTTTGCAATCGCAAGGAGAATGACCGAAGAGGCTTAACTTTCCTCCCCACTCGGCTTCGAATACTTCGCCTGTGCAGGCGGCACCAAAGCCTTCATCATACCCAGCACCGAGTCAGCCGTCACGTCAGGAGTGTGAAGCGCCGACAGAAGCACATTGGCTACCTTCTGCAGGTCTTCCGATCGGCAGTTCTTCGTCTGACGCAGCATCTCGAGCACTTTCCTGGCCGTCACTTGTTCAGACGTGTCCCGAGCTACGAGCAGCTTGTCCCGCACCCAAAGCAGTCGGTGTGGCAACGGGAACTTGTGTTTGTGTAGCTCGCTCATCAAAATTCCCAGCTGGAACAAGTCGTACTGACAAGTGAACTTCCCTGCATACCCATGACCACGGATCAGCAAACTCGACGGACGAGACGACTCCATGTTATCCAGCATCCAGTACCCAGGCTCCTGAAGGGCGTTATGTTCAGTGACTTCTTGCCTGGGGACATACACTGTGTTACTCCACTGCACGCCACCGTGGCAGTAGCCGCTTTCATGCCAACTTTGCAACGCACACAGCATACCGTCCAGCCATTTGTTCACTTCCTCCACATTTTCAGGAAGACGGCGAAATCCCGTCGGATACAACTGCACCGCGATCGTACGGGATGGAAACAGAGTTTGCCTGAAATTCTGCACTTTCAGAGGGCCACTTTAAGCTCTGTAGGTTTTTGTAGACACCTACAATTCTCTTGTAGTCACCGCCGCTCGCACAGCGATCGCGTCGTACAGTTCGCTTAATCGTGCCATCGACTATGCCGTCGACCAGCTCGATTGTCCCCGTGTCGGTTTGATGGGGTTCGAATGGTGAGAGCTGAGTAGGAGTCGTCAGCTTCGACTGGGTCGCCATATACCTTAGAACGAAAGCCAAGTTGTAGAAAACCTTGATCGCAATCGTCGACGAAACCTTAGAGAGATCCTGAAAGCGTTTCCCACTAGAGAATCGGAATGCTGACAATTGTCGACGGTTCCCACAGGCGACGTAGCCCAAAATGTACGGGAGCTCGCCGTAAAAGTTTGCATTCCAGCACTTCATTTTTGGCTCCAGCTGGGAAAATGTGCGCTGAATATCCGCGGAGCCATCCCTTTTTTCTCCACAGAGCACAACACACCCATTGCAGTACATCGTGACATCCGACCGCAGATCTGCCCCAGGACCGGCATCGTCAGCGAGAATTTTACGCTCCACCTTCAATTGAACGCCATTGGCGTGACAAATCTGAGCCATCAAAGCGAACAATAGGTCGTCGAACTTCTGGCATGAACACTTCGTATCCTCTTCATCCAGCGAAGCCTCGTAAGTCATAACCAGAACGTCAATCAGCGACGAGAGAGCATCGCAGCGAATCTGCGGGCCATCCTTGGCAAAAATCTTCGCAGCCGTGTGCTGATCTTTAATGCGGACTCGGAATGGCAGGCGCCGTTCCAGATGCGAGGCCAGTTGAGTCGGAGAGGGAAACCGTAACAATTTAAGTTCTGAAAATTTCCAGAGGCCGCTCAGACCAGTGTCTTCTCCATCGAGCCTTCCTTCTGGTTCCAACACGTTGGCTTTGCTGGGACGCACACCTCCATGACGGATATGGACGTGAATACGAGGCCTGTTGGGTAGAGGAGAAAAGTCCGGACCAAAGGACCTCACGCTGACGCCGTCGCACATCTCGAGTCTGGGTCCGTAGGTTTTGTAAGCATCCCAGTAAAGCGCGATATCGCTCGGGTGGAGATCCACTTCTCGAGTGCTGGCAATAACGCTCCTCAGCTTCTCCACTCTGTCGTCGAGCCCAATCTCCACACTAAACTGGGGGTCTCTCCCCATAACTCTGCACAACAGCTCCACCTTCATCACGGCTTGTTGTGAATGGTGATTTCCTTATCAGCGATGATGTTAGATTCTGTCAATCAACTAGTTTGCCGAATTCTTCGTCTAATTCCATCATTTGTCTTTTTGTTTTTATTTGCAAGTTTTTCTTCACACAAGAAAAAAAACGAAAAGATGTCCGAGTCACCTCCACTGCTATTCGTCAGGACGGCTCTTCCTCGACCTTCAAGCGCTGCCCCACGTTGTGGAACAGGTAAGCGATATGCTGAAACCTAGTACTATCGATGGTGCCGTGTACAATGGACTCTCGCGTATTTCTCCAATAAATGGAACGTCACGACCCCTAACAGTAGGGGCGATGGATGGCGCTTTTATTTGTGGAAGCTCTCGCGCAAGGGCGACGTCTGAAAATGTTGGTTGACTCTGGAGCGACACACAGCATTGTGCGACGCGATCTGCTAGTGGCTCCTGCTGGGACGCGGGAAGAAAGGATTCAGGCCCGCGACTTTGAAGGAAGACTGTCCGTGACTACCTCGAAGAAGTTCACGGTGGACATGACGGTGGAAGATCGCTTATGTCCAGTCGAGATGGTGGAGTGGCCCTTACGACAGGACTTTGACGGCATTCTCGGTCAGTCGTGGCTTCGTCGTGAGAACCCCGATATTGACTGGGCGGCTGGCACTGTGTCGTGGCGACACCCACCTCGCCGTAATTTGCCTCGAGAATGGACACCACCTCCGGGTTCTAAACAAGAGATCGAATATATAGACGCGGACGAATTTCAAGGCCGGGATGTACACCGAAGTATTCCACTTCGATGTCGTGACAGATGAAGGCAAAATGAAACCGGATGCTGATGTAGCGGCATTAGTCAGTGAATTCGCCGATTATCTGCGTGAGGAACTCCCGGAAGGACTCCCACCCGAGCGAGACATTGAGCACTCCGTGCAACTGAAGCAAGGTGCAGTCCCGTCCTCCAGACCTCCGTTTCGGCATGCACACGTTGAGAAAGCAGCCTTACAAGTTTTTGTTGACAAGCTTTTGCAGAAGAAGTGGATTGAACGCAGCTCGTCCCCGTGGGTCTCCAACATTTTCGCTGTACCCAAGCGCGATCCCGTGACTGGCGAGCTGCCGACGAAGATTCAATGGGTGCGGGGTGGCGATCCTTCAAAACCCGTGCGCTGGGTTATTGATTATCGCTATGTGAACTCCGCTACAGACATTCCCCGTATTCCCATTCCCCGGATTGACGAGATCTTTGACCGACTGGCTGGCGCTCGTGTGTTCACGCTTATTGACTTAGCCTCCGGATATCATCAGATGAGAATGGCGTTTGACTCACGTCAATACACCGCCTTTCGCGCTGGGTCAGAGATCTACCAGTGGTGCGTGGCCCCCATGGGCCTGGCAGGTATGCCAGGCACGTGGTCGCGCTTAATGCGGCGGATCTTCGAGAACAAAGAGCTTTCTGCGTTCGTGGTCGTCTACTTGGACGACATCTGTGTGTTCTCCAAGAACCGAGCCGAACACTTGCAGCACTTGCGTCACGTGTTCGAGATTTTGCGGAGCGAGCAACTTTACGCAAGACCCAGTAAGTGCCATTTTGCTCAGCCTCAGATCCGTTTCCTCGGACACATCGTCAGTGGGGAAGGAGTTCGTGTTGATCCAGACAAGACAGCGGCGATTGCGAACTGGACTCGACCACAAAACGTGAAAGACTTACAACGATTCCTGGGACTCGCTGGGTACTACCGACGATTTGTGCAAAATTACGCTGATCTCGTTCTACCTCTCTCTGACTTACTGAAGAGCACGACGGAGTGGGTGTGGGGCTCTGAACAAGAATTGGCCTTCAACACTATCAAGACGACACTCATCTCGGCACCAATCTTGCGCTTACCCGACATGACCATGCCATTCCAAGTCACGACGGACGCTTCAAGACGTGTGTGGGTGGTGTTCTCAGCCAGCAAGTTGATGGTTTTGATCACCCAGTCTGTTTCTACAGCCGCAAGTTATCAGACACGGAGAGCAAGTGGGCCGCGCACGAACAGGAGCTCTACGCGATAAAACACTGTCTAGGGCGATGGCGATGCTATTTGCTCGGAGGCCACTTCGTGGTCCACACCGACAACTCTGCGTGCGTTGGTTCTTGCACCACCCCAACTTGTCTCCTAAGATGACTCGCTGGCTTGAATTTTTCGGCCAGTTTGATTTCGAACTTGTGCACAAGAAGGGAACGTCAAATGTCGTCGCCGATGCTCTCTCTCGACCACCAGTATGCGTCACGACGGTTGGTTCGTTTGTCTTCCAAACACGATTTCCTACTCGAGCTGCCAAGCTTTTGATCGAGGGAACCGAAGCTGCTGTGCCGTCATCGAACGCGTCACTGATGGACGTAACGTGCATCGGGCACGCATCGCTTTTGGTGGTGGGGGAGGATGCGCAGTTCGTTCGAGCCATCAAGGCGGCGTACGCGAAGGACAAGGACTGCGTTTCCATCATACAAGGGCTGCAACGCCAAGAGCAACGGGTTTCGGAGAAGTACGAGCTTCTAGAGGGCGTTCTTGTGATGAAAAGTCCGGATGCTGTACGTGTGCTCCGTGTTCCTCAAGTGGATACGATTTTACTTCGATTGATGCACGACTTTCATGACGCTGCACCCAGGCGTGGAGCGGACAATGGTGGCGATGCGTCAGTAATTCTGGTGGCCAGGCATGCGCGAGCATATTGCCCAGCATATTTCAACTTGCGAAGCTTGTGTGCGCCATAAGTCTGGATCTCGTCGGCGCAAAGGTCTGCTGCAGTCGCTTCCGGTTCCTGAACACTGTTGGCAGCACGTGACTATGGACTTTGTCACGGCACTGCCACTGAGTGAGGGGTTTGACGCAATCTATGTGGTCGTGTGTCGGCTGTCGAACAGACCTTGCTACATTCCGACTACCAAAGATGTCGACGCCAAGACTACAGCTCGTTTGTTTTTCGACCACGTTGTGCGCTACTACTCTCTTCCTGACTCCACCGTTTCCGACAGAGACCCCAAGTTTACAAGCGAGTTCTGGCGTGAGTTGATGACGATCATGTAGGTGAAGCAACGAATGACTGTGTCGAAGCGAGCTCAAGCCGACGGACGTAGCGAACGGCAGATTAGAACGTTGGAGGACAGTCTCCGGTGTGTCGTCTCTCATTATGGTGACAATTGGGTGAAGATGCTGCCGACTGTGGAATACGCGCATGCGACGTTGGTGTCGACTTCAACTCGCATTTCCCCGTTCGAGGTAGATTGTGGACGGAAACCTCGCTCACCGATAGTTCTGGCAACTTCTGGCAACCTGGCACAGAACATGATCCGATCCCGGCAGGAAGTGATTGAGTTGGCTCAGCGCAACATGCGACTAGCTCAAGAACGTCAGGCGCACTACTACAACCGTGGGCGATAGCAAGTGCAGTTCAACGAAGGTGATTTGGTGTACGTGGATGCTCAGGTCCTAAGCAGTGAGCTTGGCCAACCGGATTACGACCCCGAGCGCGACCCTGCCTGCAACAAGCTACTGCCGAAGTGGTACGGCCCGTTTCCTGTGGCGGAACGCATCAGTGAAAATGCATACCGTGTCGCTCTGCCTCATCGTTACCTTGCCCGTGGACGTCACGCTACGTTCAACGTGGATCAACTCAAGCTTTCTGTCAACGTCCCAGAGATTTTTCGTGGTCGCCAGATCACGAAAAGCGCACCTCGCATGTATGACGAAGATGGCGAAAGAGTGTATGTTATTCGAGCACTACTGGACCAGCGTCGCCAAGGTGGACGCAAGCAGTACCTCTGCTCATGGGTGGATCTGCCTGAAAGCGAGAACTCTTGGGAGTTCGAAGATGAAATCAACCATGTCAGCCACTGGGACGCACTGCTGAAGGATCTCAAGAATAAGCAGCGCCGTGCTCCGCCGACCCGCAGACGCAGATAAACTCGGGGAGGATGTAATGTTCTCAAAACCCAGTTGCTGCGCGATGGCATCCTCAACTTCAAGTCGTGTTCCTGCCATCGGTGCTGGCTGCTACCCAGCGTGCGCACTGATCTCTGTTAGGAATCGGCTCCGGTTGCAGCCGTTGGCGCAACGGAGGTGTCGCTAGCAGCGACAACAAGAGCGTGAGTCCAAGCAGGAGGGACGAGGACAGGAGAAGCTGCGGAGCAGCAGACAGGTGTTGAAGTAGTATGAGTGGCTGACAGACTTGCTGCAGTCACACTGCATTGAGTGAGTAGGAGATCAGTCTCGAAACAGCACGGTCAGACGCAAGTCCAGGAGCAGACTAAGTGCGGAAACAAGTTGCGCGTTGCATTTCACGTGACTGATGGCGGGCATCTGGCGGCGTGCACTCGGTGGCGCTGTGACCGGACCCACCGCGTAACAATCTCCATCTGTATGTTTACGAGCGGAGCTTTTGACCAAGTCTCCGTTTAGCTTTTGCTTTGCTTCTTTAGTTTTTGCTCATTCTGTATTTTGCTCAATACAACTCAGCAACTCCGAACACTTCGTGGTCCAACATTATACCAATGGATCGGACACTACCCGCATCGAGACGAGCTAGCATCACTGGTTCCGCATCTTGCAGCCAGAAGACCGCCTGAGGTTTCTTTCACCAACGTTTCTTGACGAAGCCATGAAGAGTATTTCGTGCTGGGGGAAAGGGCAGGATGAAGCTATGAGGATTTTGTGGCTGATTTGGACGACATGTACTCAATGCACGCTTTGGCTGATACGAAATAGAGAAGTCTTTGACGGAGATCAAGTACCGCCACAAGAAGCTAAGCGAATCTTGTGGAAGGCAGCTGATTTCGAGACGCATGCAGTCATCCGGGGAATGGCTTCACGTCCAGCAACCAAAGAAGCGAGTTTCGGTTGGACCAGTGCTACGCGGTTTTCTTGGCAATTCAACCTTCAGACAGGCCGTCGCAATTCAGCGCTGGACTCTAACTTTTTACTCTGTGAAATTGGAAGGATTACCAGGGCGAAGAGGTATTTGGGTGGTGTTGGGGAACGACCCACAAGAAATAATTGCCATTGAATTTTCCCAAAAGAACGAGCCAGTCACGGAAACTAGTATGGCTATTCAGCTCATCTGTGATGGGCCTACTTTGGCTCACTACTTTAGCTTACACGTGTGCGCGTGTATGTGAGGAAGCGTAGCTTAGTTTAACTTAGAGTTAATTATACTCGGGTCTCCGAGTATAGATTAATCTAAATAAACGATCTGAATAATGTTTTTTGGGTTAAAATGAGAGCTGCTATTTTTGTTTTATGTTTCTGACTTCCTCTAAATGTAATATTCTAAGATTCTAAGATAGGAATCTGCCAACGGCTGGTTGGCAGAATTCCAATGCTATGCATGTCGCTCATTGGCTAAGAGATGCTGCTCTCAGCCAATAGGAATCCTAAGTCTCTATGGACCACCCGTCATGGTGGTCGTAAATGTATGTAGCCTATTGGTGTGTCTACACCAATGTCGAGAAAGTCTTTCGAACCTCTAACAGACGTCGTATCTGTTAGAGTTACAAGTGATTGTAGCCACTTGTGCGTGTAACCCTGTTACACCATCCCCCCCTCAAGGTTAGACGCGCCGAGTCACGGCACGTCAATCAGGAAATTGACCATTCGTCAATTCTTCACGTTGGGAGAAAGAAAACTCGAGCTCATTCCGCAATGAGCTCGCCGCAGAAGAAGACCGCCGCCGCAACAGAGGGTAACCTCTCTGTTGCTCAGTACCATGAGCGCCAGCAGGCAAAGCGCGACGCGCTCGCTGCAAAGGCCGCGTCGGGGACAACTCAGTCGGAGATTGTCCTCGAAGGTTCCTCTGCAGTCAACGATGCCGTTAACTATGGGAGTGACGACGTAGAGATGGAAGAGGGCGAGGCCTCTCCCAACAAGCGCAAGGAGTCTATCGACAGTGATAGTCTCGACCCGCATGCCGGGTCGAGACGCCCTCGTGAAGGAGACGACTCGGACGCTTCGAGCTCGAAGCGTTCGCGCGGCGAGAGCGAAACTCCGCTCTCCGCTGCTGGGGCTTTAAGCTCCCCGCGTGAGATGGCGTCTTCAAGTTCTCCGCGCGCTGCTCGGGCAGCGCGCGATCCATGGATGCCGTCTGCGTCAGAGATCGCAGACCGTGTGGGCAACACTGTGCCTCCAAATGAAATCCCGCTGTACGTATGCAGCGGGATCCACGATGATGCTGTGGCGGAGGAGCAGCACTTTGATCCGTTAACGAATCAAAGGCGCAATTACTATATCGGACTCTTTCACGAGTTCCGATACTTCTCCAGCAAGAAGACCTCTTCTCGCAGCAAAGTGCCTGAGTGGCAGGCACTTTGTCAAAGTTGGAATGCTTTTGTTGAGAACTTCAACATGAAGCCGGCTGCTTACCGTGAGCGGGTTAAGCATGCCCGTGAGCGCTTCGAGACATTCTCGACGCGCGGGAGGCTGGAGCAGCTCCACAGATCTTCTGTGGACGCTGGTATTTCATGCGCTGTGCCCGAAGGCCATCAGTGCACGTTGTGTCTTCCGGGTGCGGTGCGCTTGAGCGACCGCGACCAAAACGGGTACACGACGATTCGTGTACCTGAGAGTCTCAAGGATCTCCGTGTCAAGTTCCTCGCACGTGAGGAACGCGACGATCGTGGGACCTCGGGTGCTGTAGGTGACCACAGCGCTCGCTACCTTCGCGTCGGCGGTGTGTGGTGAGCTTCGTACGCCCTCACCATTTCCGGAACGTCCTGCAGCAGGACGTCCCGCGGCTCCCATGTATCTTGGTGGGGCGGAAACCCTCTCCAACGAATACGATAACGAACCGGCTGCCGGTTCGTTTTCGGGAAACTATGGTTCACAATACGCTCAACAATCCTGCGTGTTGAGCCGCGGGCGTCGCGGATCGGAGGCGGCGGTGGTGGGAACACGCCCCGGGTATTGTCAACCTGGGGTTGACCTTGGCCCGACGCTCAAAGAGCGGGTCGCTGCTGTGGAACAGCATCAGAGCCGGGAGTTCGCCGCTCTAAAGCAGGAGGTGGCGATCCTGAGAGCTCAAGTTGGTCAGGCCTCGCAGACCGCGTCGGACATCTCTGTCGACGTGGGAGGTCGCGTCGCACGCTTGGCCCAGCGCGTTCACGCGCTGGAGCAGAGGCTCACTCCCGCTGGGGCTTCCGCTTCGGGCCAGCCGAGCTAGGTGGCTCGTGCTGCAGGTATGGCTTCAACCGCCCGACGTAAAAGGTCGGGTGGAGGCGCATGCTAGATGGAATATCTAGCGTGTAGGCGTTGCCATGCCGTGCCAACACCGTGAACGGCCCGATGAAGCGCGGAGCGAGCTTGCTCGCCCCGAAGTCGGAAACTGCATGTTTAGGTAGGTTTTGAGTTGCTAACAAAACCAATGAACCCTTCTTGAATTCATTAGGTTGCCCCTACCAACATTGTCTGCGTTCAGCTTCTGTCGGTCGACAGAAGCTGCGATAGCGTCTTGGACAAACCGAATGACGGCTTGTCTGCGCTGCACGAAGTTGATTGCGTCCGAGCTGAACTCGTTCAGCTCGTTTCTAGCAGTAGGCCCGGCCTCTGCGTTCGTCTTCGCGGTGTCTGTGCTCTGCACAGACCCGTTCTTCTTCTTCTTCTTCTTCTTCTTCTTCTTCTTCTTCTTCTTCTTCTTGCTCTTGTCGGCGTCTGTGCCCTGCACAGACGCGTGCTTCTTGTTCTTCTTGCGCGTAGTCGCGGCTGACACTGTGCAAGTGTCAGCGGCATTCTGCGGCTGCTGCGTTGCAGTCGTAGATCCTCCCCCACTTAAGGAAGGAGCCACCATCCCGAGTAGACTCGGGAGGCGTGGGTGCCTGATGGCGTTCATGAGAACGGTGTTTGCCCGGTCGAGGCATGCACCGAGTTGTTGATGGCGAACTCCGCCATCGGCAGGCACTCGCTCCAGTGTTGGAACGAGTGAGCGTAGCTCTTAAGCACGTCTACGAGCACGCGGTTCACGCGCTCGGTCTGCCCGTCCGTCTGCGGATTGTCCGCAGTCGACATCGAAAGTTGACTCCTAAGAAGTGTAAACACTTCTTGCCAAAGGTGTGCAGTGAAGCGCGGGTCTCGATACGACACAATGTCGATCGGCATGCCATGGTGTTTGAACACCATGTCAACGAACAGACGCGCCGTCTGTTTCGCAGTCACTTCAGCGGGTACCGCAGCAAGATGTACCATCTTGCTGAAGCGACCACAACGCCCGTATTCCCCTGGCTGTCCGGGGGAAGACCAAACACGAAGTCCGAAGACATGGACTGCCAACACTCCCGTGGAGTTGGTAGTGACTGCAAGGGAGCCTGCGCGAAAGGCGCAGGCTTCACACGTTGACAAACCTCGCAAGCACGGACGTACTTGCGCACCCATTTGTACTGGTGGGCCCAGTAGAAGTCTCGCGTGAGAAGAAGGTATGTCTTCTCACGGCCCGGATGCCCCGCAGTCGGTGCATCGTGACACTCGTACATGATCCTGAGTCGCAGGTCATGGTCATTGGGCACGACAACGCGGTCCGCGTTGTCGTCGACTGCACTGTAGAGTAATAACCCGTCGTGCACCCGGTAACGGTGTGCACGAGCACGAAGATGCTTCGGCAGCTTCTGACGAGCTTGGTCAGAAGGCGCTGAGCCGTAAGCCAGAAAGAGCTTCGCGTCCGCGTTGTGCGCATACGCGACCTTCACGTCGTTCAACAGTGACGACGTCGGGGTGCTCGATCGCATGGCGTCAATGGCATTGACGTCGGCATCAGCCGTGGCGTAGTCAGGCTGACGCAAGAGCGCGTCGGCCACCACATTGAGTCTTCCGGGTTTGTACTCAACCCGGAAGTTATACTCTGCGAAGAATGAGAGCCATCTCGCCATCCGTTGCGAGATGTGCGGCGACTTCACAGCCGTCCGCAACGACGCGTGGTCCGTATA